TGTTCAAGCAGCAACACCGGCATGGCAGTCCCGGCCGTCAATGGTTAATTACCTAATTAACTATTAACTAATAATAATTAGTAATTAATTATCCTGATTAGTGATTAATTAATTGCTAATCAGGATAATTAATCAACAGGCATGTCAGTGCGGTATCGCTATTTCAATCAGCGAGACCCTTTGGTTCCACGAGACCGTGCGGTCTCGCGCAGTTGTTGCGCGAGACTGTGCGCTCTCGCGCTTTCATCGCGCGATACCGTCCGTGATATTACGTCCGTGTCATTTTCGCGTAACGATTACGCGAGATCGACGGTATATTTCTGTAAAAAAGTTTGCATCTCAACTATTCTTTAAAAAAAATGAGGAACAATATATTTTTAAATTTAATTCATGTCCAAACGTAGAGAGGCGTGTGGGTTATATACTGCATGGCATGGACTAAACGTGCGGACATGTTAAATTAAGCTTGATTTTGGATTAAGATCACAGTTTATTTTTGTTATTCGATTCTGACAATATATAATATAATGATTAGCCCGGCGGAAGAAATGATAACATGTAACGATTGATCTGTAAGGCACTTTTAAGAGAAGAAATCACATGCTCATGATCTGCTTGGTGATTAATTAAGAATTTGTAGACTATAAAGAATATTCAGGATGAAGATATATATATCTATATATATCTATATATATATATATATATGCAGATTTGTCAGAACGTGCTGCCCGTGTATGTCCCTAACGGCACTGCAATACCATGTTGAGCAGATGATTTTTTTGCCTATAGGGCTACCACTACTAAGAAAGAGATTTTTGCACATGGGCCAAAAGAGATTTTCGCGTACGGTTGGACAGCCCGCTCGCACTAAAAGATCTACGAAAATAGCTATTTTTTTGTCTGGGAGTTTGAGAGAAAGTGAGAGAGTAGTATATGGAGGAGAGGAGGTGAGAGAGAGATGATAAGGATGACATGAAAAAAAAATTGAAGTGCTAGGAGGGAAAAGAGGAGGTAACTCAAACTTCTGGGCGAACATTTAAGATGGCTGCCTGCGAAAATATATTTTCCTGTGCACCTGCTTAATAGGGTCGTCTGCGAAAATGTAAGTCGATTTTCGTAGACATGGATACTTATTGTCCGTCTGCAATATATTGAGGTGCTCATCCAGAAAAATTATTTTTATAGTGATTATTTATGTCAGTAGCTACATTATTCTCCATACATATAGGTTTTGCTATTTTTCGATATGTTGTTCATATGATTTTGCATCAAGATTCGTGTTTACGTAGTTCTAACTTGCAATTACACTTATTTATGCAGTACGTTTCATGTAGTTTTAAAGTACCATGACGTCTTTTTTCTTAGGGCCTGGAACTAACAGAAAGAAAACGAGTGTATTTTTCTCATTGTTTGTAGAAAGGAGTTGCATAGGCGCTATGTCAGCTAAAATTGGAAACAACACCACCGAGAAACTTCGTTTGCACTTGTTTTGAAAGTTGGAGGATGCGTGGGACGATTTTGTAATTCGGTGATAAGATGAGGGACCTCCACTGTACTTTTTCCACATCGAAATTACAGATTTTGTATGGGCCTCAGACATCTGGCCCAACAAGGGTCCGACTCTTTCGCCAATTTTCGAAATTACGTACGTACTCAAAATTCAAATTACGACTCATTCGCTAAGGGTATCTGACTAAGCAAATTACGTAAGTACTCAAAATTCAAAATTTAAGGTATAGTTAAAATTGGTTTTCCAAAATATTTAGTGCTTTTTACTTTGTCCTATATATTACGATGCTTGTACCACAAAAGCCATAATTATAAAAAAATTACATCCAAATCTCAGTTCAACGGTATTATTTTTATCACGTAAAATTTAATTTATATTAGATTTATGGTTCGTGAGTTATTACTAGGGTTGAATCAAAATGTATGCACACCTTGTATTTTTTTCGAAAGAGGGTACAAATGATTAACTGAAAATCACATCAAGTTTTCTTAATCAAAAATTACATCAAGTTTGAGTTGCAGAAAACTAATAAAATCATAAAAAAATTACAACACAATCACACAAGAGCAACAGCAATTAAAACAGAAACACAAAAGAACCACGTATCCACCATCAAACTAGTTTCTCCCAAATTGATGAAACACGCAAGTGTGCAAGTGCAAGTGTCATAAATGTAGGCACATTCATAGGGAGCCTAGTGCTTAGGAGGGCAGATCGCCGGCCGGAAAGCGAGCGGGCCGGTGGCGTACATAATGTTATAGTAGCCATGGTCGGCCCACCGCTTGCCCTCGTCACGGAGCGGCGCACCCTCGATGCTAGAGTAGTTGATGTTTGTGGGGTTATTGCATTCGATGTCCGGCGACGCCCGAAGCCGCACATAGCACGCCTTGCGTGGATCGCCCATGTAGAAGTCGGTGACTTTGGTCTCATCGAGCTCCGCAAGGAAGTAGCCGTTATCGTTGGAGACGGCCTGACGACACCTCACCATGGCACGATTCTTGGCGTCGTGGCAGATGATAGACACTTCCGCCTTAGGCAGCGGCTTCGCGCCTTCGAGGCTGTGTGTGTTCCTTTGCGCGCAGCTCTGGCAGTACACCATACCCTCCACCTTCACCAGCAGCTTGTCGCTGTGGGCCGGCGGGGTGTACTGCTGTGGCGGAGGTGGTGGCGGCGATGGTGATGGTGTGGTGTAGCCATAGTTTGCTGTGGCGCCGGCGGCCATGAGGGACGCGAACAGGATCGCGAGAGGAAGGAAGTCAGCCATTGCTCTGAGCACAGCTCCGTACTCGACTGATGAGATGTTTTGTTTTGAAGCTTTGGCTGTGTCGAAACGTAGAGAAGCGTGTGGGTTATATACTGCATGCCATAGACTAAATGTGCGGACATGTAGATGGAAATTAAACTTGATTTTGGATTAAGATCACAGTTTATTTTTTGTTATTCGATTCTGACAATATATGATGATTTGCCCGGCGAAAGAAATGATAACATGTAACGATTGATCTGTAAGGCACTTTTAAGAGAAGAAATGACATGCTCATGATCTGCTTGGTGATTAGTTTTGAATTTGTAGACTATAATTCTATAAAGAATATTCAGGATGAAGATATATATGCAGATTTGTCAGAACGTGCTGCTCGTGTCTGTCCCTAACGACACTGCAATACCATGTTGGGCAGATGATTTTTTGCCAATAGGGCTACCACTAGGACAAAAGTGATTTTTCTCATGGCTCAAGAGAAATTTTCGCGTACGGTAGGACAACCCACACGTACTAAAATGTCTACGAAAATAGCTATTTTTGTGTACGGGAGTTTGAGAGAGTGAGAGAGTAGTATGTGGAGAAGAGGAGGTGAGAGAGAGAAGAGAAGATGAGGATGGCTTGAAAAAAAATAGAAGTGCTATGAGGGAAAAGAGGAGATAATTTAAACTACTGGGCGGACGTTTAAGATGGCCGTCTGCGAAAATATATTTTTCCCGTTTGGCCTCTTAAGATGTCCATCTAGAAAAATAACCTTATTTTTTTTTGCGGCTGCTTAACAGGATCGTCTGTAAAAATGTGAGTCGATTTTTACAGACACAGATACTTGGTCCACCTGCAATCTATTGATGTGGTCGTCCAGGAAAATTATTTTTAAGTAGTGATTATTTATGTTGGTAGCTATATTATTCTCCATACAGATAGGTTTTGCTATTTTACTTGTGACAGGTTTTGGGGCTTCTTTTTTTATATTTTGTTTATAGGATTTTGCATTAAGATTCGTGTTTATGTAATTCTAACTTGCAATTACACTCATTTATTTAATACGTTTCATGTAGTATTAAAGTACCATGACGTCTTTTTTCTTTGGGCCTGAAACTGAACGAAAGAAAATGGATGTATTTTTCTCATTCTTTGTAGAAAGGAGCCATATAAACGCTATGTCAGCTAAAATTGGGAAGCTGAGGAATTTTGTTTGCACTTGTTTTGAATGTTGGAAGATGCATTGTGGCTGTGCTTAGTTCCCTTCAAACTTCCAAATATTCCGTCACATCAAATATTTGGACACATGGATAAAAAAAATACCAATTGTACAGTTTCCATGTAAATTGTGAGACGAATCTTTTGAGCCTAATTACGCCATGATTTGATAATATGGTGCTACAATAAACATTTGATAATGACGGATTAATTAGATTTAATAAATTCGTTTCGTAGCTTACAGGCGGAATCTGTAATTTGTTTTGTTATTAGTCTACGTTTAATACTTCAAATATATGTGTCCGTATACTTTAAAAAAGTTTTGGCTGTGGAACTAAACATGGCCTGTCTCTGGTTTTCGATCGAGGGATGATTTTCTAATTCGGTGATAAGATGAGGGATCTTCGCAGTACTTTTTCCACATCAAAATTACAGATTTTGTATGGGCCTCAGACATCTGGCCCAACAAGGGTCCGACTCATTCTTCAATTTTCGAAAATACGTAACCTCTGGTATCTGACTAAGCAAATTATGTACGTACTCAAAATTCTAAACTTACAGTATAGTTAAATTTAGCACGGTTTTCCAAATAGTAAGTGATTTTTAATTTGTCCTATATATTTCGATGTTTGTAACAACAAAGACTAATTATAGAAAATTACATTCAAATCTCAGTTCAACGGTATTAATTTTATCAAATAAAATTTAATTTATATTAGATTTATTGGTCGTGAGATATTACCAGGGTTGAATTAATATTTATGCATACCTTGTATTTTTTTTGGAAAAGAGGGTACAAATGGTTGACTGAAAACCACAACAAGTTTTCTTAATCGAAAATTACATCAAGTTTGATTTGCAGCAAACTAATAAAATCATAAAAAAATTACAACACAAGCACACAAGGGCAACAACAATTAAAAAATAGAAACACAAAAGAACCACGTATCCACCGTCCAATTAGAACTCCATGCCTTCCAAATTGATGAAACTGTAAGTGTCGCAAATGCAGGCACATTCATAGGGAGCCTAGCCCTTAGGAGGGCAGATCGCCGGCCGGAAAGCGAGTGGGCCGGTGGCGTACATGACGTTATAGTAGTCATGGTCAGCCCACCGCTTGCCCTCGTCATGGAGCGGCGCACCCTCAATGCTAGAGTAGTTGATGTTTGTGGGGTTGTTGCATTCGAAGTCCGGCGAGGCCCGAAGCCGCACATAGCACGCCTTGCGCGGATCGCCCATGTAGAAGTCGGAGACTTTGGTCTCATCGAGCTCCGCGCGGAAGTAGCCGTTATCATCGGTGACGGCCCGACGGCACCTCACCATGACACGATTCTTGGCGTCATGGCAGATGACGGACACCTCCGCCTTAGGCAGCGGCTTCGCGCCTTCGAGGCTGTGTGTGTTCCTTTGCGCGCAGCTCTGGCAGTACACCATACCCTCCACCCTTACCAGCAGCTTGTCGCTGTGGGCCGGCGGGGTGTACTGCTGCTGTGGCGGCGGCGGGGGCGGCGATGGCGATGGTGTGGTGTAGCCATAGTTTGCGGTTGCACCGGCGGCCAGGAGGGACACGAACACGATGATCGCGAGAGGATGGAAGGCAGCCATTGCTCTGAGCCTCTGAGCTAGCTTGCTGTGCTCCGTGGTCGACTGAGATATTCTGTTTTGAAGCTTTGGCTGTGCCGAAACGTAGAGAGGCATGTGGGTTATATACTGCATACCATGGACTAAATGTGCGGACATGTAGATGGAAATTAATTGTGCTGATTTTGGATTAACAGATCAAACTTTATTTATTGTTAGTCGATTTTGACAATATATATAATGATTAGCCTGGCGAAATAAATGATCTGTAACGATTGATCTGTAAGGCACTTTTAAGAGAAGAAATCACATGCTCATGATCTGCTTGGTGATTAGTTAAGAATTTGTAGACTACCGAAAATATTCAGGATGAAGATATATATTGAGATTTGTCAGAACGTGCTGCCCGTGTCTGTCCTTAACGGCACTGCAATACCAGGTTGTCTACACAAGCAGATGATATATATGGAGATTATTTAGTAGCTACATTATTCTCCATAAAGACAGGTTTGCTATTTTACTTGCGATAGATTTTTGGGCTTCTATCTTTTTATACTTTGTCCATAAGATTTTGCGTCAAGATTTGATTTTGCGTCAAGATTTGTGTTTATGTAGTTCTAACTTGCAGTTAGACTCATTTATATAGTATGTTTCATGTAGTATTCAAGTACCATGGCGTCTTTTTTCTTTGGGTCTGAAACTGACAGAAAGAAAACAGGTGCATTTTTCTCACTGTTTGTAGAAACAAGAGCTTTACAGCCAAATTACTGGATCCAAAGCAAGTCTGCTTTTTACATGCAGCGGATCGATCTAGCCAACACCACATGATGCACGGCGCTATCACCCTTGTCACCGTGAGGCTGATGCATCTACTAGCAAGGAGCCCAAGGCCACCGGATCTAGTGACCTCGGCCTCTGCGCGCAACAGATCCGAGTAGCTGGAGGTGAAGATACAAGCCACTCCTGCTACCGTCCTCTTTGATCATCTTCGTCTTGTTGAGTTGTTTCGCGGAGGCCCATCGTCGGGAGGCTTGGGCCGGAGCGTGGCGGAGACTGAAGCTGACCCATTGGGCCGTGCACCTGGGGACGCCTGGAGGTGCGGGGGCGGAGCCCCCGCGAAACGGATCGTCATCCATTTTAGGGTTCCACCATATATATACCTCATGTAAGCCGCCGTGCGGCGTTGTAACCTCTCCCCAGATATAGTGAAGATATTTTGCTGGCTAGCGTCCGTGGTTTTTTCTCTCCTACTTTGGAAGGGTTTTCCACGTTAAAATCTCGTGTCTTCTGTGATTGATCTATTGTTCTTTATCGTTTGTTTGCCTATCGTTTCCTAATACGTCTCACTCTACACCGCCCTATCGATGTTTGGTTAAGGGTGGGCAAAATCGAACTAACCAAGATAGAAATAAAAAAGATATGATCACTGAATCTGACTAACTAAATTTAGTCTATCGATTCGGTAAGTAGGCTCAGTTAACCAAAATTCCAAAAACAGCCCAATAACAACCATCAAGAAAAAAACAAACCATACTCACTTTTCTCTCTATTCCCTAACTACCCTTCTCCGCCCCAACATCCCAATCATCACTCGTCACGATACCACATCGACGGCATCAACAACACCTACATCGTCTTGCCACTTCGTTGTGTCGTTCCCCACGTAGTCCCGCTGCGCTGTACCACCATTCTTTCGTCCATGGCCGAGCTAGGAATTTTAGAAAGGGAAAAGTCCAAATTACCCCCCTGAACTATTGAGTGAGTACGAATTATCCTCTGGACCCGAAAATCAGACATCATTCACCCTTGACTATTAATAACAGACAAAGATCACCCTGAGCACTATTTTGGAGCGGTTTTGACCTAAAATTGTACATGTGCATCAACGTGACAATCCAGTCAGTAAAAAAATAGAAAAAAAATCCTTGGACCCACATGTCATCTCTCTCCCTCCCCTGCCCTCTCTCTCTCCACAGCACCCAACATCACTTGTTACAAAAACCACTTCACTCCTCCATTAATCAGAAGCAGAAGACAACGACGAAGGATCGTGCGTTGCAGGCATCGGGAGAGGGAGAGGAAGGCAAGGTGGACGGGGATGTGCCTCGCATATATGTGTTTCACACCGTCGCATGGCTAGTGTTGCTCACGCTCGCGTCGTGCCCCACTTTTGCCTCTGTCCCCACCCCCGCCCGCCGCTACCGTGCTTGGCTCCCCATCCGCCAGCTGAGAGAGACGGAGGTGAGGGGAGGGACAAGAGAGAGGATTGGGGAAAGAGGGAGATAGAGAGGTGAGGGGAAAGAAATACAGAGGATGAGACTGACAGGTGGGGCCCATCCATTTAAAAAAGAAGAATTGCTGACTGGACTGCCATGTAGGACCAAAACCACTCCGGTTCGAGTTAGTGGTAATTCGTCTGATATTAATAATTGAGGGTGAAACATGTATGGTTTTCGAGTCTGAGGGGGTAATTCATACTTAGGGGTGTAATTCGGACTTTTCCCTTTAGAAAATTTAGGTGATGGACAAAGCCTAACTAAAACCACTACATATTTCGCTCAAATTGTTCTTAGATTAGAAAAAATACCTGTGCGTTGCAACGGGTAAAGGCGTTTTTCAGTGATACAACGGCTATTAAGAGCCAAGGAATAAATTGAAACATTAGTATCGCTATACATTATAATTGAAAAGGCGTTGCCTCCTACCTCCTTTTAAATTCCAGAAAACAAGTTCCCCATCAAATCAAACTGAATCTTTCTCGATCTCCCAAAATTGATTAAGGATTTTTTATCCACTTGATCTCTTCTTTTAGTTTTTTCCAAAATCGGAACGAATCCACGAAACTCGGGATAAAAACAGTTGGGGGAAGATCACTGGCAGACCATCATTCACAACCGTTAAACAAATATTAAATCTAGTTAATTAAATCCGAATTGAAAGGGGAAATTATGGGGAAAGGATGAGGGACGAGTAGAGAATCGATTTTTGCAATTAATTAGAGAAGAAAACGCACAGGAAGGTATAGATCGATGTGGCGGCGGCGTTAGGGTTCGGCCTGGGCAGCGCGGCGGCGGTGGCTGGAGGCACGTGGCAACGGATCGGACTTATACGGACGACGTACAAAATCAAATACACGGGATGCTTGCTTATTTTTTTTATTAGATGTACAGATAGATTTGCGATAAAGAGAAATATTAGTAAACCAACTCCAACACGGATGACATACTAAAATTTTGGCAGAAACATCTTTAATTTTTATAATAGTAGAGATTTAAATCAGAGTAATTTTGTTATAAAATTGCGATCTAACACTTATATAAATGTGGAAGATTTTCTCTTAATAAAATATAATTGGTCCCTTGTTATGTCTTTCCTGGACTATGGTGTAGTATACATGAGTTGATAGTCAGCAATATCAACATGATTAAGTATTTAAGCATACACAATTAGGCAAGGTGATTAGCCTGGCATTGGTTCAGGTTTCAAGTTGCTCAGTGGAAATTGCATGGGCAGCCCTAATGGGCGATTGATCGCCCGCCAATGGGGGTAGCGATCAGATTCGCTACCCCCCTCCCCTCTCCCTCCCTCCACCTGGTTTCCTTTTTGGCACCGTATTACTTTCTTATTTTAGTAAATTTATACACCTAAAGTTTACACATCTAAAGTTTAGAGACCCAAAGTTTATAAGTCAAAAGTTTATATATCCGATTCAAATTTGAATTTGAATTCAAATATTTTTTATATATAGTATTTCTATACATCTAAAGTTTATACACCTAAAGTTAGTTTATAGACCTAAAGTTTATACACCTCAAGTTTACACATCTAAAGTTTAGATACATGTTTCAAATTTATATTTGAATTATATCTGATTCAAATTTACTTGTTTCATATTTGAATTTGAATTATATCCGATTCAAATTTGAATTTGAATTCAAATATTTTCTATATATAGTATTTCTATGCATCTAAAGTTTATACACCTAAAGTTTATAGAACCAAAGTTTATAAACCCAAAGTTTATAAGTCAAAAGTTTACATACCCGATTCAAATTTGAATTTGAATTATATCTGATTCAAATTTGAATTTGAATTCAAATTTTTTCTATATATAGTATTTCTATACATCTAAAGTTTATACACCTAAAATTTATAGACCCAAAGTTTATAAGTCAAAAAGTTTACATACCCGATTCAAATTTGAATTTAAATTTAAATTTTTTATATATATAGTATTTCTATACATAAATTTTTCTAACTTTTTGTTTTTTAAAAAAAATTTGTGTGGTGTACTGTAGTAGGGGAGGAGGGAGGAGTGTATCTAGTAGTATAGGGAGGGGGCGGGCGGGTGATCGCTGGGCGGGCGGGGGAGCGATCACCCGCCCATTAGCATTTCCGAGATTGCATGCATTAGCAAACATTGATGTGTGGGTCCTGTTGACAGAAAACACGAGGCCTGGGAGATCTGCTTAACTTCAGTGCAGGTCCAAAACTCGCCTTCGGGTGTATGAGCGTGGTCGTTAACAGGTCTGTACCCATAAATCAGCCACTGCTACTGAATCAGCAGTACTGTAGAGGATCTGCATTCAGGCTGGTGCCTTCATGCAGTAGGACACAACCGCACACATTTGTTGCCATGCGCCCGCAACTAACTTGCATGGTAATACATCGATTGGAGTCAACCCTTACATGGCGTGAAGCCCGAGCAGCCGCCCGATCTGCCCGATAGGTGAATCGGCTACTGCTTCCGTGCTCCATATTGTGCCGCCTTCTTCTCCATAGCGGCACCCCCTCAGTGGAGATCTAGTGGCACCCGCAAGATGAAGGTCTAGCGGCAGCAGTCTTAATAGAGAAGGGCATGGCCGCGGGCAAAAGGCAGAGGAGAGAAACACGCGGACGCCGGCGATAGGTAGATGATATTTTTTTCTGATTTCTTTGATTATTGTGATCTTCTTGTCTGAAATATTTCGTGATTTTTGTGACTCTTTTGTATATCTAAAAATATTGATTACTTTCAGTCATGATAGAGACCAAGGCCGCATTGCTTAGCGTTGGCCATTTTTCGATTGCATGTTGGTTTTCATTTTTAGATTGTAGGAATATTAGCAAACCACCAATATTTTCATCACAAAATATAAATCAACTTCTTGATTTTACATAGATGACCAAAATTTCTTAAAAGACCGGAAATCGAGACCGACCTTACTGCCACCCCCGCGTAAGGTAGCCAATATATTAGGGAAGTTGGTGTTCGGCAGCAGGGTTATCCAAATGTGATCACTCTAATCTCACTTATTCACGTAGAGATTTACCCAGGTTTGGGCCTCCTGAAAAATAGCTACGACATCTTGGCCTAATAAGGAGGAAAGTGCAAGTGAGGTGATTTGTGTAAGTGGGCATGCCTGTTGGATGGATTGGACTGCACGGTTTTGGAGCGCGGGTTTTTACAATAGCAGACCTACACCTGCTTTGATGTGTTTTGCAAGTATGACAATGGTGCTACAATGGAGCGGTAGAGGGTGAGTGTGTGAATGGTCGGTGGTCCAGAGATCCCTTCTCTACAGAGATATCAAAGTTTTCTTGATCAAAAATCACATCAAGTTTGATTTATAGCAAATTAATAAAATCATAATAGATTTACAACAAATGTCACACAAGAGCACCAATAATTAAGATAGAAACACAAAAGAAATACATATCCACCATCCAAATTGAATTCCACACATCCCAAATTTATGAAAAGCACGCGCATGTAAACGTCGCAAATATAGACACCACATTTACATGGGGTGCCTAGTTTTAGTGCTTGGGAGGGCATATCGCCGGCCGGAAGGCGAGAGGACCGGCGGCATAAACAACGTTATCGTAGCCCTGACCAGTCCATCGCTTACCCTCGTCACGGAGTGGCGCACCCTTGATGTCAGAGTAGTTGATGTTTGTGGGGTTGTTGCACTTGAAATCCGGCGACGCCTGAAGTCGTACGTGGCACGCCTTGCTCGGATCACCCATGAAGAAGTCAGAGACTTTGGTCACGCCGAGCTCTGTCTGGAAGTAGCCGCTCTCATCGGCGATGGCCCGCTTGCACTCCATGACACGATTCTTGGTGTCGTGGCAGGTAACGGACACCTCCGCCTTGGGCAGCGGCATCGCGCCATTGAGGCTATGCGTGTTCCGGTACGCGCAGCTCTGGCAGTACACCATGCCCTCCACCCTCACCAGCAACTTGTCACTGTGGGCCGGCGGCGGCGGCGGCGATGGTGTGGTGTAGCCGTTGTTGGCAGTGGCGCCGGCGGCCAGGAGGGACACGAGGATCGCGAGAGGAAGGAAGGCAACCATTGCTCGGAGTCGGAGCTAGCTTGGTGCTCAACTTAAGATGGTTTATCTTAACCTGAAGTTTTGGTGTGAGAAAATGGAGAGAAGCATGGGGTTTATATACTGCCATGGACTAATTAAACGTGCAGACATGTAGGAAATCACTAACTGTCTTGATTTTGGATTAAGATTGCATTTTATTTTTGTGAAGATAACATGTCATGATTGATTTGCAAGGCACTTCTAAGAGAAGAGATCGCGTGTTCATGATCTGCTGTGATTAGTTAAGATCAGTCTGTAGACGATAAAGAATGTTCGGTGTGAAGATATGCAGATTTGTCAGAGAACGTGCTGCCCGTGTGTGTTCCCATCTGCACTGAAATACCACAGGTTCTCGGCACAGGCAAATGATTTTTGGCGATATAGAGCTACATTATTTCCGTTAGTACTCTGAAAATTAAGGAACAGCATATCATCTTCTGTGTAAAATATACGGTTCATGTAGTATCTATTTCCTTTGGGTCTGAAACTAACTGAAAGAAAACGGGGTGCAGTTTTCTGATTGATTGTACGCAGAGCAAGTCTGTTTTTTTTTACATGCGGCAGATCAATCGTGCGAAGTTTTGTCATGGTAAGGCTGCAACATCTGTTCGCGAGGAGGCCCGGGCCACCGGATCTGACAACCTCGACCTCCCCGCACAACACGGAACCGGGTAGCTTAAGGACACAAGCCACTCCCGCCGCCACCTTTTTCTATCACTCTTCGTCTCGCCATGCACTACTCCTATCAACGTTAAGTTAGGAGTGGGCAAAATAGACCAGAATCGAACCAAACTAACCAAAACAATAATGAAAAAAATTATGGTCATTAGATCTGACTAGCCAAATTTAATTGATCAATTCGATAAGTAGGCTCGGTAAACCGAAATACCCTAAAAACAAAAATTTAAGAAAAAGCACAACATAAGCCGATCAAACCAACAAAAGCAAAACCCTATCCACTTTTTTCTTTGTTCCGTAACTACCCTTTCCCACCCCCACCACCCTCGGCATCGACAACACCACAACGCATCATCCTACCGCATCACCGTGCCGCTCCCCACGCTATCCTGTCGCGCATCCTACCACTCTTCTGTACTGCTACGTTGTGTCGTGCCGCCCTGCTTCTCCGCAACGATGCCTCCTCAAGTGGAGATCTAGCGGCACTCATGATATGGAGATCTAGCGGCAATAATCGTGATAGAGGAAAGCGCAGGTGTAGGAAAAAGGTGAAGGAGAGAAACATGCGGACGCCGGCGAAAAGCAAATGTTTTTTTTGTTTTACAGTACTGCGATTTTTTGGTTTGAAATTATTGATGACTATTGTTATTCTTTTGCTTCTCAAAATTTGTTGATTATCTTCAGTCATGACAGATACGGAGGCCGCATTGCTCGGTGTTGGCCACTTTTTGAATGCATGTAGACCAAGGAAACTTTGATGTGGTTTTCTTGATCTACTCATTTGACAATGGCTAGAAAGTATGTGATTTTCATTGTACTTGTGTAACTCAGTAAATTATTTATTATATAAACACATACAATGTAGGAGACTCTCCTTAAAAAAGTTTTCTAGATCGAAAATCACACCAAGTTTATTTTGCAGCAAACTAATAAAATCAGAACAAATTTACCACAAATATCACACAAGAGCAACAATAATTAAAACAGAAACACAAAAGAAACATTATCCACAATCCAAATTGAGAATTCAGTGCCTCCCATATTAACGAAAAGCGCACGTGTAAACGCCACAGACGTAGGCACATGCACGGGGCGCCTCTTAATGCTTGGGAGGGCAGATCGCTGGCCGGAAGGCGAGCGGGCCAGCGGCATACATGACGTTATCGTAGCCCTCGCCAGTCCACCGTTTGCCCTCATCACGGAGCGACGCGCCCTCGATGCTGGAGTAATTGATGTTTGTGGGGTTGTTGCACTTGAACTCCGGCGACGCCTGAAGTCGCACGTGGCATGCCTTGCTCGGATCGCCCATGAAGAAGTCAGAGACTTTGGTCACGCCGAGCTCCGTCTGGAAGTAGCCGCTCTCGTCGGCGATGGCCCGCTTGCACTCCATGACATGATTCTTGACGTCGTGGCAGGTAACGGACACCTCCGCCTTGGGCAGCGGCATCGCGCCGTTGAGGCTATGCGTGTTCCGGTACGCGCAGCTCTGGCAGTACACCATGCCCTCCACCCTCACCAGCAACTTGTCACTGTGGGCCGGCGGCGGCGGGGTGTACTGCTGCTGCGGCGGCGGCGGTGATGGTGTTGTGTAGCCGTTGTTGGCAGTGGCGCCGACGGCCAGGAGGGACACGAGGATCGCGAGAGGAAGCTGGAAGGCAGCCATTGCTTGGAGCTAGCTTGGTGCTCGATTACCTGAAGTTTTGGTGTGAGAAAATGGAGAGAAGCGTGGGGTTTATATACTGCCATGGACTAATTAAACATGCAGACATGTAGATGGAAATCACTAACTGTCTTGATTTTTTATTAAGATTGCGTTTTATTGTGTGGGCTATTTAATTCTGACAAAATATAATGATTGGCCTGGAGGAGAAAAAAAAGAAGATAACATGTAATGATTGATCTGCAAGGCAGTTTTAAGAGAAGAAAACACATGTTCATGATCTGCTTGGTGATTAGTTAAGATCAGTCTGTAGACGATAAAGAACGTTCGGTATATGAAGATATGCAGATTTGTCAGAGAACGTGCTGCCCGTGTGTGTCCTCAACTCCACTGCAATACCAGGTTCTCCAGAGAGACAAATGATTTTTGCCGATAGCGCTACATTATTTCCGTTAGTACTCTGAATAGTACTCTGAAAAGGAACAAGCATCTCATCTTCTGTGTAAAATATACAGTTCATGCAGTATTGTCGTACCATGCTGTTCCTTTTCTTTTGGTCTGAAACTACCTGAAAGAAAACGGAGTGCAGTTTCCTGATTGTTTATACAAACAAGAGATGTAAAGCCAAATTACTGGACGCAAAGCAACTATGTTTTTTTACATGCGGCGGATCGATCAAGAGCTAACACTGCATGATTCATGGCGCTATCGCCATTGCCAGTTTGTCACGGTGAGGTTGCCAGATCTGCTGGCAAGGAGGCCTAAGCCAATACAACCCCGACCTCCCTGCACAACGGATCCGGGTAGCTAGAAGTAAGAACACAAGCCACTCCCACCGCCAACCTCTTCTACCACTCTCCATTTTACCATGCACCGTCCCTATCGACGTTCGGTTTGGGTGGTAGTGGTACAAATAGACCGAAATCGAACCGAACTAAGCAAGACACAAACAAAAAAAAAAAGGTCACTTGAATCTGTCTAGCCAAATTTAATCGATTAATTCGGTAAGTAGGCTCAATAAACTGAAATAACTTAAAAACCAAAATTCCAGAAAAAAAACCCAAGAACAGAAAACCAAACTAACAAAAACAAGCCCTACGTACTCACTTTTCTCTCTATTACATTTCCCTAAACCCAACAGCAGTCCACCAAATCAACAAAAGCAAGCCCTACTCACTTTTCTCTCTTTTCCATTTCCCTAACTAATCTTTCCCACCCCACGCTAGTTGGAAACCGCCACACTAGCATCACGGCATTGAGAACAACACAACGCATCGTCCTGCCGTGTCACCATGCCATTCCCCATGCTATCCCGTCACGTATCCCACCACCCTTTTGTGCTACCACTCCGTGTCGTGCCACCCTGCTTCTCCGCGGCGATACCTTCTCAAGTGGAGATCTAGCGGCGGTAGTCCTGACAGAGGAGGGCACGGGCATAGGTAAAGGGTAGAGGATAGTAACATGCGGACATCGGTGATAGAAAGTTGATTTCTTTGTGATTACTATGATATTATTTTGTATGAAATTGTTGATGACTATATTGTGATTCTTTTGCATCTCAAAAATTGTTGATTCTTTTCGGACCGAGGCCACATTGTTCGGTGTTGGCCAAATGGCCACTTTTCGGATGCATGTAGATTAAGAAAACTTTGATGATCTACTTATTTCACAGTGGCTAAAAAATTTGTAATTTTCATTGTACATACATAACTCAATAAATTATTTATTACATAAATATATACACGGTAGGAGACTCTCCTTAAAAAGCGTTTTCTTGATGGAAAATCACATCAAGTTTGATGTGTATAGTAAATTAATAAAATCATAATAGATTTACAACAAATATCACACAAGAGCAACAGTATTTAAGATAGAAACAAATAAAATGCATATCCAACATCCAAATTGAATTCCACGCCTCCCAAATTTATGAAAAGCGTGCGTGTAAACGTCACAAATATAGACACCGCACTTGTGTGGGGTACCTAGTTTTAGTGCTTGAGAGGGCAGATTGCCGGCCGGAAGGCGAGAGGGCCGGCGGCGTAAACAACGTTATCGTAGCCCTGATCAGTCCATCGCTTGTCCTCGTCACGGAGCGGCGCGCCCTCAATATCGGAGGAGTTGATGTTTGTGGGGTTGTTGCACTTGAAGTCCGGCGACGCCTGAAGTCGCACGTGGCATGCCTTGCGTGGATCACCCATAAAGAAGTCAGAGACTTTGGTCACGCCGAGCTCCGTCAGGAAGTAGCCGCTCTCATCGGCGATGGCCCGCTTGCACTCCATGACGCGATTCTTGGTGTCGTGGCAGGTAATGGACACCTCCGCCTTGGGCAGCGGCACCGCGCCGTCGAGGCTATGCGTGTTCCGGTACGCGCAGCTCTGGCAGTACACCATGCCCTCCACCCTCACCAGCAACTTGTCACTGTGGGCCGGCGGGGTGTACTGCTGCGGCGGCGGCGGCGACGGTGTTGGTGTGGTGTAGCCATTGTTGGCGGTGGCGCCAACTGCCAGGAGGGACACGAGGATCGCAATAGGAAGGAAGGTAGCCATTGCTGGGAGCTTGCTTGCTGTGCTTGACCGAGATGTTCTTTTCTAAAACTTTGGCTGTGTCGAAACGTAGAGAGGTGTGTGGCTTATATACTTGCAATGCATGGACCAAACGTGCGGACATGTAGATGGAAATTAACTGTCTTGATTGATTTTGGAGTAAGATCACATTTTATTATGTGTTATTCGATTCTGACAATATATGTAATGATCGATTCATCTGTGATATGCAGTTTTAAGATAAGAAATCGCATGTTCATGATCTGCTTGGTGATTAGTCAAGAGTCTGTAGACCATAAAGAATGTTCAGTATCAAGATATTCAGATTTGTTAGAACGTGCTGCCCGTATCTGTCGTTAACTGGACTGCAGTTTCAGGTTCTCCAGACAGACCGAAATAGACTGAAACCGAGAGACCGAACCAAACTACTGGAGTAGTAACCAATACTGGCCGAAAAAAAAAACATTTCTGTATCTGACGAACCAAAATTTAACTCTGTCAGTAGGCGCGGTTATCTGCAATTTCAAAAATGACCAACAACAACCTGCCAACCCAACAAGAGCAAATCCCACTCCCTTCCCCAGTACCCCCACCACCTCTCTCATCACCCGTTAGTCCGTCACACTTGCATCGGCGGCATCGATCCCATTCCTCGCGTTGTCCTACTGCGCTGTGCCATCCTGCTTCTCTGCGGTGGCACCTCCGCGTCTCCTCCACTAGAGATTGAGAATTTGGTGGAGCGGTCTCTCCTATGTTTTTTTTAAAAATTTTGAGATTGTTTATTGTTTTGGTATGACCGAAACTAAATCAGTATCGACTATTTTTATATACATGTCGGTCCCAAAATTTCTCTAAAGATCGAAGGTTGAGATCGAATTGTTTGTTTTTACATAATGGCCACCCCTACATCCGGTAACCAATGTGGGGAACCCGATGTACGGTAGCAAGTTTTTACAGTTAAAATCACTCTAATCTTAGGGGCGGACACCCATTAGATAAGATGGGTCAACCAGCTCCGCTATGGTACACTCCACCCCTCACCCCCAGACCTCCCTCCTAGTCGTGGATCTAACACATTAGCCACTATTCCACCATCAACCCATCAAATAAATCAAGTATTTCAAAAAGGGATGAAAATGATATGGAAATTCCCGACCAACTAAGTATTGTTTTCTATAAGTGGTTCTATTTTTTATCATATCCGATTGGCCATATATAAATCATTTCCTAAATAGTTAAATTGGTAAAATAAAAATTTGCAACAGACCATAAATCATTTCTGAATAAATGATCGTTTTCAGTCATTTTTATCCCTAGCTAACTCTAGGCATTAGGCATCCATTGTCGTGTCATTTTCATGACTATGCTCACCGTCTCAATTCTAATATCTATCTGACCATGTTCATCTTCGTTGTTAACTGTTCATCTTCGTTGTTAACTTGTGTAATGTTTGTGTGGTGTGTCGCCATACCGGTGCGTTGAGCCGGTGACTATAATTTATGTGCACAGTACCACACGCCCCTAGCCAGCAGCTAGCTAGGACTAGCTCCTTGTTAGAGGCCGCTCTATCCTACCACTGATCTCACTAATTCACATAAGGGTTTACGGTTTACCATCCTTAAGAAATTATTGGGAGTTTTTCTTGTGTAAATTAAGCTTGGTATCTCCATGTATCTTGACTCTTGAGGTACCAAAATATATTTTTATTTAGGTACTTGAGGTACTTTTTCATGGATCATAAAATTTCACTTCACGTAGAGAGTTACTCAGCTCGTGTGGGCCGTCAAAATCACGACCTAGTGCCCCGCAGCATTATCCACAAGGCCCATTAGCCTGATATCTGAAGCAAATTATCGGCATCATTTTTTCGCTTATGCTTATACTTATCAGTCAAATTTTAAATTTTAAACCTTAAATTTATAATTGATTTTAGGATATTTTTTTTCGTCGAAGTTTATTTTCCAGCCTTTGCTTTTAGATCGCTAAGAACACATATGTAAAAATTTTATTCATATTCTTTTTTGTTGTAAATATGACCTTTCGCTTATAAGCGAAACGATGGAGCCGAAAATTATATACTCGCGGGGTTATCTTTTTTTCCCAACAAAAATGACATCAAGTTTGATTAATTTGCCGTAAAACTGGTAGAACCACAACAATATCAACTTACAAAAGAATCACATAATAACACCACCAATTCAATTAGAACAGAATCACAAAATAAACCAGGATATATTCTCCGTCCAAATTAAATTTCGCACACCCAACGACGACCTCTCCCAATTCAAAAGCACGAGAGTGCGCGCGCGCCACACGCATGGGGGCGGCCGCGGCGGGCGCATCTAGTAGTGCTTGGGCGGGCAGTTCGCCGGCCGGAAGGCGAGCGGGCCGGCGGCGTAGACGACGTTGTCGTAGCCCTGCCCCGGCCACCGCTTGCCCTCGTCGCGGAGCGGCGCGCCCACCATGCCGGCGTTGATGTTGGTGAGGCCGTCGCACTTGCGGTCCGGCGACGACAGCAGCCGCGCGTAGCACGCCCCCCGCGGGTCGGCGCCGAGGAAGTCGGACGCCCTGGTGACGCCGAACTCCGCGAGGAAGTAGCCGCTCTCGTCGGCGACGGCCAGCCTCCACCACGCCGCCCGGTTCTTGGCGTCGCGGCAGGTGACCGACACCTCCGCCCCGCGCAGCGGCCTCGCGCCGTCGAGGCTCCACGAGTTGCGGTGCTCGCAGCTCTGGCAGTACACCTTCCCCTCCACCCTCACTAGCACCTTGTCGCTGCTTTGGTGCGCCGCTGGCGCCGGTGGCGGTGGCGATGGCGGCGGCGTGTGCTGCGGTGGTGGCGGTGGCGATGGTGTGGTGTAGCCGTTGTTGGCGGTGGCGCCGGCGGCCAGGAGGGAGACGAGGATGGCGAGGTGGAGGAAGGCAGCCATTGATGCGGAGCTTGGTGTAAGCTCGACTGAGATGGTTTGTGTGAAGCTTTTTTTTGGCTGTGTCGAGATGGAGAGAGGCTTGGGGTTTTATATACTGCCATGGATCAAACGTGCGGACATGTAGATGGCCGAAGCCCGAAGTGGTGGCCATGTTTGTCCTGGAAAATGTCTTGGTTTTGATTAAGATTACGTTTTATTATACATTATTGTAAAATTGTGACAATATTATACGTACAATGATTGACCTGTCGAAATGAAAAGAAAGACAATATGTAATGATTGGTCACCATGGGCATTTTTAAGAGAAGAAATCGCATGCTTGTAATCTGTTTGGCGATTGGTCAGTCTGACATAGATAACGAATGTTCAGAAGGATGATATGCAGATTTGTCAGAGAACGTGCTGCCCGCGTGTGTCCTCAAGACTTCAACTGCAATATCTGGTTCTCCGTGTAGGCAGAGAGATGTTCCCCAACGCAATGCCGCGCAAAATAATCAATTTTGCCGGCAGAGCGACAACTTGTTTTATAATCTGAAAACGAACTGACATCTTATTTTATCTGTAAAATGTGCAGTTCATGTAGGAGCATGATGTGCGTCCATGTTTTGTCTGAAACCGACTGAAAGATAAACAGAGAGCACTGGAGTAAGAGAATTTTCTGATTGTTTCTACATAGGAGTAGGAGAGTTTAAGGCGAAAGTTACTGGATGGAAAGGAAGTCTGACTAATCGAGCTTACCCAAAAATTCACAAAACGTAGCATCTCCATCCCATCAAGAGCAATATGTGCTCTAGTTCTTGTTTTTCATCTTGAGGGAGAAATTATCCGATTAAGTTTACATGTCTGAAGAGCCTAATCATTTTTGTATATCACTTATATGTGCTGTCCTAAAGATTTGATTTATGGAAGAGTAGAAGACAATTCTCACTTCACATTCCAAACAGGTCATAAATCGACAATATCGCTTGTTATTGTGCGGTTTCCGCGGTAACCGGACTTACCTTTGGATACACTAATAGTAACTTATCCCGTCAAATTCAAATAAATTTACATAATAATATGAACTTCTAATAGCATCGTCTAGTTTTTCATGGTTTACCGTGTGATTACCGTGCTTACGATTGGGTGCGGTAACTCAACCCCTGATGGTAAGGTTAGCCCTGCTCTAACTAGGAAAAAACAATAACAAACAGATATATAAGACACAGGTTTAACATCAGTACTCTTAACTATTCCCTCCGCTCAAAAATATACTACCTCCATTCTAGAATATTCGTCGTTTTGAGTTTTTTATTTGTAATGTTTGACCATTCGTCTTATTTAAAAGATTATGTTATTATTATTTATTTTGTTTGTGACTTGTTTTATTATCAAAATACCTTAAGTATGACTTATCCTTTTTAGGTTTGCATTATTTTTTAAATAAGACGAATGGTCGAATATTGCAAGCAAAAAGTCAAAACGATATCTAATTTGGGATGGAGGTAGTAATAAATTTTGACACTTTCATTTGTCCACAAAAGGCTAGTGAATATTATTAATGGGCTGGGCCAAACACCCACCAAAGAAAATTCCCAATGGGCCTTGAGTGATCCCCAATATACAGCCCATTACATGTACACCCCAGCAATCCAGGCCCACACGCAGCGAGAGAATTCGACTCCCGTTTAATTCCGGCCCAAATCCATCTCTTTCGACTGCTTACTTCTGCCCTAATCCACACACGTATCAGAAATTCGGAATACTCTGTTCGCACTTGCCCTTCCGGAACGCTCCCAAACCCTAGGCGCGTGACCATGTCGGGGTCGTACGGATCCGACGACTACCGCGGCGGCTACGGCGGCCGAGGTCGCGTCGGGATCCTGCGGGTTGTGTGCGTGCTTGCTTCTGGATCTGCTCCTGACTGGCTTGTGGTTTTTTTTGTAGGTGGCGGCGGAGGCGGCCGTGGGAGGGGAGGTGGCGGAGGAGGAGGGGGAGGATATGGTGGTGGTGGTGTGGGAGGTGGATATGGTGGTGGTGGCGGAGGATATGGCGGCGGTGGCGGAGGGTACGGCGGCGGTGGTAGAGGTGGCGGTGGAGGAGGAGGCTACGGCGGCGGTGGCGGCGGCGGGAGAGGTGGGGGTGGGGGTGGCGGTGGCCGAGGTGGCGGCGGGAGGGGTGGAGGACGTGACGGTGACTGGGTTTGCCCAGACCCGAGGTTTGTTTCGTTTACTCATTTGACGTTGTCTCGTTTGATTCGACTGTGACTGATGAAATCGTGGTTGTCCCGATTGTCTTGTAAATTATGCTACTTGGCCATGAAATCTAGGGTTTTTAGGTTGTTAAATTATAAATTATTGGGTTATTTGATAATTTGGTTTAGGATTTTGCATGGGGCATGTGTGAAGTGTCCTACTAAATTTTTGTTTCATCGTAGTATTGTGAGCATCAGAACTGCCAACAAATAGTTAACTGCATAATTCATTCTCTATGAGAGCTCCCTATAATCTTAGGTCACAAGTGCTAAATTTATGTTGAACCTCTAGATACATAAATATTATGTTATACTTGTCTCCCATGATTTCTTCCCCTCCCCTATGTTCTATTTTCCTTGGTATAGCAGAGTGGCAGAGAAGAAATTTCATATATGTTTTTGAAATGAGTTCATGGTGTTATTGGAAGCATTACAAAATACAGTAAATAAGCACTACAAAATACAGTAAATACTTTCTTTTATGAATATGTTTCTTTCAATATGGCATTAGTTGTCTTGCTGAGTTGGTTATATTTTGCAGAATATTCGGTTGCAATTTCATTGGTTCTCTTCCAATATTCCTAATATATTTGTTTATCATTCTTGTTCCAGTTGTGGCAATGTGAACTTTGCAAGGAGGACTGAATGCAACAAGTGTGGAGCACCTTCTCCTGCTGGAGGTGGAGGTGGAGGTGGAGGTGGAGGGTATAATAAATCTGGTGGAGGGGGTGGAGGCTACAATCGTGGTGGTGGCGATTTTAGTTCTGGAGGTGGCGGTGGCTACAACAGAGGTGGAGGAGATTACAACTCTGGTGGCCGTGGTGGTGGCACTGGAGGGGGAGGAAGAGGAGGAGGTTACAATAGAGGTGGTGGCGATGATCGTGGATTTGATGACCACCGTGGTGGCAGGGGTGGTTATGGGGGAAGAGACCAAGGGAACAACCAAAGGGGAGACGAAAGTGGTTATGACGCTGGTAGCTATGGACAAGTTCCTCCTCAAGGTCCTCCTTCCTATGGTGGGCCTGGTGGTGACTATGCAGCACCTCCAAGCTCCTATGGAGGCAATAATGCATACAATTCAGATTCTGCAGTGCCACCTCCTAGTAGCTATGGTGGTGGTCCAGGTTCATATCCACCAAGTTATGGTGCACCACCTCCGAACCCGCCATATAGCGGTGGTGCTCCAGGTGGCCAAGGTAGCCTACCTCCTTCATATGATGGTGGGTATGGTGGTCGGCCTATGCCTGGGGGTGGAGGCCCTGGTGCACCTCCACCCTATCATGGTGGTGGTGGTGGTGGTGGTGGCGGCGGCGGTGGCGGCGGATACACTGGCAGTGCTGCTCCAGAGCCAGCTGCAAAGGTTAAGCAGTGTGATGCAAACTGTGATGAGACTTGTGATAATGCAAGAATTTACATCTCCAACTTACCTCCTGATGTGACTGTTGAGGAACTGCAAGAACTATTTGGAGGAATCGGCCAGGTATACTTTGACCTCCTCTTGAGCTCCCACATATTTAGTGTTTATGAACTGTGCATTTCACGATTCGCTCACTGAAATATTTTGTGCATTTTATGTCTTTTTTCTAACCTCATGTTTTTCATTTTATGTGTTTCGCCATAATATCTTTTTCCAGTGTTACTGATATTACTTGTTGGAATTTAAGTAAATTTACAAATCAGTATTCAGATGATGTTTATAATCTGTAGTTGGGCTTGTTAACATTTTTTTCCCCTTTTGCTTTCACTACTGCTAGCACATTGCAAGTCATAGTTTTGCACAAAATCTGCTCCATCTGTTGTATACAGCGCAGTTAGAGCGAGCTTATTACATATTGTTTTTTTCCTTGCTAGTGGAGAAGTACACCCTTGTGTTTCAATGTGCATAATTAAATTTGGATATTTGTTTTGATGTAACATAATCATCTTGCAGTAATGATGCTCTTTTTTTTTGTAGAAGTAGTAGTACTGTAATTTTAGTTATAACCAAGCCATTCAATGATTTTGTAGTAATTTTGCTTTACTCCCATATTGGTATTTTATGCCAAATAATTCGTGGCATATCACCCCATGATGTTAATGTAAAATCTTTGATAATAAAGTAAAGTTGGTTTTACAGATTACTTAGTGTTCCTAGCTAAATTTATTGCAAGAAATTAATTTCTTTAGTTTTGGGGGTGGTAACTGCTTGTGTTTCATGGCTGTGTTTTGAGTTTTTGCAACTGCTTTTTTCTTAAGGTTGGAAGGATCAAGCAGAAACGTGGCTACAAAGACCAGTGGCCCTGGAACATAAAGATCTATACTGATGACTCTGGAAAGAATAAAGGAGATGCCTGCCTTGCCTATGAAGATCCTTCTGCTGCTCATTCAGCTGGTGGATTCTATAACAGTAAGTTCAGCATCGAGATTATATTATGTGTGTATAAATACAGTGTTCTGCAATTTTTAATGCATGTTTTCTATTGATATTCCAGATTATGAAATGAGAGGCTATAAAATTAGTGTTGCGATGGCTGAGAAATCAGCTCCTAGAGCTCCTGCATATGGTCATGGGTAAGTACTTTTCAGTTCTGTAGATGCTAAATGCAGATTGTGGAATGCTGTGTGCCTATGTCCAAGCAAGACAGCTTCTATTATGGGCAAAGCATGCCCCTTTTAGTTGCAATTTGATAGCCTAGATGTTTGAATCTATTCTTCAAAGTGCTCGTAGGTTGCCCCCTTAAGAAACTGTGATATTAGGAGTATATGACACGTACCATCTGTTTATGTTATTTTGGTGTAGCTTTTTTTTCTTCAACTACAAAAACTGTGTAAAACCAAGCACTTAAGCTAGAAATGTGATGTAAGCCACAATTACATTGATTGGATTCTGGTGGAACATAATCTGGGGACTTTTCTTATCATATTTTTTTGTATAGCGTGTAAGGTAGTTTTACCTGATACTTCAATTATGTGTTCTTAATTTGCATATGCATTCTGTCACAAAGGGCTTATAATAACACATTCATGGTGTAGAAATAAGTTGAATGTGGGAGCAGTAGAATGCCAAGTATGTATCAGTCAATGTACACTTGTACTACTTCCGGGTTAAGATCTTAAACATTGTTCACTGAACCTCTTTGTGTAATTTTTAGCCTAGCTAGAAAAGAATGTCACTAACATGCCACGATTCGAAGTTGTTTGGTATTATTTTAGAAACTGGATAATTGTAAATATCTATTTATTCTCACTTGACAAGGTGGGTCCTAACCACTTGTCTTAAGTCAATGTGTAGTGTATGACTGTGTAAGGGACAATGTGTTGGTTGAAATCTTTAGCATACCTCGATTTAACACAATATTTGTGAACACTACTTGTTATTTTATGTATGTGCTTGGGCATATACATCATGGTGTAAAACAAGTAATATATGGCAACTGAATGATTTTTGTTTAATTTTTATCAGTTGTGCCTTTTAGGTATTTAATATCTGTCCACACCACTTTTAGCTCATATATAACTTAAGTTATTACTCATGTCGAGTTGTATATGTATAATCAACTGCATTACATGGCATGCAGAGGTGGACGTGGTGGCTATGGTGGAGGTCGCAGGGATAACTTCAGAGATGGAGGAGGCCATGGGCCTAACAGGCATCAAGGTGGTGGTTCGCGTTCAAGGCCATACTGAAAGCAACTAATATAGTTACTAAGATTGTCATCTGTGAGAAACCATTTCTATTCCTGTTCATCGGACTTGTACTCAAAACAAGAGCGTAAGGTAGGTTGCCTGCTTTTCTCGGAATTATATTCCATTGTCATACTCCAATGTTGGTCGGATGTTTGTTTGTCTCATCCAAAAAGTGATTGATCCATGTTATGTGAATTTTTCCATAGAGGCAGATGGATAAGCTCCAAATGCTGGTAGTTTTGAGATGTTATTTCAGGTGAGTGCCGATCTGTTATGATTCTGCAATGCTTTGCTATCCCGTGATTGCTTACCTTTTTATTTCTGCGATTGCAAATTTTGCTATAACGCTTACATTCCACATGGTAACTCAGCCGGTGGATCACTAGCTTGGATTTTGGCGAGGAGAAACAGGTAGGGCATTTTTGTTCTTCGATAGGTTTACTAGATCTAGAATCCATTAGTTACGGATATCTCTGTGGATATTAGATGTATATGAACCACCTTTTCTGGTACACATTCATTGACTTATTCATGTGGTTTGCGTCAAATAAAGCATGGATATGTTACTATTTAGATACTATTTCCAGACGAAAACATCTGCGCATTTGTTGGCTTATTCATGTGGTTTGTGACTCAAATGTAGCATGCTTAGAAACTACAATTTCCAAAAGGAAAAATATTCTAACATAGTAGAAAAAATCTTGTGGGAGACTCCTAAAATCACCCCCCTTAGCATTAGTAGTAGCACTCTTGTATGAGGTTTCCTACTGTTGAGGTTACGCTTGCAGGCTTGCTGCTGTACAATGTGTGCAGCCAACACCGTCTGCTGCACATCGATGCTGCCTGCTCTTCTATCACTGCAGCGTATTGTGAAACCTCGAAGCCATCCTTGTATCTGCCCTCCGGATCCAGTTCCTTGTGCTGATTGGCAAATTGACCTGTTGGCTGGATACCTCCAGTTCATCTGGTTTCTTTGTATGGTTTGTCACAGTTGCGGTGGATACCTCCAGTTCATCTGGTTTCTTTGTATGGTTTCTATCACAGTTGCGGAAGATAGACGTCAGGCTTCTTTCCGTTGATTGCTTTTTCCGACTCTTTCATTTCTTTCTGAAGTTTCTCCTCGCTGTTCCATATGGGTTTGGTATTTGGATCTGTTTTAGGAGGCTTGATCTGGAGCCCTGGACTTGCAGATGGGCGAAGCTCCAAGCCGTTCACGTCGTTTTTGTTTGACATTTACGTGCCGTATGTATCTTGCAATAGTTTGGTTGTATGACATTTGCTGAATACTTAAATTTTTCACTTCATTTGGGATTGTAATAATGCACTGAGAAACGTACCTGTGGCTTCGCATTAAGGATAAAAAAATGATCGGTGTTGCTTCACTACTTGCGGGGTGTGCTGAGCGGAAACGAGCGAACGTGTTATAAGTGAATTGTGCAACGTTTAGATAAACGATGTATTACTTCAAAGTTCAAACGATGTCCGGCATCTTTGCCACGTAGTAGAACATAAACCGTAGGTTGTGTAGTCGCATTTAGCTAGACCCTAGAGGTAGCTCTATACTACCAGCATTCTTGGTTAAAAGGTGAACTAGGGCATTGTTACAGTGATTCAGCTGGCTTTAACTGACGAAAAATAGAGATGGCACTATCTTCTATGAATGATGCTCATGCTCATTCACCGTCCTTGTCACAAATCACAAAATCGAACATACAATAGCCAGGGCAAAACTTGCAACCTACACTGGTTAAAGAAAAAAAAAAGCAAAATTGCTAAGAACAAGATATACTTTTCATCTTCTCCTAGTCTTCTGTTTGCTCCTCCCTTCAAATCTCCTAGACCCTTTTGCCTTCCCTTTCTGCTTGATTTTCTTGAGCACCTTGTTGCCCCTCTCCTTTCTCTCGTCCAGGTCAGAATCGCCGCCATCCGAGGAATCGTCATCGTCAGATTCCCCGAATCCGGTGAGCTTCTCGTACTCGTCCTCGTCGATCACCCCCCGCTTCAGCTTCTTCAGGAGCCGGTACTCATTCGCGAGCTCATCCATGTCCTCCTTGGTTTGGACTGCTTGACGCTGTTTACCTGTCTTCTTCCGCTTTGGCTTTTCAGGCTTCTCCGGGGCTTTCCTCCTCTTCTCTATCTCTGGCCTTAGAGCTAGTTCTTCTGCTTTCCTTTTCAATGTCTTCTGCCGTTGTTTTTCTCGAGCTTTATCCCTGCAGTTAACCATGATGGAGTGTTGATCCCTTTCTCATAGTTGCATTTGAAGCAAAAAATACGGATAGCTCTCAAGTGAAAAATTGCTGAATAATTGTTCGATTAGTTTAGACATAGCTCTTTAGCCCTACAAGGGTCTTACACAACAAGATTATGGTTTGTGTCATCTACGTTTTGAATATGGGCTTTCCTTTTAATATAAAATATACCAATATAAATTTGTCAAATTAGTAGTGCGTTGATGCAATAGTACAATTGGCAACAGAGTGAAATGTTAGGTTTGCAGGCTTACTTGTACTTGATTTTTGTAACATCGACATCTTTAACAGGAGTAAACCCTTCCAATGAAAGAGAATGGTGCTTAACTTCTGGCATAGATGGAATTTGGAGTAAGCCGTACTCCATACCCAACCTTCCAATTTCAAGGTCTTTCCAACTGAAAATGTAAGAACAGTGGTGCTCCTTGTATGCCCGAACAAACGAAACAAAAGCTGTAAGCCCTTTCTCCATGACATTTCGGTCTTCCAATGCAGCACTTCTGATCTGTGACAGACAAGTGGGTAATTGGTTATTTTAAACACTAAATTTTTCTCTCAAGAAAAAAAATCATTTCTGGATTCAGATGCCTTCACAGGCAGACAACCTAAGATGATCTATAACAATAAGAAACTCACCTGTGGTACAATATCTACAGCATTTGTGGAACACTCCCTTTCAGTGAGGGGTACACCTCTCCTCTTCAAGAACTCAACATAAGTATCTTCCTACAGAACAATTATAGCGCTAAGCATTTTACTAACAAGGCAATCCATTGTATCAAATCACTACTGCATGTGCATGGTATGCATAGCCAAATATGTCTTTGAAATTCAACTACTGACTTCCACTTAGATAATGTCAAAGCAGAGCAAGTACCTTCGGTAAGAGGAATACAATAGCATCTCCTTCTTGATCATAACGTGCAGTACGGCCAGCTCTATGTATGAACACATTGGGATCTTGAGGTGGATCATACTGGGGAAGAAACAAATGTTTTATATCAACTAATGACAAGCACAAGGAAACAATTTAGGGAGTTATGTTCAAAGCATTACCTGCACAATCAGATCAACATGTGGTATGTCAAGACCCCTTGCTGCAACATCAGTGCAAACTAGAATACCACTTGAGAGAGCTGAAAATGATGCCAAAGCTTTCTCACGAGGGCCCTACATACCAGGAAAATAGCGCGGTAGCAATCAGTATGAAGGAAAGCTTTTGGAAGCGCCATGTACAACAAATCATGCATGTATTAGCTCTGTAACCTGCTTCATCTTCCCATGATAAGGAATTATTGGAGAACCTTTAAGTGAGTCCAACAGCGGGAGAACAATAGCCCAGTAATCTACACAAGCACATGTTGCGAAGTACCTGCATTCAAGTAAGATCAGAAAGCCCACAAGCTAACACAATGCTACACAACTAGGCACTTAAGGTAAGTGTGTGAAAACAAATTTTAGTTCGCTGTCTACTTACACCATTATTTTCTTTCCATTGTTCTGCACAAGGAAATCAACAAGTTGCGATGACTTATTTGATGCTTCACATATCATATACTGCAAAGAACAAAGAAATTTTGTGGTTTACATTAAATTGACAAGTACATAAGGCAATCAACAGGCATAGTCACTAGTAAAACAAAATAAGTATATGTTACAACCAGCCCATGTAATCATTGGCAGCCACGAATAACTATCCAAATGCTTGTACAAAAGTTCCTCACCATACCTCCAATCGAAGACCCAACGGTGTTTTGGATGGACCAAGCTCTTGTTGAGCACCATCTTTACCTGTGGGCTTCACCTCTGTCTTAACTTCAACCCTCACAGGATTCCTCAACCCTGCTTTCGCCAGCTCCTTAACAGCCTCCGTCTGAGTTGCCGAAAAAAGCCCTGTTCTCCTCAGCTTTGGCAACTTCGAAATAATCGACGTAATCTGCTTCTGGAATCCTAAATCCAACAGCCTATCAGCTTCATCCAGGATCAAAATCTGCTTCGAAAACACATACACAACAACAATTTATGTCAGATTTGCATTTCAAGCACAAAAGAACAACACATGAATTTTCAATTGCTTCCAAAACCACCTCAAGATTCTTGTAGTTCAGAGTGTCTAAGCGCTCCATTACGTCGAACAGCTTCCCCGGGGTGCCGACCAGTATGTTTGCACCCTCTTCTTCCAGTTTCTTTAGCTCCGCCTTGATGTCGAACCCACCAACCAGTAGCATGGATGAGACGCCCTTCAGCGTCGCGAAGAAGGGCTGAGCCACATTGTATATCTGCGAAGACAGCTCTCTCGTCGGGGAGATGATGATTCCAAGAACCTTGCAAAATTCCATACATTTTTCTGATCAGAAGTGAACAAGAGATGCAATGCAATCCAGCAACTTTGCAAGCAACGCATGAACAGAACAAGAGAGGATGGGGTGGAGCCGTGAGCACTGAGCAGACCTCGTGGGGCTTGGGAGGCGAGGGGCGGCGGCGGAGGATCTCGACGACGGGGACGACGAAGGCGAGCGTCTTGCCGGAGCCGGTGGCGGCGTCGACGGCCACGTCCTTGTGCGAAAGCAGCAGCGGGATGGCCGCCGCCTGCACCGGCGTGCACCGCCGGAACCCGCCGCCCTTCAGGGCCTTCACCACCTCCGGGGACAGCGCGGGCGACAGCTCCGAGAACCTCTGCTCCGTCAGCGCGCGCTTCCGCGCCGCCGCCGCCGCCAACGAGGAGGAGGAAGACGACATGGCGTCGCGCCGCCGCGTCTGCTACTCGCGTCGCGCCGCTTGAGCAGGAGAGACTTCCTCTTGCTGTTGGTTTAGGGATTCCGGGGGGTTCATCGATTGGGCCGTGATGGTGGGCCGCGTAGTCTTCTCCAGGGTTGCATTTACCGCGGTAAACCGCGCGGTTACCGCGGTTATCGCGCTTACCGCGGGGGTACGGTAAGGGGTAAACCGCGGTAACCGCGTCAAATTCAAATAAATTTAAAAAATAATTTGAATTTTTGATAAATTTTGTACGGTTTGTCGCGGTTTGTCACGGTTACCGCGGTTACCGTGCGGTAACCGTGCTTACCGCCGGGGCGCGGTAACCGCGGCCCCGGCGGTAAATGAAACCCTGGTCTTCTCCCGAAGGCCACTGCCCAACAGCCTGTTCAATTAATTTTTTTTTTACCGATTCCATCCAATTCACTTCTACTCTGCACAAGTTCTCTCAAGTAGGGATGGCAATTTAAACCGTTTGCCCGTTTACCCGTGGGTAAAAACCCTAATAAAGTTGGGTTTGTTCTCCATTTAGTACCAGTGGGTTTTTTATTGGGTCAAAACCTATACCCAATGGGCATACGGGCACTGGCCCGCTTCGCCCATTTACCCGCAAAAACCAACTGATATGTGGTCCCTCGGTCAAATTAGTATAAATGCCACCATCTAGTATTGATGAACTTGTAATGCTTGTATTGTTGAACTTGATACAACTGTACCCTTTCTTTAAATTGCGATAATGTCTCTCTGCTTGTGGAGATTTGTGGTTGAAATGTTGAACTGTGAGTTTGTGACGGGTAAACGGGCATACCCGCGGGCACATAGCACCCGCGGGTAACGGGCATGAGTAGTGTTCCTTGCTCATCATGTAGTAACGGGTATGCCCGCGAGCATAAATTACCTCGTGGGCATGGGTATGGGTAGTCACTACTCGTGCCCGTCGTGCCCGACTGCCATTCTCAACAATAATACAGACAATTTCTCAAAAAATAAAAGACAAAGGAGGGAAAAAAAGAGATAGAATGCATATGTAAATGGGTGACTTGTATAAAAGGAAAGTCACAATTTTCAGCAATAAATGAAAGAGAGGTGTATTCGTAGCGACTCAATTCTGCAGGGAATTCGGCTGTACATGAGTATTTTGATTGAGTTGTATTCCCTCCAGTAGAAACTTACAAATGTACATCCTTAGAGAAAAGATAAGGAGGAAGACATAAAATAGAAAATGGCGGCGCACGAAGAACGTCGCTTTGAAGAATCAGTAGTTACATTGTGATTGCGGTATCATTGATTTTACTGTTTATGTGGTAATTGAGTCTTCCTTCTGTTCAGAGGATGCAACGGCAACAGCACTGCCTTGCTCATCCCCTTGACCCTTTTCTTCATCAACACCCTGTAAATTTCACTCAACAGTAAGAATCCCAAGGTGAAACTGCCTTATCTGCATATCAAGATTGGAAGATTTTGTAGGTTCACCTCATCATCTGGGATCATCACTGCCTTCACCTGTGCAACAATAACCGTAATGTCATCCATCTTACCACCTGCATAGATGAAATTTAGGCATCATGAGATTACTTTGCGTTCTGCATAGAGTAGAGCATGATAGTATGTGTATGAGTTCATGCGTACCTATTAGTTTCCCTCCAATGAACTTTTTCCACGAGGGGACATCAAAACCCTGCATTCAAGTGATCAGAATGAAGAAATTTCTGTCATCCCTTTTTGGCTGTAACAATCTGAACAGAAAAGATTGTTGAGGGGTATATGTTTCGCACCCGACTCCGAGCCTCCATTGAGTAGGGTGAATCAAAGGTGACATCCACTGAATGCTTCCTTGCAAGCTCTGCTAGTGCTTTTGCTGTGGAAAAAACATCAAACTTTCAGAAGGATTGGAATTTGGGAGGACTGGAACATGTGTTTGGTGGCCCCCAATTCAAAACTGAGATATTTACCACTTACCAGCTTCATCTACCCCTGGAGACTCGGAAATGACAGAAACGATCTCTTGATCGAATATATTGTCAAAAAATCCATCTGAGCCACTGACAATCATATCACCCTCCATAAGATTTACTGTGCAAACCTGGTAGACAACTGGATCAAAATCAGAAGGTTCTACAAATAATGCTTAAATCTTGTACGACTATCTTGATTACTGTAGTGAAGCACTTGGTATTATGTTTCCACTGCATTAGTGGTATCTTTTATGGATAGATTTGCGCATGCATGCGTGTCCCTTGTAAGATCTTCCCCATAATTTTGATTTGTCCACACATGCAAAATATCTGCATGACTTGAGATCATATAGAGTTTTCAAATTAAGAAATAATTAATGTGCATGTCTTGGACTCGTTGTAACATATGGGCAACCACCTAGAACTGAGTATGCTAATAAAACAATCGTCACACACACAGCTCTATTATTCTGACCTACAATAAGGCACATACCAGTGCATCCAGATACGTTTGACCAATTGCTTCAGAGCTTAACTGGTATGGGCAGTCAAAGTAATGTTCTTGAGGACATGTAGAGAACATTACTTGGCCTAGGAAGAAGAGAACAGATAAGTATGCTAATAAACTTTAAGAAATCTATAAATTTGTTCATGCTAACCTTTTCTAATTACTTTCAAACCACAATCTCCCACACTTGCAATTTTTAGAATCCCTGTCTTCTCAAGCATTGCAATGATTCTGTTAGCGTTCCAAAGAAGTCATTAGGTTTTGACCTGTAAAGTTGTACTAACATAACAATGTAGATATATGCTTACACAGTTGCAGATCCAACAGAAGTTGTTGCAGCATGAGCCTTCATTAGAAGAAGCTGAGGATCATGATTGACCTGTGATGGATAGAAACTCCTATTTGATATGCAAATTGACGTATAGTGTACGTGACTTTATATCAGTACTGATGTCAATTAAGAAATACCTCCTCATCCTTGAGAAAAGTAGAAGTGTGTGCCATGAGCTCTCGAGAAAACAGAGCCGGATTGACATCCTTTTCTGCCCATCTGTCAGTAGACAAGAGAATGACTAGCAGGATAAAAACCTTGTGTTAATGCGAATTGCTGAAAACACCATGTATTTTTTTGAGAAGTGCTGAAATCAACCCAAAATTAAAAGGAAGGAAACAAAAGCACAATCTACAATTTATTGAAGCAGTTCTTTTCAGGGACAAAAGTACAAAACAATTCATTGCAGCGAAGATGGTGTACCCTGAAACTCCATCTGCGACGGCAAACACTCCACCATCATCGCCGTTCACAAAGAAAGCATCTTCTCCGCCAGTCTCAGCCTTCAGAATTTGAAGAACATTCAAATATCAAACAATGGTTGCTTCTGTTGTATAATTGAGTATGAAGGGGAAAAAAACACTACCAGAAGAGTAATATATTAATATGTTTATCTAAAAAATGACTAACCTTTCTTGGGTGTGGTATTAGATGAGTTCCAATAGTTAACACAGCTTCCAACCTACAATTACAGGCTCACATTACCAAACACTGACAGATGAAGCACACTAGAAATAACTAAAGACTGAAATTATCAGTGAGACTGAAATATATATTAGCAGCTGTGTTTGTTTGTAGTCTAAATCGCTGAGACGATTTTCTGTAGCCTAAGCCATTCCTGGCTTAGGGTGTTCTTGTTGTAAAACTCTCTCTCCTTCTTAATACAAAACTTGGCCGGTTCTTTTGCCGGCCCGGTGAAAAAATAAACTATCAGTGAGAACATTGCTCCATTACAACTTAAGATTTGCACCTTGACCCAAGTACTACTGATAATCAAACGCATGTCTTAGGAACCCGAGAATTCGATAAAACCGAACATTTCGTGGACTGAAACTTATCGTAAGGGCAAAGATAAGAGGATCGAACAGGTGTAAGCAGGGAGGCATACTTGGCGGCGCGAAGAGGGGAGAAGCGCGAGCGGCGAAGCGGGAGATGGGGAGAAGGGGTAGTGGGTGCGTGGAGGCGAGGCGGCGAGAGGCGGGTAGCAGTGGAGGAGGCCGCCATGGCTGGCTTGCTGCTGCTCTATCTCCTCCTCGCCTCGCCTCCGTCGCCCGCGGCCACCGTGAATCGCTCGCTCGCTCGCTAGTGGTGGAGGCAGGCAAGACACGTCACTAGCACGGCACTTTTTCAAATACACCCCTTACGTATTATCTATTCTCGTAAGGACCAAAGTGAAAAAGTTTACTACATAAGGACTAATCGCAGAATAAGTGGATTTCCAAGGGGGTTCGAGTAAGAATCCGGGTCAGAAACGGGGGAACTGCTTTAAGATTCGCGCGAGCACGATCGACGCGCACCCAGCCACCCACCCGCGCCCCAAATCACGAGGAGGCGAAGCCGCCCATCTCATCGCCGGAGCTCGCGAATTCGCCGCCGCGATTCCGACCACCGCCGCGCCGGCGCCCGCGCCCGCTACGGTACTCCGCCGCCGTGCTGAGATCGCCGGGGGAGCCATGTCGCGGTCCCTGAGCATGAGGTCGTCGATGAGCATGAGGTCGCGCCGCGACCTGCCTCCTCCCCAGCAGGTGAGGGATCCCTCCTCTCCCCGTGCCTTGGGTATTGCGAGTGTAACATTTGCGCGAGGTGCGCGGGATTCGCTGTTGCGTGCGCGATGCGCTAGTTTGATCTCGGTGTTTTTCGACCTTGGGGCGTAGAGGGGCGAGGGGGTCGATTACCCGACTCTTCGTGGCGAATTTGAGGAAACTAGGGTTCTAGTACCGAATCATGTCCAATTGCGAATCTCGCCATTTTATTGTGTGGAACTACTAGCTGGAAAAATCAATCGTAATATTTCTAAGAAAAATTAAGATTACTTATTGTGGTTTGATGATGATAAAAAAAGGCATCAATGATTTACTCTCCGCAGTCCGCACCACCTGGTTGTGCGCATAATCACTAGGGCCTTGTCCGGTTACGCCCGGATTCAATCCGGGCCGGGAATGACAAGTACAGTAAGAAATTTATGATAGATACAATGAGAGACCGGGAATTATTCCGGGCCGGGAGCCAATTTACTCATGATAGAGACAATAAGAGACCGGGAATCAATCCACTAGTCAAGAGGTGTGGAACTAATCCGGATGTTTTGTTGTCCCTATCATGAGTAAATTAGTTCCCGGCCCGAAAAAATCCCGGTCTCTCATTGTATCTATCATAAATTTCTTACTATACTTGTCATTCCTGGCCCGGATTGAATCCAGACGTAACCGAACAAGGCCTAGCTGTGGGTATACCTGGTTTGGATCCTCTTTGAAGTGTTCCCAGTCCCAGCATGGTTCCTCATACCCATCTTTGACAACATTGAGTATATTTCCCTTTGGATTGATGTTTGTAACCGTGAGGTGTTTGTTTTCAGACAATCGAAAAGCTTGAGAATATGGTGGCTGAAGGAAATTATTATGAAGCCCAACAAATGTACAAGTCAACCGGTGCAAGGTACTCTGTGAATAATTTAACTGAAGCCACAATGATTGATTCCCCTTTAACTTGCATTTGACCATCTTGCTTATGGTTGTCTATTTCAGAACTGCTTAGCATATGATAGAAATCAACCATTCACTTTTTATAACTTAAATTGGATCTGCTAAATAATATGAGTTGATTGAATTTAGAATCTTTGTTATACAATCTTCCGTCTATTATCATAGTTATTTGGCTAATGCAGCATCTTAAAAATAGTTAATGTCAGGATTGTTAGGACATTAAACAAATTCAAAGTAAAACAATGACCAGAATGTTTACATTTGCATAGAAGCAGTATTACTGGATCCTACAAGTATGTTTCATATGATCACAATGAAAAATGTTATTCATGCACAAAATGGCTATTTTCTTTGACTAGATTTATTGATTTCTTAATAAAGGAAAGGGGCATGAGCTTTGTCTGAAAGATATTGTAGACAAAAAGTGCCAATTCAGGAATACAATTTTGATTAATTGTGTCTCATATCTTGCAGGTATATTGCTGCTCAGAAGTATTTGGAAGCCTTGGACATCCTTCAGTCAGGAGCTTTAGTTCAACTGAAGCATGGGCAGGTTCTATCAAAGCTAAATTTCATAGATCTAAGTAAAAAAAAAATATTCGCTACATTTGATGGCAAAGTAACACCCCTCCCAAAAGAAAAGAGAAGAGAGAGCCAACCAAAAGCTCATTGCTCCCTTCGTAACGATTTGTTGCAACCAGCCAATGGACCTTGACGTGTTCATTTGAAGTTGTTTTTTTAATGTGTGTATTGTCGATGTGGTGGTAGTGATTCACATCTTATTATGGGATGTTTTTATTGGGTGCTATGCTGTAGTTACATACATGTGTTATCCTAGATTGGTGTTTTATATCATTTTAAACCTTCACATTTTTGCCTTATTGGTTAAAAATTCCTGATTTCAGGTAACTTGTGGTGGTGAACTTGCTATAATGTTTGTGGACACCCTTGTCAAGGCAGCGCTTCCTTATAATGAAGAAACCTTTGGTCAGTCTTCTCTCATAGTGAAAAGCTACTATTTCTTTATATCATTAACATGCTAATAAATTGCATATTTATCCTGTAAGTAAATACACATCTAGATTTCATTTTTGGAACATATTTACAATATTTTATTTGTAGCATACTCCTAATGTCCATCACTTGTAAAGTTTTGTAGAATCAAAGTTGTTTAAAATGTTAGTGGAAGCAGTGTTTACTAGTCCTAATTGTGGCTCTAGCTTTACTTTGTCTTCTCTTTGTTTGTTTACCTTCAGAAGATCACTTTTCCCTTAGATTTTAATTGAATTGAATAAGATACTTACTTTATTATGAATGAGAACATGTTTCTAGTTTGATTTGTTAGTATCACATTTTGTGATTGAAACTATATGTAAACCTTAGATCGTATCAGAAAGATGTACGACGCCTTCCCCAGGATATCTGTTCCACACTTCCTTGGAGATGATTATGATGACGACGGGCAGAAATTATCCGAAGCTATTTCTGCAGCAAAAGTGCGTTCTGAGAGTTGTTCATCATTCCTGAGAGCTGCTATCAGGTAAGGTTGTACTAATTTTCATTAATCCAAGTAAATTGAGTAGAAAAACTAAATATCCTTCATGCAAGCATCAAACATCTTCATCTAAACATGGCAGTTTGTTTAAGTGGATCTTAAGGCAAATACATCAAACTGTTGAATAGCATCTATACTATGACCAGGACTTGTTAACTGTAGTGCTTGACCAGTAGTTCATTACTGACAAAAGTAGAACAGACAATTGAGCTTATCATGATGGTAAAAACAAATGATCTGTTCTCGTTGCTCACTTGCATATAAAAATCCAGATGTTGATTGTGTAAGTTTGTTTATTACAATAATGCTCTCAGAAAAAAATGAAAAAGGAGATGGTCACGAATTTGTGATTTTAAGATGAACTCAAGGTGTGCAACATATAAGAATCATTTCCATGGGATCTTTGAATCTTTATGTTTAACTCTGTTAATGGACAATGTGGTCATCTAGTTGACTCTTCTCAATTTTCTGCCTGCTATATTTATATGCCACTAATAGCATATCAATCCTTTATTAAGGTGGTCTGCTGAGGTTGGGGCATCAAGAAGTGGATCTCCTGAGCTGCATGTTATGTTGGCGGAATACATATATTCTGAATCTCCAGAAACGGTACTGTTTATAAATTATAGAACTATTTTTCTGACATGAATATATTGTGTTTGTTTTAGAGCTGAAATTTTATGTCTTTTCAACTGTTACTCTTTAATGCCTTTGTGGTTTGCTAAGGTTCGTGTTGACTGCCGTTGGATGCAGGACATGACTAAAGTGTCAAGTCATTTTGTGAGGGGAAATGATCCTAAAAAGTTTGCCTCTATGCTGGCGAACTTTATGGGAAAGGTAATGGTTTTTAGAAAATAATTGATAATAGACTTGCAGCTGATGATTGTCTAATGCCAAATTCTATTGAACTGTTACATTCTTCTGTTCTCTGAGCAATGATTAAAATGTCTTATCTGAATATGATCAGTAGGTTCACATTCTTTACAACAATTTTCATTTTACAACGGGTCTCTTGCTTATAGTTTTTATTTGAGTTGGAGGTCATCCTTCTCCGAAAATAGAAACACGGTGCCAGCAAGTGATTGTTCAATCAGTTATCTATATCCATTTTTGGGTTGGATTATTTCAAGACCAACATAATCTTCGTGTAAAGCAGTATTCATAGATGTTTTTTCTCAATCAAAAAAATATTTTTATTAATATTTTTCTTACTGCACAGTGCTACCCTGGTGAAGATGATACTGCAATAGCACGTGGTGTCCTAATGTAAGATATAATTTCTTTCTTTTTTTTTTCCTTTCAAAGAGTGCATTGTTTTGACACTGGCAAAATTTCTAAAAGCCATGGAAGATGTTTGCATCTTGCAATGCAGAAACCGAATTTCATAGGGAGTTCTCTATTTCATGTTCTGTTTACAATGAGTAAACAATATACATATTTAGGAATGTGCTAGCAAATCATGCATTAGGATATATTTCCTCAATATGCATCAATACAATATCCTGCTAAGTTATATACAAATCTCCTTTGGATACTTAAGCACATACAGGAGCACACTATAAAGTGCTCCATCCAAGGTAAAATATTAGAATTTGATCGAACTTCGGAAATAGTTACATAATATATTATTTTATTATGTTTATAGTACTATAGTATGTTAAAAGGAAGTGTCAAAATTCTTGCACTGGGGACCAGAAAAATCAAAGCTAACTTCAGAAAAATCAAAGTTAAGAAAGTGTTTCGTTATAGGATGAATAAATAAGAAATTTTTGGGGAAAAAGACGTGCTCAGATGCTTGTTTTTCTGATATACTGCATTTTTATTTAAGGTATCTATCACAAGGGAATCTTAGGGATGCAAATTTGCTCATGGACGAGCTGAAGGATCAACTAAAATCTGCTGACTTGGAAATCCCCAAAACAGATTTAATTCAGTTCATCAAGTATCTCTTACCGACGTAAGTCTTTCCTGTCTTTCAGTTTGCATTATTTTTATGTTTCTTTTCCACATTTTTGTTCTGCAATGTTCTCATGTATTTGTGTGCATTCATGCTGCAATTTGCCATGATAACTTAGAGGACACCTGCAGAGTAGTTTCATCCTTACATGTTTCTACTAAAAAATACTGATCGCAGGAACAATTCTTTTTTTTTTGAAAGAACCACCAGTTATGGGAAAATCTTTCATGGCCTAGGTACATTACCTGGGTATTAGACTATTTTCCACCTTTGAGATATGTTCATAGTTTATGTAGGATTTGTTTTCAGTACAGATCATGAATGCATATAAAAATATTAAATATTTCTTTGATGGTTATTGAAAAATTCTGATAACCTTATATAACTTAGCCATGTTTAAGTTCTCACTGATGGTTAAAGTTCAAACTGTTAGATTTGGTTGATGCTTTGCTGTTAGATTGCATGCTATGCAGGATAATGATTATATTTGACTGTATTGATGATGTGATAATTTTAACACTGTAAATCTAGGATCTATTGTGTGCTTGTTGTGTATCACTGCGCAATATGTTGATCTAGGTTGCCTAGGTAGCTTTCTGTTCACTGTAAACAAACTGATCCTACAGTTTCAATTATCCAAGTTTCCATGCATCTTTCGAATAATTGATGAGATAGTTTTGCATTTTGTTACTTGTACGTGTATACCAAGCCCAGACGTTATTTTATACAAGCAACAAGTTTTTTTTTCTCATTGTTTCCTCTGGTCGTGGTTATATTACTGACTGCATGCTATGTTTACAGGCTCGAAAGAGATGCTTACCCTCTTTTCAGGACACTGCGGCAGAAGTACAAGACAAGTACAGATCACGACCCTGTATTTGAGGAGGTAGCTATTTCATCAAATATAGTGTTAGCTTGCTAAACAGCTGTAAAACATGCACCAAAACATCTTATTCTTTCAAAGATTAACTTAACAAGAACTGGGAAAAATTATATTTTTCATGTTCCCTGCATAGTTGTCATAAAACAATGTGTTCACAAGAGTTATATTAGATCATGTAGGAAACTCTACAATTTAATCCACCAACAACCTTGTTATCATGTGCTGTCCATAGGGAAATGTAAACAGTGTTGATAAAGGACCATCTGCACTTATAATGTGCTTAATATTTAACTCTACTAGCAGAGTAATATGTGGATAGAACTTCCATTACATTAACTAGCAGAGTAACTTGAAGAAGGTAGTTAATGCTTTCTATCATATATGAAAAACAAGCTGAAACAGAGCTCACGTGATATTATGGTTGGGTTTCAGTTATTAGATGAAATAGCCGCAAAATTTTATGGAATACGGAGCCAGAGCGCTTTGGAAGGACTTTTTGGTGATATGTTCAGGGTAAGATTTACATCTTTCATCTATCATTCATTCATGCCGATTGCTAGTACATTGCATTGATTACTTTTGAAGTTGAGTACACACCAGTTGCTTTTCACAATAACTACCGTCGTATGCCTTTAGTTCCATATCAGTCATGCCGAAATTACGTTTCATGAAGTGCATATCATGTTTAGAGGAAAGAATATATATTTCTATAATTTGAAATTGCAGTTGATCTAAGCATTCAGGAATTGAAGTGCAAATTTTATGTAGCTTATGAAGTCACGGATGTCCACCTGTTACGTGGTAAACAAACAAGAAAAAAAATTTGAGTTCTTTCTTTCAGTTATAAATATTGCCATCTTCATTTTGTTTTGTTCAATTCACCTTTTCTGTACGTTCATGTAATTTCACGTATAGTTTCCCAAGTACAATGAAGCAAACAGATAATCAATACTAAACCATTAGTGTAGCCAATATTATTACAATGACTAGAAGTCGGCAACCTAGTTCCGATACAAGCCATTATTGATCTTGTTCTTTGTATTCTGCAGGTATAATGATGAGAAAAGGATTTCGTCATAAATATTCCAGCACAAAGCTCCCGACGCGCATTTCGTTCGCTAATACAAATTGCTGCTGGAAGATGAACACCCGGCCCGGCCCGAAAAGAGCATAAGAAAAAGTTCTGTTGCTGCCTTCCTCAGCCTTGATTATCCTGAGGCCATACATTTAGCTCCAAACTGCATATGATGATATATGCTCCAGTTACCACTGATCTCTTGTAAAACCATTCAACTGTTTTGCTCGTATCATGGTCGTGTTCTAATGATATTACTATTCTTTAACATTTTTTGTAGTTCCAGTTTTGCAGTTTTAAAACGGCATTTATCCTGACTGGTCTCATGTTCCCTTCATCTTCGCGTACACGATTGTTTGGTTAGACAGTGCGGCCCGTCAAAATATGTGGGCTGAAAGTTAGGGCAATGGCCTAACGTTAAGGTCCATATATAACAGCTTGAAACGGGCCGTGAATTCAGGCCATTACTGGGTAATGACCGAGAGATTTGGCCCATGCCACTGGCCAAATGAGGATGGAAGAGTTGCAGACAGTAGGCTAAAAAAGCTGTAATATACTCCAATTGCACATTAAACATATCTGGGAAGTCTAAAATATCATAGAAATTTAAACAACAGACATTTTCCCCAATTGGATATTGGAGTGAGAAATACAACCATATAATTGCGTCAGGGCTGTTCTCCAATTTGAGAATTGAGTATCAATAACTTAGCTATAGCACGTATTACTATTTTTTTTCCCTAAACGCATGTAAAATGGCTGTAGAAATATCAAAATGATCAAACTAAGCCTCCATACACAACTTTATACACCGGATAATTACAAGTCAGGATAGGCAGCAGACACCAGATGCTCGTAATCTATAATTCATAGGCTCATAGCGAACGACGAGCAGATGTGCGTGTTCAATGGGATTGGGAGGGCAGCATGACGCTCCATGTTGAAACTTGGGACGCTCAAACGCCAGCAGGATGATGTCGTGGTGGGAGTCTAACCATTTCCTCGCCAGCAGGATATCTCGTGTCCAAATCCGCTGATCTGTCCCTCCACGTGCCAATCACGTCCTGCTCGCACAAAATCACATAAACCATGCATTGCTTTATTAATAAACATATGATGCAGCGTGCGAATTGCCACCTATGGTCTATGCTATCTACTGGTAAACACTGGCACAGGTGACTATTATGCTTCCTCTATTTCAGGTTATAAAACATTTTGACTTTAGTCAAAATCAAACTGCTTAAAATTTGATTAAGTTTGTAAAAAAAGTAGTAATATTTTAAACACAAGACAAATTTATTATGAAAATATATTCAATTATTGATTTGATGAAATTAATTTAGTATTATAGCTATTATACTACATTTGTCTATAAACTTATAAACTTAGTCAAACTTGAAACAGTTGACTTTAACCAAAGTCAAAACATCTTATAACCTGAAATGTAAGGAGCAGTCAGCAATTCACGAATTTGAGCATAGAAAGTACAATATACTCCCTCTGTCCCAAACTATATGGCCTATATTTTTTTACACGGTCTTCAATAACATACTTTGATCATTATTTTATTTCATTCTATAATCCCAACAAATATGAAATTAGCATCACATAAATGTACTTCAAAATATAAATCTAGTGATATAACATGCATAATACATAGTATAGATATAGTTAGTATGATTATTGGTCAAAAGCTACCGAATATGTTTTTTCTTAAAAAGGGACGCCCTATCATTTGGGACGGAGGGAGTAGTGGTATTATGCAGTGCGCAACATGTTTCATTATACATAATCTTCTGATGTTACATGTTAAATATGCAGATAATGTTCAATAAGATGGTTGTGAAGCTAATTCATCATGAAGTGTACCCGTGTTTCTTAACGTGCCTCGCCCTAATGAACACACATGCTATTTATTACAGTCCAAGTTTTGTTTAAGAAAGATGATTGTAGGCTTATAGTTATAGCCCAGTTATTTACAATAAAAAATCAAGATATTTAGTTATGACTAGAAAACCATATGACAAAGTGAGTTTCATACCGTCGTATCCATCCATCATTCGTATGCCATGCAGCATTTATCAAGACTGTCAGTTGTCTAGTCGACAACGAGCATCCACTGCCATAGGCTTCATTCTGGTCGAGTCCTGAAACAAACTACTTCCAATCAACGTTATCTCAAGTGAAGCACTGGAACGACAAAGAAAAACATGTCCGAAAAAATAATATAGTTGTGCTTGATAGAACTCCGAGAGATTCCTTACACTGTTCTACGAGCAGCACCATTCAGAGTACTTCAGCCACCACTGTCACCAACTATTTGCAGAACTCTTTCCTTCAGATGCTGAATCATCTGCAAGAGATCAACAGAAAGTGACAATAAGACTGTCCATCTTATCAGAACAGGATCTCTGTGGTGTGAAGAAACTTACAGGATGAGAATTTGAAGCCCATTTTTCAGCAGAAGTGGCAGCCTCTTTGAGATGTGATTTTTTAGGTATCTCGTGGGAGAGACTATAGGTGGAGCTCTCTGTCGCCTCAGCTACCCACACGTGCCTCATCTGGTCTTTATCTCGCTTGACCAGATTACTAAAACCAACCTGAGAAACAAACGTAACAGTGAGTTAAAATTGCACTTGCACTACAAAGGGGTAAATCTGAAGAATTATGTGAAGGGCCTGCAGAAAAGAAACTGGGATATAGCTCGTCTACACAGAAAATTACACGAGGCACTGTTTAATTCATAACTACTCGCATTTCATATGGGACTCATGAATTTCGGACTTCAAAGATTAGTCAACTTGAGATATAGTCAGTGCAATGGAAGATCACATACTATATGTCCAGAAAGGGCATAATTGAAGAATGCAGAATCCTCGCCAGTGGTTTTGGAAGAAAAGCTAACTGCCAGAAGACAGTCATCTTGCTCTTCATACTTTTCTCCAGAGATAAATTTAGATCCATCTGTCAAAAAGAGCCACTGCCTATTCTGGTTGTTCAATAAATAAACATTCCCAACATACAAAATAACACCTGCAATGTCAAATTCGCTGAAACAAAAAGGAACGGCTCATTATAAAAGGTTCATAATACAACAGGAGATTCAGCAAGTCAGCTTGAGACAGGGCTGACCTTGTAAGTGGCACTTCACCAAAATGTGACAATTCAACTGCTTTACGAGGGGTGAAAAATGGTCTGCATCATGAAAAAGGGACATGGTTAAGTTTTCTAAATGCAGTGCAACCATCATGTCCAATGAGGTCTCTTACTCAAAATTTGTAGTCTGTGCGGTTGCTAAAGGCGTCCATGCTGTAGATGATCCTCTACCACTCAAGTAGGATACTTCTGTAAAGTAGCTTGAAGCCAACAGTCCTGTGACAGAATAAATTTGTCCCTCCACCAGGTCGGATTTCTGCCAGTGGCAATACAGAAATGAAAATTGTTTTAGGTATATTTGCTCATTAGCACATAACTATGGGAATATTGCAAAGAAAATAGGCATGTGCATCTTGTTGTCCTAAAGACATATAGCAGGTAACGCTACACACAAAAATATATGACAATCACTGGCTTGTTTTCTTGATGACATAACACCAAATCTTTTGTTCTTTTTTTCTGTTCATAAGAAAGAATAAAGATGATTTCTGACACTTATATGCTGTAGAATTATTGTACCGTACTTGCTTCTCGGTAGGGTTCCAAATTGTTATTAACCCTTCCCTGCAGCCAGATTTTGTGGCGGAGTGTTTGCTGATAAGGCCCGTCACCCTCACTTTCAAAAATGGTGTAACATCTCTTGAACTAAGCCCAGCAACTTTAAGAGCATTTTCAACCTTCTTAGCTACTTCATTTTGCCTGACAATCTGCAACATAATGGTGTAGTTTAAAAAACATAAAATATTAGCAGACAGATGAGATGCTATAGTTATGCGTCCAGACCTTTTGCTTTTCTTGATAATATGAGAAAGACAGCAGCTGCTCTGAACTCATGCTGGACATAAGAATTTCAGGCTCAGCTGCCCTCTCTAGCATTTTGCATATTTTTGCCCCTTCATCGTTATCATCAGTGTTGTCGCAGTGTTCTCCATGTTCTGACTGAATGTCTTCTGCAATCTTAGACACTCTGCATAAGGTAATTATTATTATTATAATTATAATTTATAATGGCATAAAAAGGGAAGTATTGGTGCAAATACACAGTTTGTGCTACTCATGAATATTACTACGTCCACATTTAAATATATGACGCTATTAACTTTATTCGGTCTTTGATGTGCAATTTTGACCACTGTTTTTTTCTATTATAATATTGTAAAAGTACTTATAAATTAAAAAATCTACCCATATGACATATTTTCAAACTAAATATTTTGAGAGCTATTGACAAAGTTTCAAAAATTTGAGCAAATAAAGTCAAAAGTGTCACATCACATTTCAGTGAACTAGACTGATGATGAACCCCAAAACATATTGAGAAAGTTTTGGACAGAAAAAAAAAAGGCAAACAGGAAGTATGCTTCAAGAAACTGGATGTATCCATGCATGATTGCTTGTCTTCTATTGGAGGTGTGATAAGCATCCATTGCACTTAATTGTGTTAAGTTTACTCCAATAGGAGAAATAAATACCTCTGGTGATACAGCTGTAGTGCTTTTCTTTCCATCCTTTCAGACCTCACCACAAAACGACCGTCAGAAAACCTGAAACAAACAATTCAGTGTGTGCAACTGAGAGAGAGTTTAGTAATGGATTTATGTCCAGTAGTACACCTCTCCCTGTACATAACAGGATAAATCCTTGTAACTCCAACCAGTGTCCTAGGAACTCTGCCACCTGAAGCTTTTATGCACTTGAATGCCAGTGGGACTCCAGCATGCTTGCCTGAGATGCGCACAATAGGTTATAAAAGACAACCCAGCTGTATAAAAATAATAGAACAGAAGTGTCCAGTTTTGTGCTCAAATTACATACATAACCCCAAAGTCTCATCCCATCTTGCACGATAGGTGCCATTTATGTGGATCATTAATTTGACGGTACCCGATGCCTGTAAAGTGAGATCAACAAAAAATTGATTATATGGTTCAATGGTAGTCAATGTTCACAGCTAATGAGGTTAAAAGACTTAGAAGATTAGTCAAACCTCATGAAATGACACAGGCCCAGCCCACCCACATAGTGAAGCTCCCCATATCTGCCAAGATGAAATACATATTAGGTGCTATGAGTAAATTATAGTCATGTCTCATGACTAGTTGAAATAGCACAGTACCCGAAGCTTCTGTCCTATAAAAAGTTTTCTTTTCTCTAGTTGCTCCAAAAGTGCCAGATCTAATGACGCATCTAGAGAATACCTGCGAAAAGGAAAAGGTTCTAACATCTTTCAGCTTCAACTCGTGCAATACAGAGAAAGCAACCACATACCATCCATCAGTTAGTTCAATCTTTGTAGACATGTTCCTTTTAGCAGGTCTCAAGCTTTTATTCTCACTGTTGTCGTCGTCTGTATGTGCCCTATCATCCTCTGGCTTACTGTTGTTTAGGTCAGGACAAGAGTAAATAGCAGAAATGCACAGCACCATCATCAAAGATGGTGAAGCATTCCCTTCCAAAATTTTCTTTATGGCTGAGCGGTGGCCATTGTTCACTTCTCTGTCATACCTAACATGCTTGAAATTTTCATTAATCAATCATATGCGTCCATACAGTAGGAATGGCAGAAAAGGCATGTCAACTATCTCACCTGTACTTCAGCTCTTCCAAAACATTACCAACTTTTAAGAATTTGCCAGCAGCTCTAGTTGGATAGCATCTCTCCAATGAAGCAAGCTTCCAAACAATCCATTTGTAGTGGTTGCTGACCCATCTAAAAAGGAAATTTTCGAGTGTTGATGTTCAGGATTTAATTGCCATGGAGTCTCTCAAAGAATCCAGCCTAAATACTATGATATGCCCCCAAGGAATGCATTATCACACTTATAAATCGCATGCCATAGGAAGAACATGTAAATCCATTTGTTAATCCTAACAATGTTTTGCTATGGAACAGAGACAGAAAAAAGAATGGCACCGAGGAGACATGAAAAAGATATTCACAAATTATGCCTTCACTAGAAAAAAGTGAAACAGTAAAGTAATAACAAACATGTACCAGCATCTGAAGGCCAACCTTGTATAGTGATATTATCAGTATGACAATGAAAAACGACGATCAGAATTAAGAATGATGCTTACTCTTTAGTTGTGTATGTCAATGAAGCACCACAGGCAAGAAGCATCTTCTGAAATTCTTCTGCACCAGTATCTGTTTTAAACTTGTACTTCTCAGCCTTTTTTGCATCCATGAGCTTCACTTCATCTGTTACATCTTCTGTCTGGTCACAAGAGTTATAAGTTAACAATGTGAAGAATATAGTGCACCTACAGAAATTAACTGCAACACAATAAATACCAAATATTTGAAGCATGGGGGACCACCAAAATACTCTTCACACGATTTTCTTTGATGTTGAAAAGGATAGCATGAAGATAGCTTTGTTCGACAGGGATTAATCTGAATAGGTAGTTTGGATACTCCTGTGAAAATTAGTTCAACTAATCAAGTAGGAAGGAATTTTCAGAATGTTCTGACATGTCTAGGCCATCAGCTTACCAGAAGGGGATGGATTATTGATGTTGATAGGTGCGATGAACCTAACCAGTTTCATCAAGGATGTCAGAAGCAAGGTAGCAAGGACTTTCCAATTTGCTAACAATGATGCAAATCAAATCACCTGGAAGAACGAGGACGTTTAAAGGGAGATATGGAGTTTCTTCCCCCAAATCTTCTCTTCTCACCGGCCAGGTAGTCAGTATTAACAGAATGTGTATCGATGTAATTAGTGATGTCAATCAATGGTCCAGATGGCATTTGGAGTCTTCGAGCCTTATCTTTAGTGTCACTTGCATTTTCAGTTCCAAATGAACATCTGGAAGAAGGCTTGGATATCTTTGGAATTTCATTGATAGGATGAAAATCTCTTGCCGCATGAAGCCTGACGGAGTTTCCGTTAGCCAAAGTGGCATCAGGTACAGCATATTCCAAGGAATCTGTGTGCTTCCTATCAGGTTTTGCTGGAATGGAAAATTGTGCTGGCTCAGTTTTGCTGTTCCCCCTACTTTTCAATAAATCAGGTTCACCTTCTTTTCGCAGACCAGTTGAATTTTGTATATTCTCTTTACAAGCAGATGCTGAAGAGTGGCCTAATAAATTATTTGGTGAAACCTCTAAATCCGATTCACCCAGAAGATTTTTCGCACGCTGAAGTGCATCACTAGAAATAGCCATTGTTCTGCCGCCAGCAGTGCTGAACCTGATAGCTTGCTCACTAGAATCAGAGAACGTTGTTTTAGAAAATGCAAAATGCTGATGTGGATCCATAAGTACTTGGTTTTCAGCTGGGCCAGAGCTTATAGGGCAGCCACCAGAAATTCCACTGACTGATGCTACACCAAACTGGTGCTCTGAATTTTCCCTCTCAACAGTTATCTTTGTACCTAGCTTATCACCCACATGTCCTAAAAGTTGTGTTGAAAGGGTATTCTCCTCCAAACCCAACAAAGTTGCAGCTCGAGAAACACCAACTGAAGATATATGTACAGTCCTTGCATAGCTTGTCTTGAGAGGTGAAGTAAAGATCGGAATATATTTGTCCACATTGCTAAGTTGTTTGTGATTTTCTGAAAAATAATACCTCAAATCAGAAATTTCTAAAGAAAAAAAATACTTATATGTTGAAAAGTGCATAACAAACATCATTTTCACATTTGCTAATACTATTTGATAAACTAGCCATATTACTACATCATAACACTACAACACCTTATTAGAATTCGCATGCTGATCATACTCATACATCATGCATTTGGAAATCTGTACTCATGTGAATATTCATTTACTAACAATGACATAAAAGAAGTTGATACAGCTTCCTCAAAACAACTAGATACATAATTCTGATTGAAGAGTGCACAACATCGGTTGCTCATTGCTAGTTTTCTCCTCCAGTGAAGTGGGCTTAATTTTCAACCAAAAGGCATAGAAATAGTACTACAAATTTCATAACAATAACCGCCCATCCATGATTTAATTATTCCACAAAGAAACCACAGGAGCACAGACTAGCCACCTCAACAATCGAACACACATTCATGCTAAAAATTTATGAAATAACAGCAATCTGTGATGATCTAGCAGACACTAATCAACTCATAACTAAAGCTACTCTACTTATCCAAACAACTGAGAAACCCCAGATTTCACAGGATCAAAGAAGATGAATTTTCTATCAAGATGATAATGCATCTTTAAATAGAAATCTGTACAGATACACCCTACTTTTACTCATTTTCATGGATATGAAGTACAGAGATGGCGGAGAAATGCAAAGATTGGTGGAAAGATGTGAGGTGAAACAAGTGGTGGATCTATTTCTCAAAAAAAAAAAACCTCAGAATATTTCCATTGGCATTATACACACCTTTCTTCATATTGCCTTCTTCCTCCAGAACCGCCCTTGCCTTCTGCACGGAGCTGTGACTAATCAAGACTGACTTCCCAGATCCAGTTCGAAACATTGGTGGTTCGTTTCCACGGTCTATGTATTCTTAGAAAAAAGGTGCATGTTAATGGAACAGAAAACAAATATACCTGGTTTGCTTTTATTTTTTCTGAACAAAAATTTGAATTAACTGTGCAAAGACACGCTAAAGCGCAACCCAGCAATTAAAATTTTACCTTCTTTCATAGAGCTCCCTTGCTCCATGAGGGTGATCGCCTTATGACTTGAGTTTCTATTTTGGGGTGCAAACTTCTGCATTCCAGCATGGAGCATTGGAGCAATGGCTTCTCCAGTGTCATTATTTACTGATATGCACATATGAAATCAATATTAAACTGAGAGTTAGCTGTGAAAAGCTATTCATACCAACTTTTTTTGTGAAGGAGCTATGAATTGAGAACATTTATTTACCATTTTTTACTGGTTCCTCGCCCTCTAAGACAACGTGGGCTTTCTTTCTAGAATTTTCACTTGCTGTGATAGACCTTCCTGATCCAGTTTTGAACATTGGAGTGGCACAGCCATCATCTGAGTGAGCTTCATCTAACAGATGAAGAACTTTTTGTTAACATGCTACATGCCTCCTTTATCCTTGGTAGACTAATAAAAACACATTTCAATGGCAAAACCACAGTAAGCAACATGTTGAGTGAAACCTACCTTCCAGTTCTTTTGTAATGTTCCTTGGCTCCAGAAGTGCACTTGCTCTCTTAATTGAGCCTTTACTTACTGAAATGGACCTCCCTAACCCAGTTTGAAATAATGGCAAGTGACCATCAGCCTCCAAAAAATTTCCTGTTGGATGACAGTGATTAGTATGGCAAATATCTAAAACGCATCAACAGTAAATATTTTTATTGTTCCAAATTTGACTAGATAGTAACACAGGTTTAAATGAAATGAAAAAAAAGCCTTTTACAGGAAACTTCAGAAAACCATGTACCTTGCATTGAAACACCCCCCTCAGGTGTAACAGATCTATCATTCATAGTCAGGCCACCACTCATCAGAACAGACGTTGGTGTTTCAGTTTGAAAAGTAGTGGTGGAGACATTAGTATCTCCATGTCCTGAACCCAATAGAAAAATAAGCAAAGCTGATGACCTTGTGCATTATGCAGTAAAAAAATACAAGCCTGCACACAAAGTTTCTTACCACTTCTTTTGGCACATTCTTGATCTAATACTGTCCTTGCCTTTTGAATTGAGGTCTGGCTCACCACAACAGGCCTCCCTAACCCCGTTTGGAACACTAGGAATTCACGGTCAGAATTCAATTTCCTTCACACAGAGAAGAAATCACTAATAACAACAGCTACATTTACATAACTCCAATCTTACCAATATTTTCAGCACCTCCATCCTTCACCACAGAGCTAGATCTTTCACTGATCAAGACTGGTCTTCGCGAACCAGTTTGGAAAATCAGAGATTGGTCAGGCCTACCAAAATCTTCCGTGTTTTCTACTATGGGAGGAAAGTTCATTACAACCAGAAGGCGCACATTTCTCAATAATTAGGTAGAAGTATTTAACTCAAAATTAACAAGCAGGACAATCTAATCTTATCCTCACCTGTATTATTTTGCTCCAGGACAGCCTTAGCTTTCTGGATAGATGCTACACTGACCGATACAGCTTTACCTGAACCAGTTTGGAACAATGGAAAATTTTCCTTGTCATACACATCTGCCACATCTCCTGAAAGATCAGCCGTTCAAAAAGTAAAGGCATGATTAGAATTTTGTGTAAAATTTTGCTAGATGAAATTATAGAATATTCTGTCAACAGAATAACCTTGTTTTGGATTTGTTTGTCCCTCCAAAACAGTCATTGCATTATCAGTGGAGCTCCTGCTGACTGGGTCTGGCCTAACCAATCCAGTATGGAACATAGACTGTACAGCAATGACAGAAGAATTCTCGGCATTTCCTGAATAATAGATTACGAAGATTCATTATCATGATAGATTGTCGAGTGCTACACAGCTCAAACTATCCTAAATTAATTAGAGCCAAATATATGTCACCATGCCCAAAGAAATGAAACATTCTGCGTAATTACACAGAAAGTAAGCAGATGACAAACTTCCTACCTTCTAAAACAGCTCTAGCCTTCTGAATTGAGCCCTTGCTCAGTGAAACCATTTTACCCGATCCGGTTTGGAACATCGGAGACAAACTATCTTTATGTACACCACCTGAATTTCATAAGATGCAAAGGCGAATTATACCATTGAACCTCGAGAATGTGTAACTAATCAGAACTTTGTACTTCTACCTACAGTTGAATCATCCAACCTGATCTCCAAGAAGAGAGATTGAAACAAAACTTACCTTTAAATGAAACATTACTTTCTCCCAATCCGCACTCCAAATTAGAACCATCACCAAATGGTTGCCCTGCAATACATACAAGTATCAGCCTGGTATGCAAGTCTTGGAGAAAGAGAACAGAAAGACATTGAATTCCATGCTATCAACAAAGCAAGAAATGCAAAACTTCAGAAAAGATAGGCAGCAACTTTTAAGAAAAAGAAAAGTGTGTGGGTATCTTCATCTAGTAGTAGCCCGAGGAAATCATCACAGCAACTAAAGAGGAAAGGGCATGACCAGAAGATTGGAAATAATTCAAATTTATTGCTCCATTTTTCTCTTGTTTGTTTGTAATTCAGTGGACTGCAATGACTTGTTGTCTTCGTTTCTTCTAATATATCTAAGATGTGCGGATATTATGTGTCCCCAAAAGACAAAAGGAGGGCCACAAGACCAATAAAATTGTTGTGAGAATGTAACACTTTGAAAAAAGCAAACCGCAAAACCTCTTACTTCTCTCATTACTTATCTCCTCCGCGACCTCCCCAACCAATGCCTTGGCCCTCTCTACAGCCCTCTCGCTGACGGCAACTGATCCCCCCAACCCAGTGCAGAACACCGCACCTTTCCCTGAATCCTCGATCGCTTCGGCCATTCCATCAGCAGCAACCAGCTTATCCAAAGCTGCGATTTCCACATCCACAGCAAACAAACATGACACTTAGTACAATGCAGTGGCATAACAAGTTCGTAAATGGGAGGCAAGCACGCGCGTGCCCGCACACGGACGAGTGGAGATGAGATGGGTGGACGAGGCGGCAGTGCGGCACCTTGGTTGAAGAGGTCAGCCATCGACGGGACGCTGCATCCATCGGCGGCGCCGGGGCCTAGGGTTTCGAGGCGAAAGGGGATCAGTAATAATGCGGGGGCTCATTCCACGAACGAATAGTACCTCGAAGAGAGAGAGAGAGAGGGAGAGACCGAACCTTCGGGAATCGCATCGCCGGATCGCGCCTCTCCCAGCTCCGTCGCAGCCGGCTGCGGATCGGGACGAGGAAGCGGCGCCTCACTGGCCGCCGCCGCCGGTGGCGGCGGCCCGTCGGAGGCGGGTACCCAGACGAGGCTCCCGTCGGGCTTCCCCCACACCTGCCACCTCCTCTGCATCCCGGCGGCACAGCCAGAAATCGCTCGCGGCGGCGGCGGCGGTGAGAGGATGAGGAAGAGACGAGCAAAAAAAAGAAAAAAAATGGAGAGGAAAAAATTCAAAACGGGAGGAGGCGAGGAGGGAAAGGAAAGCGCGGAGCGGAAATGGCGAAGCGGCTGTCGGTGGGTGGGCTGGGCCCGGGTAGATTCGAGACGGGCCGGCCCATTAGCGGGGGTGGGTGACAGCCCATCAACATCCATTTGGCTGGACGCCGCCGCCGCCGAGGAGGATTGCTAGGGCGGCACGGCACGGCACGACGCGTCGCGTCTGTTGCGTCAGCGTGAACAGATCAGCCAACCCGCCGACTCGTCTCCTATCACCACCTGTACCGAACTGCCGCCACGTAGATCAGCGGCCATGGTATACACATCAACGCTCAACGCAACAACCAGGTCAAACGCTATATCAACAGTCCAATTTGCACCCTCCGTATTATTAGGCATAACTAAAATTTAAAATTTTAAAACCTATTTTTGTGTTTATTTGATTATTTATTTATCGTAGTTTATTTTTTATCATTTGATTTTTAAGTCATCAGTACACACAATATATAAATGTTGTACACATAAGTTCTTTTCTTGATAATGTGTTCGCTACCAGGGATGGGAACTTTGCATAGTGCGTACGGAAAACGGGGCGGCCTATTAGCACGTAATTAATTAAGTATTTGCTATTTTTTTTAAAAAAATAGATTAATTTGATTTTTTAAGCAACTTTCGTATATAAACTTTTTGCAAAAAAACACACCATTTAGCAGTTTGAAAAACGTGCATATAAAAACGAGAGAGATGAGATGAGAAAAATGGCATCCGAACACACCCTATAGTCTTATAATCAACTGTAGACGAACGAAACGTAATGATTTTCCCTGTTACACGGAAAATATACAACACCACAGATACCTATTATACGCGCACACAGTCACAAAAGTATACCCTTTTACACACACTCATTTTTCTTTTTTAAAAAAAGAACATACTCCCTTCGTTCTAAATATAAGAGCTTATCTAGATTCATAATACTGTAAAATGTTCAATTTTAGATTTAACTGCGATGCATTCGAAGTTGGAATTTTTCAAGGATGAATCGACAGACCATCCATCCAAGTTGTAAGTTGTATATAGTTCATGAAAAAAATTAAAAATTTATGTGTAGAAAAGTTTTGAATGTGATATGATGTGATGAAAAGTTAAAAGTTTGGGTAATTGAGGTGTACTAAACACGAGCAGCCGTAAGTTTCAAAAATTTCCGGCAGGAGAATTCGTAATGAAATTCGATTATCGAAACGGGGACGTGTTGTCACCGACACGAGGACGCGAACGCGAGAGGGAGATGCCGTGACAGGACGCGGTTGCGGGTGCCCGTGGCACAACTCGTGTGTTGACCCGCCTCGCGCTCGCCTGCCACCACCGCCACCGCCAGCGAGCTGGATGAGCCAGCAGCCGCCCCCGCCCGCGGTTGCTTCCCCTCCCCACCACGTCAAAACCCAACCCCAACCATGATGCTCCTGCGCCACCACCACCACCCCCACAGCGGCGCCGCCACCACCAGCAGCAGCTGCAGCGGCGGCGGCGGCTGTTAGAGAGGAGGGCACACACCACCACCGACACCGACACGCTCGCCATGCCACCAAGCGAGGCGGCGGCGTGAGGCGACGCAGATCTGAACGGAGGAGGAATAGGAAGAAGGGAGGAGGAGGGGAGGGAGAGGAGTTGGAAGAGTTGGAGGAGGAGGAGATCTCTTTCTTGTTCCCGCTCGATGGAGCGGGGGGAGGGGAGGAGGGGAGATTGCTCCGTGCAAGTGAGGTGAGCTGGGATTTTCTTGACTTGTTTTTTTTATTCTTTTTTTCTCTCGTGATGAATCTCTGAGCATTGCTGAGAGCGGCGCTGCTTGTGGTTGTTGTGGAGTAGTTGCGGCATGGAATCGATGCATGCTTGTGTGCTTACTTTTTATCGGTAGTAATTCTTGTTATGAACATGTTGAAAGTAGAGTAAGGCTATCTGTTTGTCCGTCTAATTCGTTTGAAGAATGTTTTTGTTTCCCTTTCGTCAAGTTTATTATTAGTTGGGAATTATAGCTGGATGAGATTTCAGGACGGCGTCTAGTAGCTTTCATGTGTTAAATCGGGTGGAATAGTGACACCCTTGAAATTGAAATTGAGTGGGAAATCTTCTGTGTTCTTGGCGGTGCACGTGCTGTTGCTTGTGGAATGCCATCGTGGCGCAACATGAAAAAGAAAAGAAGTATTTTATTCTTAGGGCCGCTTACCGTTGATTGCTGATAGCCTCCTTGATTTTTGGACAAATGAAAAGGATTCCGCTTTTGGTTTGTTGTTTTTCATAATTTCAATTGCATGCTGTTTCGATTTGTGTCTTGCAATGTTCAGCTTTGTGGAATTATTGAGTTACCTCATTGGGTCAGGAAGAAGAGAACGCGAAGGAAAAGCGATGGCCCTGATTCAATCGCTGAAACCATCAAGTGGTGGAAGGAGCAAAACCAGAAGCTCCAGGAGGAGAATAGCTCCAGGAAAGCGCCAGCCAAGGGGTCCAAGAAAGGGTGCATGGCTGGGAAAGGAGGTCCGGAAAATTCAAATTGTGCTTACCGCGGTGTCAGGCAACGGACATGGGGTAAGTGGGTGGCTGAGATCCGTGAACCAAACCGTGGAAGGCGCCTATGGCTAGGATCATTTCCTACTGCGCTGGAGGCTGCGCATGCATACGATGAGGCGGCAAGGGCAATGTATGGTCCCACAGCACGTGTCAATTTTGCAGATAATTCCACAGATGCCAACTCTGGCTGCACATCAGCACCTTCATTGATGATGTCTAATGGGCCGGCCACTATACCTTCTGATGAGAAGGATGAGCTGGAATCTCCTCCTTTCATCGTGGCTAATGGGCCAGCTGTGTTGTATCAGCCTGATAAGAAGGATGTGTTGGAACGTGTAGTCCCTGAGGTGCAGGATGTTAAAACAGAAGGGAGCAATGGCTTGAAACGTGTTTGTCAGGAGCGGAAGAATATGGAGGTATGTGAATCAGAAGGGATCGTTTTACACAAAGAAGTGAACATAAGTTATGATTATTTCAATGTCCATGAAGTTGTTGAGATGATAATTGTTGAATTAAGTGCTGATCAGAAAACGGAAGTACATGAAGAGTACCAAGAGGGAGATGATGGGTTTAGCCTTTTCTCCTATTAGAGTAGTAGTCATGCTGCGGGTCAATAGGAATATTTCATTCTAGCTGCTAGGGGATACTTCAAATATCTGCAACCTGAAGCTTTGTAGTCATTTACGGTTTTCGTCTTACTGGGTAATAGCTTTATATATACTATAAGCCAACTGGTACAAGAAGTTGTACTGTGTGTTGAGTGCACTGTGGTAAAAATGAATCTATATTTAATGAGCTTACTCTGTCAATATTTTTGCTTATTTTAGTGTGGTTAAACTCAGGTTAGATATTCAAAACGAGTGGCAGATACTTCAAAGACTTTAGGATCGAATTAAATTCTCAAACAGGTATATTAGGAAGTTTATTTCTGCATGCATAAAAGTATGACAAACTATGATAGTACAAATTTGCATGCATATGGAATTTTAAATACTTAAACATACTACTATCGCATTATAGCGCTCTATGGTCATTCAAAGTACCAAAAGATACATCATGGAGATTTCATAAGGGGAAGTTGCAGACATTCTCTGAATTCAAGCCTCCTTGTTTCACTGTGAAAGGTCTTCTGTTTGTTAGGCCAGTAGGTCAGCCAAATCCAGCCTCTAATCTCCCAGTCCATGGTCTTCCCTAATGCTGCACCACAGATCTTCCACCAGACGCTGTCTCCATATTCATCACGTGCGAAAATGACACCACCCTTCTTCGTGAATGGGCGATACACGGTCGAGTACCTGTCACGAAACCAGGCCCGTGGCTGAAGCAGGGAGAGCTTGGAAGGCTTTGAAGAATAAACCTCCCTTCCGTTTACACCATCATGGAGAAACCAGTTCAAGGTTGTAGTGTTTCCATGCACAGACTGTTCAAATTTCCAGGGTTTCATGGTCAGTGTGAGGCTTTCGCTGACCGATGCCTTTAGTCCAAATGTGTTTGGGGGGTCGAATGAACCTTCAATGCCCTTCTCAAGGCCAAACTCATGCGTGGGGTTGTCGGAGGACTTGCTGACTGAAACCGACAGGACATCTGATTGTTGCATAGGTGTGATTTGCAGCATAACACGTGATGGAAAGTGCTTCTCCTCAGAGCCATGTCCACGTTCAGTCATGAGGATCTCGGAGACCAAAGAGTCCACATCACACCTGAGATGAATCCACTGTAAGTGCCGCTCTTGGTTTTAGATGATACACGTATGGTTGTTTTTTTTCCTTGTGCAGTTAATTGTAACTTTGAAACAATTCAGTTTGTAGATAGACTGCTTTTCAAGGTCTAGAAAACTCTGATTTAACTACCTAAATTGAGTTCTTCTGCAGCTGGTATACAGGGAGAAGCATGTTACCGAACTATGCATAATTGCTTGCTCAATGTTACCTTACTGTAGGCACCAACCAAATTATTTGCTAGTTAAACCTTTAGCTTTTTTTACCAAACATATGCAGCTACGCTTTGCATGCCGCAAACTTAATTGGTTCCCCCGAGTGATACTACTGTCACCTCAGGATGAGTAGGTTTTTTATTTTCACCTAAATTAGTAAGTGTGTATACAGTTCATATGAGATAGAATCAAATCCTTGAATAAATTACTGACCTTATGTTGTCCACCTTTATCTCGACATCAATCCAGTTGTCCCTTCTGATTGTTTTGTAGGCGAGCTGAATCACACCTTCAAGTTGCTGATAAGTAAGCGAGAAGAGAAGGCGCTCATCCTGTGTTGGCACTGCAGGATCTTCCATGCTCATGGCAATGAGTGGGCAGTATAGCTGGACCTTCCAGAGCCCACTTGCTGAAAGAGCATATGAGAACAGTGGCGATGGCACCCCAAATGAATGGTGTGAGGATCGTTGCTCAACAATCCAGTTAGTCACTGCAAGATTCATTGTCTGCATCCATTGCTCCTCAAGGTTTGCTCCCAACATTCTGACAAAGGTCTTTGCAGCATCTTTGCACTTTGGCCCAGTCAGCTGAGTCCTCAGGGATTCGAGGCATCGACAGCGAAGAGCATGGGGAGCCTCATAGATGCAAACTAGGAAGGCCAGGGACAAGAAAACTATGTTAAACACGTCCTTTAGATTGCCATGAATCTGTGCCCTGGGAAACTGAAAGGACAGCTTTTTGTTTGGTCCGGATCTCAGCACCCAGTCCACAATGTCAACAAACAACTCTAACATCTCTTGTTCGTCTAGAGACTGCTGGGTGTATGATTTCAGGTGGACTGGTTTTGACGTCCACAGAGAAATTGGCACACGGTAATTTGCAAAGATGGAGAAGGTGACAAAGGAGGGCTGGGTGGGAGGGGTTTTGACAACTGATAGGTTCACCGATGGCTGTGATGATTCTGATGCTGATGGTGTGGGGCAGATGCAAAGGGACATGGCGTTGGAGCGCCATTGGGAGAACGGAGGCAGGTTGGTGATCCAACCCCATACATCAAGAGGTAAGCTGTGAGCCATTACGTTGTTGAAAACTTGAGCTTGTTTTGCAATGTGGGAGTATCCCAGTATTGGTGTGGTTTTATAGATGGAAGAGATGATGGTTCCTCAGATAAAATTTTGGCTCATCCATGACTGAGTCTAATGAAGCACGGCATAATTTTTGGTAAAGCGGATTCTTGGTTGTTAGAAGAGGAAATCAAGTCATTGAGCTGAGGAATCTTTGTTGTTAATTGGAGTTTGAAGAATCTTCATTTGTGCTTTGCACAGGTGCTAAAGCCAAAAGTTAACTGCTATACGGTAATATGATATATCAAACCCAAGTTGGTTGGCTAATGTTGTAGTGAAGAGAATATAACGTGGCTCTAAACAGGAAAGCTGGAAAGAACGATATGGTTGGGTGGAATGGATTAGTTTGGATGGATTCTGGATAACTCGGTTCAATAAGGGCCTAACGACACCAAATTTGTGACTTGAAGGTTAGCTTGTGTGTCGACTGGGAATTGGAACCTGATGCATCTCACTCTTTGCTTCCGTTCCGTCAAGCTTCAAGATTTACCTCTCAATCGAGTATTGCTTTATACTTGTCTCAGTTGTCTGATCTTATTGAGAATTGTAGGATCCAAGCTCGTGCATCTCGGAGCCAGCATTTGGCAACAGGAAAAATGGCTCTAATGAACCCAGAAATGCAGAAAAGCGGTTCGCGTCATGGTCCTGTTTCTTTCAGCTTGGGATTATTATAATCCAGATTATTAGGAGTAAGCTGAAAGAATCAGACAACTTATTGAAGTAGCTTATTATAATCTGGAGCCCAGCTTATTATAATCCGATAAGCTCATTTAGGTGAGCTTTTTCTAGATTATTGGGTGAAAAATTACCCACCATATGCCACCCCACTCCCTCATTATACTTGCAAACTCAATAATCTAGGCTCTAATAATCTAGGAAAGAAACAACTATCAGCTTATTCTACTATAGATTATAACAATCTAGTTTATAGTAATCTGACTCAATAATCTAGATTATAATAATTTCAAGCTGAAAGAAACAGGGCCTATAGTTAGAGAGAATCCTCCACCTGAATTTCGTGTACTACCTGCCTCTGAAATCTCGTACACGCAGCTTGTCCTTCAAGCTCGAGCAAAACCTTTGCTCCTGTGCTAGTACTAGGCAGTTAGGCAGACCTGCAGCTGCAGGTTAGGATATGAGAGGTTAGGCTCATATTCGTTGCTTAGCATCGTTGCACTGCATTCCACACCAACACACGAACACTGCATTGTTCCACAGTCCAGATTCCCCACGAACTGATCTGCCTCTGACTAGTACACGGCGCAAAGGAGAATTCAGCACCGCCAACAGTAGCAGTAATTCACTGGATTACTGGCGAAATTGTTGCAGCTATTATTCCCGCCTGCTCCCAGCAAGCAGAACCTGAAAAGTTGCTTCAAAAAAAAAATCAAAAATTATACCAGCTTCCAAGCCTCCCATATGTACTGCTATCACCAGCTAAAGTTTGTTCATTCGAACTTCTCTAAGTAACTAGTGTCCTGTAGACAGTTCAGTTTGCTCCGCTACAATCAGGTGACAACCAACAACACCTATCTTCAGTGAGAAACAACAACGGGCAGAGTTAACGCATACCAGAACTCGCTACGGTGTTGTTTCTAAAATGTAAAAACCGTATGACTGGGATGCACAGAATGGATGGGCCGTCAGGCGTCAGTGCTCAGCAATGAGCGGCAATATTTCGCTTGAGAGAAGGTAATACTGTGAGGCGGGGTTGGGGACTGGTGCTGTACAAAACCGGCCCGGGGGTTCATCTGCACTTCTGCAATCCTGTCAAATGGCAACGGCGCATGCGAAAGCTCTCTTCCCGAATGCCTTGGAACCAGAGATGGACCAGCCTTGGCCCTCCTTGTAAACCTCAACCTGTGAAATAAAAAACAAAACAAAATAAAACGAGAGAAGGATGTGAGAGTTCGGCGAGTTGAAGCAACAGCAATGGATGATGGAGAGAGTGATCTTGGGAAAGAACTCACAGTTTCAACGTATTCTTCACTGCTTTGGATACCACCAATGAGGTATGCGTTGCCGTCCAATGTAACCGCACATCCGTGTGCTCTTGGGACGCTGAGTGGGCTCCCCCTTCTCCATGAGTTGGCACGGGTGTCAAAAATCTCTACGCTGGAAAACGTGGTATTTCTATTCAGGCCACCCAGAGCATGTCTGAAAATGAAATTCCCATGTTGGATGTTAAGTCGTATATTATCAGGTTTATATCGAGACGTCAAATAAAAGATAGTGATATAAGGCTAATAGTAGCATCTAACTGCCAGGTGGAATCTGTGTGTGTGTTTTTTTGAAATCACATGACCTCTCTGTTGATTACACACACAGATAAAGCGAGCGAAACTCACAGTGAATCCCCCAAGACAACTACTGAATGGGATCCTCTTCTTGTCCGCATACGTGGAAGTTGGGTCCAGAAGCCTTCCCTTGGATCATACCTTTCTGCTGACCTGTGCATATGAGGATCAATCATTCAATAGGAAGGTCTCAGAATCAAAATCAAGTAAAGCATGGAGAGAATGGTGAGGGTGGATCGTAACTGTAAGTACATGTTGCCATCATAACCACCAATTACATAGAGAACGCCATTTAATTCAGCCGCAGCAGGAGCACATCGCTGGAACAATAAAATACATGTTGGTGAGGTGGGTATATTGGTCAAAAATAAAAATACATTAAAAATATGGGATAATATTTCATGCAAGGTGAACTGGAAAGTTACAATGTATATGCCTCATAAATCCCATGAAATTACATGAATTGCAATTTGCATTCCATAATTTGAAATAGCCTGAATTTGAAAAATATTTATTGCCTATTCAAGTGCTCAAAATGTAGCTTAGATTAGATTTGCAAATGGTCCAACCAACCCTGTAAGACTAGTGCTCAAGCGAATGTCCAACTCACAGTCAGCTTGCCCACTACTGCTCAAACAGCTATCTAAATTCTAAATCACTCAGCATAGTTCACCACGAGAACAAACTTTTTTACTGATTTACGACACGTAAGAAATGATTGAAATAATAGTAGAAACTGTTCTGTGAGCAGCACTATTCATCTTGTAAAAGATTAAGAACCCAAAGATGTAAGTGATTATAGGAAATGCAGTTCAAACAGCCTCTCTTCACAACATGTTTTTTTCCTGGGCCATCTAATAAATCTTGAGCCTTATCAAGAAAATCACAGTGAGAACATAGCGAAGACCAGGACCCTATTAAATTGGCCAAAAAGGCTGGTACATTCTACTCTATACAAGTGTTATAAGGGAGTAGAAGTAGAACCATACAGGTTGCTGCATGGACAAACTGTATATCCATTTCCCCACTGCTGGATCAAACATCTCTACTTCTGAAAAAGACTGAGACCCATCACCCCCACCAATAGCAAATATTTTACCATTCAAGGTAGCTCCAGCAAGATGCCCTTTCTCATGATTCAAGCAGGGCAATCCTATCCACTTATTGGCTCCCCTGTTGTAGCACTCCACTGCAATAAAACAAATGCAGATGGTCAACAGCTTGCTTATATAGAGCACTACGTTTGGCATATTGAAGAATGTTTACCTGTGTTGTACCACAAACTGCGAATGCCATTCCAACCACCAAAAATGAAGACATGGTCCTTTAATGTGGCAACAGCCGCATATGCACGGGCTGAGCTCATTGGCATTAGAGTTTCTAGTATGTCCGTTGCAGGGCAATATGAATCAAGGGATGACAGCCAGTTAATGCCATTATGGCCACCTGTTAGGAGTATTGATGGCCCTTCTACATCATCATTTGTTACACCGAAGAGTGGTGCTGAAGAGCTATGCGATTTCTCAAGCTGCTGTTCCAGATGTTCAACTTTTCTTTCCATAACCTTTACCAATTTCTTCAACAACAAAATTTCTTGATCTGAATCAACCTAGAACGTTCAAACCATAATCAAGATCGGAGTTTGCACACTTGAACAGCGTAATTAACTCAATATCAAACACATATATACTAGTTTGGTTTTCCGGTTAAAATTTGAACATGGTTTAAAACCCACAAAACCAGACATACTGACAAGAGATAAAACCAATTAGGAAAACGGGTTCATCTATTTATACCTTTTCTTCTTTAAAAGAGAAGATCCTACTGATTTTAAGCAAGAAGAAAAGTACCTTCATCTTTTCCATTTCTTCGGTCTTCTTGGATAAATCATTGATAATTTGATACAGCTACAGACAAATGCCAAAAAGCAGGCCATAAACATCGCACCAAAATATATAAGTTGTAGCACTGAAATATGGTGCGTAAGGGAAAATGGTAATAAGGGATGGAATAGCTTAAGGCACCTCAGCATATTCATGGCATTGCACAAAGGATGTATCTTTCAATGATGTGTCACATTGAGATGTGGCATTAAATGAATCTTTGGGGAGAGTAGCAGCAAACCGTGTATCTTGACGTATGCTTTGAGCTGAAGTAGAAACAGGAGCATCCTCCAAGAAATTGGCTTCCTTCTGTTGTAAAGAAGACAGCTCTTGCAGCTTTACTGGTAAATCCATTTTAGCATGCTGGTCATCATCCACAGATTCTTTATCTTCCTTGATCAAACCAGCAACCAGGTCATCACAGCCAGAAGCATCTTTGTTAAGGTTGCTCCTTGATGTTGTACTTGTGCTAGCAAGGTCGACTTCTACATCAGGCAAGGTATGAGGAACAATATCATGTGAGTGTGATGAAACATTGAACTGATCCACATCCTTCACATTGGATTCACTCTTCACTTTATCAGAAACAACAGGTGCTTTTGCTGTAAGAAATGGCAGAGGTCGATTCCATGGATTTGGAACAGTATGAGCGGTAGCAGGAGGTTTTGGAATACTAAGTTTGTTTTGATTAGCGCGAACAGGAGCAGGTAGAAACAAAGAAATCAAATCTCTTGTTTGTCGATGGTCTAGCTCAAAACGGAAGTGGCTAGGTTTATCCTTGCGATAATTGTTTATGATTACACTTTTGTATTTGCTTTCTGGAAGTGGAGGGCACTCTGTCCTGGTAGAGAAGCGGACCTGAAGAACACAAATACTCACAATGCTTATGAAACTATAACCAGAACAAAGACCAGTATATGTTGTTTCTATTATACCTGTGCAGGAAATGGTGTTGTCTTTGCATTTGTCTTTGCATCATTAGACTGTTCAGACATCCAAGCAAATCGGTCGATATTAAGCTGGCCAGTGCTTGTAGCCTTGAAAATGCCATGCAATTGTCTGTTACTATAATTGAACAGAAAGAGAGGCAAGCCAGGTTTAACATTCTTCACATACAAGATATTGCGTTGAGGCAAACCTATCAAACAAAAGGCAAACGAATGGATTCCCAATTAAACGAGAAGTTCAAAAGAATGTTGATTAGCAATGTCAATGTTCTTGAATAAAAGTAATCACACGCGTATGGATTTTACATATCATTTAGATGAAATTAGGACAGGCGAAAAGGGACTTTTACTAACCAAATAACTGTTTAGTGAAGCATTCATCGAATGTGTTGTTATTGCAACAAAAGACCACCCCTCCTAGCTCCTTTTCCGGGAGCTCACGGAACTCGTTCTCGGTCTGAGTCTTCTTTCCAGCACCCATTCTTCGAGAAATTATCAACATTATGCAAAACACAAACATAAGTGACATTATCTAAAAGAAACAAACATAAGTGAGCATGTAGGTATACTGCAGTAGCAAACTAGCAATATCATGTACAGATAAGTTGTCACAACAAACAGCACAGGGTATTATTCCTTTGTTGGAGGATTGTAATTCTGGTAAGTTTACTTGAGTAGTACCAACAGGGAGCGGTTTTCCACTAAAAAAAGATGGGGGAGATGGATTGGGTCAAAACACTAGCAAAAAACAAAAACAAAAACAAAACAAAATATTACCCCCAAAAACCCCACGCATGCCAACATTTTAATCTTACAGCCTCACAAGTTACAACTCAAACACATCGCTACATGCAGTAAACCACTCTGTAATCTGAATCTACCCCATCCACCTGCTCTCTCACAAGCCAAATCTACCACAACGCACGAGCAGCACAAGTAAAAACGTCGATCAAGTTAACGAAGCTACCATAAGCTTCACAATATCTGCCACATTAAAACCATCAGAGTTCGAAAGCGTTCACCTCTGACGACGGATCGCAGTTCTCCCATGCTTCTCGCAATATAGGATTAAAATCCAACAGCTAAAATCTCGCCCCCATAAACCCAACCCTGGGCTCTAGAATTCCCCCAAAACACAGCGATTCACCTCTAAAAACTGGCATAAATCACCAGAAAAACCGCAGACATCAACTGTAACGGTAAATAAAGCGCTAAACCATTCAAACACGCGGCGGCACCAGCCCACGAACTGCTAAAATCGCTAAACAAACACGCGCACAGAAGCTACGCCTAAATCCAGCGAAAACCTCGAGCTGCAATTCCGCACATGCAAAACCTTTGCGCACTCGAAGCCCCATTCCCCATTTCCCCCCAAACTCCACAGATTCCAATTCAAAACCACTTGAACAAACTCAACCCCATCCAGCATTTCGACCCATCACCATGGCATCAATCCCCCAAACGGCACAGCATTCCCCGCCATTCCAGCGAACAATCCACCACCACGCGAGCCCCTCTCCCATCACCCCAGAAATCCCCGACCACCTCGAGCCACAAAACCCCACCAAAACCCCCACCGAAACAGGAAAGGTAGAGAGAGAGAGAGAGAGAGAGAGAAAATCCAGCACCAATCGCGACCAAATCGAGGCGCGGCCGCGCGGGAGGGGATCGCTCGCTCGCTCACCTGCTCGGGTGCTACGAAACCCGCGGGATCGATCGATCGATCAGCGGTTGCCGCCGATGGAGCCGCCTCGACGCGCAGCAGCAGCAAGCATCGATCAACCAGTTCACCACCTCTGCGTGTGTTGGTGCGGCGCGGGGTGCGAGTGGATGGGTGGGCGTAGCGCGTGTCGTGGCAAGGGGGGCGACGTTTATATAGCGGCGGGTGGTCGGGTTCACCGCGAGCTCACGAGAAGAAGCCGCCTGCGTGTGTCGCTGGTAGGTGGGGCCACACCGGGGACGGGGTCGTGGTAAGAGTCACGGGTGGTCAGCGGAACCGACCAGTGCACCACATAACTACAGTGTGTACGGCTCGCCTGTGTCAGTTCGAACTTTTGAGTTTTTAACGGCTCAAGTCTACTTCCCTCAATCACTCGTTTCTTTTTTATTATTATTTTTCCAGCGAGCGACCTCTCACCACTTAATGCGATCTTATCCTCTCGCTGTCTCGCACTCTCGCATCGACTTCTCCGTCATCCCTCTCGCCTCAACTCCTCCATCGCCACCACCCCCCCTCCCCGTCCCTCATGCAATCCCCAATCCTAGTATCCCACTCTCCCTCACCTATCTCCTCTCCTCTCCAACGCGGGAGTGGCGCGGCAGGCGCGCGTTGATTCACCGGTCGTCGCCGCCGTGGAGATCACAATGCAGCTGGCTAGCATGACCGGACGCAATGGACAGGCGGCGGAAGCGGATGTCGATGCGCATCAAGCAAAGGCAAGTGGATGAGAACGAGGAGGTTGCAGGCGAAGTCCTGGTTGGGCGCTCGGCGCCGACGGCGTCTACTCCCTCACCGAGGAGCAACATGCAGGTGGCTACAACTTTGACGCGGGCATCCCGGTGGTGGCTTTGTGCTCGACTCCGAGGAGCACGCCTGTGGCGGTGTCCTCGACGGCGGCTTCGTCTTTCTCTTCGCCTCCCCCCACCCTCCAACGGCGGTTTTGTTTTGTGTGTGGCGAATGAAATAAATGAGGGTAAATCAGTCATTTGCACTGGATACTAATTTTGGTGAGAAACCTCAAAACAACACGTTTTATGGGAAGTAAAACGGCACTGGATACTAATGAGGAAGTAAATCAACTTGAAGAGTTCAAATTTATTCCAAAATAAATCAACTTCTACCTTCTTATACTTACCACTAATCCGCAAAATGAGAAATTTTATTACTTTAATACCCTTACCTACCAATTATTCAATACAATATTCACATTAATTAAGGGCATCGTGGTCTTTTGTTTCTCTTCTTAAAAACTCCTTGAGAAGCTAGGGTTTGAGTTATTTAGGGACAGAGGAAGAGTATGCTCTATCTCTAAATATAAAGTATTTTGATTAGATGTGACGTATTCTAGTACTATAAAGCTAGATATGAACATGTCTAGATTTGTAGTTCTAGGAGTATTTTGAATGGATTTACCTCGTGTACACAATGAATATGAATTATTTGCTCATTGGCAATTCGGAGATGTAAACCATTTTTTTTATTACAAAACTTCCTTGCTGGTAATAAAAGATGAGAGATACGCTTAATTGAATAATTGCTCGCATGGTATATATTTGTTTAGATTGGAACACTACATTCACGTCCTGTGAATACGTCATTTGGTATACTCCCGTGACATATTCTCGTTCTCAATAAAATCCTATTGTAAACCTATTGGGTCGCCACTATTGCTTCTCCGCGCGCTACTCCATCGAGTGCTCGAGGCTAGTGCTAGGGAAAATACTGTAGAAGGATTTTTAGGACTTTACAGCCCGACAAAAAGTTTGACAAAGTTGACGGCTGACATGAAATAAAGTTGACAGGTCTATGTTTTCTTTATTAACAGTGTATTGTGGGTGTGTTTAGTTCCTCAGAAAAGTTGGAAGTTTAAAAAAAATTGAGATTTTGGAAAAAAAAAGTTGAAAGTTTATGTGTATAAGAAATTTTTTGATATGATATGATGTGATGGAAAGTTGAGAATAGGGAGAAACTAAACACGACCTGATATGATGAGGGACATCGTGCTTACGAGTACGATGTCTCAGTTTTTTTTTCAAGGATATGGTTATTCAATTTTTTATCGTGGGATGGTTAAGAATTTTTTTTTATTCGTTGGATGTATGAGAATGGATGAAATAAAAATAATAAATATTAATAACAAAATATGTTAATTATCACTAATTGAACCCTAATCTATACTAATAAATAACAACATTGACCAGTTATATCTAATCAAACATTAATAATGACATGTTAATTATTACTCCCTCTGTTTTACAATGTAGTTTTTTAATAGATGACGCCGTTTACTTTTTTTCACATGTTTGACCATTCGTCTTATTCAAAAATTTTATACAAATGTATAAGATATAAATCACACTTAAAGTACTATGAGTGATAAAACAACTCATAACAAAATAAATTATAATTACGTATATTTTTTGAATAAGACGAATGGTCAAACATGTGAGAAAAAGTCAACGGCGTCATCTATTAAAAAACGGAGGTAGTAAGACTTTCTAGCATTGTCCACATTTATAGAAGTTAATGAATCTAGACACACATATATATCTAGATTCATTAACATCTATATGAATATGAGCAATGCTAGAAAGTCTTACATTGTGAAACGGATGGAGTAATTAACAACCAAATATATTAATTATTGCTAATCGATTAATTTGAACATATACACTCATCCAGCACCTTTGTGAAATATTCCCTTTTCCGACCACCCTATCCATCATTGCACATCAACCAAACATGCATAAAAGTTCCATCAACATTTTTTATCCCAAAATATCCTTTCAACCAAACACACATTATCGAAGACACCACGTTAAGAAACTAGCCTCGAGAGTGTATATCTCTTTGACAAAGGGACATAGGCTTCAGCTTGAAAATTAACCTAGTGAGCGGTAATAATAGTCCAGAAGTGTTATTGCCTTTTTTTAAAAAATAAATAAAAATTCGATCTGGTGAGAATATAACGATCTGTCGATCTCCTATGAAATTTGTACGAAATTCATCTCGTTGAATTGTTCACAATGCGCACCGACAAACCAACTTGATCTGTGAGTGTCAAGTGTCAACTTCGAACGATAATTAACAGCCAGTACCGCGCGTAAATGCAAAGCAAACGGGAGTGAGCCCTACAGACTAGCGTGTTTCGCGAATTTGGAAGAACACGGCGATCAGTGATCACGAACCGCATCTATCGTAGACAGATAACGGATTTACCCAAAAACGGCATGAGTCGATCAGAGCCCCTGTGCACATGCCCGTGTCCCGTCTGAGGCCGTGAGTGAGTGAGACCTGTCAGGATGCCTCTACGACGAGGTGGTGGCTGGGTGCATTCACAGTCAGTAGCTCACCCACGAAAGCTACGGCACAACTAATCGTCAAAATTGTCATCGGTTGTCTTAGCTGACTGTATTGATCGTCGTCGTCGTCGTCTCAACATTAGAAAGAACTGATGTAAGTAGGCATGCAGCTAAGCGAAAACTTCACATGGTTCTTCATACCGTTCGAGTATACAGCTAGGCCGGGACCGGAAGAACCATGTGTGAAGTTCTTACATGGCAGCTAAGCCGGCTTAGCCGAAAACTTCTGGTTGGATGCCATACTAAGTTTGTCATCATTTTCTATACTTTTGTTTCATACATGTATAAATTTTAGCTAATAAAAAAAGGTGAGTCACACCTTTAACTAGTAAAAGTAGGATTGCGCCACACTTTTTTGAACAGTTGACATTTTGGATTAAAAAACGAGAAAGAATCTTGTCATAAGAGTGACTATGAAACAAACAAGAGCTAAAAAGCTCTAATTGGAGCTTTTTGTAGCTGTACCTTCTCCCGAAACTTTTAAGAGCAAGTTTTATAGTGAGGTGGTTGTCACCTTTAATTTTATCCATTTTATCAACTAATTAATCAAGATGTAGCATATAGAAAAGTTATTGTAAAAAATCATATTAATTCAATTTTTAAGTTATTTTCTAGCTAATGCTTAATAATCATATGGTAATAAATAGCCCTGTTTTCCGTGTCCAGAGAAAAGGTTTCCAACCTCTCCAACCGAACGTGGACTAAGGTGGTGTTCTTTTCTCTTGAAGATGAAAACTAAATTTTTTACGCAAAACGATGTGGTATTAATGTATGATTGATTGAGTTTTAATTATTATAAACTTAAAAGATAGATTAATATGATATTTTAGAGCAACTTTTATATAGAAAGTTTTTGTGTGAAACGTACCGTTTAGCAGCTTGAAAAACGTGCCATGAAAACCTTAATCTTCTTCCAACTCTTGGAAAAAAAACAGGACCTAAACCCTGTTTGGGAGCTCTGCTAGCTGCAACCTCCGATAATCAGTTGCTATGTAATCCAGAAAATTATAGCTAGGTAACCTGGTTTCACCCGTTGACTACCCAGCAAATTGCTTAATTTTGAGCTCCTTCCTCTATTAAAGAGAAAATCTTAGGGTCTATTCTTTTCTCCAATAAAAATTGGATAAAATTTTGAATACTTGTGACACACTTTCCAAACAGTCAAACGGTACGTTTCGTATGAAAACTTTCTATATGAAAGTTACTATAAAATACCAAATTAATCTATTTTTGTTAGTTTGTAATGATTAAAACTCAATTAATCATACGTAAATACCAACTTATTTTGAATAAAACACTTAATTTTTTTTCTTGAGAAAAGAACACCGCCTTACAGCTCCCGGAAAGGCACAACTGAGCTGACGAAATCTTCAGTTATCACGGGAATGACAATTCTGTTCCTGGGCCTGTTTTGAAATCGCGTGGCAATGACACTCACTTCTTGCTGGGGAATAAGATCACTTTGACTCCCTCAACTGACCACGGAATCTAAATCGTATCCCCCAACCTCAATACCAGAAATCTTGACCCCCGAACTTGCAAAACCGGTGCAATTTGACTCCCTCGCCGGTTTTGGGAGGTGGTTTCGCCGACGTGGCGCCTATGTGGCGATATTGACCGAGTCTTCGGTCCACGTGGCGTTGATGTGGCACTTACGTGGCAGTAGGATTAAAAAATATGCGTGGGACCCATTAGTCATTGGCACAAAAAGAAATGTGGGCCACTGACATGTGGGGCCCACATGTCTGTCCTCTTCCTCCTCCCTATCTCCCTTCTCTCTCTTTCTCTCAATCTCTCCCCTTCTTCCCATTCGGCGGCGGGCGGGAGGGCGGCGAGAGCGAGCGGCCGGCCCGGCTCGGCCTCGGTGGGGAGGCGGCGGCGCACCGCTGGGGTCCACTGATGATCGCGACGGCGCACGGACGAGGAGAGCGGCGGCGGCATCGGGGCGCAGCGTAACCGGAGCGGCGGCGGCCATCGACGCACACGAGCAGGACGACGCCCATGGCGGGGCTCCCGGAGCACGGCGACAGCCGCGTGAGGTAAGACGACACGTGGCGGCGAAGGCGAGCCCGCTGCGGCGGTGGCTATGGAAGCAGCGGAGACGCGGTTGAGGAGTGGACGGCAACAGGCGGGAGTAGGCCGACGGCGGCAAGGGAGTTGGGCGAGCGCGATGGCGGAGAGGCAGCGGCAGCAGCAGGCGAGCGCGGCTGCGGATGGGAGCGGCGGCGCCGACGACTCCGCACCGCTCGGCCTCATCGTCGTCGGCAGCTTCGGGTGGGGGCGCCGCGCCGCCGGCTTCTCGTCGCTTGCCATGGCGCTGGAACGGGGGAGGACGGCTGGAGCGGCGGCTCGTTGGGGACGGCCTCGCGGAAGAGCAACGGCCGGAAGGACAACGGCGGCGGCGGCGGCGACAACGTGTTGGCCGGCCAACTCCCTCCTCGCCGCCTCCATCCCCACTTCCCTCCCGCTGTCGCCGTTTCCGTCTGCCGTGAGCCACCGCGGCCGAGCCGCCGCCGTCCTAGCCGCCAACCGCCGCCCCCGGTTCGGTTCCGATACGCCCCGATGCCGCCAGCTCGCTCTCGCCGCCTTCCTGCCCATCGGCCGAATGGGAAGAAGGGGAGAGAAAGAGAGAGAAGGGAGATAGGGAGGAGGAAGAGGTCTGACATGTGGGCCCCACATGTCAGTGGGCCCACATTTCTTTTTGTGCCAATGACTAATGGGTCCCACGCATATTTTTTAATTCTATTGCCACGTAAGTGCCACGTCAACGACACGTGGACCAAAGACTCGGTCAATATCGCCACATAAGCGCCACGTGGCGCCACGTCAGCGAAACCACCTCCCAAAACCGGCAAGGGAGTCAAATTGCACTGGATTTACAAGTTCGGGGGTCGAGATTTCTGGCATTGCGGTTGAGGGATACGATTTAGATTCGGTCGTCAGTTGAGGGAGTCAAAGTGATCTTAAGAAACAAAACTGCACAAGTCTGGGCTCGGATTTCACTAACGTCTAATGGCGGCCCAGTGAGTCTACGTATCAAAAACTCTCGAATTTACTAATCAGCTACGTCATGCACAGCTAACGGTTGGAGTCCGAATCTTAAAGTAGGAAATGGGAAAACACATGTTTGGTGCACCCACCGCGATGGACAGGGAAGGCGCCCACGTGGACCCCGGGCCCACGTGACGCACACGTGTCAGTCCGTGGCGCGACGGATCCGATCGGGCACGGTGTTTTCCTTCCCACGTGTGGACAAACGTACGTGCGTGGCCGTGCCTACGAACGTACCGTTCTTCGTACGCGCGTACACGAGCATGTTTTAAACTCGCAACTTGCCGATCGATCTCTCGCACAGCTCAAACACAGTAATGCCGCGATCGAGCTAGGAATCTACTCGCAGTGGATCCACATGAGTAGCCATAACAATACTATAATTAGATTCCGTTCTACTCCTTCCGTTTAAGGTTATAAGTTTGACTAAGTTTATAAACAAGTATAGTAGTATTTATAATACTAAATTAATTTCATCAAATAAATAATTAAATATATTTCATAATAACTTTGTTTTGGGTTGAAAATGTTACTACTTTTTTCTACAAATTTAGTTAAACTTAAAGCAATTTGACTTTAACCAAAGTTAAAACGTCTTATAACCTGAAACAGAGGGGTAGTATATTGTAAACATTAACTCTCATTTATTTTCCGTTAGCATATTTCCAAACTGTTAATTAAACGATATAATTTTTAAAAAGTTTATATAAAAGTTTTTTTAAAAAAAATGAATGAACATTTTTTAAGTTTATAATAGTTAATAATTAATTAATTATAGGTCAATTGCTTGCTTTGGTTTCCGTGCCGCATAAAAGCTCAGTTCCTACGCAGGAAAGGCAGCATGTGGAACACCTTATTTTTTACAATAAAATTCACTGTATTTATATATACACATATTCTAATATATGAATACTTTCCATTTCAAAAAGTTTTTTTAATCATGTATAGTCCATTTTTAAGTAATTCTTTTTTGCGCACAAACTTAGATGTACACAACCATATTTATAAATACCAAGATTATATTAATTTATACCTAGTAGTAAGGGGTGTCATACATTTATATATGAAGTTGAGCCATAATAGTTCTCCTAGCTTAATTCGCCCTGCCTCTACTTGCATGGATGGAACAATTATGCAGGTCGTCGGCTGTGGTCGATCTGTCGAGCTAAATTGTAAAGCTAGCGATCGAGCAATGCAAACTTGTCATGCAACGCAATCTAGCTGAAACACGGTGGCAACAAGCATCAACGCGTGCAATGCGTTGACCGCACTGATGATCTAAGCCAGAGAGCTACTACTCTACCTGCACAATAATTTTTGTCACAGCTTGGCTTGTCGTTGCGTTCAGCTCGACTAATCACTCGATTAGTTCAGCGTATGGTAGCACGTCGAATTAACATACTAACTAATCATCGTCTCAAAAAGCTAGGTAGCCATTATATATACAATCCATCAGAAGTAACAACACTATAGCTTTCTTAGCTTGTAGGCTAGCATATGGTCTGTTCCATATTCACCTTAATTCTACTACGAAAAAAAATTAAGATGTTGCACGGCCAGGTTCATATGTTAATTAACTTATATAGATGAAGGCACCAAACAACTAATCAATGGAGGCCCTTAAACAAATCCATGCTACCTAAACTCCTATATATCCAATTGAGCATTCACACTCGTAGTATAATCGGCTAGCTAGCTTGCAGCACTCATGCATGCATGCATGCATGCAATGGAAGCACACTCATCAGAGGGTAGCATGGCATAGCATATTAGCATACAACCAAGGTACAGCAAGGCAGCATGGCTGTGTCCATGATGCTCGAATCATTGCAGCCAGCAGAAGAAAAAAAAAGAAAAAAACACAGCACAATTAACTAATTAAGGCACTAGCTGCTAATCTTGAAAAAAGGAAAAAAACATTAGAACATGGGTTAGTACTTAGTAGAACCCAGCATCTCTCCATGATTAGACAAACCTAATTGTTGTTTAGGATCTAGATAAGGTCATGGCACACATGACTGATGAGTAGTAGTGAGGTGAGATGAGGTGATCTCACCAAACGGTGAAGTGATGAAAACCCTACTGTTAATGGTGTTAAGTCTCTCTCTCTCTCTCTCTATCTATCTCTCTCTCTTTTGCTTCTTTTAGGCGTGTTTAGTTCCCAAATTTTTTCCCACAAAAACATCACATCGAATCTTTGGACAAGTATATAGAGCATTAAATATAGATAAAATAAACAATTAATTGTACAGTTTGCATGGAAATCGCGAGACGAATCTTTTGAGTCTAATTAGTCCATAATTAGTCATAAGTTTTACAGTAACCCACATGTGCTAATGATGGATTAATTAGGCTTAATAAATTCGTTTCGCAGTTTCCAAGCGAGTTATGAAATTAGTTTTTTCATTCGTGTCCGAAAACATCTTTCGATATCCGGTTAAATGTCCGATGTGACACCTAAAAATTTTCTTTTCGCGAACTAAACAAGTCCTTAATTTGTCATTTTGTCCTCTCCTATATATACAATCCATGGCCAACCTCACCGAGCTCAACACAGTGAAGAGAAGAGAAGAGAAGCTAAGCTAGTAGGTAGGTGGTGGGTTAGCTCGATCGCCAAGTGTTCGACCGAGGAGCGAAGAAGAAATGGGGAACAACCTGAGATGCTGCCTGGCGTGCGTGCTGCCGTGCGGCGCGCTGGACCTGGTCCGGATCGTGCACCTCAGCGGCCGCGTCGACGAGTACGGCCGCGCCGTGTCCGCCGGCGAGGTGCTGGCGGCGCACCCCAACCACGTTCTGAGCCGGCCGTGCTCGTCGCAGCAGGGGGCGGCGGGGCGGATACTCATCGTGTCGCCGGAGTCGGAGCTGGAGCGCGGCGAGATCTACTTCCTCATCCCCGCCGCCTCCGTCCCCGACGCCAAGAGGAGGACGAGCACCGGCGGCGGCGGCGCCGGCCGCGGGCACCACGTCCGCAGCAAGTCGGAGGGCAGCGCCGTCGCCGCCGATCGGTTGGGCAGCCCGGCCGGCAGCGCGTCGCCGGAGACGACGAGGATGATGAGGGCGCAGAAGCAGCAGCACCAACACCGGCGGCGCATGAGCACCGGCAGCCATGCCTCGCCGTGGCAGCCGCACCTCTCGTGCATCACCGAGGATCCCTGAGCTAGCGCCTAGCTTAATTTCTTTTTCTTCTCTGAATTCACAGTGGTTTTTTTGCCTGGTGTGTAAATTTCCTCTGGTGCCCGGTAAATATTTTTATTCACCTTTTGTGTTAGTGATGTGCCGATTTTACATTCTGAAATCAACAACTGTGTATAATTTTCGAAGCACAAAGCGACTTCCATTCTATCTTCTTGTATCTTCGAACAACATTTTGCAACTTCTTTTTAAAGTTCATTTGGGTTTACCAAAGCGAACGAACTTGTTCATACAAAATTAAACAAGTCGGCAGCTCTGATTGATGCGAAATTAAATGAAAATTAAACCACTTGCAAGTTATATATATATATGAACTCAACTCATGAAGTGAGGTTGTGTGTCATGTTGGATCCCCCCCCCCCAACCCCGGCCCTCTTTTTTTTTTCTTTTGTACATGAAAAAAAAAAAGAAGTTCAGATAAACAGCAACGAGACCCATCGGTTTCGATGATACCACGGCAGCAGGCAATGCTAGATCGATGGACGCTGAGATTCCCGGCAATGATTTGGGAACTAATTCATGAATACTCCTTGGAAATCACGCGAGCTCTGCATCTGATCGTCGTCCTCACGCTCGATTGATCCTGATTCCTGCGGTCCAAGTTAATTTCTGGGCCTACTATACCTTTGAAGGGCCCAGTTTGAACCGCTACCAGTTGTAGACTTGTAGCGGTCTGATTTTCGCAGGGGATAAAGTTCAGTTTATATCGCTCAACTTGCGTTGAGTTTCATTCAGATCCTCAAGCAGGTACAATAGTAGACTATTAGTGAGCTGTAAACATATTTTAATAAGATAAAAGATGAGAGAGAAAAGTAGTGGGTTACATATCTGTAGTCGCAGACTCCAAAACACAATATGTGTATGACAGGTGGGACCATATATTAATAGTATAGTAAACAACTATTGTATGAATTGACTATTAAATTAACTATAGATAAATTAAAGCTAGTAGTGGGCTATACTATTAAACTTGCTCTTAGAGATCTCTTAGCAGCTAGGGATGAAAACGGATCGGATACGGACGGAAACTAGCTCTACCATATTCATTTTCACATTTTTTTCGGAATCGGAATCGGAAACCCCGGATACAAAAACGGAATCGAATATTGTCGAATACAGATACGGAGCGAATACGAAACGAAACGAATACGGTGACGAATATTAATCGGAACATAAAAACCCCTCAAACTAAGCATCACAAATCAACGAAGAAATATAATTCATTATTTTTTCTAATAGAACATATCAACATTTCCAAATTTTAGTGTTAATAATTTTGCTATATCCAATTTTGTGGTTGAGGGTGACGGTGTATGCAAAAATCGACCTTAATTTTCTCATGCAGCTCCTTAAGACTAGTTTATCGCACTCATATGAACTCCAAATTGGATGATTCTTTTTCCTAAACGTTTGTAAAATCATGCTCTATTGTGTTATTGTGTTCTTACTGCTATTATTTTGGCCATATTTTTCTTGTGACTTTGTTTTATCAATTAAAATTTTGGATTTCAAAAAAATGACAACTTCAAATAATATTTTGAAGCGGTAAATAATTTCAGCTGAAAAAGTCATGAACATAAAAGTTGTAGAACTCATCAAGAGCTACAACTTTTATTTTGATCATTTCTTCATCTGACAAAGCAATAGTAACATTGTTCACAAAATTTACATATCTCTCTTATAACTTATGAAACCATATGTGAGATATGTAAATTTTGTAAAAAATGTAACTATCGCTTTGTCGGATGAAGAAATGACAAAAATAAAAGTTATAGATCTTGATGAGTTATACAACTTTTTTATTGATGACTTTTTCAGTTGAAATCATTTAGTATTTGAAAATGTTGTTTGAAGGTATCATATTTTGAAATTCAAATTCAAACTGTTTAAACAAAGTCACATAGAAAAATGACCCAAACAAAAGTTGTAGATCTTGATGCGTTTTACAAATTTGGTGTTGACAGTTTTTTTCATTTGAAAACATTTACTACCCAAAAAATTATTTCAATTTCATATATTTTAAAATTCAAATTTTCTATAGTTCAATAAAACTCGGATGGAAAAATTACCAAAATAAAAATGGTAGATGTCAATGAATTCTGCAACTTTGTTTTTGACAACTTTTTCATATGAGTTCATTTACTACGATAAAATTCGATTCAAAGTTTTTCATTGGATTAAAGAAGGTGGGTCCCAACTGTAAGTGTCCTCTTCCTTTTCTTTCCCTTCTTCTCTTCCTCTTTCTCTCTCTTTCTTATCTCCTTCTCTGTTCTCTTCTCCCCTTTCTTCTCGATTCTCCACGCCAGAGGGGGAGGGGCGGGCATGGCGCGCGGCGGGGTGCCAGCCTGGCGCGGCCGCGCGCACGGGATGGCGCTCTGGCAAGGGGCGCGGCGGCGGGGTGCCGGCCTGGCGCGGCGGGAGTGGCACAGCGTGGCGGGCGAGACGGCCGGCGCCCTCCCCCTCCCAGATGTAACCTTCAGTTGCTGCCTAAATCAAAATGGGGGGAAATGCTTTCCTAGATTCGTTATTTTTGTCTTCTAATATGTGAACAAGAGAACAACCTTTATTAATTAAGTGCCAACTATTAGCTATGCTGGTTTTCAGCTGATAAAAGCCACAAATTATGCTTTGCACTTTCTCTTATTGTATGTTATTTTTGTTCCCCCAAGGGGCAATATCCTGAATGGAGTCCTAAAAATGCTTGTTGACCTGAAACCTGACACTTCCACTAAAGTTCCTTTCAAAGTGTGCATTTTTACGCCTGGAACATACAATTTTTGGAGGGGAAAAAAAGAGATAATGTATCAGTAAATGATCAACAATTCTATGTATCAATGTGCTTTGTACGTGCACGTTCACTAGTATGTAATAAATATATCACTTCACGATACAATAACAAGTTTAAATTTGATTTCTACAAATTGATTAACAAATCAAACTATAACTATGTAATTTATCCACAATCAAATTTGTTGATAATTTATAATTTTTAGAAGCCGAATTTTTTGTTAAGTGATATATTTGTGAATTCCTCGCACCCTTGCGTTGGCAACGATTTTGGACTTTATCTAAAAAAGAAACTGATCGAAGGCTCCACAAAGTGGCTAACACGTACAATCCTGTAGCAATTAAGGATGGGAGTACCTATACATCTTTCGAAAGATTTTTATGATCGTATCACACAGATTTTTAATCTTTAGATTAAAATCCGATAGATATAATAAAAAGCAAAAAGCAATTAAGAAACACCATAATGGACACTAAATTACCATATCCTCAAGAAAAAGACCAAATCCAATACAAAATTTAAAATTTACATGCAAAAATTCAAAAATTACAGTGTAACTTACAAAAGTTACAGTGTAAGTTTTATAAATTACACTGTAACTTACAAGAAAATGCACTGTAAATTTGAGTGAGAAAATCGAGTGAGAGATAAGAAAAAATCTTTCGAGTGAGATATAGCAAAATCGATTAAGGATATATTTGTTTGTTGAGAGATAAAACTGGCCACACTTGATTAACTCTGGACGCGGTGGATGCAAATATATTAAGTATTCACTCTGCCTAGCTACGAGCTCAGGATTACATATGCTCACTATTGGAAAGTTGTACAAACTTAATATTTCCTAGGCCATGCTGCATGCCAGGAAGCCGAACAAGGCTCTCCTGGTACAGCAAGAGACGTATTGAATCGTCGTCCCCGTCCCCCGAGCTGTCAATGGAGGCCACCGTCCGGAGAGTGCCGGAGTCCGGGTCGTAGACATGAGCCTCGTGCGCCGTGGTCGCGACAAGAAGCTTCCTCTTCTTGTCTCCCGGCGGGGAGCCACCAAGGTAGGTGAGCGGGACGACGAGCCACGGTGCCGTGAGCAGCTGGCGCTGGCGCTGGCCCGGCGCTGGCAGGTCGACGCGGTAGTCCAGCGACCAGCTCCCGGTGTCGTAGTCCTGCAGCTTCCATATCTCCAACAGCACGTCGTGGTCGCTGCGGTGGCGGACGTCGCGTACCATGCACAGGCGGCCGTCGAGCTCCGCGAGCGTTTTCCCAACCGGCATGGCCACTTCCTCGCCGCTCCCGGACCTTATGCCTTTGGCTCGCAACAGACGGTAGTTTCTGACTCCGTTCAAGTGGACCGGAACGAGGTCGACCATTGAGAAAGGCGGCTGGGGAACACGGCGGAAGGACTCGTCGGCGAGCGAGAAAGAGAGGACGCCGTGGGGCTTGTCGAGGTAGTTTGTCCTGAAACTCCAGTGGAGGCACCCATCCGCGAACACCGGCTGCACATCGCGGTCGATGCTGGCGGCGTCGTCGGTGAAACCGAGGCCGAGCTGGAACGACGAGATGGCCCTCCAGCCTCGGGCGTCGCCAACGGTGAGCACAATGGCGTGCAGTTTGCCCACTACCTCTTCGTCTATGCCTAACTGCACCACCTTGAACTCTCTGGCCGGCGCGTGGAAGCCCATGACAGTGGCACAGTGAGGTCGGTGCGACCGGGGAAGATGCAGAATCTCACCTGTGGTAGGGTTGCACACGGAGTAGCCTTCGCACGGCCTGGCAATGAGGACGAGGCCCCAGCAGGGCTTGGAGCCGATCACTCTCGGACAGTCGAAGCAATTGCTGAGCCACGGCAAAGTCCGCCTACTGAGCCTTCTTCTTATTCGGTACGACCCCATGTGCGTAGGTGCAGGCTCCAGGAAGGTTAACTTGGCGGCGGCGAGAGCGTGGTGTCTGTCTTGGAAGCCGGGCAACGACACCTCGGCGTTCCAGGAGCGGCAGGTGCAGCGGAGCCTCGCGAGAGACCTCGCCGGCAGGCGCACGAGCACCTCCGTCACGACGTGGTCGGGCAGCGTGACCGTGACGCCACACGCCGCCGACCGCTCATCGCCCGTCTTCCTTTTCTTGGTTCGCGGGCTCGCCATCGCGTTGCTGTACGTACTGTATGTCACACCCACAAACGGATCGATCTATATATGTGCGCGCGTACGCGTACGCCGGCGGCGGCGGCGGACGAAGCAGCAGGACGTACGCGACGCACGCGGGATATGGAGATCGATCGGTGCAGGCGAACTGATCTATCTATCTATCTATCTATCTATCTATCTATCTATCTATATATATATATCCGTACCGAATTAATAAATAAGTAAAGCTTTCGTATCGTACGCATTTTTGGTCTGTCTTTTTTTCTTTCCTTTTTCGCTGTTTTTTAGTTCACACGGTTCGCTGCCGGGCCAAACTCTACCGCAGCTGTCTCCACGTCGATTTGTCAACCAATTTAAGGAGATCGAGAAAGATTCAGCCGGAGGTTGAAGAGGGTTGTTCGAACTGATACCGTGGCTTCACTTATGGGCTGGGTCAAAGAGAAACGGGTTGAGGACTAATATTTTCATTAGTTTATGGGTAAAAACCCATTTTTCCTTCCTTTTCAGTCCAAAACAATGAAGATTTTTCATTAAAATTTTCAATTATAATGTTTATAGCAATCATAATGCTTTAATTTATAAACTTTTTCATTGACTTTTTCTTCATATTGTGAATTCTTATATTGTTTGAACCCTATTAAAGAAGCTAAGTGACGAAAGTCACTCAAGTAGTAAGTTTGAGAGTGACCATTAGAGCGACCACTTGTACTTATAGGCCTTGGCAACCTATAGTCTTGTTACGCAACACAGCTTCACTCGATTCAGTAAATTAATAGTTCAAACCAGCCTCGCTCTTCCTTGAAAGAAAATAGGAATCTATGTACTCAGCAACATTCTAGTAGCATAAAACCTTTTGAGTGAAATACATGGCCGGCCCCTAAACTTGTGTGGTGGTGTCACTTAGGCCCTGTTTGATTCAGCTTAGGATTATTATAATCTGGATTATTAGATGTAAGCTAAAACAAACAGATATCTTATTATAACAGATTATTACAATCTATAAGCCAGATTAATGTAATATGGTAATCTACTCTAAAGGTGCCTTTTTAGATTATTGGGTGGCTAATAGCTAACAAGCAACTAATAATCCAGAGAAACAAACAGCTAACAACTTATTTTATGTCGGCTTATTATAATCTAGCTTATAGTAACCTGGCTCGATAATCTAGATTACAATAATCTTAAGCTGAAACAAACAGGGCCTTAGGTCCGTGAACTTAAAAATTGCACGTTTAGATCCGTGAACTTGGTTTAATGTACCACCTTGGTCCAAACGTCCTTTGATTGCATTTGACCGCCAACGTGGCATGCCACGTAGGTAACACTTTTGCTCTCAACCCCCTCCACATCACAACACGTCGCATATATCTCCTTGTAGCTATATAGTAACACCAGAATCCCAAAAAAAAAAATCCTCAAATCGTTCTTCCCTCTCATTTTTCTCCTTGCATGTATAGAAAATGCAGTCCCGATTAGCAATTGCCATTGCACTGGCTCCCGCCGCTAATTCAGCCGCACTGTACCACCGCTAACCCCGCTGCACTGCGCTGCCTCCTGCCGCTAATCTCACCGCCGAGGCCGCTACAACCGCTACCTCTCGGCCTCCTTCCGCTAACCTCACCGTCGAGACCCTAGCTGATTTAGGGATATTTTGGGGGATTTGGGTTGAAATGCATTGGTTAGGGTAAGTTATGTGTAGGGATGGCAGTCGGGCACGACAGGCACGGGTGGTGACTACCCATGCCCGTGCCCGCGAGGTAATTTATGCTCGCGAGCATGCCCGTTACTACATGACGGGAAATGAGTACTTCCCATGCCCGTCGCCCGCGGACGCCATATGCCCGCGGGCATGCCCGTTTACATGTCCAAATATCAGTTCAACCATATCCCACAAGCAAAGACAATGTCACAATTTAAAGAAAAGGTACAGTAGTACCAAGTTCAATACAAGCATTACAAGTTAATCAATCTGATGACGCTCTCTCTTGTGGCCCGATCTTCTGGTGAGGGGATAACTCTCGTTTTGATCGAGTGTGACATTTACGACGTGGCTACCAACCAGAACAAGTCCAGGATGCCGTGCAATCGGTACACCACAAACGATGTCGTACCAACCGTGACGCGCGGTTGATGATCCCTGCAATGCAAACGAGAGAACACTGCAAGAACAAGATAAGATGCAATCTAAATATTGCGAATAGGTAATTAAGCACAAAGAAATAGTTGCGATTGAAGTGGTAGATCTAATCGACCCGGCAAATCAACACACCAACTATTGGGGGCTCTGAATCAATAGTCGCCGACTAATCGAACGAGGACTAGAGACAAGGTGAATGGCACTTGGCAAAATTCAACTAAACAAAACCCAAAAGTTTTTGAGGATGTAGAAAGCTATTTATAGAGGAAAATAAAGCTAGGGTTAAGTGCTAATTCGTGGAGGTGGAGGGAGACACTTATGAGATGGGCCTAGTCTATTACAAGGCCCAAGGCCCAAGTTCGGTTTCAGCAACAGCACTGTCTTGTTTTGGCTATTCCCGTTTACTCGAGATGAATTTGGATATGAGACCGGATGCGTTTGAAGGTAGCGAGATAAGCTTTCCACGAAGTCCAAGATCACCCAAATCAGAGTTGGCATGAAGGCGCTAGGTCCGTTTGAAGTCAGTACTGTCTCCGAAGGCCGAACTGGACTTGGACTTGGAATTATCATTGTAACGTGTGAAGTTATGAGCGTATCCGATGAAGTGATGTCCTCATCATCTATATACCAATCATGTACTATGGATAAAGCACAAAATCAAATCAAAGATCTACACAGACTGAGAACCTGAAAAAAGTCATCCTATCGAACAGAACTACACCGGACTGAGAACCTGAAAAAAGTCATCCTATCGAATAGAACTACACGGAGAATCTAAAAGAATAAGAATCATCCAATCGGACAGTTACACAGATTGAGAACCCTAGAAAAAGGGAAAAAATCACACAAATGAGCGAGTTTCCCGTCGGATCCAGTTGTTCCGAGCTCGTCACCATTGCCGTCGACCGCGCTCCTGTCATAGCCTGGCCAGCCGGGCACGGCCACATTCACCACATCCCCAATTGCGCTGGCACCCCCTCCCTCTACCCCGGGGCCCCACCCTCCAGCGCTCTCCTCCTGCTCGGAAACAGAGGAGAAAGAGAGAAGGACAGCCGTCGCCGCCGTCTCTGCGCCGTAGGCTCGTAGCCCCACCATCGAGGCCGACGGGGAGAGGGGAAATGGAAGGATGGTCGTCGTACCCTCACCTCGCTGCATTGCGTCGAGCACTCGCCAACATCGTGCCATGCTAGCGAAACGGGAGGGAGAGGGGGAGCGGCGGAGGGGGAGAGGCGCCGCTGACGCCGTCGTTTTGAGAGAGAGAGGGGGGAGGGGAAATGATTTTAGGGTTAGGGTTTGGGCTGCCGACTTTATATATATGTCCGGATCAATCGGGACTGTTGATCAGATCGAACGGTTGCGGCTTCTCCCGCGTCGGGTTGCCGTTCCCAGGTCGCCACATAATTGGGCCACCTCATGGGCCATGTATACACTCCGCACAGATAAGTTCAAATTTGGTCCCGCAAGTTGTCCCCGAATTTGAAATTCATCCCTAAACCACAATGCTAGGCCAAAATCAGTTTATTTTTCTAAGCAACTGATTTAATTATTTTTTATATTTACATAAATTTGTTTGCTACTATTTTAAGCCATTTAAAATTACTGGGAAATTACGATCAATTATTTAATCACTCATAGATTATTTTTAGATAAATGAAACCAACAAAAAAATTATCTAGAAAGTATTAATCATATGATATTGTATTTGACCAACGTTAATATGGTTTCATGTCAAAATTCGCACATATTCCACTAAAGATTTTTTAGTGAATTTTATTTTGATACTACAAAGTGTGTTTCTTTCCCATTGCAGATGCCTTTACCTTTTTCCTTTTGTAGAGCATGGTGAAATCAGAGCTATAACTGCCCCTGTTTATGAAATTTTGTGAAAGTTGGAATATGTTCTGAATGTGTAGAAAATTTGGAATATCTCACGCATGTATTATAAAATTTGAGATACGACCTGAATCTAAATATGTATACAGTATGAGATATGTTTTGATATTTCCATGTATAAAACTTGGAGATATTTGCAAGGTATGTACAAATTCAATATTTTTGTGCACGTGTTATAAGTACACAAGTAATCTTAACCATCCATATTTGTTTGATATTCACCCGGTGCAACGCACGGGCATATTTGCTAGTAAATGAATATTATATTTTTAAATTAGTTTCTATTGCTACTCGGCCGCATAAAACTACACATGGGAATTATAGGAAAGGTAGAATGGTGGAAATGCCAGAGATTAGACCCTTTACTATTGGCAAAATATAGTAAGATCTGGTAAGGTTGCAAAGTTGTAAACCAAATGCATCTCAACACCAACAACATTTGGTATTTACCAAAATGTGTTAAAATTCAGTATTACATTGGACGCGCCTCAACAAATTATGCCTCAAAGGAAGCTCCCTTGTTTTCGGTCACGGTAAAATCCGGACCATCTCGACAGTCCAGTAGCAATACATATAAAAACCTTAATGCAGATCTATAAAGAAACTTTATCCTTAGATTTTTTTGAGGGCTATACTAACGCGAGCCAATGTAAATCAAATGGAAAAAGCATTTTCCTGGGTATTACTAGCATGCAACCATCATCTGTAAGAACGAGGTTTAAAAATGTTGAAACAACAGAGCACATCAAATCTTCGTATGTTGGGTGGTATTCTTCTCATGTTTACAAAAGACAAAATGAACACATCTATCCAGTTTACGCAGTCCTTTTCCTACTAGATGGAGAGGATCCATCTTGCCGCGGACGCTTCAACTTCTGTATGCATTCTCCATCATTCCTCGTATGCTTCAAAGATGGGTCGCTGACATAGTGAAAATAATCCACGTAATACAGTGCATTCTCGTCCTGATGAGCTAGACCAACAACTTCTTGAGTCCCTCTCCACTGAATCTTGCATTTGTGAGCAAGCCTTGTACATGAATAGCCGTCACGGTCTAATTGACCTTCGGATATGAGATTCTGTCTGTTTTTGCATAGAAGAAAGCATTAAATTGGATTAGTAAACAGTTGCAACCCATACGTTATTGGATGAGAACATTTTCAACATACGATTCAATTGTAATGAACATACCTCAGTCCCTTACAGTACAACACATTAAACAGTGTTACTGTACTAGTCTTCACATTTCCAATTTTTGAGCTTAAAAATGCACCTCTGGGGGTAACAAATGACTGTACCTCGTGTCTTGTATCAGATAGAAGTCCCTTTATACCAGTCATGTGATTGCAGCATAGAGAATCAACTACCCACAAATTTTTCTGCAAGTAAAGACAAATTATGAGAGGAAGTTACCAGGTATGGATAGAAGGGCTAGAAGCCTAGAACTAACCTCATCAATTGCCGTTGAGGACAACATCGATCTGGTTATAGCTTGTTGTTCTTCTTTTCTGCATATGATGCTTCGAACTATATATTCATTTCTCTTTTCGTGGAGATATCCCTCGCCGATCATTTCACCTTTATTTACATCAAAGATTTTAATCCTTTTATCTCCAACATACATGAGGGTGTTAGAATCATCCAGTTCACCAAGAGATATAACTTTAAATTTGAGAGTAGAGTGGTAGAATACTGGACTCAATTTGATTTGATCATATATCACTTCACCGGACATGTGCAGGCACACTGGGTCGCCACTAGCATCATAAACAGTATCCTGATGTTCAGTAGGAACCTCATGGAGATTTTTGAAGAGTTTATCATCATCACACATGTGGTGGCTAGCACCAGAATCAAAATAGAAGTGGACATCTTTCTTAGTAATGCAAAAAAGGTGCCCTTGTTGGATTTTGCTTTTTGGGTCCATTGCAAAAACCTAATTAAAATGAGACGGCAGAGGTTGTTCAGGCGAAAAGAAATTGAAAGGTGCATGCATTGAACATAAGAATATAAATAGAGATAAATTATCACCTTGTTGGAATGAAAGGGATTGTTGGAGAGCACTGATTTTACATCATGTAAACTGATCAAATCTGAATAATGAGCACAAAAAGACATTTACTCAGGGCTATAGAGACCAATGTTCAGAACTAGTTTAAAATGACTCATACAATTACCTTGTGAGTAATCTGATAAAGTAGTATGTAGTGGGAGCGGACAACGTTTTCTCATATCATCATAACTCTCAAAAAAAGGAGGTTCATAGTCCAGAGGCTGACAATAGGGGGAAAAGAAGGTTGTGTTAGTTTCCAGTAACAAAGTTGTATGGAACAATTTTCTGTCAGTGCATAGAGATAGTACATCAGTGTAGCAGCTCAGAATTTCAGGATGGATCAATATATATAACTATAACTAGAATAGAGAGGATGCAGGTACTAGCATATGGGTAGAGTACTTTTCAGTGGAAGCTACTAGTGTATGAACTAAATTATTCAGCAGTGATAGATATAAAATATTTTTCAGGTTAATATTACTACTGGAGAAAACACCCATGGTTCACTCAATTCAGTTGAACAAAAAGGCATAATACATTTCACTTTGAAATAGCCACATAGGTCACTGGAAATACAGAAGGGTCTCCTTATTCATGACAATTTTCTCGCACGCGCCTTTTGGTCATACTAATCTAGAAGAATTTTTTGAGGTGAAATAGTAATCTAGAAGAATATCCTTAACCAATTATGTAAACAATACTCCCACATGCATTTTTAATATGTAAACAAGGCTTTACTTTGCTGATCAACCAGTTAGTTGGTTTTGATTGCATATTGAAATACCAGTCGAAGCTGGGCTAGGTTGTATTATAATCCTGAGTATGGAATGAAAGATCAAGAAAGTTCAGTTCTACTGCAAAAAGGATGTTCATCTCTAGCACCTCAAGTTATGCATGTCACTTTGTTCACATTTTGCCCTATTCAAAATCTGGTTCATTTCATTCACATGTTGCCCCATTCAGGACCTGTTTCACTGCTGTACATGTCGTGTTGTCCGAACCATGAAGTTCTAGTAGAAGTATAAGAGGCTCACCAAATTTGATTAACAAAGCTCTCAGCTGCATCGGACCTCATTGTCCATATACTTTGAGTGGATCCCGTCAGCCGTAAGTCGATTGTAATTTCGCTGAAGTATGTGAATGATACTGCAAAAGAAATGTAAATGTGTGATAGTATTAGCCATGTCAGCTTGATATGCTATTAGTAAGCCAAAGCCCCACTCTAGCAGAAACTTACGGCAATACTCCTCCAACAGAGGGCCCTTCTCATCATAGATAGAGAAGATGATAGTTTTGAGGAACTTCTTTTTCAGAGCATCATAAACACCTAAGTTTGATACCAAAAGTTAATCAAATGGACAGATAAGAAATTGTTTTTTCACGCATAACCATATGCTGGACAAGCAAAGTATTTAAGGAGCTCATGCTATGTCGGGTACTTTTCACCTTTTTCTAGCCAATCAACAAGCCTTTGGGACTCGTCATCCATCGGCGTAAGCTTTTTTATCTGCATCCCTGTCATAAGAAACAAACTTATCAGTTCATTGCTACAAGTGTGACAAAAGAATAGGTATAGATTCAAATAAGATTTCAACCTGTCGGTAGAAAAGGCATATCAGAGAAGAACTCCTTAGAAAACAATCCTCTCACGTAGCATATATTGTAGAAGACTATTTTAATAAGACTCATCAAGCTGTCAGTTAGCGCATCATCATTCTCCTAAAATAAGTTTAGCAACAATAAATTAGTTTAGCAAACACAATTGTTGCATGGACAAATCTAAATTATTAAATAGGTTGGAACCGTGAGAAAACAACCTCGAGCAGGCTAAGAAATGCAGGTGGCCAAGACAGAAAATATGCAAATACATCAACCGGCACAGCAGCTGGAGAAGAAGTTATGAACTGAAACTCCAAAGATGAAGGTTCCAGTGCGAGCACTTGGTTGGAGTTGGAGGCGATCCAGCAGATCTGTCCCTGATCGTGGGCGGCACAGCACATGCTGAGATCAAAACGAAGAACCCTAACATGCTTGGAGCGTGGAAGGATGCACCAGAGGCAATCCTCGCCGTTGACGAAGGCGACCCAGGCGCGAGGGCGGTCGTCGTCGATGGTGACGCAGACCGCCTGGAAGTGCAGCCTACTGGGATGCGCGCGCGAGAGCACCGCGGCGCCGATGATGCGCCGGGTTTGGCGCCACTGGTCGTCGGGCAGAGCGTCGCGCGGCGGAGGAGGGAGCAGAGCCCGGCGTCCGGATGCCGGATCGAGCACCAGTATGCGGAGCAGGAGAATGTCGGGAAGCTCGCAGGGTAGTAGAAGGACCAGGCCGTGGTGGACATCGTGCACGGACACACCGGAGAGGTCGTCGGGAGCCAAGGGGAGGGAGAGGCGCGGGAACGAGGCGTCGCTGGGGACGAAGACGGGGGGGATCTGGGCCGACCGGATTTTCTCCGGGTGCAGGAGGTAGCCGACGAGCGGCGGTGTGCGGGGGACGGCGAGGGCCGCCGCGCGCCGCCAGCTCTTGTTGGCAAGGGCCGCGCGGACCACATCCCTCGGACACAGACACTTCAGGATGGATCGGAGCAGGAAATCGTCCGTCAGCACGGCCGCCATCGCCGCCGCCGCCGGTGGCTCTTCGTCGCCTTCCATTGCCGAGATTTAGGGTTTTTCTTCTCTCTCTCTCTGTTTTTTTTTTTTGAAACTAATGGAGTGAGTGGTGGATTGGATTTCTAACGCGACTTTTTTTTTTTAAACTAATGGAGTGAGTGGTAGATTGGATTTCTAACGCGGCTTTTTTTTTTAAACTAATGGAGTGAGTGGTGGATTGGATTTCTAACGCGGCGGACCACGCCTTCCAGGCTTCCAGTTCCAGCCAAGGTGGGGACATGGTGGTGTATCGGATGAGTGGGTTGCACTTGCACTGTGATTTTTACTACATTTTATTTGTTCTTTTGTTTAACAATGTTTTTTTTAAATGAGTCTTTACGAAAATTGATTTCGCCAATGCTCCTTTTTTTTTCTCTATGCCACGATCATCGACTCCGATGTTTTAGCGTCTCCACGCTAATGATACTGTCATCTACACCCTCGATCTCTATGGTAGATAAGTCATGGATACGATGAGAATCAGTGCTACATAAACAACCAACCTCATTGGCATCGAGCCTATGGTGCCACAGCGGTATGAGTCTCGCTGCCAACGTAATTGGTGTCGACTGTCAAGCCTAATGACCTCGGCGCCAATGAGGCCCGAGCTGAAAAAGGATCTATTTCTAAAATAGTTTTTCTAGGCGCCGTCACAAAGGCATGCTACTGATGATTCTACCAGTCATACACGCGCGACAAGGCAAACCCACAAGGAAAAGGTCACTTTGACTCTCTTAAAAGTCGACCGAATCTAATTCATGCCCATTAACCAAAAAACCAGATAGAAATATAGAATAACTCCCTGAACTAATGAAACCAGTGTAATTTCACTCCTTAGTGGTTTTGGAGTACGGTTTCGCTGATGTGGCGCTGACATGACGGTGTTGATTGGGTCTTTATCCCACATGGTATTGACGTGACGCTTATATAGCATTAAAATTAAAAATATATTTGTGGGACCCATTTATCATTCACACAAAAATATACAATGGGACCCACTGACATGTGGGGCCACATGGTCATCCTCTCTCTCCAACCCTTCTTCCCCTTCCTCTCTCCTTATCTCTCTCTTTCTCTTCCCCTTCGGCCAATGGCGAACAACGGCACAGCGCGCGTGGCAATGCTGGAGCTGCGGGTACGGGAGCGGCACAACGACGATGGAGACGGCGGCCAGGGCAACGTACGACGCCCCGGCGACCCAGGTGGGGACCCTGTGGCCGAGCTCGGCCACCTTGTTCCCGCCGCGGCACACGTGGAACACGGCCATGTCGTCGAGTTGCGGGAGCAGCGTGGCGATCTCCCTGCACAGTCTCAGGTCCTTCTCCGACTGCATGTCGGCACGGTCGCGCACCACGTCGACCATCACCTTGGAGTCGCCCTCCGCCCAAATGAGGCGCCACCCGTTCTGCACCGCCAGCTCGAGCCCTCGCCTGAGCACGGTGCTGATGCTCGCGATCCCGGTCGAGTGCTTGGAAGACCCGTCGAAGTTGAGCTTCATCCACCCCTCCTCCGGCTTCCTCCAAGTCCTCGTCGACGCCGACAAGTAGGCACGCAGACGCAAGATCCGTATCCCTACGCCCCGCTGCCGACGAGGATGCAACCCAGAACGGGGTTGCGCCGCCGCAGCACACCCAGACCAGCGCGGTGCGCGCGCAGCATCACCGATCCCCTCGCAGAAATATTCACAATTTGTTCGTGTATTTAGCCCCAAGCGGACCCACCAATAGGGCAATGTTGGGAAATGGCTAGACCTACCGGCGCCGGCGAATATCCCCTTCCCCGGACTTGTTCCTCTTGCCCATTATATCTTTTTTGTGTGAATGATAAATGGGTCCCACAAATATCCTTTCTTCCTATATATAATTGGTACCCACTAAAGATCATTTAGTGCTATAAAGCTCAAATTCTATGAAGCCATGTCATCCACTAAAAATCAACCGTTAGATCATTCGAGGGAGTTATTCTCAACCATCTGATCATCTCCAATATGCTCCTTTATGTGGCCCATTCACTCGATTAGGAGCATTGGAAATTCTTCTCAGCCCACCAGGCAATGAGGCATGGAGTCCTTCAACCTTCCCCTGCAGACGAGTGGTCACCAGGTCATGCGGAACCCTTCCAATAGTCTGCTGCGTCATCTCCGTATTAGAGGAACGGCTGCCATCTAACACGGCATACGAATCGACGACAATAGCTATTTGTACGCTGAGTAAATCGCTCATCTTTTTCACGCTAATTAACTTTCCATCTGTTACATCTCCTTTTGCTAAACACCACGATGGGAGCTGAAGCAGCCCGCGGCGGATGCATACACACCGCTTTATTGCGAAACCTCAGCGAACATGTCTTGCCTTCAGGAACTGACGGAGCTGCTGCTGCAGTAAGAGCAGGTACAATAGCAGGCTATAAGCCAACTGCAAACATATCTTAAGCAGATAAATGAGGAGAGAGAAGGGCAGCAGGCTATATATTTGTAGCCAGCTGTAGCACGGATTCCAAGACGAAGTGTGTGTATGATAGGTGGAACCAGATATTAATAGTGTAGTATGTAACTATTGTATGAATGAGCTATTAGATTGGCTATAGATGAATTGGAGCCTGTAGTTGGCTATACTATTAAACTTGCTCTAATGGAGAGATTGATCAATCTTTTTTCTTTATGACTTTTGCCTAATTGGTCGCAGGTGTGGTGGTTCTATGGACTGAATGCAAGCTTTATAGATTGTAGACTCATTCTATTCAAACCACGGTACATCACTGAAATATGAATTTCTGTCTTGGAATTAATGTTTGGCTTATTTTTGTTTTTGATGGCGAAATATATGGTTGATTTAACCTTACAGCACGCAGGAAAATATTATTGGTAGAAATGATTTTGTTTTTTCAATTCATATTCAGGGTATCACATAACTCTGGCTTCATGACATATACAAGTCTCCAGCGGAGTGTGTTCTCGACGTATCAGCACAGTTAGTCTATCCTTACTTCTTTTTGGAAAAATCTTATTCTTTAATTGTTTGATTTGATATTCATGCTTCCAAATAACTGTCTATGAAACATGTCTATAGAAATCGAATGGATTGCAAAAATTAAGTTCCTCCGCTTTCTTTTTTTTTTTCTGTTTAGTTTATCTTTACAATGTCAGAGGAATTTGATTATTAAAGAATGTAAGACCAGGCATGGAAATATGCGTGTATTCGGTAAAAAAACAATGATCACTAGCATCATTTTCCATTACATTACAAGATATTGTGCCTAAGATTCAGCGCTGTGGGTCTTGCTACCTGAGTGGCAGTGCACTGGACATCTGACCAACCCTACTTGAGTCTTTCTTTTTCCTTTCTATTTACTTAGTTATTTTTTTACTAAGATTTACAACTGCTATATATATATATATATATATATATATATATATATATATATATATATATATATATATATATATATATATATATATATATATATATATTGAAATATATAGCAATGTGTACATGAATGTCCCGCAGCAACGCGCGGGGTGTCATCTAGTATTTTTAATTTTAATGCCATATAAGCGCCACGTCAATGCCGCATGAGACAAAGACCCAATCAACAGCGTCATGTCAGTGAAATCATCCTCCAAAACCACTAAGGGAGTCAAATTACACTGGTTTCATTAGTTCGGGGAGTCATTTTATCCGGTTTTCTAGTTAAGGGGCATGAATTAGATTTGACCGACTTTTAAGGGAGTCGAAGTAGACTTTTTCCATCCCACAAATAGCTTGTTGTTTGTGAGCTCGTGGCCCTAGAGCCACGTGATTTGATCCAACAAGCAACCCCGGGCGGCTTTGGGTCGTGCCAAAGTGAGACTCCACCTCAATTTGGCCCAAACAGCACTCCCTACTAATATAGCTGGACCAACGGTCTCCCGTATAGATGGCCAAATGGGCCGCCCGGCTCGTAGCTTTAATTGCCTTGCTTCATTTTCGCCATATTGAGATTCTATGGAAGAAATGAAACGTTATCCGCCTACTTATACTTCTTATAGCAAGCATCCTCTTAGCCAAGAAGTCCCAGAAGTGAAGCCCCTTTCAAGCTTTAGTCTTTCTCAAGTGCTCGATCGGGGCTTTTCTGGTGATTTCTATATAAGAAAACACTTTTGAGAACTTGGCATAGAGTCGGTGATCCTACTTTCATAGGGCCCATCCTAGCCCGCCCTAGGTCCTGTCGTGCCCGGGCCAAGATTTGTCGGGCCGGCACGACCCGACCTACACGTCGGCTCATGCAGTGCTGGCCCACGTGCTCCACCAGGCCGGCACGAAGGCACGAGCAGCCCATCGTGTTTTTTTTTGAAATAAGTCTATTTACCCTCCATCTCTTTCGGCTGTGACATATATATAGCTAAAATAAGTCTATTTTGCGTCCCTACTCTTTGGGCCGTGCCATATAATATGTCTATTTGTTCTCTCTATTCTTTGTGCCCTGTCTTACCTATGGTTGAAAATAAGTCTATTTCACTTCTCTAAACTTCGTGACTTGCCAGGCTAGCCCACCGTGCTGAGGCATAGGTCCAGACATGACCCAACAGCCGGGCCGTGCCGGCACGGGCCTGACAGCGATTGGGTTGTGCCGTGCTTAGGTCGGGCCAAAACCTCGTGCCTTGCGCCGGGCCGTCGGGCCTCGGGCCTTATGGCCAACTATAGTCTCCCGTGACACCCCCCGGGGGCTCAACTCCCATTTTCTCGCGAATTCGCCCGCCGCCTGCGCCGATCTCCGGTGCTTCCGCCGCACACCTACGCACATGGCGATTGGCAATTGCTTCGACTGTCTGACAGTCTGAGGGTGATCGGCTCCAGCCTCCAAGCCCTGTTGTGTCCTCGCTCTCGTCGGCTCGTCGCTAGGCCATTCGAAGGCTAGCTACTCCGTATGCAGCCCCACCACAGGTGAGATTCTGCATCTGGCGCGGTCGCACCGACCTCACTGTGCCGCCGCCATGGGCTTCCACGTGACGGCCAAAGAGTTCAAGGTGGTGCGGTTAGGCGTAGAGGTGGGCAAACTGCACCTGCACGCCATTGTGCTCACCGTTGGCGATGCCCGAGGCTGGAGGGCCCCGGCCGCCATCGGCAACCATGATGACGCGTTCCTCGGTTTCACCGACGACGACGCCAGCATCGACAGCGATGTGCATGCACCCGGTGTTGGCGGACGGGACGGGTGCCTCCACTGGAGTTTCAGGACAGACTACCTCGACAAGCCCCCACGGCGTCCTCTCCTTCTCGGCTCTCGCCGCCGACGATTCCTTCCGCCGTGGCTCGTCGCCGCGCTCAGGTACCTTGACGACGACGGCGATCTCTCCATGGCAGAGAAGAAGAAGAGGAGGAGGAGGAAGCTCCTTCTCGCGACCACTGCGCAGGAGGCCCACATCTACGACCCGGACTCCGACAGTCTCCGGAAGATGGCCTCCATTGCTGGCCGGGCGACGACGATTCAATGCGACTCGTGCTGTACCAGGAGAGCCTTGTCCGGTTTCCTGGCATCATGATGGCAAAGGAAAGATTAAGTTTGTACAGCTTGATAATCGTGAGCAAGTAATCCTGAGTCCGTAGGCAGATCAGTCACGGCAATATTTCCAGTTTTATCTCTCAACAAATAAATAAATTCCATGCTTTGTGTTAGCCACTTCGTGAAGCCTTCCAGCAGTTTCTTCTTTCAGATGCTAAATCCAAAATCCTTGCCAATGCAAGGTTGTCAGGAATTCACAAATATATAAATTTAAATTCAACTTCTACAAATTATAATAAAAATAATAAATTTGATTGAATATATTACATAGCTAAAGTTTAATTTGTTAACTATTTTGTTACAATTTGGTCGTGAAGTGATATATTACATATTAATCTATTTTGTTAAAAAAAATTAAAAAATAGATTATATACAATAAACAAACGGACATTCACTCGCGTGAATAGAATCCTTATCGTGAACGGATGCACGACCGTCAGGTTCCAGCAAGGCCTTGCACGCTCGAACTGAGAATTGAGCATCTTGAGTGCAGCCGTGGAGTAACGGAATGAACTGACGCGCTGCGACCGTTAAAAATCACGAGAATCCTCACCATCAAATAATCTGCTCCCTTAGCTGCTGCTAACTGACGTCTGAGGTGGCTCGTGTGCAGTCGTCCAAATCGCCATTCGCAACTGCTTTGTTCGCATGCCACCTAGCATCAACGACGACGACTTTCTGAAATCTCACCAAAAAAAAGAAAAGCAAAGCATTTTGAATTCGTTTTTCCTCCCTGAATTGAAGGCAAAGAATCCTGAATTCGCCGGGAACAAACCTCCTGTCGACGCCTGGACAGATTAGTTAGAACATAATCCTAATTCAGTAATTCCTAACTCGACATCAGCATCAAGACATTGACACAACACAAAAGCACACATAGATAGCCACAGGATTCGCTCCACAGTGAATCCGGACCGTCCAGCCAGGGCACCGCCCGGATCCAATCACCGCCCTCCACGTGGCAAATCTCGCTTCGACTCGACAGCTTAACAGCTTTTCCTCCCTCGTGAAGAGAGCTCCGATTCCGAAACGGCTAAAACCGCTTTCACACTGCCTCTTTCGCGCAGATCCATACAAAACCACCGGAAAAGTTTTCAAATCCCGAAGCGGATTCGCGCACGGAAACCCACAGTCGATTCTCCGGTGAGAGGATTGTTTCGGCGGCGAGGTCGGGGGCATGGGGAACAGCATATACAGGTTCCTGTGCGGCCTCTGCTCGCCGTCGCCGGAGTACCAGCCGCACGGCGCGCACCCCGCCGTCGCGGCGCTCGGCCGGGACATCCAGCAGTTCGAGGCCACCTCGCAGGTGAGGGCGTGAGGCTGAAGCTGATGAAATTCGATTTTGCGATGCGTCGGCGTCGTAAGGTGATGGGATTTTTTTTTCTTGGGGGGTTTAATTTGGTTTGTTTTGAATTTTTAAGGTTCCGGATGGGCTGAGCCGGCATGTAGTCTCCTCCAAGAAAGCGCAGGCTAATTGGTGCGTAATTCAATTCCTCCTACTTATGTTTTCTTCCTCCTTGTTTCGAGCTGGAAATGGATCAGAGCCGATGAGCTTTGTCGTAATCGCGAGGGATTGGGCGTGTGAAAATTTTGAAAGCGACGTGTTCAAGAGGAAAATAACTCTTCTTTTTTTTTTGAAAAAACAAAGTTCATTTCTTTCTTTTGGAAAAGAGAATTTCCTTTCTTTTTCAAGCAAGAAGAAACAAAATATATCATTCGCTGATTTTGGTGACGGAATTGTGGTTCAGTACGTCGAGGGGTATCGAGAGATAACTTTACTAAACTGAACCGCAATAATTGAGTGAAGCTTAATCAGGCAGTGGAGAATTCGGTAAATTAAATCAGTCATAAATGCTTGCAGTAATTGTCATTAGCCAGTAGGCACGGTAGGATTTCCTCAAACCGCTGCCATGATACTAGCAGGGTTTACTAAATCGTTTGGGATCAGGATTATCGTCACCTCATGGTTTAGCGGTAACCGTGTGTTTACCGTGTTTACCGTGGTTTTAAAAACTGAAAAGATTATTAGACGCGATAAATCGCGTGATAATCGCATGATTTTGTAAGCCCTGGACACTAGTAGTCTAGTACTACTGTGATAAAATTTCCTGGTGCTGTAGGTACAAGAAGCTGATAGTGACATGGAAGAAAGCCAGGCCGACGCCGAGGACGCCGGAGGAAGCCGCGCGGCTCGTCGTCACCACGCTGAAGAATCATCAGAAAGCAGACGTCGAGGTATATCTCAAAGATTCAAACTTCCAATGTCATCATACTCATATTCTAGGCGCTTGAATTCTGAAAGTCTGAACAATCGATGCATGCCTGTTTATGCTTGTCCAGGGATTCTTGGTTTTCTATGGCCTTCCAATTCCAAATGCAGCAGCAAGTACCCCTGCGCCTCACACTGCACACGTCCCAAAACCTCAAGGTTGCAAGTTTGAGCTGCACACTCTCCCGGTGAGACTGATTATTACTTTCTAATCTCTGAATTTTCCTCGCAAAAAAAACAAATATCATCTGAATTTTTCATGCCAAGAAAGGCTCTTGGACTGACAAGTGCACCTGCTAGTTTCTTAGGTCGATGCAAAGGCCGTGGCCGACGGCGACACGATCACCGTGTACATTGACACGGCCGATCCTCGGGAGTCCGGCAATGTTCCCCGTGAAATTCAGAAAGCGGCGGCGGAACGGACAAGGGCGCGCGCGGCCAGGGATTATCAGAAGGCCGACGGGTTGCAGAAGATGATAGCTGATGCAGGATATAGGTCATCAGCTTGCACTTCACATCGATCAATCAGTTTTTTGTTAAATTTTCAGAGATGGTTAATGGTTCAGGCTGTGTGACAATTCTGAAGTTTTCAATGCAGGCAAGTTCCTAATGCGAGAGGCGAGGAAGTGCTCGCAAAGAAGTACAGGATCAGGCTAAGGTCTGTGTGCTACTATCTCTTGATCACTCGATCAATGAGCAAATGATTCTGCCGTTTTTCTTCTTCTCAAGTTTGAGGTGGTCGTATGAAATGAAATGAAAATGCAGGGGGATTGATGCGCCGGAGAGCGCCATGCCGTACGGCAAGGAGGCAAAAGAGGCGCTTCTGAAAATGGTGCAGGGAAAGAGCCTGAAGGTCTATGTGTATGATGAGGACCGGTATGGTAGATGCGTCGGAGATATCTACTGCGATGGGGTGTTTGTGCAGGTAATCATGCAGTGAAATCAATTTCATCGTTAGAACACTTTTGTTCTTGTTGAATTGCAATGGCACATTGTGCACCAATGGGAGAAGCTTAGAAAGTACTACTGCGATAGTTTGCGCCATGTGCCATTTCGCTTGCAGTTGTTATACTGCAGTTTTGTTTAATGGAGTGTTACTTAGGATCATGAAAGTTCAGGTGTTTAACTGGAATATGAAGGAAAGTTAATTCGTTCTTTTAAAACTTTTGCTTCCGCGTTCTGCAAGGAACTGTGAAAATATTTCATCACATGACACGTACTGAAAAAGTTTATCTTTTCCTGAAGCCTATCTTTCTTCCATACTTACACAAGGTACATAATTTGCCTCTTGCTTTCTGAACAGGAGCAAATGTTGAAGAAAGGATGTGCATGGCACTATACTGCCTATGACCAACGACCAGAGCTGGCCAAGGTACATTGAAACCATACAGCTACACAGATCACTTGAGTGAAAAGCACCATGAACATTCAGGTTGTTCTGTATCATATTTCTAAATGAGAGCCTTTGATTTTTCAATCTATCAGTGGGAGAAACAGGCGCAATCTGGCAGGAAGGGCTTGTGGGCGGCGTCAAGGCCACAGAAGCCATGGGAATGGAGGAGGGACAAGCGCAATGGTACAGCATGAACATGAACCATGAACAACAGATGATTGATTTATAATATTAGCTCTTTCAGACTTGTAGCCCGGAGCAATATATGCTTTACACCACAGTAGAAGTGTAGATCGTGTAGTGTGTACACTAGTACATCGGCAGAGGGGTTGTCAAGGAAGAAGAGGGCGTTGATTGGTGTGTGTACTATAATTGATTAAGTGCATATCGTGATTTGTGTGTTGTATTGTATTTGAGAATTGCATTGTTGTAAAACTGAAACTGGTAGAGGATGTCCAAGTGAATTCAATGTTGTTCAGGAACTTCATAAAGCTGAATATAAGTAATCATCTATCCCCCTTCTCTGAAAGAGCACAAATCTTAAAGCAGCATATTGTACCTTTTTTTTTTGCCGGGAGCAGTGGCGGATACAGAAAATCGATTCGTTGGTGTCATAACGTGTCTATCGGTGCCATAGTATGCTAATTATGCTTAAATCATGGTGTTATAATATATGGATAAACAGTTTTGCTATAGGTTTTGCTGAAAACCGTCGGTGTCTGACACCGACACTTATACTGTAGATCCACCCCTAGCCAGAGAATACTAGCTCCATCCACACATACAAATATTTTGACCATTTCATTTCTCTATAAATATAAGGGATTTTGGGGTCTCGAGAATAAAGAAACTATAACAGACATTTCATCGGTTATCATTAATTCTCGTTCGATGTGCTAGAAGTACAACAGATAATATCTCAGCTTTTTTATTACAACCTTAATTTTTGCTAAATAATCAATTACTACCTTCATATTTTAATGTATGACACCGTTGACTTTTTGTCCAACGTTTGACTATTCGTCTTATTCAAAAAAATATGTAATTATCATTTATTTTATTGTGACTTGATTCGTCATCAAATGTTCTTTAAATATGACATAAATATTTTTCATATTTGCATAAAAAATTTGAATAAAACGAATGGTCAAACGCTGATCGAAAAGTCAACGGCGTCATACATTAAAATACGGAGGGAGTATATCTGTTAACGAAGGGAACAAACATCCAATGACTTTGTCATAAACAGACCTGAATTGGAGACAGCTCAGACAGGGAGATAGAAGCCCAAGCCTATGAACGGAGGTGCTGAGTTCATTAGACCTAAGGCCCAACAAAATCTCCAAAAAGTAGGCCCAAGAAAGGATACAGCCCATGAGCCCATGATACACATTCGAAAGAAGCCCACCAGTAACGCTCCCAGGCCGACCCAGCTCGGTTCGCACGCCACGGACGCGCGACCCCCGCCGCGCCGGCGCCGCCTCGGCCTCGCGACGGCTTCCGCTCGCCTGCGCCGGCGGCGAGCGGGAAGAGCTTGCCGCCTGGGCGCCGGGTGGCTGGCTGGCCTCCTCCTCCTCCAGGGCCAGATCTGCGGACCGGAACGGCGTGGTGCACCACGGGCTCGGGTGCTTGGTGGTGGCATGTACGCCGCTCACAGGCATCGCCACGAGAGGGGTGCCCATGCCCACGGCGGCGGCGGCGGAGGAGGAGGAGGAGGAGGAGCTAAGGAGCGGCGCGGTACGTCGCCGGTGCTGTTCTGCTTTGTAGCCGCTGCTGTCCTCGTCGGAAATGCCTGCCACGGGCTGTTCCCGCAGGTATTGAGAAATGAGCGCTGAGTTCCTGACGCGTTTAAATCCACTGATTAGCTGAGTTCCCTTCCAAATTAGCACTGAAATTACAGATCTACATATATCTGAAGAAATCTGTCGATTTTTCTTTTTGTTGACCTGTTTATACTGTCTAAGATTGATAGTGGAACCGTTGTAGATTCAGCTGGTGAAGAAACTCCAATGTCTTGGTGTCCTAAATTCGATTTCTTGGTCGTTTTACTTTGCTGTTGCAGAAGAAGGTATCAAGCCATGGATTTAATTGGATAATGTCGTTGACGCCCAAACCTCAAGGTGTTAAGTATGAGCTGCACACGCTCCCCGTGAGGCCTCACTCTCTTTGCAATTGGCATATCCTTTAGCAATGCTGTGGTAGTTGAATGTCTGAAAAATGTGTGCTAGTTTCTTCAGGTGGATTCTAAGGCTGTAACTGACGGCGACACGATTACTGTTCACGTTGTCACAGCTGATCACCCGGGGTCTTTGAATGTGCCCCAGGAAGTTCAGAGAACAGCGGCTGACCGTGCCGAAGCACTGATGACCAAGAATTATCAGAGGGCTGATGAATTGCAGAAGATCATACTTGATGCAGGGTTTAGGTTGTTTTGCTTAGAATTCAGCACAATATTCAGTTTTCTTCACATGGTTTCTGCCTGTGACACTTCTGAAACTTTTCAGTGCAGGCAAGTTACTGACTCAAGAGGTGGACAGGTTCTCATGAAGAAATACCGGATTAGGCTAAGGTTTATCTGGCTTCTGGATTCTTGTTCGAGTGAGGTACTTCTTTCCAACTGGGCTGATATAATGTAATGAAATGTATGAAATGCAGAGGCATCGATGCACCAGAGACCTCAATGCCTTATGGCAGAGAAGCAAAGGAGGAGCTAACAATGCTGGTGCAGGGAAAGAGACTGAAGATTTCTGTGTATGGCAATGACCGGTACAGTCGATTAGTTGGAGATGTCGATTGCAATGGGGTATTCGTGCAGGTAAGAAATCACATTGCGGTCTGCTTGGGCCCTGGAGTTCTGTCCGAAAGGTCTAGCATACTGAAATGTTTGGGCCCTCTAGTCTTGTGATCACAAGTTTACAACTGTTTCATTGAGGTTCTTCCATGTACAACGAAATGTATGTATTCAGGATCATGAAATGCTTAGAGTTTTTGATAAGAGCATAAGTCAGAGCTACAGACACAAGCTTTGATCTAAATCCTGCAAGAAAATTTCTGAATTTCCTGTGCTGAAGAAGACACATGCTTTCTAGCACTGATTTTAGAGAGTTATTAGTGACATTTTGAATACGAAATATATTAAGCTTATTCTTTATTTTTCAAAAGGAACACATGCTGAAGAAAGGGCTTGCATGGCACTACATTGCCTATGATCAACGACCGGAGCTTGCCAGGGTAAGCAATGCATTGTCCAGTACTAAGTATGGAACACCTGACAGCTCAAGTTTACTTGACTGAAGACCATGCTCTGAACATTTTTTTCAAGCATAAACACGAGTTACTGACAGACATAAATTTTCAGTGGGAGAATCAGGCAAAAGCGAGTCAAATTGGTTTATGGTCTTTGCCGAACCCTGACAAACCATGGGAATGGAGGAAGGAGAAGCGCATCAGGAATTCAAGACAGGGTAAAATCAGCCGTGGATTTCAGTTGATTTAGGCCCTGTTTGGCACAGCTCCAGCTCCAGCTCCACCCCTCCTGGAGCTGGAGCTCAGCCAAACAGTTTCAGCTCCACCAAAACTGGGAGTGGAGTTGGGTGGAGCTCTCTCACAAAATGTACTAGAGTTGTGGAGCTGGGTTTAGGCAGCTCCACAACTCCACTCCAAACTCAACTCCTGGAGTTATATTTAGGAGTTGGAGTTATACCAAACAGGCCCTTACTCTGCAATCTTCTAGCCCAGAGGCCAGAGCAATGGTTCTGTAGAATCTGTAGCTTGTGCCGTGTATACCTGAAAATTTTACTAGCTGTTGTAAGGCAAATTAGCAGTGTTGATTGAGTGTAACTTGTAAGTTGTAAGCTCCGACTTGGGATGAGGATTTGTTGCATTCGACTGTTGTAATTCCTGTAACATGGGACTTGACTGGTCGTTATAAACCTGTAATGGATATCGTGTTGATTAAACCAAAGGCATATGATTAAGTGAGGAAGTGTCAAACATGAGCCAAGCAATGTAGTTGCACATGAAACTGTTGAAGAACCAGAGATTTTAGGGCTTTTCATCGTAGTTTATTTTCCAATATTGGCTCTTATATCATGAATAATACAAATATAAAAGTTTTACTCATAAATTATTTTTATTGCTTCGTTTATTTTTCTATGACTTATCGGTTGTAGCTCAACCAATCAGATGCCGTTGTGATGTCGGTTTACGGAAAATTTTCACATGTCCCATCTTTCATCGAGATAAAAGAACACCATGAGAACCGTGCCTAGCTCGGTTGGTATGGGTTGATTGCTTTCGCCCAGCAGACCTAGGTTTGACCTCTCGACCTGCTCATATTCCACCTGGATTAAAGAAGGATTGGAAAAATATGTGGCTTCTCGTATCTTAATACCATCGGATGGCTAGCTCTTTCTAGCCATCCCAACTTTTTTTTTATATAAAAGAACACCACATAATCAAATGCCTCAAATTCACCATCATCCAAGGTGCCCTTCAAATTTACTAGACTGAATTGCACTACTTTGAACCGCATTTTATTACCAAACTTTCAGTTTGGACTACTCCTATATAATCTTTTCACTTTGAATTAGGTATTTTTACCTTTTGCATCACTTTGGACCACCCAACACACTTATTCATCTACATCCAACATGCCTATATCAAAAGTATGGTCTACATAAAGCTTCAAAACTTTATCAATATGCAAGAAACCGACATAATCTAGATCATTGATGTATTTGAAAAAAGAGTCAAGTGACTTATCTCGATCGTGTGTTCACTCGGTAGACATGACACCGTGCATTGTCGCCACATGGATGGACTGCCCTCTCCCCTCTCCATGGCAATTCGCTTCAGGATTGGTGGCCATCTTCTAGGGCTTGCTTACCCGAGCATCTTCGCTTAGGCTTCGACTCCTTGGTCCTCCTAGTCTCTTGGCAACTGTGGAAGGAGTGGAACTCCAGGGTTTTTGACTCGGCACTATCCTCGGTCTCTGTGCTTATTGAGCCCATTCACTCGGAAGGCCGTCTGTGGTCTTCTGCGGGCATTGCTGCTTTGGGGATTTGCTAGGAGTGTAGTGTGCTCCGCCCCCTCCCTCTTGTATGTTGGAGTAGTCTTTTTGCACTACTAGTTCTTTTTCCCTTTTCTTTTTCCCTCCTCTCTAGCATAGGCCTGCCTGCTCGATTGCGTTGTGTAACAAATCTCCTTTTCTTCTAATATATTGACGTGTAATTCTTTTACGCGTTCGAAAAAAAAGTAAGGTGGCCTAAAGTACAACAATGGTAAATTATCTAGTTTATAAAATAAAAACATTAGTTGGAATGGTGGTTCAAACTTCACAGTGAAACTTTGGCATTGTAATAAAAATTGGCCAAACTGTAATTTACTCAATTTATTACTTCTACAAACGGACGGCTACGATGCATCGCGTTAGAATTCACGGAGAAATCCCAGCCTGCAGCTGCAGGTGGTTAGGTTACCCGTTCAGCCGTCCTCCTCCTCCTCCGCCGCCGCCGTCGCCGGCGGCGGGTCTGCGTTTACTCCTCCAAACCCGTCTCGCGTTTCATTCGCAGGTACGCGCGCTCACGTCGATCCTTTGCTGTACATTTTGGGTGGTTGGGGTGCATTGATGTGGGCATGGATGTTGTTTCATCACCATACTTGATAATGCTATGTAGAAATACAGACTTCTTTTTTTCGTGTCTCCCCGTATTAAATTTGCGCAATTAATTTGCAGTGATGCGTTTTTTTTCTCTATATCAGCAGTTAGGAGATCATGGGATTCACTAGACATTTGGGCGGATGTGTTGTTCTTGTTAGGTTCGTTCAAGGATTGAAAGCTTCTGAAATGAACGCCATTGGTTGGGACTTCGAGTGTTTTGATGTTCTGAAAGCCTGAAACCATGAAGAATCGAGCAGTAGAGATGTCGAGTGGCGTGTACACGTATAAACATCACTGCGAGGGAGGATTCGATATCCATGAAATCTACATCAAGAGGAGCAAATTCAGGGTGCTGTTCTCTTATGTCGGCGAAATTTTCCTCTTTGCGAATGTACTGCATGCCTTGCTGTTAAAGGTCGTTGTTCTCTCGGATGATAATCCCAAGTGGTAGCTGAGTCTTCACTATTTCAGTGACCTACTGCATTCTCCCAAAAAATTTATTTGCTGATTGCTGAATGCCAACATTTTTCATGATGTGAATAGATATGTGAGGTTCTTCAAAAACAAGCTTATCATACATGCCTTGTCAGTGATACTCACATGATGTTGATTTTGTTTGGGTACTTAAGATTCAGAAAGAGAAGAAAGGTGTCACCATACGCTTGTGACTTTAATGAGTTTCTGACTTTCTGTGCTCAAATGTTTCAGGAGAGTCTATGCATCAATTCTTTTTGGAGTATTTCATTTGCTTTTGCCGTTGCAAAATGCTTAAAATATAAGCCTGTGAAGAAAGGTAGGTGGGCAGTGTCTGTATTATCTATTTTGTGCATTTTGCACTGATTGTTTAGTTATTTTTTTACCTGAAGGAAGGATAAAGATGTATACCCTTGTTACTCAGGATCCTGATTAGGAATGCTTATATGGAAGTGCAATTGTGTGCTCCTCATTGATACCATTTTAATCCTGTGCAGAGTCATTGTTGATCATGCCAACCTTTGGTGTTCAGCTAGAACAACACTTTTGGAGGTATGAAGATCCAATTTGGATTTTTACAGGGGTGCAATAAGTTCCACTCTTACTTATTCAAATTTTAGTGACACCCCAAGGGGACTTTGGCAATTGCAAATAGATAGGGGTATCATGGTAGTGGAAGTGAAGTCTTCAAAATTTAAATAACTACAAATACTTCTCTCTTTTTTGAGAGAAAATGTACTGAACATGCAAAGTTTTTCAGGAATACAGGCATTGCAGAGACACTTCCCATGTTTCTTAGATTTTATATATGCTGCAGCACGTAGATTTATTTTCTTTTATCTTCTCTTCATCAAAGCTACCTTTTATAGTGGAAGAGTTCATCGTCAATTTGTGCCCGTTGGCAAGCTCCTAAAGCCAGTGTTGAATGAGCATGTGACCCCTATTACATGTTACTGGAGCTTAGTGTTGCTTCTACACAGCGAAGACAAACTCGTGCGTGTTTTTAAGGTAAATTTTTCCTGCTTTCAGTTGGTTTCAAGTGCACTACGAGGAATCCGTTGACTGACGGAGTCCCTTAATTTGCAGAAGGTGTATCCACCAGTCAAAATGATGGTTCCGATATGGAAAGCTTTGGATGCATTCACAAATTATGGTGGCATGGGCAATTCTGTAGCTCTTCAACCAAACCCTCTGCTTATAAATGTTGAACAAGGATGTACAGCGACATGAAGCCGTGATTCACTGAAGACTTTGGCTGACAGAAGAATGTAAACTAAATTTGCTATGGACAAACGAAAATAAACTATAAAATGAGAAAATGTTAGTGATGGAGAGCTGTAATTTTTCACTGGAGGAAGTATTTTATTTCTTCTCTGTTTTTTAGCTGCAGAAATTTACCAGCCCATTTACCACCTTGGCCATGTGTATTTCTGACCCTCTGAAGATTCGCAGTAGAATGTCCTGTACCGGTTTCCAGTTCTTGCATAGGAGTTCATCTTCTGCACATTGTAAACTCATTGCAGTGTACTTTTGCTGGTACTACTAAAAAGCTTACCACTTGGATGAAACCAGATCTGTTCTTCTGATTATATTTTTCCTCGAGCTAGATGTGAACTTATAATAGGAGTCATCCTCCCTGCTGCAGAAGTTGACAAGCCACACGGTTGCACTGCTGCAATAACTTCAGAATGTGTGTAAGCTTGAAATCTCACATGCTGAGAGTTTTTATTTAATCCTGTCTGTCTCTTGTCGGCAGCGACTAGTATAGCATATTAACACTGATCAACTGCTAGTTTACTGTCCATTCCATTGATATCAGTTTGTTGCTAACTAGGCCATTAACTGCAGATTTCAGTGGATCTGAAGATCTAGACATGGAGACCTGTTCTTGGCAGTGTTACCAAAGAAGAACTGTCACCAGGTCATCATCATGCCAGCCATATACCATCATCAACACCATGAAACTTCTCATTATCACAACTGTACATGACAAATTGCCAGATCCTGCATCCCCACCTCATGAAGACTACAAAACTTCCATCACATTCTTGGTCAGACTAAACAGCCATGCTTCACCGAGTGTATCAGAACGGTGAAGGGCCCACATGTCAGTGACCCTGTTCGCGGACGAAAAATCCGTATGAGCGTTTGCTAGGGGGATGTTTGCTCACCGACAACTGGAACCCGACACAAGAACCCGGGTCACTGTCGTTGTGAGCTCTGAATTGGAGGGCATGATGAGTGTGCAAGAGGATGACAAGGACAAAGTGTAATGATACATAGCAATCCTACCAGTGAAGAAAAACTGACAAGGATAAGGCATGTTTCCAAATTACATTCCAATATGTGTGGCTAGCTTAGGTCAATTTTTACCTTTTTTTGGTTTTTGTTCTTCCCACTGTGGGCACTGTTCCTGAGTGCTCCCTTTCCTGTACATCCTTTCTGGTCTGATTTAGCAATGTGGCTGTTTCATGTGTATGATATTTTCGGGAATATTTTTGTTTTCGGGAATATCATGTGTATGGTATTGACACTGTGAAATAAAAGTATTTCTTCAGATTTATCCAATAAAAAAGGTATTTTTATAAAAGCATGTAAACTAACCAGTGTATTTTTAGAGGGCTCGCAATTATCATCATTTTTTTTGGGAATAATTATCATCAATTTTTGTGACAACTGTTCGGTTCTTAACATTCCAGAGTTGAATAGTGTAAAAGGAGGACTATTTTTCAGATATCTCTCTCCTGCCTCTAATAATATATCCTTTTACCTACTACTAATGCTACACGTGATAGATGGCACCGGTTAAAGATTCTGTTTCTTGATCACTCATATTTTCATCTTTGATTCCCTTTTGGATCACTCATTTTATTTCCTCCACTTGGTGGCTACTGGTACAGGCAAGATCTTTCAAGTTTCAACGTATCCCGATCGCATCACTGGATCTTACGTGAAATGAAATCACTGGATCTCAGTATCATTTCCATTCTTCTTAGTTAGTGTCCACTATCAAATCATTTACCAAGCAATCAGTAATTGTAATTGACTGCATCAAGATGGATGTCACCTGCTAAATCCTGACTCGTAGAATGATCAATGATCATATTGTGTTAAATGCACTTGACTAGTTCAATAAAGAACTTAAACTAATGACGAAAAGCGGGCAATCACTTGGTATATTCCACTCCCCCTCATGAGAGGGTCCCTAAGTCTCAAACGTGGAATAGAAATAGGATATAATTATTTTTATTTAATTATGCGTCAAGCATGATTTAAACTTGAGAACTTTAGCTCCCATATCATACCGCGTAAAAGCTTTTTTTCAGTAGTTTCCTTTTCCTTTTCTATTTGGGTCTTTTCTCCCTTCCTCCGGCATAGGCATGTCTGGCTGATTGCGTTGTGCAACAAAACATCTTTTCCCTTCTAATACATTGACGTGCAATCCTTTTGCGCGTTCGTAAAATGATAAGAGAAAACTGAAAATTCACTTATATTTCAAAATATCAAAACTAGAAATTAGCAATTTGCAACTTGTGCATCAACAGCCATGAAAGATGATGCATCACCAACAGTCCAGAACTATTATTCTCCCAAAATAAAGGAGGTCAAGATCAGAACTGTTTACTGAAACTAATCAACAGCACTCCTAAGCTGGCACAAGGTACAATTCTTGTAACGAATTAATGTGAAAAAAGGGGGGGGGGGGGGGGAATTGAACTGCTAACCGATACTGACACACAGTTGATGCCGTTGCTCAGACAGCTGCATATAAATTCCACTGTTCTCCAACATTCTCCCTCATAACTTGCGCCGACGCATTGCAGAAACACACCAATTAATGGATGCCAGCAATTTTCTGAAACTAAATATTCTTGGTGTTTTTTTCTTTCCGTTCAAAAAAAAAATTCTTGGTGTTTTTGGAAATTCTTAAATAAAATATGTGATAGGTATGTGTCTCTTTAATTTTTTTTAATAAAAAGAGAGAAAAATAGATACTATATACGTCTCATATTTTTATGCTGACCAGGGAAGGGAAGCTGAACTAGTCAGTACAGCAGCTACTGAATGTCTGAATTACGAACTCTTCAGTTCATCTGTTACTTTTGAGTCGATTAATTCAGAGAAATTTTGTCGATCAAGTTCTTAAAAATAAAGTGACACATCAGATAGGGGGCACAAACAGTGACGCATGTAACAAGCCTCATTTTCAGGACGCTGCCGTCCATTTCAAATTAAATTATTAATTAACGTCATTAACACTGGCTGGACCGACTAATCACACTCTCAGGACAGTCATTAGCATATATGTCCCTTCTCATTACACGACAATCTAGCACCAGAAACTACCTACACTTACGTATGTACAGCGACAGCTGATCGCACTGTTAACGTATGATTCACACATGGTTGGCCGTAGCCTTATACAGTATTGGCCGTAGTCAACCTCTTCAGACATTTCTAAGCAAAACTACTCCCTCCATCTTTCTAAAATAGTATAGTTTTAGTTAGTAAAAACATAGTATTAAGCATGAGGTTAAAAAATTACTACGTCCTTCGGAGAAAAAAAAAGAGAATAAAAGGTACTACTATTAGTTTAATGACTAAAAAGAAGAAAAATATGAAATGGTATTAAAGAGCTCTAGTGGGCCACTCTAAAACCTCACTCTTTTATGATACTTTTTTAGGTTAAAACTACACTATTTTAAGAACGGAGGAACTCACATTCACAATATTTTTTTTAGATTACCCATAACATCTTATTTATTCTTTTTTCATTTCAAATTTTTCTCTCCATTGAGTTATAAAGGGTACTAGTATATACTCCCTCCATATTTTAATGTATGACGTTGTTGACTTTTCAACCAACGTTTGACCATTCGTTTTATTTAAAATTTTTGTGCAAATATAAAAATATTTATGTCATACTTAAAGAACATTTGATGACGAATCAAGTCACAATAAAATAAATGATAATTACATAAATTTTTTAAATATGACAAATGGTCAAACGTTGGACAAAAAGTCAACGGCATCATACATTAAAATATGGAGGTAGTACTACAGTTCCATCAACTACCATACTTCCTCCAGTCAAAATTATTTAACATTCATTTAGGACAAGATTTAATTAAAATTTTAAAAAAATGACCATCGGTAATTTCTCAAATGGTTTGTTTAAAACCTAAAAACAATGCGGCATGAGCATATTTGTCTTGATAAGGAATAGTGTTTTAAACCTATTAGATTTCACAATTTATTTTAATGTACAGTTGATGAACAATTTTTTAAATATTTTGATTGAATTATATCCCATGCATCAAATATTTTTAACCGGTGAAAGTATTATGTAGGGGATTTTTTTAAAAAAAAAATTGTTCGCAGTGCCTCGTACCTCGATTTTAGAAGAATGTCGAGATTTATTACTCATAATTTTGTGCGATGTTACAATATATAGCAGAAGAAAACACAAGACTAAAACCCTAAAAACTACAATTAGAAAGAAACTAAAAAAACCTGTAAAAAAAACTCAGCAAGCTCACCTCCGAGCTTACAATCATGCGCCAATAGCACCTGCACACACTGCTGGGAATATACAAGACCAATCGCCTCTACGCCTATGACAAAGCTTAATTTTATCCTAAATTAACGGTAGAAAAGTGTGGTAGCCTCTTTAAAAGGTGAAAAGCAGTGCTTATTTCTCAGTTTTTTAAAAAGATAATAGAACTGGTATTCCATCACTGTATTTGGCATAGTCTGCAACGGAGAGAGAGTGTGGCCGATCGATCGATCGATCCATTGGTTTCTTTATTTCCACGTGGTTTTGTCGTTGAATTGCTCCTTTCGGTCTCTGAAAAATTGAATGGTGTGCCATGCGAAAACAACAGGCCACTGTCGCAAACCGTCACCGGTCACGCAGCGAAATTATTCAGTTGACGAGCAAAGAAAATTCACAATTTCTTCTTTGAGCTTCTGACATCTAAAATTTCTTCTAAAAAATCTCGAGCTTTTTAAACAGTTTGCTAATACTTTTATAATTAAAAAAAATTAGAAGTTAGAGGTTTAAAAAGTTAGCTTCTTTTTTTTAAAATTTTTACCACAGCTGGCTACTCATGCAACTTCTTAAAATCTCGTGCTCTCCTGAACAGAGCATATATGCATCAATCGATCAGCACGGCTTGGTTCATCATGTCCTTATGGGCGTTAGGACTTATGCATCGATCGCTCACATCATTTTCTGTCTCACTGAAACAGTTTTATTAGATGGGGTTGTTTGAAATGAAAAGAACGTCGTTTTGTTCGTTAGTTAGGTTAATTAAGCCTGAATTCTGCTTTATGTTATAATCATGCCGTCTTAAAAGTATTTAAACTAGGTATTAAAAGTGGACTTGACAAGACTGGATTACAGGAACAGATATATAATTAAAACCATTTTCAGATTCAGAACCGAGGCTCATGAATCACGATTATGATGCAATTACCAGCGACAGATTCCTAAATTCAGGTGCACTCTCGAGACAGATTGTTAGAACAAGCAAAGTTATTTATTGGTGCTGCTACATCTTACAACCTCAAGCGTGTACAGTGCCATATACTTTTTCTGAATGAGTAAACTGAATTTCAATATCCGAAACGTCTGTAAATTCAGCAAACATTCAGTTCATTCTTCAGCTGCCTGATTTTTTCCTGAATATAGCTAGCTTGCTACATGCCTGAATAAAACTGCCAGTTTTGCCTCTTTTTTTTTTCACCGTCACTGAATTACATAGGTGGAACGTTATGAGATGTAATTTATTGGTTCTTGAAGATGCTGGAGTACCTTAATCTTTCAATGATATGTATCATAAGCCGAGATGCTTTTCTTTTCTTTGAAATCGACACCTTAGCTGTGCTCTCATGATCCATACCTTACAGATTAATGAAGGTGCTTAACTATATACACACTTTATCTGAAGCAATGTGGATCGATTTGCAAAGTAGTTGCACATGCAGGAACACCATTACTTGCTGACAAAATGACGACGCTACATTGAATGCAGTGCTCATTCACTCTGACGGTTCATGCTAGCTTCTCGTTGATATTATGATTTGCCATTTGCCAATGCTGCTAGCTGGCTTGGTCCAATCCTTTGAAGTGCCTTGTAAAGCATGCAAGATACGACTACTGTGCTAGCTTAACTAAACCAAGTTACACCTAGCTATGACAATAATCATCAATTCCAATCAATAGCAATACATGTTCTTGCTACTACATCTATCTCGGCCAATTAGCTACCTAGTTTAATTTTACCGTTAAACCCACTTGTTGGGACTAGCTAGTAGTACAATCAAGTTACTCACAAGCTAATTAATCAGGTGAGAGTTAAAAATGGTTTAAAAATATAGAATCACGTGATAGCTAGCCCGTTGATGCAAGGAGTTCATTTGTTTTGTTTTGCTTTCAAAGAATGTATTTGATAGACTCTTAATTAGAGTGGACTTACCGGCGCCATCGACGGAGGTTAGTGTGAGTTAAACTAATGTCGATGGATTAATTAGCTCTTAAGACCGGGGTTAATTAAGTAAGGGGACATACATGTATATTTGTCAAGTGAGCTGTCTAAAATTAATATAATTGATCATTGTCTTCTTGGAAATGTCCTTGCAATGTCTCCTCCACTGTCCTGATGCCCTTCAGATGGGGGAAAAATCTATGGCCAAATTGTACGTACTGATAGCCCTACTCAGTACTGTTCCTTAATTGTTACAGCTCCTCAACATGCATAGCTAATTTGAATTAATTAGATTGGGCCATCATGTTCTGCACGTATCAATACATGGTTTTTTTTCCTTCTGTTTTCAGAATAATAAGCTATAGTGCAAATGCATGAAGACGTTATTCAGACACTCAAAACTGCAAAGTGTCCATGAGAGTAGCATCATTCAGATTTCAGAGACACTGAATTAAGCACACCAAGTCCGGCATGTGTGTAAATGGTTTTGAATCATGTTCAAAAGGTATATACTACTACTATCAAATATGTCAAAAACAACTACAAAATTGTACCGAAAAATCAATTATGTTTCTAGGAACCTAGCTACTCTCTGTCATTGTGCGCGTCTCTGTTCATGATCAGATTCAGAATCAATCATCACTGCGGCCATCCGCATTGATTTCTCAACGACACAAGTAGCTAGGGGGAAACCACTGTTCTAGAATAAGTGCATGCACAATAACACGTAGCTGGTCCTCTTCGTAGGCATCCCATAAAATCGAAACATGTCCTAGCAAATAAATGTAACGATATTAGAAATATATAGAAGCAGAAAAACATCGATATAAATAAAGAGTAATTTTACGATCCTTAAGAGTTATTTAAATATATCACTTTATAGTGTAAAAGTTAGTACCTTTTGATACCTTATACTAGAGCTACTGAATTTTTAGTGTAAAAAATAGTACCTTTTGATACCTCATATATACTAGAGCTACCGAATTTTACAATAAAATGAGGTACCTTCTCCTATAAAATTTCTCATAAATATAAAGAACTGCGAAATTTCTCATAAATATAGTGGAAGAATCTTCCAGCCTCTGTGCCGTGTATACATAAACATACAAGGCGTGCAAAGGAAAAATTACAAATTTTGCAAACATGAAAATAATATAACACCATGCATGAATATGTAGAATTTACAGATTCAAAATCAGTTCCAAGGAGATGCCATGATCTGCAATGCAAGGGGCATCAATTTATATAGATTCTACCATTCTAGCACACCCATGCATGCTCATATATTATTCTCCATATATACTTCATACAAGCTTAATTAATTAAGCATATAACACTTTGGTGATAGTAATTAAACTCTTCCATAAATATCACTCCATGAAAAAGCCACATATATATGCATATGGTAAATAGAACACTGTTAAAACCTGCAAATTACACCCCAAGTTGAAACAGCAGCCGAGTAACAGTGACAGACAGCGTGAACTACGAGGCAAGAAGAGGAGAGGCTACGCCGCCTTCTGCGCCACGGCGGCGCTAGAGCCGTGGCCGCCGGCGCCGGCGCCGGCGGCCACCGACGAGATGGCGCTCCTCACCGTCATGGCGACGCGGCAGTTCTTGATGGCCCTGAAGCTCTCGTGCCGCACCCTGAAGCACGCCGTCGACGCCGCCATGTCGTCGTCGCCGCCGTCGTCGTCATCGTCGTCGTCGTCCCCGAACGCGCGGCCGCCGCCGCCGTGCCCCTGCAGGCTCCTCATCGACGAGCACGTCGGCGACTGCGTGCTCCTGAACGACAGCGAGTACGACGAGTAGAACGAGGCCGACGACGACGACGACGAGGTGGAGGAGGCGCAGGACGACGTCGGCGAGCCCGACACCGGCCGGCCGCCTCTCCGCAGCCTGATCTTGGGCAGCACGAACAACCTGAGGATGCCGTGCTTCCCATACTTCCTTCCTCCTCCGCCGCCGCCGCCGCCGGCGGACACCTTGCCGGCGGTGTAGTAGGACGGCGGCGGCGTGAGCGGCGGCAGCACGGCGTCGGACATGGCGTTCTTGGGCGTGCCCGGCTGCGACTCCCACAGGAAGGGCACGGAGCCCGCGGAGGCGACGCCGTAGTACACCCTGAACGACGGCGCCGCGGCGGCGCTCTCCCTGGACAGCAGCTTGGAGAACACCTTGCTCCCCGCCGGCTTCAGCTGGAGCTTAGACGCCTCCTCCTCCTCCTCCTTCTCCTTCTTGGCCGCCGCCATGGATGGACGCGATCGAGGAGGAGGAAGAGATCTCGAGCTCGAGGAGAGGGAAGCTGGAGAGAGTGAGGAGGAAGACGAGAGAGCGCGGCGGCGAGTGGCTTCTTCTTATGCTGCGCTGCGGTGTCAGTGGCCGGGAGTAATACGGTTTTATTAGTGGAGATTAGTTGGGTGTTTAATTAATTAGTTAATTAATTTGCACGTCCTCTTAATATAATTAATCCGCTTGCTATTGCTATACTACTGCTGCTCACCTCTTCACTCACTCAGATCCGAGGTAGCAGAGTTGACTGTTGACTTGGTGTTGGCCTACTAGGATTTATTAGGAGTAGGATTTCCCAGCTAGAATTTCAGTGGGAATTTTCTGCTCAATGGAAATGGTTGAGAATTTAAATATTTTTTTAAAACATTGTACAAATTCGTAGATGCTCTTAAACATGTAAGCACACTCACCCTTGTAAACGCATACATACATCTAGGGGTGAAAACGGTACGGAAACTTTCCGGATTTCGGACCTATTTTCGAAAACGGAATATGTCGGTCGGAATTTTTTCGGAATTTTTCGGAAACGGAAACGAATTTGGAAATATTTTCTCGGAAACGGAATCGGAAATGATAAGGGCAGTTTCCATCGGAACTCGGAATCGGTCGAAAACTTTCCGGAAATTTTCTCGGAATTTCTGGAAATTTCCTCGGAATTACCATAAATTTTGTGACTGAAATACCCTTAATTCCTTTTTTAAGCACTAAATAGTGAATACCATGGTGTTTGGCTGTTATTTTTTAAAAAAATATTTGTTATGCAAATCTAAAATTACATAAGAATATTTTTTGTGCTACATTGGGATTTATCAACAACATTACTCTTTTAAACATAGATAATTTATTTAATTAGATTTATTAGTTTGAGGGGTTTTTTATTCCGATAAATTTTCGTTACCGTATTCGCGCCGGTTCGTTTTCGCTCCGCTTTCGATTTCGATAATATTCGATTCCGTTTTCGTATCCGGGGTTTCCGATTCCGATTTCGATTCCGAAAAAAAATATGAAAACGAAAACGATAAAGATGGTTTCCGTCCGTTTTCGTACCGTTTTCACCCCCTACATACATCTTACCACTATGAGCATATCTAACTCTTCAAGAAATTAGAGTGACATATTTTAAGATCGGTGAGGTTATGATAAATGTTATTATTGTTAACATGCTGCTGAAAGAATAATTATTACAAATACGAACACCCATTTCATGTTTAGGACTTGCGGATGAGCAAGTTCCATCCTAAGAAATCTGTAATCAGCTATGCTATGTTCAGTTTGCGTGAGATTTTAAATATTAGAAAACAACGTTATTTTTGGTCCAGTGTATTGTTTAACCTTTTTCCAATCATCATGTACAAAAACTACAAGGTTAAATTTTTAAATGAAGTTTATTCAAAAGATAATTTTGAAACGAGATATATCTGATCTATTATAATTCTTTTATATATTTAGAAACATATGGCACAAGAGTTAGTAGTACCCACTAGTACATTAGTACAAAAGCGAACTGGTACTAAAACTTTTTAAACTACTCATTTCAAAACCAGCAGCGACAAGAACAAATGGAAAGACAAGCATATCAACACAAAGTACTCTATCCGTCCCATAAAAAACCAACATAGTACTTACTCTGTTTCACAATGTAAGTCATTCTAACATTTTCCATATTCATATTGATATTAATGAATTTAGACATATATATCTATCTAGATTCATTAACATTAATATGAATGTGGGAAATGCTAGAATGACTTACATTGCGAAACGGAGGGAGTATGAAATATGATACATACTAGTATTTTGAATCTCGATATATCTTTGTCCAGATTCATTGTGGTCTTATTTAGATTTCAACTTTTCTTTTCAAACTTCCAACTTTTCCGTCACATTGAACTTTTCTACACATGCAAACTTCCAAGTTTTCAGTCACATCGTTCCAATTTCTTCAAACTTTCAATTTTGGTGTGGAACTAAACACAACCGGAGCTAGAATGTGTCATAACCAGTCTTATACTATCTCCGTTTTTTAATAGATGACGCCGTTGACTTTTTCTTACATGTTTGACCATTCGTTTTATTCAAAAATTTTACGTAATTATAATTTATTTTGTTATGAGTTGTTTTATCATTCATAGTACATTAAGTGTGATTTATATCTTATACATTTGCATAAAATTTTTGAATAAGACAAATGGTCAAATATGTTAGAAAAAGTCAACGGCGTCATCTATTAAAAAACGGAGGAAGTATTTGTTTTTTTTTGCACGGAGAGAGTATTTCAAAGAGTCCAAGGGATGCAAATGATTTTGTACCGTAGGCAGTACAATCTCTGCTTCAAGGTCTTGAATAAACAAGCGGTACCACGCTGTATCGCAATTGAATGCTACTCATCTGCATTGCATCCACGTACGTGGAGATGAGCAAAAAATAAATAAATAAATATAGTAAACCGCTCCATCCATGGATGGCACCACCCACAACAAGCTAGCCCATTAATTTCCCCTGTTTTTCTGTTTGGTCCACAAGTAGCTAGGGCACACTCTTGATCTGGACATTCGGTAGTACTACCGTTTAATTGCCTGAATTGAATTTTGCTTAATTGCCTGAATTCAATTTTGCAAATGGTTGGATGTAGTAGCTGTGTTATTGGGCTTCTTTTACTCTAGCTATGAGCAGTAGTGTACATCTCTATGCAAGGCATTATTTTATATTTCCTGAAAAAGATTTATGCATATTACATAAGTAGTATCTGGACCTATATATACATATTGCAGAGGTCCCTGCAAGGAGTAATTAATCAAGGCTGTTTTACTCCTATCACAATTATTAAAGAATCATCATGAAGTGCAAGTCTGCAGGAACTAAAAAAAAAGGAGAAAATAAATTGATATGTCCTCAAGATGATCATGTAATGGCAGTGGCAGGTATGACCATTGACCAACTGCCTTGATAGTTGATAATGATCACACATACACAGAGGGCACAAGGAGTAAATCATAAGATAATGATCTCACCACTTTCTAATCTTTCTAGGAACCATGCATTAAAAAGAGCCAAGCAGAAGTGGGGTTTAGGCATTCTGTACATGAACATTGCACATGTGGGTTGATCCATTCCATGCATTTTGATTGATGAATCGTGTTAATTAACCCCACAAGACAAGGCAATTAAGATCAGTGTGTGAGCCATGAAGGTCTTAACAAAACACGGCTTTTGTTTGGTTTTGGGGTAGCTGGAGTGCTGGACCTCTCACCAAACGGCCTGCACGCTTTCAATGTCTCAGGGTCAGGGCGCTCTTGGACAGTAGAGAAGAAGAGGCTGTCAGTTTCAGAGTTAATTAATTGCAAAATTAAGTACTCTACGTTGTTTGCCTAAATCTTTGATGTATTTGGCATTAGCTAGATTGTTAATTGTCGTTTTCATTCTGAAAGGGTTGGCAAGTGACAGCAAATGTTGATCAACTGAATATGTACTTGTAGTAGCTCGGCTTATACATATCAAAAAGAAAAATGGAAATCAGAAAGGACCAAGATCCTGGACATGCATTGGGTTCTTGTCTAGCTGCTGCTTCCTACCTACGCAAGATTTGCGTACTGTTGTGTTGTGGAGTTTGGACAAACCATGCAAATATTATTCTAACGCTGAAACTCTGCAAGTGTGCCTTGATATGTTTGTAATTCTTTAATTTCTAGTGGTAGGATTTGGACGAAGAAGATGGCGTAGAATCAGGAGCTATACATCTACTGTAGAATCTTTGGTTTGAGTGATTCGTGACTATCGATGCAAGCTAAGGTAGGTCGTCCATCTATGGTGCGTTCATCTATATACTCCTATAGTGTAGTGGTAGCAGATTTCCTTAGCCTGCGGATAACTGAATATTAATTGTGTTCGTTCAGAAATTGGAGAGTTCCTTCAGGCTTCAACTGACCTAGGTAGGATTCATGCATCGAGACGATCACCAAACCGATCGACCAATGATCTCTGTCAATTGCCCATCCAAACAATGAACGGACAACAAGTTAATTTACTGTACCTTGCATTTGCACTGCACGTCTGCACCTAGCTGAAGTCTGAATTCTTTCAGATATACTAGCTGGGTTGTTCTTTGCACGATCAGTCGGGTAGCACATAAGATAGCTGGGGTTCACTCAATGGCTCTCATTGCATGCACGCCACGGCAGAGCAACTGCTGGCTACGAGCTATCACTATCATATGTTGTCAGTATCCCGATTCGTATTCTAGTATCTTACGATACTACGATGTTACCAAGCTGAAACGATACCGATCCCATCTAGCATCCTAATTTTCATAGTATCTCGATCCTACTATTCATTACTACACGATCCTACGAAATCTTAGGTGGTATCCCGATTCTACGATCCCTACGATACTACAAAATACTACCTACAAAATACGATCCCTACGATCCCTACAAAGTATTATTTAAAATAACATGGTTTGAATATAATGTAACTAAATATGCTCAAATTTATATGAAAATCAGTTAAATATATCAAAACTAACGTGATTTCTCTTGATAAATGTCTCTATTTGCATGACATATATCATTACTATATTTTTTTATATAGAATGGCTATATATAATCAATATAAATATTAATTAAACTTAAAAAAAAGAAAATCTCATAGTATCCCGATCCTACGATACGATATTACTTTGAGCAAAACGATACTAGCTAATATCCCAATCCTAACAAACTTACATCATACCATCAGTGCAAGTGTTCTGAACTTCTCGGCGAGTTCTTGCGGCCATTGCCATGAAATGAATTCGCAGCTAGCTGCTATCGCATTGGGAAGAGGGAGCAAGATAGCAGTTGCAGTTTGGGCGGTTGATTGGTTACCTTACCTATGCATCACCAATTCGCCATGGTCGGCAATTGGGACTTGGGCGGTTCATCGATCAATACTGCTCGACCACCGGCCGGCTGCTCCCGTCACTTCAAAATCCCTTATATTAGCTAGCTCTGCTGCTAGTATTTCTTTTGTCTTGAAAAAAAACTTTTAAAGATGATCTGAACATATGCATACCTTTCATATTATCATCAGAACTTGACTTTTTTGGACAAATGCAAGTTCAGATTTATTCCCAGAAGTTATACTCCTTGTTGCTACTGCTGTCACCTCGTGTTTCTCTCGTCTTGTCATGGCAACAACCAACGCTAAGTGCAGGTGCAGCAAGCAGGAATGGGGGAGACTGGTTTGCCGGTTGGTGTCGCCGTGTCTGCGGTGATCGGTGAGGCGCAGTAATTGGATACTACCAAACTTGATGGGCCGAGCCCGTGTCAGCCTGTCAGGTCTTGGCCTTTTTACAGGCCCGCTTGCTTGCGTGCCCTGACATTCCTTTCGGCCCATCAAGGCTTACATTTATAGTATTAAATAGCTCAATTGTGCCATTCATGCAAAGAGTCGATATGTCCGAGTGGTTAAGGAGACAGACTTGAAATCTGTTGGGCTTCGCCCGCGCAGGTTCGAACCCTGCTGTCGACGCATTTTTTTCCCCTTCCCGTAGTAGGGTCTTGTGCTGTTGTGCCATATTTATCCCACTTTATTATCTTTTTTTTCCTTTAACTAGACATGAATTCCAGTCTTCGTGTCATTTATCCTTTTGTTAATATTTTTTCCCTTTAACTACACAGTAATTCTACTCTTGTGCCATTTATCCATGCAATTTATTTTGCTTGGACTATATCTCCTTGTATTCTTTTTTTTTTCTATTTCACTTGCGATAGATGTTTAGAGTCTTATTTTTAGATTTTCTTTTCATTCATAGAATCTTGCATCAAAGATTCGTGTACGCATAGATCTAACTTGCAATTACAATCAGTTACACAACACTTGTACAGAGTGTTAGCACTTATACTCAGTTACATGTAGTTACACTCAGTTATACATTTACAGTGCACCGATATTAAATTTTTACAACTATATTTTTTTCTAGATTTACAATTTTGGATATGTTTGTCTCTTTTTTTATTTCATTCGAAACGGGTTGTATATATTGGTTGAAATTCTGTAAAATTTAAAGCTCCAAATATGTCGAAAGATCAATGGGTAGACCTTTTTGCCCTTAAATAATTTTAACATATTTCTATTTATTTTTTGAGAAAAAAGTATGCTGTACCAAAGGAATAGGAGTACTCCTTTTTGGCACGTATAAACCCGCGGAACAAAATCATACAAACCAGCATCTTTTGGTCGAAATTGAATAATCACAAATCTAGCCACGACAGTGACTTTGCACTTCTATTAGGAAGGAACTGAAGTGTTTACAACAACCTGTTGTGTGAATCTTTTATCTGATTTTTCTTTTTCTTATCTCTTCATCATAACTCCAAAATCGAATAAAAACCAAAAACTAACTTAGGAAGAGGCAAACATAATTCTGTCTAAAATTTTGGGGGACAAAAAAAAACTATCTCCTTTCTTTTTGAAAAAAAAAAATCTACTTTCTCATCCACTCCTGTCGTTGTTCAGCTTAGCTTGGAAGGGAGGAGAAGAATCTTTTTGTTCCTCCTGTCCTGTCCATAGCTCATGCAACACAAGCCATTAATCTAATCTTGCATTCATCTACATCTAATCATCTACTCCTACAAATCTTGTAGTATTAAAGAAGCTTAAATGATTAAGATTTTTTAAAAAAATCAATAAGTTCAAGAAGATTCCCTTGCTCTCCTGACTTCTCCACCCCGTTCCAAGAACAAAGCAGACAGAGAGCGAAGAAGCAACAAGGTGAGCCCATGCTTGATTCCTTGATCCATATTAGCTTATTCTTAGCAACCACTCGCTGTTTCTTGATTTTCTCTGCCCGATTCGATTCCGTAACCATGGGGGGTTCGATTTGAGTATCATGAGCTGTTGATTTCATCTCCCACGAACCAAGGTAGGTTAGTAGCGGAAGAGAAAGTTTTATGCTTTACGAATTCGAGCGTCTGTAGTGATGAAAAGGAAGTAAATTTTGGATCTTTCTAGCGTTTGTTTCGGTGGGGAAGCTGAATCTGGCTGATTTGGTGCGCAACTCGTGTATGCATTGTTTGTGGAAGTGTGAGATCTAATCTAGAAATCTAATCCAGCGTTACCGAGTTTGTTGATTTTTTTTGTGCAAAAATTGGTCTTGAGATGGGCTGAAATCCACTGTATTGGGATTCTGAAGCGTTCCTGTAAGATCTAACACTAGATTTGGAATGTGAGAGAGGAGGAAGGGATCTATTTGAGGCTTTCTTTTGGCCATATGGAGAAATTTTAGTTAAGCAACCGGAGGGTAAATCTGTCTAGTCAACCATTTTGGGGAAAACTTCTGCATGATTGACCTCTGAGATGCATTCTGGTCGTCTGATGCACACAGCTTCAACTTTCAGTTGGATACTTTGGAGTTTTAACTTTCCAGCTTCTGTTTCTCTAATCTGCAATTCTGCAAGCAGGCAAAATGTGTTCCATAAGGAGCTTTGCTTTTGTGCTGGTATTAGCATTTTCAGTTGCAGTCGCGGAGAGCAGAGATTCATTTAATGTATTGGGTAAGTCATGAATTCATTATGAGAATGAATAATGTTACTAATATTTTCTCCATTCTTATTTTCATATCAATTGGTGTTTCTGATGATAATTCTAAGTAGATCAAGCGCCGCAATGGCAAGCAATATAACACTCTCTACAGTTCTAAAATATAAAGGAATACATTTATGTGTTGATCTACATTAATTATTCCACATCACGTTATATGCGTTGGTCTAAGATTGCACAAGCACATAATAGTAAAATTGGTATCTGTGTGTTTGCTGATGACGAATGTTATGAGAATTGCATTTCTGACCAGTCTTGCTTGACACATCTGCTGCATATCAGACATCATGAGTTACATTTATTTTATCTATTTTTGTTTTCATTTTGAAAACTCTTATCTTCACCTGTAATAAAATTGTAATTCAGATATCACACAGTGGTCAATATATCTTCAGCATAAGAATGATTCCGTTCTACAATTTTGTTTTCACTTGAAAACTCTATCTTCACCTGTAATAAAATTGTAGGTCAGATATCACACAGTGGTTATATCTTCAGCATAAGAATGATTTCGTTCTACAATTCAACTTATTAGTTTTTGACTCTACGGTCAATTTGTCATGTATTTCAGCTCATAAAAGCTTTCCCCTTGAAAACAAGAAGACAGGGTTAACTTCAGCCAATGGAAAGCTGTGTCAACTATGCGAGCAGTACTCAACGGAAGCACTGTTCTACCTCCAACAAAATGAAACCCAAACTGAGATTCTTAGCATCCTCCACCATGCATGCGCAAACGTTGGACCTCTAAAACAGCAGGTCTGAATAAATTTCAATGCCCGCCTTGGAATCAGAACATGCTAATTTCGTCAGACTAATTTTTGTATGCCAATGGTTTACCCTGTTACAGTGCATCACTCTGGTTGACTACTACATTCCCCTTTTCTTCTTGGAGGTTTCGATGGTAACACCTGAAAAGTTCTGTGAATCAGTGCATCTCTGCAGAAAGGGAACGATGCTTCGCCTACCATCTCGAGGAGATACATGCGGCATATGCCATCATGTTCTTGTTGAAGTTCTTATCATGCTAAAGGATCCTGACATGCAGGTAACTGCCATCATTTCAGATTTTCAATGGTCACAACCAATTCTGTATTGCTGGGGTCATACTTAATCGAATTCGTAATTTTGCAGCTGGAGATAGTCGAGATATTTCTCAAAGCATGCAGCAAGGCAGATAATTATGTACAGCAGGTAAATTAGTCACATTTATGGAAATACAAAATAAATCAGCCTCTACTAAAGAATCAAACACATTTTTCATGGTTGTTTATACAGAAAATCACTTAACATCCTGTAAGCAAAGCATTTCAAATGCTATAATGCTTTTCTCGAATGTGCTTGCATATACCGATTTGAGACATTAAGATGTCGCTGATCAAGCCCAGCACCTAGAAATTTATCTGTAATTAGCTTAGTTACCTGCAACTTTGTATCAGCTGAATGGTTTTCCTGATGAAATACTGCCATTTTAACCATTTGCAAGGCCCATTTCTAGTTCTGTTCTTCTCATGGCAGTCCTATTTGTAATTTTTGCAGTGCAAGAAGATGGTCCTTGAATATACCCCTTTGATTCTGGTGAAATCTCAGAAGTTTCTTGAGACGACAGACGTCTGCTCTACAATTCATGCATGCAAAACGGGGACACAAGCATCTGCAGAAACCATGCTTCTGTCTGCCGCATCGTGAAAACAATGCAAATCAAGAAATTGCTACTTATTTCCCAAGAGATTGAACCGGTAATGAATTGAAGATCAGATGCCTGTGGGAATTCTTTACTCTATTGCTGAAACAGTATTGAGTGAGGCAAAAAAAAATGTTGTATGTAGAGATTTGTGTTGTATATTTTGAACCTACACTGCTCTCAAGTTTGAAGCATGGAGCAGCTGTACCACCGTTCATCGATGATCGAGCATACAAAGTTACAAACTGTCTGATGTCATTGAATTTGGAAGTTACATGTGCAATTATCGCATTGTATCATTATCATTTGACAAACATTCATACTATTATTATTCAGTGTTTCTCTGTTGCTCTGGCTGGTCCAATGGTAGGTCAAATATATGAAAAAAAGAGTAAATATTGCAAGTGATACACGGAAAATTGTATGTTAAAATTTTGGCTCAAAGATAATTGAAACATGGCATGGAAGGTTCACTTGGTTGATAAAAATATTTGGGTGTCCATCCAATACTAGAACAGCACTTCAGGCTGTAGAATTTGCTGAAACCAATGGCAAATCGGATGGCAAGCCTGTAGGTGCAAGTTCAATTTTTTTTTTCACAGGTATTGCAAGAGATGCTTTTCAGGTCAGATAACTTATCAAATGGCATTGATACTTCCATAGGATCACAGAAGATGTTGCAGATCCACATCTTGATTTAGATTTTAGACCCTAGTGGTATACACATAACATTGGGCCACGGCCACAAGTGGATTTTACAAGCACATTTTACTGTGATCTCATCTCATTGTAGCCTCTCCTTCCTGAGCCTCTCCAGCTCCTTCACCATCTGCCAGTGCTCCATGGAGAGACTCTTCTCACCAAAGCTTGCAGCCATTATCTGTGCCATCGTTAGCCATCTGCAGATCCACATAAGCAGAATTAGTTTAGCAAAAGGTTTCATTTCATAATCCTCATGTAAAAGTAACTGGAGATGGTGTAGGATGCCAGATTGCCCACACTGACAGGCATCAGCGGCACACACCTGCTAAGTTCAGAACAACCCAAGCTCCTATCATCACGCATGGCATTGACCATTTCATCTTGAATCATCTACAATTAAGGCGCAAACATTATGCAATTTAATTAAGTCTGTTCATGTTCCTGACAAACATATCAGTTTATTTCTTGATAGAGTTGAGCAAGGGATAATCACCTGGTATGTATCAGTTTCAGTTGACTGAGGAAGAGACCTAACTGTGGCCAAATACCATCTCCAACTTTCAAGTTCCTCGGAGCTTGCATTTACCGCAGGAACAGATGATGGGCGGAAAGGTACTATCAAGTCAGAAGGTAGGATATTTGATTTTCCCTCGGAGAGAATTAGTAGCTGCACATCAGTTGCCATTTCCAACTTGTAGAACTCAAAATCATACTCAACCTGCAAAAATGTTTAAAGATGTTATAGATAAATTGGTCGGCAAAGATAATTTGTAGCCTCATGAAGTCATGAGGCTTATTACCTTCTGTGACTCCATCAAGTTCTTAAGCAGCATAGTATTCTCGACACCTTTGGATGTCAATGATCCAGACTGCAAGAGAGTCTCATCAAAGGTCAGGTGAGTACCCTGAGGTAACTGTAAAACTCCTGTAACCAATCTGCAGCAAAATTTAGGTGGGGTTATGTTAAAAGTGATTGTTGAATGATGAAAACATCAGGAGTAACAAATTCTTCATAAGACAAACAAACAATATGTACCTTCCTGATTGGTTGTCCTTTCTAGGCTGAAGTGTGGCTGTGTTGAGATACTCAATTGACAGAGGAATAACTTGTGAATATGGTAGTAGCCTCTGGAACAAATTATTTAGCTGGTTTCCAAATATAGAAACACTCTCTCTGTTAAAGCCAGTGAAATTCAAGGAGAGCCTACCAACGGTAACCACATCCACCTTATTACGAAGCTGCATGGAGATTGAGAACCAATAACTTAGTAAACTAATATGAACTGTTTTTAGCAGTTACAATGCAAAGAAAACAACTTGATGTAGTATAGATCAGCTGTGTTAGTGATATGACGTACTCTGGATAGAAGATGCAACAGTAAACATTGAGCTGCCAGTTCATCTTTCCCTAATACCAGAGTAAGATGTGAGAGCAAAGATTGCCGAATTCCCCTTAGCAGGATTGGTGATGGCTGCATGATAAAAAAAATTGGGATTAGTTATTTTAAATCAACGCTAAAACTGTTAAACCAACTTCTGCATTCAAGATTCAGTGCTATGTACCTCAACCGCAGGAGGCCTTGGTAGAAAATCATGAGCAGATAAGTTTCTCCATACCAAGCAGTGAAGACGGGGAACCTGTACAAATATTTACAAGCATTAGAAGTCAGAAAAAAATACAAATATGAATACACTTTCTTTTCATTGTTAGATATGAAATTGATCACTATGTAGTATGTACTTTTGATGCATGTACCTTACTGGGAGGCAGCTGAGCGGTTACATCTTCCATAAGGTCAAACATTATATCATCCGAATTATCGTTAGGAGCAGCAAGTTCAGGGTCAAATGTATATACACCTATGAACTCAGAAACATCGTTCAGTTTCACCTGACTTTCAGGCATATCATACACCTGCAAAGAATAGTTCAATCCGTAAACCATAGAAAAAAAAGATTGAATAGAATGCATTTCATGCAGAAAGCTTAGGAGCTCTACCTTCACTAGGCAGGAAAAGGAGCTTCCAGGAATATGATGATCTCCCCCATTCATCTCTGGGACATGATGTTCTTCATTCATTGACATTTCTACTGAACTATTTGAGATCTTGACACCATCATCCTTCTGAGGAAAAGTAAGGCAGTTTAAATCAGATTCCCAGTCAGCTAACTGTATGGATTAGATTTAGCATGAAACCAAGCAATTTGGAGAAGCATATATGCCATAAATCTACTAAGACATTTAAGTTATCCTACTTTATTAGCATGCAGAATTAATCTACAACCAAGCAAGGCAGTTGCGAGACTGTGTAAATGTTAGGAGACTACTAGGAAAGAAAAATCAATCTTCCTTCTTACCGTCTTCTTGCTGGATGAAGAAGTCTCTCCACTACCACTTTCTGAAACCTGCATCAGTCAACTCATTAGACGACAATACTACTTGTTAGGCAGCAAAGTGTCAAAAGAAACCATTGCAACAAACTTAGCAAAAGCTTACATCCATGGCGTCATTATCTGCACCCCTCTTCCTTTTCTCCCTTTGTTCAGATGTGAAGCAGCTTGCTATTCTGCGCAAGTCAGGGCCAGGGGACGACTCGCGTGTCCAAGAATTTTGTCCAGGCACCTGAAATAAACCAATGGCATTGTCCAGGTTGAATTCCAACATAAGCTGCTTATCAGCAATGAGTAAGACTAGGATTAATAGCAAATGAGCAGCAGGTGCTCTTGGAAGCGGCAACATACAGGCACACAGTGGAAAAGATGGCGCTCCCAGAGATGTGAATCACAAGGGTGTGGCATTGAGAACGGCGAGGAATCGGAGAATTTGTTTGTCCTCCAAGTGGAGCCATCCTACACAAATAATGGTTCAAAATAAGCATAACAAGCACTAAAATGCAGCTTTACATTAACTTATGTACTAAATTCCAATACCTTGAAAGCACCAACATAGAACTCGTTCCCGAGCATGTCCTGAACCATCCCCCGGAACCGAACAAGGGTATTCGGCTTGATCAATCCAAGATTTGATTCATCCAACACCGGAACCTGGAAAGGAAAATATTCCCACATTCCGTCATTCCCTGAACTTCCTAAGATTCATTTACACCCACAATACAAAATATCCTCTTTCTCTCTTTTTTTTGGGACAAGCTCAACATAAACATATGTGACATTCTAAGTATCTGAATTGAAATGTTTGCAAGAACAGCAAAAAGCAGTTATCTTTCACCCAACTTAGATCTGAGAGCATAGTACTTCCTAACCACATCTACTGATGATTCCAAATTTACCCTAAGAAAACCTTTAATCTCCCCGTCTCATATTCATTATAGACATTCAAAGATCACTAACTTTGACGATATTAGGGTTTCAGCGATCTACCAAATAACATCATTTTCAGAAATCGACAGCTGCGGCAACCATCAACACGGGGGGGGATCAGACTTCTTACCTTGTCAAGCCCGCCTTGCTCGAAGAGAAAGGAGCGGAACACCTCGGTGGCGCCCCAGTCTTTCCCCCGGAACGCCGCCACCGGCTCGTGCCCACCGGACTCCGCCGCCGCCCTCTCGAAGGTGGAGCGCACCGCCCCCAGGGGGTTCCCGACGAGGTCGTACTGCGGCCCCACCATCCTCCCTCTCCCTCTCCTCGCTCTCTCTCTCTCTCGTTGGGGAGATTGGGGAGCGGAGCAATGGCGGGAGAAGTGGTGAGGTGAGGAGGGAGAGGAGTTATAGCGGGTGGGGTTTTCGCGCCACTGGCGGCGGCGCTTCCCGCCGTTTTCTCCCCCTCTTCCCGCCAATGCGCGCCTCTCCTGGTACTTGGACCTTGGTGCGTCTATTGGGCCTAATGGGCCGTCCTAGCATTCGGCACGGGAGTGCGGCCCGTCTGCGGGTGCGCGCTGCTGCCGGGCCGAGATGCCTCCGGCCCATATGAGGCCTGCTTATTGGTTAGCGATCCAAATCTGGAAAAAGTCCACTTTGACTCCCTTAAATGTAAAACGAATCTAATTTGTACCCCTCAACCAGAAAACCGGTTAGAACGACTCCCCCAATTACTAAAACCGGTACAAATTGACTCCCTCGGTGGTTTTGTAGGACGGTTTTGCTGACGTGGCGCTGATGTGGCGATACCAACCCGGTCTTCATTCCACGTGGCGCTGACGTGGCGATACTAATCCGGTCTTCATTCCGCGTGGCGCCTACGTGGCATTAGAATTAAAAAATATCTGTGGGACCCATCTATCATTCACATATAAAATATATCGTGGGACCCACCGACATGTGGGACCCACTGACATGTGGGGCCCACCGACATCCTTTCTCCTTCCCTTCTTCTTCCTCCTCCCTCCCTCCTCTCTTTTCTCTCCCCCTTTTCTCTTCCCCATTCGGACGCATCAGTGGCGGCAGCGGCCGGGTGGATTGGCGACGGATCTGGGCGGCATGGCCGCGGCCCCTGCGCCCCCCCCCCTCTTCTGGGCGTCGGTTTCCTCGCCTTGTGTGATAACTAATACTCCCACTAGCTGCTACTACTACATCACTAGCTTAGCTAATGACGTCGCCAAGCAACCAACAACACTAAATTAACCAACTAAATACAAGCTAATTAAGCTAGTGTCGTCGTCATGTTGCCTAGCTAGCTAGCTAGCTAATTACTACTCCGGTGAGTGGATGGCGCCATGCTGCCATGGCGGCGCAGCAGCGGCAGCACATGTCCATGTCAGCGTCGTCGTCGCTGGTGACGAGCCTGAGCAACTCACGCGAGGGGAGCCCCGACCGCGGTAGTGGCCTTCCAGAGGGTGTCGGCGACGGCGATGTCCGCGGTGGAGTGCACCGGGACGATGGCGACGCCGTCGTTGCTGGAAGGGAGATTCGGGCGGGGCGGGAGCTCGCGGCGGCGGTCGAGCCTGAACGCGTTCGACATCATCTCCTTCTCTCCGGCAACTCCAGCGCCGGCGGCGGAGGTGGAGCTGTACCGCCGCGGCAGCCGCACCCGGCATCCGAACTTCCCACCGCCGCCGTCGCCTCGCTGCAGGATACGCGACAACAGCGACCGCGGTGACTGGCAGCTCTCGATGCCGCCGCAGCGCCGCTCTGCCCTGCCTTCGCGCCGGCCTTCTCCACCCACCGCCGCCCACGGCTTCACGCACTCCCTTGCCGCCCTCCGCTCCGCCATCCGTTGCCTCGGCAAGCTCTCCGCGCTGCTCGCCGACGGGAAGAGAAAGAGAGAGATAAGGGAGAGAGAGGGGGAGGAAGAAAGGTTGGAAAGGCTCGCCGACAGGAAGAGAAAGAGAGAGATAAGGGAGATAGAGGGGGAGGAAGAAAGGTTGGAAAGAGAATGATATCGGGACCCCACATGTCAGTGGATCCTATTATAATTTTTGTGTGTGAATAATAAATGGGTCCTACATATATATATTTTTAAATCTAATCTTACATCAGCGCCACATGGGACGAAGACCAAGTCAACACTGCCACGTCAGCGCCATGTCAGCAAAACCGCCCTCCAAAACAACCGAGAGAGTCAATTTGTACCGGTTTTAGTAATTGGGGGAGTCGTTCTAACCGGTTTTTTGGTTGAGGGGTACGAATCAGATTCGTTGTACATTTAAGGGAGTCAAAGTGGACTTTTTCCTCCAAATCTCGCGCACGCGTTGACCGTTAGATCTAATCGTGTGGTTCAGATCAAGTTGTGGAACGTGACTGAGTGAAGTATATTTTACACATAGGCCCTTCAATTAATTTCATAATATTGCTAGAGAGCGCGGGCCGATGGTTGAGCCGTCCAAGAGCGGCGGCGGCGCGGCGCTCCGGCGAGCGGCGGCCGGAGTCGCTCTCCCGGTTGGCGTTGTGTATGTGATAGAAGGCCAGGAACCCGCGCCATTGCTCTTCTCAACAGGAGCAGGTGAGATCTCTGACCTGTCAACGGCAAGGTCGTCTTCCTCGTCATGGACCTTCTCTCCCTCCCATGGCGTCGCCCACCTCCGAGGTCTGTACACTCCATAAACCAACCTCTCCTCCTCCCATAACGCAGCGTTGCCGGATCTACGCCCTCCAGAGTCTGAACCCCTCCGAATCCTCTCCGTTGCGTGTCTCTGGGGTAAAGTAGGCTATGGAGGAGCAACTTGCTTTCTATTTACTTCGGATGCTAAGATTGTTCATCTCAAATTGCTAATACATTTCGCATAAAGAAATTGCTAATACATGCCTCCAGATGCCTTTTTTTTCTCAAGTCATCCTACTGAGTTGGCGACTAGTAGGTGTTAATTGCTGCTAGTTTTCCTACTGAACATACCTAACAATACTGTTATGGGTGAATTTTTGTAGGCTCAGATTTTCTTACTGAAGAAATAACAGAAGCAATCGATGGAATAACTCAACAACATCTCAGGTGTGCTCCGAACCTCACTGCCAAAGCAAAATTCTATTGTTTTCACTAGTAAGCAAGTGTTACCTATAAATCACACATGCCAACTCGTTGATTCAGAACATCACTAGTATGTAATGTAAACTCTGTATATCAGTATATGATGTGTGCATCCTACTGGCTTGTGTAACTCTAAAGTAAATAAATATAACACCATTATCACCCATACTTACAGTGATTCAAATATTATCTTGCGACAACACTGACATGGCCCTGATTACAATAATGCACTGCAAGTGACCTTGATACAGAAAAAAGTTTATTTCAATACATGATACAGAGGGCTCTCTGTCTTACTGTAGCCTGTTTTCTAATGGGTATTCCCCATGATACTACAACAGCAATGGCCAACCCAAGGCCGAATCCCAATCCAGAAAAGAGGAACAACACAATATCTACGGATTTCTTCTTGGAAGGGATCACATTCAGAATTGTCATGTTGATGCAACCTTTAGATAGCGGAGGACCACACAAATCATTATTCCCCAGAAATGAGCTGTTGGTGAATGTCAAGAAATGAAGTGATTCAGGTATTTTTCCCTTAAGCTTGTTGTAGGATAGGTTTAGCATTTCGAGGAAGTCTAAGGATGCTAATTCTTGTGGAATGACTCCTGAAAGCTGATTTGAAGATAGATCCAAAGCTTCCAGCTGCTTCAGCCCACCAAGTTGAGATGGAATTGGCCCAGTGAGGAAGTTATGTGACATATTTATCCCATGAGTTAAAACAAGTTCCCCAACAATTTCTGGGATGCTACCATTGAATGCATTATTGGAGAAATCAATGAATACAAGGGTTCTTAGTATTTGAGCAAGTGTGGTGTCATGACCTTTGTATGTGAGTGAGGCTTTATATCTATATACTAGTCCTACACTTGGCACAGCATGATCCATGACCAATGATGTATTTGTGTCTATATGTAGCATCGACTCCAACTTCTTAAACCACTTGTCTTTGGGCAACGGACCAGAGAAGTTATTTGAGGATATGTCAATAATTATTGCATTTGGAAATGCACATGTGCTTTCTTCATCGGTGAGAGATTGAACGACATGTCCAAATAGCTTATTGGATTTCAGTACAAGCACTTGGAGTCTACGAAGTTTACTCATCCAGCATGGGAAAATGTCATTTATTTGATTGTTCCCAGCATCAAGGATCTCCAAATTTTGACAAGCAAGTAGGGATCTGGGTAGCTGTCCTTCAATCCTATTGCCACTAAAATATAGTGCATGAAATGAGCAGCCTTCCTTTATAGTATCTGGGATCTCCCCATCGAGTTGATTTGCATTTAGATTTAATATTTGTATTCCATTAACGTTCTCGATCAAACAAGATGGTATTGAGCCACTAAAGTTGTTGTTAGAGAGATCAAGGTATTGTAATTCAGTTGCAGTACAGAAAGATGGTGGGATTTCTCCGGAGAAGTTGTTTCCAGGGGCATTGAAAAGTGTGACATGACTAAGATGGGCAGTGAAATTAAAAGGAATCGATGAGAACATGTTGTTTGAGTAATCTAGCAATCTTGCAGAACCTTGAGGTATAGGTATAGTCCCCTCAAACATGTTGTTGCTAAGATCAAGCCAATCAATTTGTAAAGGAATAAAAGGGTTAGATCCAACACTAGTAAATTTATTATGTGCTAAAATCAAACTAGCAACGCCAGAATCATTCCAAGACTCCCATGCCCACGATGGTATAGCCCCATGGATTTGGTTTTTTGAAAGGTCGAGCCAAAGGAGTTCATCTTGACTCCTCAAGAAATCAGGGAATTTAGTGATGTTGCAACCCGATAAAGCTAATATTTGTAGTTTAGGGATGTGTGTTGATGAAGAATCGACTTTTCCATCCACCACCACAAGATTATTATCAGATATATCCAAGTAACGGAGGTGTTGTAGTCCCCATAATGATGCAAGTTTCATTGTACCGACAAGATTGTTTGAATTAAGGAAGAGTGTGCTCAGATTGGTGAAGTTTGAGATATTTTGTGGTAGTTTTCCTGAAAAGTTGCATTCATACAACACTAATTTTCTCAATTTCGTTAACTTACCTAAAAAAGAAGGGATAGATCCAGTTAGACCACACCTAGAGAATTGAAGGATTGTTAAAGAGGTAAGGTTTGTGATCCATGATGGTATGGTTCCTACTATTGTTGTTCCAGAAATCTCCAACGAATTCAATGATTTAAGCCACCCGATTGATGAGGGCAGCTCCCCTGAAAACTGACTTGCACCGACGCCAAGGTTCTTCAAATATTTGAGATTTCCAATGGAACTTGGTATTTCACCGTAGAAACTAGTCTCAGTGACAAATATATTTTCCAAATTACTAGCAACTGAGAAATTTGGTAACGAATCAGATAGTTCTAGATTATTGTAAAGATCAACTGTTACTAATTTCTTGTGTTGGAAGATTAATGGAGATACCTGTCCTTGAAGAAAATTGTGTCCCAGTTGTAGAACACGCAAAGAGGAGAAGGTGGCGAAGTTTGGAATGGGACCAGACAAATCATTAAACCGTAGGTCAATAACAGCAAGCGAGTGCATGGCAGAAAAGGATCCACAAATAGGACCAGAGAGCCCACAGTTTGGTAAGCTAAGAACCCGAAGGTTAGGAGTGGACGAGGATAGAGCATCGCACCATGTCATCCCGTTGTCGGACAAGTCCACAGCGCCGAGGTAGAGCTCCCTCAATTTTTTATGATTTGCGATTAAAGTTTCAAAGTTTGGCTCTTTGAGCACGCTAGATTCAACTGAATCAAAGGACAACACAGAATGACCTTGTGTGAATTCTTCTACTTCAAATCGAGTAGATAGGTCGAGAGATACTAGATTTGTTAGGCGACTGATGCTAGCGGTAGGTACCTGGCCCACGAAATCGGAGCTGGAGAGGTTGAGATAGGTGAGCATGGTGAGCCGCTCAAACCCTGTCTGCGGGAGTTAGGATCCATTGAAGCTGTTGCAAGCGAGGTTGAGGGAGGTTAGATGGAAGATCGCAGGATCAAGACCGCCGCTCTCCAATCTACGCCCTCCCAGGTCCAGAGACGTCACACGCCCATCCCCATTCCTGCAGTGGATGCCCTCCCAATGGCAACAGTCTGTGCCGGCCTTCCATGACCCAAAGGTGGAACTGGAGTTTTTGGTGATGGAGAAAGAACGTTTCAACCGGAGCAGCGCCGATGCCTGGTCCGGCAAGCATGGAACAACCGCCGGCGGCAGGGCTCCGGTGTGGTTGGCGTACGTAGCTGCTGATGAAGAAGGGACAATAATGAGCTGGGTGTGTAAGAGGATCAGCATCAACGGCAACACCAATGGCTTGTAACGGGTCATTGTGGAGTAGCAACTAGCAAGTACAGCAGTTTGATTGGGTTTACTGCTAGTCTGCTATACGTAAGAGGGTGTATCGATCGGTGTATGGACGGAGGATTCTACCGCATACCCTCGCACATTCTTATACACGATAACTCGCCAACTCGGATTCGTACGTTGCTAGCTGGATTAACAGAAGATCAACTCGGCCAGCCAGTCGTTGCTTCGGTGTTCTCTACTATTAGTAGAATAGTCTAAGCCGTTGATTTATAAGGCTATATCAGTACTTTGCTACTTATATGATTAGGGATAATTTTGATGTTTATTTATGGATCTGACTATCCATTTATTGGGTGATTTCTAGAAAAAAAAATCATCCAAATTTTTTCCAACTTTAGATTTACATCCAACGGACAAAAAAACAAATACATATTTATTTACACAACATTTTTATCAAAATTACAGTACACTTATATGTCATATCGACTGAATTTGCAAATGTAATTTTAGTTATATAGGACTGTAATTTTATATTTAAAAAATAACAAATACATATTTACTTACACATCTTTTTTATCAAAATTACAATCCACTTACATATCATATCAACTTAATTTACATATGTAATTTTAGTTATATAGGGCTGTAATTTTATTTTTTATATTTTTTAAGTAATCGTTGAATTTATCGTTGATGGTGCTGCTTCTATCGTTTCTTCGCGTTGTAGCTCCACGCGCCCAGCTCTTGCGGTAGCGCCAAGTAGTCAAAGGCGATTGCACCTCTATATGCTACTCCATCCGTCTCTAAATATTTGACGCTATTGATTTTTCTAAATATGTTTGATCATTCGTTTTATTGATTCTTTTCCTATCATTTGATTTATTGTTAAATATACTTTTATGTATACATATAGTTTAGTTTTTGAATAAGATGAATGGTCAAACATATTTAAAAAAGTCAACAGCATCAAATATTTAGAGACGGAGGGAGTAAATTATTTTTATTCATCTCATCAGTCATGCAATACACAGCTACGTACAAAATTCAGGTTTCGCATACACCTACAACAATCGACACAGAATAGAGCAATCAAATATCAATACTTGATCTGCATCCATTCAAAAAAAAAAAAACTTGATCTGCATGGGGGAGGAAATGGATGGACAGGAGGTTATCTTGTACTCCCTCCGTCCCATAATATAGTAACATAGAACCGGATGGGACACAGTACAACGAATCCGGACATCTATGAAATATCCCATCCGGTCCTAGGTTGCTATATTATAGGACGGAGGGAGTATAATAATATGCTGCTTCAGTGCCTCTCACAGCCAGAACCGCTGCAACCACAACAGCCATGGTTGCGCCATCTCCACGCCTTCACAGGGTTGGAAATTTCGGACATTTTGGATCCCTTCGATAAGATATTATTTTGGTCAATTTTTTTTTTAAAAAAATTCATAAATTTTGATAATATTTATTCAAATTTAAATAAATTTTGTTCAAAATTTTGAAAATTTCAGACCGAAATTTTGGTATTTTAGTGATGTCCGATCAAATCGGCTAAACCCAAAAGTTTAACCCTGTACCTTCAGTCACTGATCTGTTGTCAGTTGTCACCATCGCCCCGGACCTCAGCCTCCTCGGGCAGGCTCCTCGCCCTCAATCATGGATCAGCCGCCGGCAACCGCAATAGGGACCGCGCCACCATTGCCTTCCAATACCGGCAGACGGGATGCACCGGCTGAGGAGCATGTCTCCCCGAGCTCCGACGAGCCACCGAACGACGAAAATAAGGACGAGCGATGTGTAAACGTATAAGAGGACAACAAAGACGCAGATTAGCAAATGGAGGAGGCACGAGGTGGGAGGCGGCAGGTGTTGGCGAAGGATGTCCAGGAGCAGATCAGCCGCCGCCGCCTGCGACGGCTGCGGTAGCCGCCTCCGCCCCCTCGCTTCTGTAGCGCCGTCTCGACTGATATGCATATTTACAAATTTATCCCTCAACTTCTACTTTTCAATGGACATTTTGCCCTCTCACGTTTCTACTCCTGTTAATAAGATGGCAGTATAAATACATCTAGTCTCTTGGATAAAAAAAAATCAACGGTTTAGATTGATTTTTACTATAAGTAAAGAGCACCGAAGCATGACTTTGTGGCGAAAATGATTTAGCCAGAAGTTACTGTATACGCATAGCGACTTGGTAATTATTTATTTGGTTTTGAATTACTTATACTTTTATAAAATATTATTGGATTCCTCGTCAGTATATATGCCGAGGCTACATATGAAACAACTTCTGCTTGCTGCCCCCTGGGCAGAGGAAGATGTATCCGTTCACGTTTTGTGCTTCTAATATATTAAGTTCTTAGAAAAAAACTTCGACGGTTTATACTCCCTCCATACTCGTAAAGGAAGTCGTTTTGGACAGCGACACGGTCTCCAAAACAGAACTTTAACTTTTTATTTCTATAAAAATATTTATTAAAAAGTAATATATGTATATTTTTATGAAAGTATTTTCAAGACAAATCTATTCATATAATTTTTATATTTTCAAACTCAATAACTTGAGAGTTATTCATGATTTATATTCTCAAGGTTTGATTTAAACATTGTTCTAAACGACTTCTTTTATTAGTATAGAGGGAGTATATGTCTTGGTGTTTCTTAAATCTTGCAAAGCGGCAGATGGAAAAGTACTACCAGTAGTCTACATGCATTGATTGGAAGATGGTTAAGCTAAAAATGATCTGATACTTAGGGCTCCTTTGATTTGTAAAAAAAGTGTAGAAAATTTGAAGGATTTTAATCCTATGGAAAAATTTTCTATGAAACCCTTTAAAACAAAGGACTGAATCCTATACTATCCTTTAAAATTTCTATGGAATGGGTAATCCTATAGAGATTTTGGAGGAAAGTTAGCAAGAGGTCCAACCTCTTGGAAAAATTCCTTTGAGTCTATCTCTCTTATCCGATTCCTGCGTTTTTCCTGTGGTCCAATCAAACGGTCATTCCTGTGTTTTTCCTGTATTTTCCAATCCTCTGTTTTAAAATATATATTCCTGTCAGAATCCTGCGTTTTTTTCTATTCCTCTGTTTTTCCATTCCTGCGATTCAAAGGGTCCTAATGGTGGAGGAGAGATTAATGATGTTGTTTAATGGGTGGGGACTGGGGGGAATCGGAGGGGACTTTCGCCTAATTCTGTAAAGATTTGTCAATCCAATGGTTGAAATTATTGTGCCTGTTTGTCGTAGATATAGATAGATTCGGTCCATCGCTACATACAGACATGCGCAACGTTCTATGCACGGCATGCATGGGTACAATGCTAATTCTCTGCAGATGGAGTAGTAACGAGTATAACAGGGAGGATGTCGTATTCGTTTCAAATTATTTTTCTTTTTATTGTATTGAGTAAAACATATATATCTTTACCATGAATTCTTAAAAAATATATACTCCCTCCGTACTCGTAAAAGAAGTCGTTTATGACAATATTTAAGTCAAACCTTAGTAATATAAATCATGAATAACTCTTAAGTTATTGAGTTTAAAAATGTAAAAAATATATGAATAGATTTGTCTTGAAAAATACATTCATAAAAGTATACATATATCACTTTTCAATAAATACTTTTATAAAAACAAGAAGTCAAAGTTGTGTTTTAGAGACCGTGTCGCTGTCCAAAACGACTTCCTTTACGAGAAAGGAGGGAGTATAGTTTAACAACATGTGAATTATATATTATAAAAATATTTATAATCACTACTACACAAATGGTTTTTTTTTTGGCGGCCAAAACACATTTTTGCTGGCTAGTGAAGATAAAGCATCTTCACTGGCGGTGACCAACCGCCAGAGAAGAGATGTTTTCACTGGCAGACGGCTTAAGGCTGCCGTCAGAGAAAATTATCTTTGCTGGCGGCAGCCATACGAGGACCGCTGTTGGTGATATGGGCCCGGGGGTACGCAAGATGGAGAGAAAGAGCCCTTCCGTCCGGCCACGTAGCCGCACGGCCTTCCCCCCCCCCCCTCGGGGGGGAAAACAAGCGGTCATGAAGCGGCCAAGGGGCCTCGGGATGCCCTGCCGCACCCCTCGGGGCCCTCGGGCAAGCTGCCCCAAGGCCCCCGCTCGGCTGCCACATGGTGGCCGAGTGGGCGGAGAGAGGGGTGCTCTCAAGCGCCTTAAATAAGCATCGCCCCAACCGTCCCCCGCCGCATTTAATGTGGCGTGGGCGGACGTGAGGCGCCGTCCGATTGATGTGCGTCAATCGGGCTTGATCGGTCTGTGACCGGCCAACAGGCGGACGGGACGGATAGCAGCGTACCCACGTCCCGCCCGGTGTCAGGCGGAGTGGGGGCAGATAAGACCTGTCCCATCGGCACGTCGGTGAGCGTGCTGCTCCTGTATGGAGTCCACCAAAGTCGCCAACGAATTAAGGGCGAATGACGGGCGTGTCCCCCGTGTCAGGCGGGGGACGGCGCTGGGCCCACCTGAGGATGAGCAACCACCTTGTTTCTGGTTGAAGGCAAGGACAACGGCTTGACCCAAGACATGTGGGCCCCCACCCAATGATGGATTGTGTAAGGCGGTGCATGTGGTATCCCCTTGAACTATAAAAGGAGGACCTTACCCACCGAGAAAAAAAACGCCACTTGAGAAGCTTGAGCCAACTCCCTTGTAACAGCACAAGTTTAATTCGACACACAGGAGTAGGGTGTTACGCTCCATAGCGGCCCGAACCTGTATAATGTCTTGTCTCCCATTCTCTTCCGAAGAATCTCACCAGCTAGGTCCATAGCGGAAATACGCTCTTGATCGACAGCCGCCAACAATAAGAGAATTTTGCTGGCAGCTGTGGTAAGCTAGCTGCCAGCGATAATTGATTTTGAGGCAAAAAAGATTGAAAATAACCACATGCAGTTGCCTTCTAACCGCTAGCAAAAAAAAATCCACATTCAAAAACATTGCTGCATTTTCAATTTTTAAATCCACATCAAGAGATCAGATTCAAATCCAATCCTGATTCACATCAACATGCAAACATCAATTTCTCACAGCATCCAAAAGTCCAAACATCTAGATTAATTTCTCACAGCATTTTCAACATACAAACATCAACACATACACATTGGTCTTCGTCATCCCCGACGACCTTGGAGGTTATTGTCATTGTCACCGAAGCCACCCCCTTGGCTACTGCCGCTGTCTAGGGGTGAAAACGGAGCAGATTCGGACGGATAATAGCTATACCATAGCCTAAACCATATTTTTTAAGCGGATGTGGAGTGGGTGCGGATGACGTGTGGATGCGGATGCGGAGCGGATTATTTCGGACGTCGGATTCGGTGCAGACTCGGTTCGGAAACGGACAAAAAGTTATCGGATGTCAAGTTTGTATTCAATCCATTCAACAAGAGGGCGGCAATATAATTAGCCCCAATACGATGGCAAAACATCATTAGTTTACTGCGTTCAGTTCAATAGTAATAGTATTTCAATAGTTCACTAGTCAAAATAATCCAAGATACATCCATGATCCACCAAAAACATAATATATATATAAGTGTTCAATTCAATAGTTCACCGGTCACTACGTTGCTTAAAATGTAAAAATAAAAGTCATCGGCATGAGGCAAGCCATACAGGCATACAGCAACAGCAAGCATAGAGCAGTAGAGCACCCCTATGTAGTGCTACACGCAGCATACTGCATACAGGCATACATCAGTAGTAGTACAGGCGTACAGCACAAAACACACAGCAGTGAGCGGCGGTGCTAGACGAGGAGGAGCGGCTGGCGCGTGTTGGGGAGGAGGATCGGCCTGGCGCGTGTTGGGGAGGAGTGGCCACCGCGTAGGGTCGCCGTCGCGCTGTGCCGCCGTGCTACTCTCTCCGACTCCTCAACTGACGGCTGAGGGACGGCACAGAGAGAGAGAGCCAGAGACGGATCTGGGGGATGAGGAGAGGATTAGGTTAGGCCGGGTTGGGCTATTGGGCTAGCTAGGTGGGCCTGAAAGTTGTTGTGTGGCCTGAAATTCGCGGATTATCCGCCAAACAGTACATCGGATAATCCGATTAAAATATCGGATAATCCGCATCCGTCGGATATCGTTCATACCACATCCGCATCCGCATGACAAAATCCACATCTACATCCGCATCTGGCCGAATATCTAAAAACCCTTACCATATCCTCACATCGGACGGATTCGGAGCGGATCGGATCGGATAATATCCGCTCCGTTTTTACTCCTAAGCTGCCGTCTCTCTACGGCCAGATCAGGGAGAGGAAGGAGGGGAGGGGAGCGAGGGTAGGGTCACCGCGGCCCTCAGGCGGCCCGATCCAGCGCTTGCGCCCCTCCCGCGACCCTGTGGCGGTCGCATCGTCATCGCGGCGGCAGATCTGGTCCCCCACGTCGTTGCAGCGACAGATCCGGCCTAACCCGTTATCGTAGTGGCGGATCCAGCCACCCTCGTCGTCGCGGTGGCGGATCCGGCCTCCCCCATCGTCGCGGCGGCCGGATCTAGCCCCGAGCTCACGGCGGCCAGCGGCGAAGAGGAGTAGGCCGCACCCTGCCGCCGCTACCGAGGCCCTCCCTGTTGGCCAATACAGCAGAGATATTGGGCGGGAGAGGTGACGGTAGCCAATGGCGGTGGTGGCGACGGTAGCCGGCAGCAGTGGAGACGGGAGGCCGAAGAAGGGGGGAGGAGAGACTGAGGGAGAAGGGAGAGAGGAAGAGAGATTGAGAGATAGATGAGTGAGAGAGGCGAGTTTGGTGGGCGGTAGGGGCGGTGGATTTTATATATTCGCCTCAATTTTTTTTTTGCAGCGGTCCTCTTTACCAACCACCAGCAAAAAAATGCTGGTGAATATTTAAGAGGTCTGCCTCGAAAAATATAGTTGTTTTTTTATGGAGGACAACTTAGCGTGGCCACCAACGATAATCGGTTTTCGCTGGCGGTCCGTAGCCCCTCACCCCTTGTTATGTTTTTGTTGGCAGTTTTCGCGTATGGTCGCCAGCAAAAATTATAGGGTAACACCATAAAAAATTATTTTTTTATAGTGAATGTTGAATCTAAAAATATAAATGTTATAGTGTTAAACTGTATAAGTTTATAAAAAATGATGGTTAAATATTTGAATATTTTACTTTGAACAAACCTAACCTAGTAAGTGAAATAATTTGAAACGGAGAGAATAATAAGGAATTGAAAGAGCCAGATGCTTAGAGCCATATCCCAATTTATCAATCCCAAGTATAGTAGCTACTCTCTTCGTCCCAAAATAAAATTTTGGTTGGATGGAGAGACATGTATGTTTCATATGTATTGGTATATGTTATGTCTAGCTAAAAAAATTTATATTTTAGGATAGAGAAAATAGATGTTCATCATGAACCATGCTGCGTCACGTCACTCATAATTCAGCCTTCCTCGAGAGATTAAGTAACGTGTGTAGGAGAGTAGGAGACAGGTCTCTGCGTTAATTTGGCATAGCACGCATGACTTCGGCCGACGGCTAACAGTTGTGTGGCTCGTGTCACGCCTTCGTATGGAGTTTCCCTTTCTTTCTCTGCCATCCACGAGAAAGGGATATCATTTTCTTTATTTTTTACCCACGTATTACAACATGATGAGATATACGTGGCTTAATCTTTTATCTTCTCCCATATTTCTTGACTTAATCTTTTCTATTCCCTCGTACTTCTCCCTCAGTTGATCCGTTTTGTTTGGTACAGCGGTTTCTTTAGGCCCCGTCATTTTCTCTATACAATATCAGCTGCTGCCAAAATTTAAATTGTAAAACTTAATTTTGAAATCTTATATAGTACAAGCTAAGCAGCAAGCTTTCTTGCTCAATGATGTGCTACATCATCAAAACATATTGATTGTCAGATAAAGAGGTTTAGATAAACAAATGCCATTAGATCAAAAGGGTACATGCATAATGCATTAATGAAAAAACACAAACGGACAAGCATATTGGAGGTTTCTAGTGTCTTCTCTTACACACATGATACAAATAGAGAGAGGGGGCAAAGACAATGAAGAAAAAAAACAGGAGGCTTAAATAAATTCACTTTTGTCTTCTTGAAAGATAAGTTAAACTAATACAAAAGTTTTTAAACGGGATCAAAAGTCGCACAAAGCACGACTATGTGGCTAGTTGATTTTGAAGTTTTTTTCGTCGAAGTTTATTTTTCAACATTGGCATTTAAGTCGCTAAGAGCACATATGTAAAAGTTTTACCCATAAATAATTCTTTTCTAATACACAAACATTGGTATTTATATTAAAAAACATAAAGGGTGGCAGATGGCGCGGCTGCTTGCGCGTGCCACGTCGGATAGGAACAGTGCGCGGCGTGGAAATTTTGCAAAAAAAAAAACCCTTCCATTTTGTGTTTAATTCAGTGTAGGTCCCTCCCGAATAGTACATTTCAGCCAATAGTTTACATGGAGGCCCTTATAAAAGCCGGATATTTCATGCGAAGAAAAAAAAGTGATGTAAAATGTGGAAGACGAGTGTAGGATTAGGATGAAAACGAAGAGAGAAATACTGTGCTCCTGTCACACCATCCTCCACCAATCTCTCTCGTTGGGTAAATTGGGAACGAGCAAAGGCGGAGACGCTTCTCCCGCCAAAAAGCTTGTTACTGGCTATAATGGCTACTGGGTGAGTCTATTGGGCTTAGTGGGCCGGCTCATTTATATACATTCAGCACGTGCGTGGTAATCCCGTGTCGGCCCATTATACAAACCAGCCCATCTGTCTGTAGCGAGGTTTGTTTTGGGGGTTGCTAATGGGCCTATTTTGCGGCCTTTGGTTTGAGGGCCACATTATTATCCATTTGGTAAGGTTGGGCACATACGTGGCCACCGATGGTTGAGCCGTCGAAGAGCGGTGGCCGGAGTCGCTCTTGCGATGCGTGGTGAGTGGTGACTGTAATGTAATGGAAGGTTCAGGTCTAACGCTACTGGCATTGCTATTCAGCAGGAGCAGGCAAGATCCCTGACCCTTGTGGCCTGCGTCCTCCTCCTGGACCTTCTCCCCTTCCCATGGCGTCGCGATCTCTTGAAGCAAGCAATCAAGATTGTTCATCTGAAATTGCCCTTGCTATTTCAGTTAGTACTATTTCTGCAAGCCATCCTACTCTATTTGAAGCAACCAGATGTTGATTGTTGCTAGTTTTGCATTGTCTTTTGCTACTGAGCCGATCTGACAATGTTGATATAAAGGATAACTTGTACTCCATTAGGGTTCTTTATCTGAATTTTGGACAGCCTGAATGTCTGAACCAGGTAACCATACTACTGAACAGAACTTTATGACCATTTTCTTGAACTGATCTTTCTACAGCATATCCAATTATCCATTGCCATTATAGCGAAAGCAGTATATTAGTTGTGTGACTGTGACGCCTGTCAGTGTGGACTGTGTCATACATTAGCAGCCGCTGACCCCTGCATTAATAAACCAGCACCTTATCTTGCTCATCTTTATTTCTAGTTTGAGGCAGTCTCGCGACTCAGTCTAAGCTCAGTCTTCTTTTTTCTTCTTCTTTGTTTGACGGAACAAAAATCTCAGGCATGATATGATATTCTGATCTGTTCATGAGTTCATCTGTATCTCAGTGTACATGCATTTGCAAAGCAAAAATTCCATTTTGTTTTGACTAGTAAGCACAAAGAATTGTTTCTTTTTGACTACGCAAGCAAATTTCCCCTATAAATCTCCCATCCCAACTCATTGAGATTGCAATATCATCAATTCATCATCTTGTCCGAAAGTTCAGAAATCACTCTACTTTTGTTGTCAGTTTCGCTTCCGGCCATGGCGTTGAACCCGCTCTTCACCGTGACGTTCGACGTGAGCAGCGGCGACAACTACGGCGACTTCATCGCCGGCATCCGCAGCAGGGTGGCCAACCCGAGGCACTTCTCCCGCAACCGCCCCGTCCTGCCGCCGGTGGAGCCGCCGCCGCCGCCGCGCCGCTGGTTCCACGTCGTGCTCCGGGCGTCGCCGACCGCCGCGCTCACGCTCGCCACGCGCGCCGACAACCTCTACCTGGAGGGATTCCGGAGCAGCGACGGGAGGTGGTGGGAGCTCACCCCGGGCATCCTCGGCGCCGCCCCCGGCGGCGCCGCCGCCACCTACGTCGGCTTCGGCGGCTCGTACCGCGACCTCCTCGGCGACACGGACAGGCTCACCGTCGTCACGCTCGGCCCGCAGCAGATGGCGCAGGCGGTGAACGCGCTCGCCGCGCGCAGGCCGGCCGACCTCGCCAACGGCGCGGCGCAGCGGCGCGCCATGGACGCGGTGGCGGCGCTGCTCCTGATGGTGCACGAGGCGACGCGGTTCCAGACCGTGTCGAGGCTGGTCGCCGGGCTCATGCACCCCAAGGCGGCGAGCAAGAGCGGCGCCATCACCACCGCGATGAGGAAGCAGGTGAACGGGTGGCAGGTCCTCTCGGCGGCCATGCTCGGCACGGACGCGCGGCCGCCGGCGAGGTTCGCGCCGCTGAGGGACATGGGCGTGGACACGGTGGAGGAGGCGGCGGCGACGGTGGGGATCCTGCTGTTCGTCGAGGTCCCCGGCGGGATGACGGCGGCGAGGGCGCTCCAGCTGTTCCACCATGGGAACTAGATTTTGATGCAGCTGGATTTTTTTCTCCTTGTTTGAGCCAATAAAATGTTAGATTTGTGATGGTTTTGCTATTTGATTTGAGTAGAAATGTTAGATTTTGTGTGTATTCGGAATAAATTCAGCACCATAGTTTTATCTATAGCTATTTTAATTCATGTGAGTACTAGTAAGAACAATAACATATCCTACTCTGACTGATGCAACCAGATAGAGATTATACTTGTTCATACTGAAAATTTGTTCATAACAACTTTCACAATCTTTTCTCAGAGATATTTTGCATTCAGATAACTATGTATACACAGGACACATATTTCTGGATATGAACATCCAATTGAAAAGAGAGAAGAATTTCTCTAGTTGAAGTGCATGTGATTCTTGAATTTCTTGTCTATTCGCTTATGCTTATGCGTATCAGTTAAAATTTGAATTTTCAACCTTAAATTTAAAATTGATTTGGAGTTTTCTTTATCGAAGTTTATTTTTCAGCCTTTGCTTTTAGATCGCTAAGAACACGTATATAAAAGTTTTATTCACAAATTATTTTTCGTTTGCAAATTTGCCGAAGCGAAACGTTGCGGCCCGCGCTGTTCTTTTCATCTCATGCTACTAGAGATAATTAAAGTTTAACAAAATAAATCATCTTTCACCACAAACTTGAATCCACCTGGCACTCGGGTACAAAAAAGAATGTAAACTACGTGTTGATATTATGTCCTGCTGGCAAGTTGTTACAATGCTGAAGCAGATGCTGAAGTTGAACACATGAAAAATATTACAAAGAGATCTAGCCCTTTTGTGTCTAGCTTTAAGGCCAATCTGCCATCTGGAGTGTAGAGGTAAATAATTTCCTCTTCAAAGTGAGATTTCATTTACTGACAGCACCACATGGTAAGCAAAAAGAAAAAAAAAAGACCAAAAATGGAACAGACATCGTTCATTACACTCAGGGTTGGCTTCCTTCCAACCCTAGTACTATCTGCCTACTAAGCTGAACTCTGTATAGAACCATACACTAGTATCATCAGAGCAGTTTCTTCATGCCTTTGAGTACTTGGAGCTCCACATAGGTACCTTCAGAGCCTCGTCGTCGCCTGCGTTGCCCCCATTTTCAGCAGTGCTCAAAGAGTCCGAGATCAAGGGGTCCGATTCGCTTTCTTTTACCTAAATCACAATCCACAACATTCATCAGATTTTGATATTCGAACTATAGAGAATGTTTTCTGCTCAAAACATGACAAGAATATCCAGTGTTAAGACACAAGACAAAACTATTAAACTAGGTACCTGGTTGAGTTGTGGGGAGGCTTCAGTGGGTTTTGGTGGAGCCTCTTTTGTGCAGAAGTATGAGTACGATACCATCCCAATCACAGCAATGAGGATTCCAAGTATATTTCTCCAGCTAAATGGATCGTGAAGCAAAACATAACCAAAGGCAAGAACCAAGCATGTCTTGAGATGGCCAAGCACTTGGTAAGTTACAGGAGAGGTTTTCCCGATCACAAGAAAAGTGCTGAAGTTCACTGAGACTGATATCAAGCATGACAGCACAATGAAAAACTGCAGATACCGTAAAGAACCGAGTCAGATGAAGCACAGCTACGTTCAACATAAGTCTCCAAAACTCAGTTTACTGCTTACCACAACTTGAGATGTGTAATCAAAAGCAAAGACATTTTGGTTAGTCAAAAACCCATCAAGGAAAGGGCCGACGATGAACAAGGTCAATGCTTGGTATGGGCATGATTGGTACAGCAGCTGTGTTGAAGATACCTTGAATTTCTTCTGAATTGTGTTTGTCATCTGATAGCTAATTAAGGATTCAAATCAGACACCATAGAACAATACTATACTCAAATGAAATGGTGCTTCAGGATTTCAGCATTGTGCACAAGAAGTATATATGAATAAATATACACTATAACATCTATCCTAGTAATAAACCAGCTACATGTGCAATACATGTGGACTGTTTTCTTTAGATGGTGATGTGCAGATTATTTGGCAAACATATAACGTTTCATAAACGAAAATATCACTTGCTGTCAAAAGGATACGATTTGAGCAATGCAGGTTGTAATGATTGCGAGCAAAGACAGGACAGATCCCACAGCATTAAGCTGCAGGTCAGTCACAGTTGCAACTCCAACACCAAAAAGGAGAACACTAAGGGAGAGCTGGATATTCCGACTGCACAGTAAAGCCAAAAATAAAAAAAAAATCAGAAGATAATTTCTCAAGCTGCATAAAGGACAAGACGTATTAAATACAAACTTCATAATTATCAAACTGAATAAAGGACATGAAGTATTAAATACAAACCTAAACTTCTTCCTGAAGAAAAGAGTCTCAAGTATAACAGTGCAGGGGATAATTGCCAGCTTTGTCATCTGAAAACAAAGAGCATTCAGCATTTTAGCATGACCTTGGTGCAGTGGTTAGTGTGCAAGGTGGAGTGATAACTGCATCTCACAACATGCAATAAGTTTAACTGAAACCCTCTTTGTTAAGCCGTTGTTTGTGAGTGAAAAAATAGCAGCAGGGGTACCAACAATTAGAAGGACATTAAGTACAACACTACCAGATGATAGCCTGTTAAGTTTTGATCAGGACAGAGCAAAAACAATGCCTACCTGGTAGAAACCAACAGAATTGAAACCTAGACTCAAGTTGAGAAGACCAATTGAAATGCCATTGAGCACACCAAATCCCATGACAGTCCTTGCATCAAAAGGTTTGTGCTCAAAGAGCTTCATACATAATGCCACGTGAAGAGAGCAAAATGTAACGAGGAGATGCCAGCTTGTCAAAGTAGTGGCTGCAAAACACAGACCGAAGTTGAGTAATTTGGACAGGAAACACGTCTATTTATGTACTAACTTTTTACGTTACCTAGTATTGTCACACACTTTAGAACCACGGTCTTACAATAATTGAATCATAAAAGTACTATAATGTTGTATATCATTCAAGCTCAGGACAGCTTGTTCAACTTGACGTATCCATTCCAATAAGCAAATCTAGCTACTTTAACTCAACGCAGTCATTCCAATACTTCATCCTAGCTCCTGTAATTCAACATATTCATCCCAGAAAGTCACCCAAGCTGTATCATTTAAGCTCTAAATTCATCCATTCTCAATCATGTTGTTCTACCCAAGACTAACTCAACAGACAATGCCTCTTATGGAAACCAATTTGTACTACTTCTCACTCCAAATTCTCACAGTACTAATCACCCCCAAATCACTTCTGCATCATTTCTTCCAGTTTGAACTTCCCCCTGAGCACACCTGCACTGAATTTCAACCCGGCGTCTCTACACGCAATACACAAGCTATACATCTAGCACAAGCATCCAACAAAACAGCCACTGCCAAGTACTAGTGAAGCTAAAGCATCTTGAGACAAGATTGGATCTCATACCGAAGTTGAAGCCGAGGGAGCTCATGAGGGCCTTGTTGCAGATGACAATGGAGACCGAGGACACCACCGAGAGGCTGAGCGCCCCCACCGTCCCCAGCTGGAACTTCTCCCCTGTCACCCCCATCTCCACCGCTCCCAAGAACCACCACAACCAGCAGCAAGCACAAAACCGAGCAGGAACACCAAAATTCCCCAACCAAAACCCGCCGAATCAGACCACCGACAGAGCCTGCGAATCACAAAGAACACATTCTGATCGAGCAATCGAAGCAAAGAACACCAAAGAAGACGCCAAGAAACGGGTCTCTCCCGGGTCAAAGCCACCACCAAACCTCACCTTGCGCGGAATTCGGAATAGGCGAAGCTGGATCTGGGAGAAGGGCGCGCGAATCTTGGCGGGGAACTGGCAATGGCGGGGAGATCTGGGAGGCGAGCAGGGGCAGGAGGGATCGGCTCGGCTCGCTTCAGCTGCTGCTGCTTCGCCTCCTCGCCTCTCCTGCAGCTGATCGGAGACGGAGACAGGGGCTTTTATATAAAAATGGGATCTTTTTTTTTCCTCCTTTTCTTGGTTGGTCGCTTCGGGTTGGTGAGTGGTGATGTGAGAATGGACTGATTTGTAAATTTGTAAATTAGTGACTTTTGAAGGGGGTGATTAGTGATAATTTGGGGGATGCATTTAATTGATTTGATTATTGCAAGTTCATCTATGCTAATTGTGACCACGTGTTTAATGAGATTTGTGATGGTATCCTCTGCATTTGTTGATTCGTTTGGTGAGATGAGAGATGCTTGATCATTGCTGTTTGTTGGACTCAATTGATTACTCTTCTTAAGATCTTTGTAACTTAGTCCATATATTTTATGGTTTTGGGTAACCCAAGTGTCTACATCTGAGTTTTTTTTTTTGAGAACCTCTGAAAATTTGCTCATTTAACGATTCAATTGTTCAGAATTATTTTTTTTGTGGTTTTGCTTTAGTTGTTGGTTGACAGCTTGTATATTTTTTAATAAGGCCCCCACATGATATAGAAAATAGCAGTCAGCCCCACAATTAAGGGTTTGGCAGTGTGAGTCAGTAAGTCATAACCAATGGAAAGCAATTGACCATATGCCATAACTGCACAGTTCTATACTGCCATCTTATAGGACAAATCCCTTATCAGTTTGACTAATGGTGAAATAAAATTACTGACCCAAATCTCTAGGTTAAACTATAGCTAATGCCTACGAAAAAAATTACTTTTTACTGCATCTAGTCAACACAATCTGTCGCCTTGTGAAACCTTGCGTTTTTTGTCGGTGCAATGATTTTATGGAGCAAACAGGAGGGTGTCCTTGTATCCAATTTTTCTTCCTCCCATGTACAGTGCCTAGGGTTCAAAGTAGCGTAGAAATTTAATAGTACTCGAAATTATATGACAGCTAATTGCATCGGAATCTTTCAATGCTTGAGGGAATCTTCATGTACATGCTTCCGTACGGAGTATACTGGAGTAGTCAGTTGTCATTTGTCGATGTGATCAAGGGATACTGGTGCTTATAGTAGAGATGGTACACTGGTAGTACCAAAGTTTGAGTGTTAGACTAGCTCCACAGATTTTTTTTTCCCAAGAAACACAGTACAGAGATGTAGGCACTCGCAACGAAATCTTATCCCTACGAGCATCTCTGGAAAATTAGACCTATATATAATTGACGAAATTATCACAAATATCTTGTTGTTAACGGATATATCGTCTAACACTGAAAGCATAATTTTAGCCGTAAATACGAACCCCACGACAAGTTTAGGATTTCAACTACAAGAAAATCGTAAAAAAAATTAGTAAAACAAATCACAGTTGTAACACTAGTTTTACAGTAATCTTAAATACGTATGCGACGTTTTTGACAATTCAATTTCACGGAGAATTTGATTAAAAATTCCACCGTTCCAAACAGGGACTACGACGTATCGTATCAGATGCACGCAATCTTGTTTATTTATTTTTCTGTCACAAATTACATGATGTACTAGGACTTGAGCTTAGTCAATGAGTTGATGTGAAGAGTCGGTGATAATTAAGACCTTGTCTTCCATGACAACAGAGGATTACAGCTATCATGTCAACTAGTGACTTCTTTACTTAGTTATTGCTTGTATCAATAACTAAAAAAACAACTACGTACCATGCAAAATTGACTGAATCTCAAACAAAACATACTATTAAAAGAACGTGACAACCCAAAAACAATAAACCACACATAAACAGTAAACAATGGCAGCATGAAACAATAAATAAAGAAAAAGAAAATACGAACTTTTGGGAGGACAGGATTGCACAAATGACACTATCATCTTCCTAATTTCTCTCCTGGACTTGCTTGCAAAACAAGATCTTTTTTTTTCTTCTTCTCCATTGTCAGTTAGGCCTGGGTGGATAAGGCCTGAGGAGGAGAAGAAGATGGAAAGGGAGAGGCGCCACCGCTGCAGCATGGGTTGGTTAGGTGGCTTGCCATTGTCTCTCTTATAAAAAAAAATCTTGGGATTAAAAATACTTGATTAATAATTTATAAATTAATAGTACGGCTTAATGCCAAGTTGTTTGTTGGGGTTGGATGGCCTCCACCTCTTGTGGCGATGGAATGGGTCAGGTCCGGGCCCACCGGGCAGTCACCTCCCAAAGTCCAAAAGCCTATTTGGGAGCCCATAGCTTCGCATGGAGGCTGACACCGACGCCATTGATGTTGCACACTCTCGTCCTCCACTGTAGCTAGGCAGCTAGGCATGTTGCAACTTTCAGTTTCACCTGAATTTCACTTTCGGGCGTGTATGATTGCTCCATGATTCTTTAAATCAGTCCAAATGGTTAATAAATAAGTTACAAGATTCTAAAATTCAAAACTGACTGTGGCTTATAACCAAAGCTCAAACAGACCGACCCAGAATTTATAGAATTCGTAGTTATATATACTAATGTCATAAATATTGTATAAACGAAGCATATAATTGCTCCTAAAATATGTAGAATTCACATAGGACCGAGCATAGAAGCACCTCTCATAGTCTCATAGTCTCATGGAGGACAATGATGTGAACATCGGTGGATCCTAACAAAATTCAGTGTACTATGCTACACCTACATAAGATCCAACATGTGCTTTCCTTTTCCTTTTGCCTTGTGTTTACACTGTCAGTGCAACTAATAAGATGCAAAGAAAGCATGTAAGGAACCCTAGGATTAGGTTGTAAGGTTGTTGCTTAGAGCAAATCATGGAGGAGCAAGAGCAGCGCTGGTCCAATCCTCCATTACTGCTGCTACTACCTAGCAACAGAATGAGACGAAGGGAGGTGTGCTTGCCATGAGGCCTGCAGACACAGGGACCATCCAGACATCAATATGCAACGTCAGGTGCTTTATGCTTAACACAGTCTTTTCAACTCCAAAGCTCTTTGTTACCGTACGACATAAAAAGGAAGGACGTTAATTACCATGGCAAACATAGCCTAGAATAGTAGAATGTATGTACCGTTTATTGTGAAAATAATATTTTTACTACTCAGATGTCAGAAGACGCATACGAGTCGGTATTTTTTTTCGAAGACAAAAATGAATATGATAAGGCAGTTTCGGTCGGAACTCGGAATTTCCGGAGTTACAAAGGCCTATACCATTGTCCATATACCATAATAATAGCCCAGCTCAGTTCAAGTTAGCATCCTAGTTGATTGTATTTTGTGATGTATTGAGACTTGAAACAATAATTGGACTGACAAAGTTTGAAGCTCGGTTTAAGGGGTTTTTGTATTCCAATAAACTTTTGTTATCGTATCCGCGTTGGTTTGTATTCGCTCCATTTTCGGTTTCAACGATATTCGATACTTGTTTTCTTATCCGGGGTTTCGATTATGAAAAAAAAGACGGAAACGATAGAAAATAGTTTTCGTCCGTTTATGTATCCTTTTTATCCCTACTCACCATGCATCATGTTCTAAGAAAGTAGGGAAAGAAGGAAGGAAGGGGCAGCCAGCTGGAGGAAATAATCAAAGGGGTCATGTGTATCAGTTGACTCCGGCCAACCGTGTATCAAACAAGTGTGGAAAAGAAGTGATGTTATTTCGGTGGATTCAGACATGGATCCAAGTATCCAAACGTCGGAGTTCGGTAGTGTTTTGTTTTTTTCTTTCTATGGCTGCCGACAGTTTGTGTTTGATATATCTACGTGACCATGCATGGGTGGTTTTCTGTTGAAATGTCATTACAAAGAATTGATTAGTGAGCTTCATTCGCATCACCATCAACTATCAATTAATGGCATATCATCTCACAAACATACTGGTATTGATGCCCCATTGCAAACGTTCTCCTACTTTCTTGTCCAGCTTGGCATGTAAAGAAAGAAAAACATGGTCCATGACTTGTGTTTTTCAGTAGTGAAGACAGGGACCATTGCATGCTACTGTACCAGTAAATGAAAGTGTTTTTTTGGGTTCATAAACTCGTTAACAACAGGGCAGCATATCTTTGGGGTATAGACAATCTAAATTGAAGGAGCAAATTAAATTAATACTCCACTCGGTTACAAACAAGGTAATTAGTATCGAGATACAAATATAATCGTTTTGATATCGGGATATTAACATAGGATCAGAATACTATCGGATTTTAGAAAGTACATGTTTGTATATAAAATATGTAATACGTTGTATAAACTAAAGCATGTAGTATTGATTTTTGTAAATTTGATTGGTTTTTATGTAAATATGAGCATATTATTTACATTATTTCAAATCCACCTTATTTTAAATAATATTTGGTATGATTGTAGGATCGTAGAATTGGGATACTATCTAAGATTTCATAGGATAATGTAGAAATAAATAGTAAGATCAAGATATTATGAAAATTAGAATATACTGGAATCGGTATCATTTCAGCTTAGCAGTATCTTAGTATTGTAAGATACAAGGATAAGAATCGAGATACTAACAACCTTGATTACAAATATTTGACTTTTATAACAAGATCTAACTAAAGTTTTAAAATTCTAACTATCAATATTTTTCAAATGCTAAAACAAATTTGTCATGTTATGATGGTGCTTTGTAGGTAAATTTATGTAGGAGTATATCAATTTTCTAAATTAAGTATTTGATAAATTATTGATTATTATAATTTTAAAAGATTGATCGAACCTTACGATATATATGAAATATTTATGATTAGAATAGTATTATTATGGGACAATTTCGTTTTTCATTATTATTGCGTGCTTTTTCCACCTTTTCTTTTTCAAAATGTGAGGTCCAAGGAGATAAATTTTGTTGAATTCACAAACTTCCTTGCCAATTCAACAAAACGAGCAGTTTGTGGAACATTGGTAGAAATCAGCTTTAGATCGGACGGTAAAAGAGGAACACCAATCCTCGCGATCCAGATCGGACGGTGGAGCGAAGCGCCCATATTCATCACTCGACCGTTGCTTCATCTCACAGCGCAAAGAAGGCGAGTGGGGCGCAAAAGAGGGAAAAGAAAAACAAAATCAGAAAAAGGCAAGCGCCGCCGCGGCCGCGGCGCGAACCACCACCAGATGGCGCCGCCGCCGCCGGGGCGGCCGGCGTGGTCGATCACCGTGCGCCTGAGGCACCGCGGCTGGCTGGATCTCCGCGCCGCCGCGGAGAACGTCGTCCTCCCCGGGTGGGGCCGCGGCGGCGAGCGCCTCTCCCTCCTCGTCCGCCTCCGCCGCGGCCTCCGCCTCGCCGTCACCTCCCGGTGCGGCCGCGCACCGCCGGAGAAGAACCCGCGCGCCTGCAGGATCTTCCGCTTCCTCAGGAGCAAGCTGGCGCGCTTCCCCTCCATCTGGCGCCGCAAGAAGCCGCCGCCGCCGGCGCGCGCCACCGCCGCCTCTCAGGTGATCCAATAATCTCTCCTGGGTTTGGATCAAGTAGCGTTTCTAACTTACTTTAGTACCCCATTCTTGATTTGATTTCTTGTTTTTGATTTGGGTCTTTGCGTGTGTGTTAGCTATGGCGGAACCGAGCAACAATGGCGTGGCCGGCTCATGGCGGAAGGAGATGGCCGGCGAGGACGACGGCGACGGCGGCGCTGTACCTCGTCGCCGCGCTCGCCGTCGTGATGGCTTCCACCGCGGCGGTTCGAGCCATGGTACATTACCGAATCGTGCACTTCCGCTGCATTTTCTCTCAGAATTGGTGTGAATTGTGCATATGCTGTATCTTGCAGAATGGGTATGGGAGAGGATACTACGAACCGGTTGGTCACAGCAAGTCATGGAGATTCTTGGTTGCGAAGAAGATTGCCAGGTTGTTGGAGTTGGAGCCTCGCCTCTACGCGTGGCTCATGAAGATCAGCTTGAACCGGCTCCTCAACTGGTAGAAATTCGCTGGATCCATTCACCTAGTGGCTGGATCACATTGAATTGTGGAAAGAAATTCTCAGCTAGGAAGTAGGAAGGGTTGATGTTTACATGCAAACTAATTTAACTTAGGTTCATATGATTATATAATAAGCATACATTCAGGGACCAAACAAAGTGGTATTGTCATCTGAGTTTCTGTTTTGCAGTGCGGACAATGAGAGTCAGGTAGTCAGCCGTGTGTTTTGCCTCTTCGGTACACCGTACACACAACCAAAAAATGAAGAAAAGAGCACAATCAGCCCGTGGGAATGGCTGAAATGCTAAGGTTCAGGCTTCGGAAGACTTTTCTTCAGTTTGCTTTGGAGAACCTTGCTGCTGTTCAGTAGTTCAATAGGTTAATGATGGGGCATCAAATAAACCTTCAATTTTAGTTCAAAATCCTAAAAGCCATAACTACTATCGATCTGCCATGATCAAAATCCCAAAAGGGCACGAGAGAACACTTGACCAAAAGAGGCATATGAAATACTCCCTCCGTTTCGTTTTATTTGACACCGTTGACTTTTTAGCACATGTTTGACCGCTCGTCTTATTCAAAAAAATTAAATAATTATTAATTCTTTTCCTATCATTTGATTCATTGTTAAATATGCTTTTAAGCATACATATAGTTTTACATATTTCACAAAAGTTTTTGAATAAGACGAACGGTCAAACATGTGCTAAAAAGTCAACGATGTGAAATAAAACGAAACGGAGGGAGTATGTGCATAGGAAGGGAGGCAACAACACACAGCTAGTTAACAGATAGTAGCACGCAAATTTTGAAGACAAAAACACTGGAATCATTTCCCCCTAATAATCACTTAGGTAACAGATCGTAGCAGGCAATGTGGGCGAATGCTTAACATACTGTATCCCATTTCATTCTAACTTCACGAATCACACCCAATGACTCGAGTCACCTCTCACTTCAACACAAGATCTTACAATAAGACATGCTGCATTCCTGTTGCTTACCTGTTTAAACACTTTTTGGAAGGACATGATACCCATCCTCCATCATCCTGAAGTGATTATCCTGTGTAAAATGGCATATGAGAAACGAATCAATCTGCTGGGGAAAAGCAGACCACAACATTTGTAAAATGCTATATGTGATAATGACGTTTGGCATGCATTGCCACATTGATAGTGAATCAATTAAAGTTGCACATCAGCATAATATCTTTGTGCACTTTCTCACATAACATAAAAGAAGAACCCACAGGGCACATGCAATTTGGCCCAATAACATGGCCAGATAGAACCATCTTGGCATGATTTTAAGAAAAGAGAGAATGATATGGCAACTTAGCTGTTCAACATTACCTTGTCTAGCTTGTTCTTGATTGGTGTATCAACCACTATCTTTTGAACACAAAGCCTTCGGAGAACACGATGTTCAAGCATAACTTTATACTGAACATCACTGTTGTTCGGTGACACACTTGCTATTATCTTCTTCTCAATCCCCACCTCCTCTAGAGATCAGAAAACATAAGACAAAAAAGAAGAGAAGGGGTACAGAGTGAAAGTTGGGGTACTGATAGAGTGGACAACGAACCTCCAACGAAAGGTGAATGGAACATAAAATTGCTTTTGGAATGATCAACATCAGGAATCTTGTTCCTCAAATGCAATGGAGTACTGAAATCAACACAGGGATATTCTCTGGCAATAGAATGAAAAGAGCCTCTTTAAAATACATAAAATAGATGGCAGCATAGAAAAGGAAGATATTTCAAGGACACATTTACTTACATCTTTTCCCTTTTTACACATTCAGTATGAGCATGAACCTTGAGCATTTCTCTTGAGGTTTCCTGAAGACAACCCAAGTTTGCAGGAACTTGTGTCGCTAATGATGTTTGCTTCTGCACTCCAGGAGGATTAGTCACTTCTGATCCATCAGAACAGGTTTCAGTTTCTCTCATCTCATTTCTGTGATCTGGATATGCTTGAGGTGTTTCTGTCAACATTTTTGTTTCTGGCTTCGAGAGCTTCTCAATTCTGTCTTCATTCTTGTCACTATTTTTTCTTGTTAACAGATCGGTCAGTTCAATATCTCCCTGAAAAGTGCCATTATCAGCAAGGCCATCCTCCCAAAATGAATTTAGTCTGGAATCCTGAAAATCAATACCAGGACTGAAACCTTGGAGTAATGAATCCTTGCCAGGCTGCTGAGCACATGAACTGTGTTGACCACCTACATTCTGTCTAACAGAACTCACAGATTTGTTTGGAAGAAACATGTCTGCATTTTGGTTCTTGGAGGTATCTAAATTATCTTCTTTCCGTTTGTCAACCTTCTCTGCCAAGAAAGTACTCATATCAATGTCACTCTGAAGACCCATGGAACAGTTTGGTTTTGAAAATTCAATTCTATCGCCAAATATATCTGAAACAGAACTCTGTAGGTGAATGTCATCATCAAAAATGGCATTGTCAGGTCTATGAAACACAGGAGAAACTTTTGAAGCTGGCCTCCTTTCAGGTGAACTTGACCCTGCAGTTTGATACGTGCTCATTTCTGATGCAGAATTGAAAGGCTTATCCTCATGCAACACAGTGCAACTTGATGGGTTACTTAATCCAGTTTGACCCTTCCAATGGGTAGTAGGAGAAGTAGAACCCCAATTGGAAAACTTCTCCTTAAGTGATAAACGACAACTTGGTTCTCGAGTTCTCTGTTTCTCTGTAGCCTTGTCTGACCAATATCCAGCTTCAAGATTATTCTGATCATCTGTTCTTTTGTGGTGCTCTTCCAGATTGTCGAATAGTGAAACTCCATCAAGATGTGCATCCATTTTTGGAATATCTAAGTTATCAAAGCTTATGTGGAAGTCATCCTTCTCATTCATTTTATTCTCTTCACATTCTACCGACAGTGATGGTTTCTTGCAGGATCCATCCTTCATTACTTTGAATTGACAAAATAAAACAAGATAAATGCTACATGCAGAAGCAGAACACCCTAGTTTACTGGAGAACACACTGATCATTAATGTAAAGGTTCTTTGTTGGAGAAAAGGAACAAAAGTAAAAGGCAAAAGTCACTGACCTGCAGCTGATGAGCATGATTCTTCGCTGTAAAGAATAGTTTGGGAAGGTCAGAACAACAAATCCCGCTAACTCTTTCATAACATTAGAACACACATTGATCCCACTAAGTTAAAAAGTTTAAGTTAATTCTCTTAATACCTCCGTGGACTTCTCCTTTTCTCTGAATCGTCTACCATATCGAAAGACCAAGCAGAAGGACCAAATGTGCTGTTTAAGTTGGATTTTTTCTTAATTGGTGGGTGCCTATCCAGAATAATAGCAACATCAGACTTTTGAATGGATATAATTTGCAGTACTCACTACTATGCTCACCTTTCCCAGTCAAAAAGTACTGTATCGTTGCCATTGTCCATCATCGATTGATCAGAAAAGAGGTCATGTGTTGCTGTAATTCCTTCAACAAAAGTAAATTTAGAAGCATGGAATTCTAAATAGTCAGAAAAGTAAAAAAAAGTATACAATGCAAACATTCCGCGAGGAAGACCCAGGGTCAAAATCAAGCGTTTTTCAATTGCACATTAAACATGCTAGATGACTGACATAGCTGATGAATTAATAACAGGTAAATCATAACGTAGAACCAAATCCTCCAGCTTGTCAAGCTACACAGTAGCTGTTTCAGATAACCAATGTTCTCTTACTTCTCAAGAGCAGATAATGATAATACTTGGATCATCGTATTAGTCAATTATATATTCATAGCCAGGTTAGAAATCAATTTGCATAGTTTAGTAACAACAACATAAGATTACGGCTTGTGTATCGGCACATGGTTAACATAAACATAGATAGTTCTAACCTGATGTCTCAAATCTTGTGTTAGTTCTTGTTGAAGTTCTGCAAAAAAGAAAGATAATTATTATTTGGTCTATGAGAACTTATTAGTCTTTTCGAGAAAAAAAATAACTTATTAGTCAAACCCAAATATATGTGAACAAGCAACCTTTGTTCTGGAGAGTATCTATCTTTAAAACCATAATCACGTGTATCAAACTGTTCCACTATTGGAGTAGGAAAACGATCCTCTGAATTAAATGGTTCCATCTTCCACAATCTCTCAGAATTTTCATCAGTTAAATTATCATCCAACCTACCATGCTTTGCTGTTAAGAGTAGAAAAGGTAGAAACGTGCATCATGGATGGTGCAATTAGGTTACACAACTCAAGTGGAAAAACTTAGTAATAAGATGGCACATCATTTACTTACATCGCCAACATTCTTCAGCTTTTGTTTCACAAAACATGTCTTCATCCTCAGGAAAGAATTTATTATTGTGGTTCTCAAATGAATGTGGAAAATAACAGTTAGACTGTTTGCTTCTTTCATAGCCTGATTCATCTAAAGGACAAGTCCTCTTTTCTGAAAATCTTCGCTCTTTCAGCACGTTGATATCATTTATTATAGAATCCTGCAAGAACGACTTGGAATGAGTGTTTACAATTTTAATTAGAAATAGCAGGTTCCATTAATACATCTAATTTGGTGAGAAAAAAATGTTATTACTCAACCAAGTAATCTAAATATCTAAGAGAGAACATATATCATACAAGCTGTACAAGGGAAACATTTTCTTAAATGGATTCTTTATTTCTTTATTGATAGAATAATAAGTTACAGAATTCTTCTGTAAGACTGTACATAATAATAGATGAAAAGAGTCACAAATTCTCAATGTAGGTAAGCTAGGTAACCAGTCCAACAAAGCCCCCGAAATTGCATTATCAATGTTTTATACCAACTGCTTTCATATTCTTTGTGCTTACCATGTTACTATATGTTAAGTATATCAATGCCAGTATATTGTAGGCCCATAAAAACTATTGTTAAGCATATCAATGCCCGTATAATTAAGGCCCATAAGAACTCTATATATTGCTATTATTCCTATGAGACAATCGTACTGCTCAGATTTCCAAGGTTAGTAACATGGTATCAGCATTTAGATCTGATTTCAAAGACAGAATAATTTGGATCAGGACACCTTCCTGTCCTGTGCACTTCATTTTCTCCTCCTTAATGAAATGACAAGCAGCTCTCATGCCTCGTTCAAGAAAAAAAAAAGACAGGATAAGAGTAAGGCAGCTGAAATTCTCACCAATTGCTTTGTCGCATCAAAGGGAATATACCTTCTAGCTTTGTTCTGTGTGTACCGCATGACCTTGGGAGGCAAAGGCAAAGTCCTACAAAATCAAAGTAATTAAAGATAGGGATGTATTGTGAAAAGTTCAGTCATGAACATGAACATTCATGTGCGAGGCAATGGAACCTTGTAGCTCTCTTGCTTATCTTAGCTATAGCCTATAGAAGCAAGGTGAGCAAACTGGATCATTTTGAACCCAAAACCTACCCTAACTGGACCAATCATTTGTTCTTGTAAGCTTCATGGACAGGTTTTTATTGGCACTGCTTGTCAATGAATTTGAATTCAGTAAAACAAACTAGATTCTCAAGATAAATTTGTTTACCGCAAGAGAAGTTTTCCATGAGGTAAGCAGAATAATGCAGAACATTCAAAAACTATTGTTCACCAAACTATGTTCACCTGGATACCTTATGATCCCCTGGATACTTTATTTTAGAGAACTATCAAACTATTGTTCACCAAGCAACATGCAAAAACTAACACAGATTGATTAGTAATATAAGTTTATCATTCAACCTTTTGGTGGATCTTGGTGATTGAGGAGGTGTTTCCATCTTGACATGGCCAAGGCCTGAAAAAGAAGCATAAAAATATGTCTAATGAACCATTTGTGTATACTATTATTGAAGGCAAAGGCAATGGACTCAATGATAATGACTTCATGACAGCCACACGTGCAACCAATTCAATAGCAAATTTCTAACAGAATCATGTTTACAATATCACAAGTTGCAAGAACTATATGTGACCAATAAAACCTGAATAAAACAAATCTTAATAGAATAATGTTGTTTCGGTGAAAATATCCTCAGCATGAATCAACAGTGCAAAGAAGTAAAATATCCCCACCAAATATACAAGCCAGCAAGATCAAAATTACATACAACAATAATAGATGAAATGATGATTATGCATTCAATGTTCTTGGAACATGCACCTTTAACAGAAAACGAAACATGAGCTTCACGGGCAGGTCGTGCAGTAGATTTATTATTTGGTCCCTCATCACTGACCAAATCAAAAAGTGAAATTTCTGCAAGGAAATGCAATAGTTCATTAAATCAAACTTCGAATAATATATAACAAGCGCATCAATCTCATTTATACAAGTTACGTGTTGATAAATTTTACTTTTACATCAATGTTTCATGCAAATAATTTTACCTTTGGTTGCAAGAAATATTTCCTGAACAGACTAAGCGTTCTCGTTAAGGCCAATACATGCCATCGATGATTGTTCCCCTTTTATGCCATATTTACAATGCACATACTTCTTCCGTTTCATAATGTAAGACTTTCTAGCATTGCCCAAATTCATATAGATGTTAATGAATCTAGACACACATATATATTTATATTCATTAACATCTATATGGATATGGGCAATGCTAGAAGAACTTACATTATGAAACGGAGGGAGTACTTCCCATTTTTTTAAAGCATATTTGCAATTCATATACTTGAACAAGTAGCTCTATTATAAATAACCGGTTGATAGTAGGGAAGGAAAATACCATTATTGAGTTCCACATTTGGATTTTGTTTCTTGACACTGTTGCTTTTTGGTGGGGGTATTTTGCAACCAAGCGGTTCCTTGTATGGGTTAGCAGAAGCTGCACCATCGTGATGGTCAGAGGATGATGACAATCTGCCAATGCACAAGATGACATCTCACAAAAGTACAAAACTAGATCGATTAACCAGGTGTGCACTTATCATACTGCATGGAGATACTGACCTTGGCTGAGAACCTGCACAGTAGCAACAAATCAGTACATGAATTACTGAATTTTATCTAAAATGCACATTACATGCTTCAGAAATAATATCATATCTCATTCTTCTTTAGGTAGCTGCGCATTCAAGAGAGAAACATTAAAAAAATAGAACTACTGAATTTCTGAACTTTGTGGATGGATATGACCATGTCAATGTTAGTATATTGAAATACCATGTCATAAAACAAAACAAGAACGTTGTGATGAATTCCTTTGAATCATATAAAGAAGGTTGAACCCTTACATGGTTCCTTCAGATTGCTGCACGCAGAAGTGATCTTCTTTAGTCCCTCTATAGGAGAAGCACTTAAAAGAGTGCAATCCAGTGGTGGAACAACATTATCTACAGCTGAGATAACAGTAACAACAATTAATGTAACATACAACTGGAGGATAAAAGGACATGCATTCAGTTTTAGGATAAAACCATGCAACACTAATGAAAAGAGACTACTCCACAAAAGCCCACTCTAACCAAAACAAAATGCACAGAAAGTGCACGATACAGTCCATCTGTCAAATAAATTCCGATGATGGTTTTATGTCTTGGGTTTCCAGGAAACCATCACCAATTGTCATAAGTTAGTACAACAGCAATGTGTTCTAAGTTTTTTCTTCTTCAGACAACTATGTTTCAAATTGTAATCTTGCAGAAAAATCACAATCATTATTTGTCTGCCCCAGATTTTCCAAAGCTCTTAACCTTCCGTTACACTTGAACAAGAGTGCCATTGGTCAACCTACCTGATAAAAACATATCCAGAAAGTGCCCCGGAAGAACAGGAAATATAAGGTGCAGAAAATGCATGTAGAACAAGTTCACTACTACCAGTATAACACCGCAAAACATATAGAGAAACTCACTTTCAGGGCCACTGCTATGACTAATTGGGGTTGCCAGATTGTTCAGGTTTATAACATCAAGCGATCGAGGAGCCTGATCATGATAAGCTTGACTGCCAGTGCCTGATACATCAACCTGGCTCTGTACTCCTGGACTCTGCTGTTGCCTTTTCTTTTGCTCAAAGTACTGCCTCTGCCTACGGAGCATTGTTCAAGAGTAGCACAAATTGTTCTATCAACATAAGGATGTTAACTAGCAGAACAACATAACTTGATGGCGCCATCGAAACTAAGTTACCTGCTCTGCGTTGATTTCCTGGACTGCTCCCAATTCAGGAACAAACATGCATAACACAGACGCCCAAACATGACCGAATGTTAGTTTGTCACGACAAATAGTGCTAAATGCAGCGATTGCTCTGATGATTTACACGCCAACCGTTTCACTGTTTCAGTAAAAAATGATGGAAACCAAGCCCAAACTAATTGCGAGGAAGCACAACAGAGAGAGATGGAGGGAGGGAGATCTGGGGTACTCACGGCATACACCTTCCTCCGCGAACCACCCATCCATTGCAGCATAGTGAACAAACGACGAGCAATCTAACCTCGCGGCTGCGAAATGGGCACGATGAGTGTAAGCGCGTGAAGTTTCAGGAAGAGGTGGGTGAAGCCGCGGGCCGCGGTCCACGCACCGACGAGATGAGAGAGCGCCGCGGCGGCTCCCGAAGCTGCGGAGAAGGGGACGGCGGCGGCGGGAGGGGTTAGAGGTGACGGGGAGGCCGCGGCGACTGGCGACGCGCGCGGATTCCGCGGCAATTCCGGTGGCCGCCGCCCGCCGAGGTGCTGGAGCTCGAGCTCCCCGCGGATCGAGAAGCTACGGCGGCCTCGATCGGTGGAGGCGGAGGCGGAGGCGGTGGAGGAGGTGGAGGCGATGGATTGCTTGGAAATTGGAATTCGAAATTAGGAGAAGCGGAGACGACGGCGACGCGCAAATTGAAATTCGAAATTGGATTCGCAAATTTTTTTTCTCCAAACGACGGTGACGCGCTACACTGGGGCGCCCTGTTTGGGGAACGAAATGAGCAAATCACAGAAGAGGAGACGCTGGGCTGCTGGGCCGTGGAGTATTTGGGCCTCCTCCTGTACTGGGCCCCAAACCATCCATCTGCGAAGCCTATATTATACTACCATATATAGGGTGTGTTTATAGTAATTTGGTTGCGCAAAGAAAACTTTTGGGTATCACGTTGGATGTTTAACTCGATATTGGAAGAGATTTTCGGACACAAATGAAAAAACTAATTTCATAACTCGACTGAAAACCGTGAGACGAATCTTTTGAGCCTAATTAAGCCGTCATTAGCACATGTGGGTTACTGTAGCACTTATGGCTAATAATGGACTAATTAGGCTTAAAAGATTTCGTCTCACGATTTCTCTACAAACTGTGTAATTAGTTTTTATTTTTATCTATATTTAATGCTTCACACATGTGTTCAAAGATTTAATATGACGTTTTTAGGGAAAAAAGCTGGGGAACTAAACCAGGCCATACATTCCTCCGATTTGCCTGATACTCTGCTGCTTTGTCAGTTTGCAACAATTTTGTAGAAAGCAGTTTGGATTCTCGCAAAATCAAAATCAGTTTAATTCCCGTTTGTCATGAACAATCAGATTGACATGGCCATTTTGCTATCTTGATACCAAAGGGAATCATCTATGGAGTACTGACTGTCTGTGCTGCAGGCTGAGTGAAGCAGCCGTAGTAGATGTCGGAGACCTTCTTCAGGTCGGCGGCGCTCGCCGTCCACACGTGCCCCGGCGACGCCTCCGGGAGGCCGTCGCCGGCCGCCTCCTCGCACCTCTCCTCCACCTGCGCCGCCTCCCGGAGCTTCCCCTCCCTCCACAGGCTCTTCACCAGCAGCGCCTTGGTGGGCGCGTCGGGGGCGACCCCGGCGCCACGCATTTCGTCGAACAGCTTCAGCGCGAGCGCGGCGCGCTCCTTCTTGCAGTAGACCTTGATCAGCACGCTGTACATGTACCCGTCGGGCTGCAGCTCGCACTGCCGCACCAGCCCGAGCAGCCGGTGCACGCCCTTGAGCTCGCCGGCGCCGGCGAGGTGCTCCATCAGGCCGGAGAACGTCTGCAGGTCGGGGAGGACGCCGCGCGACATCATCTCCTCGAGGAGCTCCATGGCGTCCGCCGCTCTCCGGCATTTAGCCAGCGTCCGCAGCAGCGACGAGCACAAGAGCGCCAGGTTGGGCCTCGACACGGCGCCGCAGATGGAGTCGGCTTCCCGGAACACCCTGATCGCCGCGTCGGCCTTCTTGGAGAGGCCGTAGAAGTCGACGACCAGCCGCACGGTGGCGAACGGGAGGACGATGCCGTCGGCCCGCACCTTGCCCAGCAGGCGTTCCACCAGCTCGACGTGGCCGGCGCGGGCGAGGATGGCGACCATCCTCGCCACCGTGTGCCGGTCGTGCGCGTAGCCGCCGGGGCGGCACGCCACCCAGCAGAAGAACTCCCACGCCGTCTCCGCCTTCTTGAACGCGCGCAGCAGCTTGCACACCAGCCGCGGCGTCCACACGATCCCGGCGGCCTCCAGCTCGGCCACCTCCCTCGGCTCCCACCCTTCCAGCGCCCTCGCGAGCTCGCGCGGGTCCAGCCATGGCTTCAGTGTCGCTCTGCCTCTGCCCTTGTCACGACCGTCCACGCCATCGTCGTCGTCGCCCTCCTCCTCCTCGTCGTCGCTATCTCCCTCGCCGTCGACGTCGTCCACGGCGTAACCGATTCTTTCGTTGGGTGAAAGCTCCTCGACGAAATCCTCCGTGCCCTCCGCGTGTCCCGCTTCCCTCATGGCGGCGATGGCGGCGCGCATTTGCGGACCGGGCATGACGCCGTCGACGGCGACCATCTCGCGGACGAGCCACCGGAGCTGGTCGAACTTCCCCGCCGACGCGAGCGCCTCGGCGAGCACGTTGTACTGCCGGGTGGTCCGCCGCGCGCGCAGCGACGGGAGGAGGCGGAACACCTCGACCGCCTGGTCCACGAACCCCGCGGAGGCGAGGTGCTCGATGACGACGGTGTAGGTGCGGGCGTTCGGGAGCGCGCCCTCGCGGACCATGGCGCGGAAGGCCCCCACGGCGGCGGCATGGTCGGCCGCGCGGACGTGGAGCCCCATGAGGAGGTTGTGCGCCTCGGCGGGGCGGTGCGGCTTGGCCGGGACGGAGGCGAAGGCGTCGAGCGCGGAGGCGTGGTCGCCCGCGGCGGCGAGGAGGCGGAGGCGCGCGAGAGGCGGCGGGGGCAAGAGGAATGAGGCGAGGTGGGAGCGGAGGTCGGGGAGCGCGGCGAAGGCGGCGAGGCGGGACGCGAGGGCCTGGAAGAGTGGGAGCGGCTGGGGCGGCGGGAGGGCGCGGAAGACGGAGATCGCCGACGCCGGCGTCGGGGCGGCGCGGATGGCGTGGAGCGCGACGACGGGGTCGTCGGGTGGCGGTGGCGGCGGCGGGGAGGAAGGGGAGCGGAGGCGGAGGCGGAGCGAGTCGATGAGGCGGGCGCGGCGGAGGTAGAGGGCCACGCGGGCGGCGGAGGGGGGCGGGCGGGACATCGCCGGCGAGCGTGTTCAGGCAGACGAGAGAGCGTGGCGGCGGCGAGGGACGTGGACACTGACCTTGTCAAGGAGGGGTTTTAGACTTTTAGGCATCAGAGCGTCTCATGCAAAAGAAGAACAAACACAGATGGTTCAGAATTAATTTGTGGACACTTCAAGAAGTTTAAATTTATAAATGATTATGGGCAGTTCAATTCGTTTATGATGCATAAACTTTACTCCTAAATTTAGACCGATTATGACTTATGAGTAGTCTTCGGTTTACCTAAAGCTAAGGTTTGTTTGAAACTCTGAATACATTTCCTGACGCAACTGGTAGTTCAATGCTTTCACTGACAGAATAACAGAACAAAACTCCGTTTCCACTCCTGCTCTCCATTGGTAACTGAATGGATCAGGAATGAATGAATGATGATAGTTTTAACCATACATGATGATTCAGCTAAAACTGACAATCACCTTAGCTGAAATGCTGAATCGTGTATATTAAACCAAAGGCTGCTCGCTGAACAAAGCTCAAATGCCATCTGAACAAAGCTCATTTACACCAGGAACAAACATCACCCATGTCTGGGAGTGACCATAGTTCAGAATTTGACCATGTCTGGGAGTGGCTTTGCATTACCATCGACAGCAAAATGGCTGAAATAATTACTGTATAGCATGCAAGCATAAATTTCCTAATGTCATCCTACAACTGTCTAGAAGAACAAATTTGTCTTCAATGGTGTTCGTCTTCAACTGTGGAGGGTCATGAAATGATAAGCTGGTTTGAGCACCATGCCGTTCCTTCATCCCACAGCTTCTTATGGTACATAAACCGCGGGGCTGTAATTTCAAGCAGAACAAGCAGATAACAGTCCATGAGAAATTTAAAATGGCTTAACCATGAAAGAAACAAGCAGCATGGACACGATAAAACTAAAGGAAATGTAGAGTGATTATCCAGAAAGAGCAGAAAAACCAAGCTAAATAACTCACCGTGCAATTCTCATCTCGAACCTGATCTGCCCCTCTTCCTCTTTCCGGTTGATCTTGTTTGAACTGTCCTGTCTGCCTGTGTGCGGCGAGTCCGTGATCGAGATCGCTTCTCAGAACCGAGGCCAGACTCAGTTTCCTGATCAGGCGCCATGGAATGATGTATATCTTCCTCTTTATCCCTCTGTTGCTCTGCCTCTGGTTCAGCTGCAGTTGTTGCAGCAGTCGATGAGCATGGAACCAGATCCACAATGTCGCAAAGTGATGATCCACCAAGTTCCCCAATAACTTCTACACATGTTCTGGTGACTTGGTCAACAAAAGCACGGCATTTGCCTCTAGAGCAACTTTTTTGAGAAGCTGCCTCCTTCGCAAGGACAGTGAGTTTGTCGGTCTGGGGCAAACGATGGGAATTTCAGAGATATATCAAAGTATCCTGCTGGTGGTGGCGAGTCTATCATCCAACCATCATCACCATAGATACATGCATACGTGTTCTTGTTAGTTGAAAAATCTTCACAAAATAATTATGTAATCCGTGCATGCGGTTTGCAATAGAATTATTTAGTGATTCATGTTCAATTGAAAATTATATGCAGCTTTTGAAGTTCAGAATTTATGATATACTTGTTCTAGATCAATGCAACGCATGGGTATTTGGCTAGTAAATATCAAAAGAAGGTAACCTGAATGAAGCTCACACGATCACACCTGCATGGTAGTAGCATGATTTATTTTACAAGTAGGATGTCTTACCACTGAGTGGATCAAATGAGCCCTGGGGGTGTAACGAAGCTGAGAAGCACGAAAAGGATCTTCAGAATCAGAAATTGCACTCCCACCAGATGCCCCACCCTTGTGACCATTACTTATCCTCTTCGGTGTGCACAGGCGAATACGTGTTGATCTTCTGTACCACCGCAAATAATCCATATAACTGCTGTGGTCATATGGCCGGTCTTCCATGACAACATCTTGCTCCTTTGCTTCCCACATATCCACAAAAGACTTGTGCTTCTGTGCCCAGTCATTATGAACCCTTCCACGACGGCACCTGCAAAACATTAGAAAATTTTATGATTCGGCTACCTGTAGATGATTCTATAATTTACCAGGACACACAGTCATGTACAAGAAATAATAAGAATAAAAACAGCAAAGTTCTGTTTTGAAGATACCAGTGAAGCTCCGCACTAGTGTCCCGCAATGGAGGTGGGCACACCTGATGGAGGCCAAATTGGCGCATCACTCTCTCAGGCATGTAGATCTCCACCATAAAGAAGTAAAGTAGAGGTGCTCGGGTTAGCCACAAATGAGAATCCTGGGTACAAATAGGGGCTAGCTGTAGTTCCTTCATCCGTTCCTCCCTATATGGGCACCAAACAACCTGGTCATCCGTTAGCAAGTCAAACTCATTCGTGAAGTGCTCATAGCAACGTGCGGGAGCTGCTCGACGGGCGCACACCCCCACAACCCATCGTAAACCAACTGTGGGTCTATCCCTCTCATCCTCTAGCTCCTCCACATTTGGGTATTTTAGCTTCACCAGGTCTGGCCTGCCAATTGGAAAATGCTCCCATGACCAAAATTGAAGGAGCAAAAGACAACCAGTCAGATTACTTCCATCTGACTGCCTCCTGCAAGCATCACACATTGCCCTGTAGAGATATGCCAGAGTAGCGGAACCCCAACTGTATGAACCAATATTCTCAAGATCAGCAATCAGTGGAAAGGGATAGAAGGTATACAAATCACCAGAGGCATCAGGAAACAGCAGACCACTAATCAGGCTAAGGATGTATGCCCTGGCATGCTGCTTGATGGTCTCCTCGTCAGCATCTTCTGGACAATTGTTGAACTCAGCTCTGACCCATGAAACCCTCAATCCAGGACGTGGCCTATCCGGCGGAGGAGCCTTCCCAAGGTATCGCTCAACCAATTCATTCTGGGGCTCTGTTGGGTTTACAGTGACAGCATGGCCAGCGATTGGCAATCCAAGAATCATTGCAACATCCTGTAGTGTGATTGTGATCTCACCACAAGGCATGTGAAAAGTGTGAGTTTCAGGTCTCCACCTATCAACTAGTGCAGAGACGAGTGCCCGATCAATGGAGGGCAGACCAGCCCTACAAATGTTTGCCAGTCCCATCAGGCCAGCGGGCCTAAGGTAACGCTCATACCTCCTGTCAAAGCGAAGAGGTTCACGGGTACGAGGGTTGAGCTCAGTCAAATGCTGTACCAAACATTGGAAATTGCAAATCAACAGTTTGTTACACGACAAAAGATTGTAATATAAATGCTATAGGTACTCTTTGATCTACCTGGCCTGATGCTAAAGCACGAGCCCGATGATCAGCATCATACTGCCCAATTAAATCATAGGAAGTGGTATCAACTGCTTCTGAAGCTCCATTCTGATCTGGACAACCATCATCAGAGAAGGTCCTGGTGCTCTTTCTTGGTTTTCGTTGCCGTGTGTTCTGAGGATGTCCATTTAGTGGACTAACATTCACCGTTGAAGGGATAACAAACGACATGTCCTGTTCTGGATTCTGCGGTTGGCCATTTTGACGTTGTGCATAAAGCGGTTTGATAGCCATTAGTGCTCTCTCTGAGGATATGCCCTCTGTCAAGGAACAAATTTCTGCTTGAACAAAAATCTCTAGGCAGTTCCACTCAGTCCCATTGAAAACAGCTTTCACATAGCTACTCCATGACATGTCATCATCGATAGGCACCATGATGAAGTGCCGATGAGCACCACCACCAACGTTCAACCTTCCCTGCGCACGAATGCTGAGCATCGTAGGCACCCACCCGAGCTTCTTGTACACGGCATCAATCAGTTCATCGAATGCAGGCTTCGCCTTGAACCATAAACCCTCCTCGGCGAGGTTGCCAAACTCCACCCCGTTTGGACCCTTCACCAGCTCCCCGCCACTGTAAACTCGCACAAATCTGTCCATCTCTGCAGCCAAACATGAATGCACCCCAATTCAAGATCAGCTCAAAGCCTCAAATCCAGTTTCAGTAATCTATAGCATGAACAATGAGTCCATGATGTATGAGGAGCATACGAACAAGTTCTTGTTAAACGAATACGAAGCACTTAGATAACAAAATCAACCCAAGTTATCCACTCAACTGAGGTACCATACCAACCAGAGAAAACCCAAGAAATGCTCTTACAAGTAGTATCCTAGGAACTGCAACATGTCAATTCTCAAATGCTCAAACCTAGTTTTAAACCCACTCCACACCATTCGCAATGAAAAAAAAAGGGTAATATAGTGACCAACGCAAGCTACACCATGCGAGTGACAAACAGCTTAGCTAAAATTTCCTCTCGATGCTCACTGGCGGCGCGGGGGGGCATCACCTATACTGAACTGGTGGAACAAAGGTAGATGAACTGTTCATCCAAATGGATCTTATCTCCGCGACCGCGAGCGGTGACGGAGGCTTCGGGAGGGGAGGAGAGGAACGGGAGTGCGGCGGGGCTTACCTTACCGCGGCGGTGGCGGCGCCGAAGGAATCCGCGGCGGCAGCGGCGTCGCGGGGTGGCGCGGCGGCGAGTGGGGAACGCGGCTTTCTTTTTTTCACCTGGTTTTTGTTTGGGGGAAGAGACGGAGTCGTGGTTAGCGTTTTTTTCCTCTTTCCGACTTTCGTTCGGCGCACGCAGACGCAGGGAGCGCTTGCTTACCTAGCGTTCCGTATCCACGCTGGGCTGCTCAGCGTTTTGACAGATGGAAAATACATCACTTGAGTTGAGTGTACGACAATATTGCTACGAAGCAGTAGAAATAATATAACACATCCAATACAACGAATCTACATTTATGTAGATTCGTTATACTAGAAGACCCTCCTAAGGGGTTATATTCCCTCTTAGGCTACAAAAATTCCCAAATGATCGAGTATCATTTTCGTAAAAAAAAGTATTTTCATTTTCAACTACTCTTGATTTTAGTCATTTTTTTCCATTTTTATCGGTGCAAGTGGTTAGTAAATAATTAAATTGTCAAATATAAGAAATTCATGACCAATCCATAACCACTTATGTAGAAATGATATTGTTTTTGTCTGTTTTCATTTCCTTTTGGTTGATTAATGCATGATCATTCATGTCATACTTTCAAACAAAAATTCAAAAACTTTTTATCAGCTATTTTTTAAAAAAACACAGTGCGGATGATATTTTATTTAACTTTATAATATGGTCCTTTTACGGTGCCCCCACTAGAGAAGGTAGTAGTGTAGTAAAAATCAAATCTAACCATTGATTGTAATGGGTAGTTTAGACTTTTATAACATTAACGGGAAAGGGCATTTTAGCCTATTTCGGTGCTCCCGCGAGGTCAACACAGGCCAGGTTCGATCCGCCCAAGTCGCGTTCTGCGCCCTTCCTCTCCTGAGACTCTACGCTAGGCAGCCGCCGCCCGCCGCCGTGCCGCCCCATCTCGCGCCCGACGTCCTGCTTCTCGTCGTTCCGCCTCGCAGCTCGCGTGAATCGGCAAATCTACTGGATGAATCTGTACCTCCCAAATGGATAACCGACAATTGACAAGTTTGGATTTGTATCTATGTACTTCACTAGCATATGCTGATAGCCTGATATGCATCTGTTCACTGATATGTACTTCTATATTACTATTACATTCTTCTCTTTAGTTAAAATTAAAATGATATATTTCTATATACATTTTCTGTTGAGTGGATTAATATTGTTACTCTACTTGTTAAGATTATGGATTTTTCATCAGAACAGAACTACAGTCCACTAGTTCAGTGATTTGTAAATTATAAATCCACTGACAGCAATTACAAAATTAGTCTGAGTTGGATGCAATCTCCATATACAGCAGCATCATTACTTGACTGTACGATATTTATGTGTGCACTAAAAGTCTAAAACTGTGATAAACTAATGATTGGATCATCTCATCTGAAAAATGAAAACTAATAGATTACAGACTAACCTCGCGCCAACTACAAATCTACAACAATGCCATGTTTCTTTTTTTCTTAATTGCCCTTTTACTACGCATACTACACCTGCTATCAAGGTGTAGTATAATTAGATCTCACCCATCCAATCCATTCTAACGGATGGCTCACATCCGCTCAAGGGTACTTTAAAAAAATCCTTATAATATATCATATTTAATTAATCCATGTATTAATTTATCAGTTAATCAGCTGATGAGCTAAACAGAACAGGGTATTGGCTTCTACGGCTTATAAGCTGACATGTAACTGAATAAAAAATAATAGTATAAGACTTTATACTTCTACTTTTGTCTGTGCTAAAGCACTATTCAAACAACCATGATCGCTTTTGCTTGCTCATATACAAGTTACATGGATTTAGAACCATTTTATTGCCGAGGGAAATACGTTCCGCGCAAAAGACTCGCAGGCAATCAGCACATCACCACCATGCATCGCCTCAGCAAGGAAAAGAATCAGACAGGAAAAGTACAATGCTGATGCATGGTAGGACTTCTCAAGTGTGTATCATGGTGTATTAGAAGAAGAAAAAAAAGTTCTAATTCGCTAAATGCAAGCTATGATTTTTTCTGACGGAATTCCGGCTATTCGGGGAAAATTCTCCTTCCTCGCTCCACGACTTGCTCTAGGTCAGCAAACCATGATTTAAGCAACGATTTCTCCTTAGCAATGCTCTCCAGTTTGGATTTCAGATTTTCAATGGCCTGATTCAATGCAAGAATCTCAGCCTCGTGTCTGAACTTCTCCTCTGAAAGCTTCTCGGTAGCATGTGACAGTTCTTGGTTGTACTTTTCAGCTTCAGAGTTTGCTTCCTCCAGCTGCTTAAACTTGTTCTCAACAAGTAATTTCTCCTCAGAAACTTCTTCAAGTTTGATCCTGATGCTTTCAATCGTTTCTTGCAGCTCAGCTGTCACCGAACTGTTGCTCAACTTCTCTTGCAGCAACTTCTCAGAAGCATCAGCAAGTTCTTGCCTGCACTTGTCAATTTCAGCATCACTACGAGAGAGCTTCTCTTCATATTGCTGTCTATCTGAAGCAATTTCTTCCTTCAGATTGACAATTTCAGCCTCCAGTTTCTTGTTCTGTCCCAACAGCCTAGAGTGCTCTTCCGACAAAACTTCAAGGCTGTTTTTGATATTGTTAATCTCCTCTTGTGAAGACTGTAGCTTCTCATTTATTGCACTTTGATCAGCACCGTTTCCATTTTCTTTAGAATCACAATGGCACCTCAAGCTCTTCTCTTCCAGAACCTCAAGTTTTTCATTTGCGTCGTGCAGTTTCTGGTTCACGGTGTTGAGCTCATCCTCAAGCTCAAGAACTCTCTGGTGCAATGTGTAGGCAATGCCATCATCCTCACCATCTTCAGACTTTGCATCAGATTCTGACTGTGAAGCCAAATCCTCAGGCTCCTTCCTTGAGGCCGGTGAGGGTGAGCCATTGCTCTTGTTGGACAGGAAGACGTCGAAACCGGCGGCCCTTGGGCTCTGCTCCCTTGTCCAGGACTTCTGTGGTTCAGGAGATGGTGAGGGTGACCTCTGCAGCTCAGAGTCTGAACCTGCCAAGGATCCCTGATACTGCAGCCTTGTAGGGATGTTCTTGCGCAATTCACCAGTGACATTGTCGTATCGCTCAGCTAGAGCACGGTACATCCGGTAGAAATTTTCAACATGGGTGATGAGCATTGGACGCCTCTGGTAGTACATCTGCGCTTTCTTCGCGAAGGAATCGCCATCCTCCTCAATAAGCTGCAGCATTTCCTTCACTTGCTTGTCCATTTCTGCAAAAAAAAAAAAGGTTCAGGGAGAGTTAGATAAGGCTACAGTATATATGAACAATAGTAACAACGTACAGAATAGCAGAAAGTGTAAGGAAAAATATCAGCAGTATTACTTTTACTTCACTGACAATTTATAATAAAGAAAATATGTGCATCATTTCTGTTACTTGTCTATGGAAGCACGAATATACGAACAATGAACAATCAAGAATGTCTACTACATCTCTAGTTATATTCATGAATCCATTTACTCAACTACCCCATCCTGCTCATTAGTTTGATGTACAATCAGTTAATGCTACAGTACCATCAGATACCATGAGTGCGTCAAGAGCATTTGACTTAAGTAAATAAGTAAATTGATGATGTACTTCCACTGGTTTATTGCTCATTTATGTTCATCTCAGTGCAGTAAACATTGGTAAATGGTACTGTACCTGGACATGCATTGATATGAGTAGTATCTCCACAAAAAAAACGCATAACAGTAGGAGTACTAAGACAATGCAATCTCATTATTTTCCCTGTAAAAGTTTCAGCTCACCTTCAAGATTTTCTGCAAGCCATTTAGAGTTCTTAGGGCTAATGTGACTGTCCCACCACCACGAGTGGCGCTTCTTGGTAGGGTTCCTCTCCAAAGGTGGCTTCATTGTTCAGGTATCTTCAAAACTATAAATGTAACAGATTCAAGCAACCAATTGAACAAAGGAAATGTACAAGGTCAGTGATGATAACTAAATCAATCATAAACATCATGACAAAGATATGAATACACTGTACTACAGGATAAAATCGACCTGAAACATTCTAAACCAAAAAGGAAAAAAAAAAAGGCAAGTAAGTGAAACAAAGCCAGCAGCCTCTTAACTCTTTAGAAGGTACCTGGTCCTTGTTGGTTGGACAATCAAATGCTTTTCATTATAACAAAAGCACCGACCGGTTAGCTCTAATATCAAGTACTCAGGTGGTACAAGATCAGAGAATTATTGAGGAAATTCTGTGTTAAGATGATACTATCTCCTCATGTTACCATGGTGAGAAACAGATGACTAAATCTCAGACATGACACAACTAGGAGGGAATTACATCAAGTCAGATCATCAGGTAATGCATTGAGTTCTTATGTACAACAAGAAACTTGCACAGTTGCTCATTTGGACGATATGGTATAATGAAAGAGTTGGTTTCTTTTTTAGCAATACGCAAATACTCAATCAGCAGAAAAGCATCCTGTTGTTTAATGAAGGAATAAGCATATGACTACATGTAGTGCTGCATTCAGAATGAAACGCTGGTGGCAATCAAACCAATACCAAAAGATAGTAAAATCCCTGCAGAAACGCTGCGAGATCTTGGAAACAGCCATTTATTGCCAAACAAGAACTGAATACATCAAGAAACTGAAGGATACAACATAAAGCAAAAAACATATTCTTCTACATAAGCAAGCAACATCAATCAATAGCATAATCTCACCTGGGAAACAGGGGTTCTTTCAGAACCGGAGGTGAGGATCCTGCACCAAAGATCTCAGCTTCTGTTCATGACGAAGACCAAATCTGACCATTCAAAACACCATACAGAGGCAGGAAGAAGAAGAACAGGTCAAGAACATGTAGCTGGATTGGTGCTTCTCGGTCAAAGCTTGAAGCAAACGCGTAGGAGAGTAACAGAGAGATTCGGAAACATGCAAGGCACGAGACGACGGTGGCAGCAGAGATGACTACAGCCCACCTACTCCTACTACTATGTGTATTACTACTCGAAGGATCCAAGATCTACTCCTGCTTTTAAAGAAGAAAACTTGAAGCAGAGAGAGAGAGAGAGTATGAACCTTTTTGTTAACACATGGGGAAGAAAGTACGGTGTATTGTTACCAATCTCTCCAAAAAAAAAGGAAAACGAGAGATAAAAGCAAAAGGATGGAAACAAAATAGACAAGAAATAAATAGTGGCACATGGTGTCACCAGCCATGTGTGATGTGTTGTAGTACTTCTCAAGATTTCCTTTCTTTTATTTTCTTAAAAGGAAAAAATGGACAGCATGGTTGCTGGAGATGGGTTGTGTATGAACCATGCATTGAATTCTTATACCATGGAAATTAATTAATGCTTGCATAAGTAGGAGGAGGAGAATAAATTACAAAACTAAGGGGTAAAAAAAGAACATAATTTTCTAGTAAAGAATAGAAAATTAACACGAGATTGATGAGAAAAAATGAGTGGAGGTGTTGCTTATTGATACCTTCTGAAAACTTTTCCATCATCAGAGTTACGGACAAGATGTTAACATACAAACAAAAGAAGCAAGACCTGCAAATTCCAAAATATTCTGTCAGAAGGATAACACAAAAAACCAATAGCCATATGTGCTCTTATATAGACTGTAGCATCCATGGGAAGAACCATACGCAAAGCTCTACCGTTGGATCTCTAGTCTGGATGGCTGATGCGTGCAGCTCCGAAGCAAGATGAAACTGTAGGAAGAGAGAGTAAGCAAGTGTTAAATAGGCATCAATGAGGGAGAGTTAATTACCCAACTAAATAGGCAAAAAACTGAAGCATGAATTCTGAATGAAACGTGCAACTGAGTTCAGTTCAGTTCAGGCAAACAGTGGCTGTAAAAGGGCTTCACCATGTGATGTTTCTGAATCCCTGATCCCTATAGTATTAAAGAAATGACCATCTGATACGACCGAAGGATTCATATGATTTAATACTCAGATCTTTGCACACATCTCCTTGTATTTTAGTAGCTATGCTGTCTGCTTGTATACACACAAGGAGTACAGTATGAAGTGCATCAGCGGCCGTGGCAATATTTGCCATGTTTCTCCACTAGTAAGGATCTTTTTGCAAGATTCAAGAATTTTATGAACTAATCCAGGAGCGAATTGTGGAAAAAAGGTAGGGTCAGCTCGAGGCATGGGCAGGTCAGAGACATTGACAACGGACAGGCCATTGCTGCAACCTCCCATTATTTCTGCCGTAATCTCTGAAAGTCTGAAACTGAAAGTGTTCTTGGGTTGCTGCTAGTCATGCATACTTCCCTATGCAGACACCTTCTCAGGCTTCGGGCTCAATAAAAGTGAAATTGCAAGTTGGAGAGTTGGGTTTGGGGCGTTGGAATTTAGGAGTAAAGATTTGCTGGTTGTTTCTTACAGCAATAGAGAAACATATGTGAGAACATGGTGTGAATTTCAGAATTTGATCGTGGAATTGTATTGATCATATTTGAACAAATGATAAAACACAAATCAAAATTTTAAGTTTGGTCACTAAAGTAAATGTAGAAATCCAGCTTAGTTACATAAAACCTGAAGCCTGAATCATCCATCGTTTCATGTCAACAACGCTTTAATTGTCAGCATTAACTAGTAAGCTAATCGATACATGAGCGACTAGAGTTGCACGCGGTGGCTATGGAGGTAGGAGACGTACACAAAGGGTGGCCGAGAATCGGCGGCGCTCCGGCGAGCGGCGGCGGCGGCGAGGCGAGGACAGACGTGGGAAGCCGACGAGTGTGTCCTTCACCACCTGACCCCCACACGTGGGGGTAAAACGCCGCCGGCGGCCCGAGGAGAGCCGCATTCATGGCGGGTCGTCCCCTCCCAGGACGGAGAAGGCGGCGGCACTCCGGCGGACGGCGGCGCAGAGGCGATGCCCTTGTGACGGAAAGAGAGACTTACAGGTGGGACCCACTAGGCCGGTGACCCCACATGTCATCGAGGTGTAATTTTGCATAAAAGGCCCCATATAATGGTAGCAACCGTTGCCAACCGTTGGATCGCTATCATTGGTAGCGATCCGAATCTCGGACCTGTATTGACCGTTGGATCTACACGTGCGGTTAGGATCGAGTTGAAGAGCGTGGCTGCCTGGGTATATTTTTCACATAGGCCCCTCCTATACTTTCCTACTCCCTCCATCCCACGAAAAACAAATTTAGTATTGGATATAGTATATTCTAATACTACGAAATCTAGGCAAATATATATCCAGATTCATAGCAATAGGATGTGTCACATCCAGTACTAGATTGGTTTTTTGTGAAACGGAGAGAGTATTTGTGTCAGAAGAATCTCACAGATTCATCACCACAAAAATGCAAAGAGGAGACAGATCATTTTTCTTGACATGCTCACAGCAGAATTCGACAGATTCATTACCAGGAAATGAAAAAAAGAAGTTTGTTCAGACTCGGTTCCTCGATTACAATACACGCACCATAGGGTACCAGCATCTGAATGAGCTACATCATAGAACAAGAAAAGGGGAGGGAGATGCAATTTTGCATTGCATTGACAGGTTCTTTGATGCAATTTTGCTTTGCAGTTGCATTGCCAAGATAGGTTTTAGAAATTCTCACTCTCAATTGGCCATCACCAATGGCCTCTTGTGGTGTCCCTGCAGGAGCTGCCTGAGCTGCTGGTACCCATGGCGGTAGTGCTCGAGCGAGAAGCAGAGCTGCCTGATCGCCTCTCGCTTCCCCTCCGCGCCATCGGAGACCATCAGCTTCTGCTCCTCCACCTCTTCCTCGAGCTCGCTCACCCGTGCTCGCAGCTCCGACACCGCCTTCGTCACGGCATCTGCCTCTGCAATCAGCTTGACATGCTCCAGGTGCAGCTGGTGCAGGTGGCTGTCCATCTCCCTGATCTTCTCATCACGAGCTGTGACATCGGTCAGTAAGCTAGCCACCTTGTTATCGACTGTAGTTTTCTCTGAAGAAAGGAGTTCAAGCTTTGTTTCGAGATCGGCGATGGCTTGATTCAGATCGGAGATCTGCTTCTCACTGCTAATGGATGCTTCTGATTTCTCGGCGTGGAGTTGCTGGAGCTGTGACTCTGTGGATGTCAGCTTGCCTTCAAGAGAAGCATTGGCTTCTTTCAGTTTTTGGATCTCGGCACCAAGTGAGGATTTCTCCTGCGAGAATTCTTCCAAATTACAGGCGATTGTGTGTTCCAGATCATTGATACGGCTCTCCAGCTGTGATTTCTCTTCCAGAGCTCTTCCTAGGTCAGCTTTCAGATTGTTGATTGTAGCTTGTAGTTCTGCGACCTCAGTCCTTGAACCCTCCAGCTCCTTACGAACTTGTTCAAATTCGATAGCACGTTCTTCGAGCATCTTCTTCTCATTTGAATCATTGTCCAGCCTTCTTTGCAGATCCTTGATTATTTCTTGGAGCTTCATAATCTGTGCTGATGAATCATCTAGGCTGCGAGATGCTTGTTCAAGTTCCTTAACCTGGGCCTTGAGCTGCAATTTCTCTTGTGACATTTTTGCTAGATCACCTTCGAAATTCTTGACGATGTCTTGGAGCTTTATTATTTCTGTTTCAAGAGTAGATTTATCGTGGGAATACTTCTCATGAACGTGTTCAAGCTCCTTCTTGCACTTCTCAATTTCATGGTCATGATGAGCTAGTTGGCCTTCAAGTTCCTTCTGAAGGCTGCTGATTTCTGAGTGCGAATCCTTCAACTTCTCCTCAAGTTTTTCACATTGGCAGCGTGTATTCTTTTCCTCAAGTGCCTCAAGTTTTTCCCTTGCTTCCTGAAGCTCATCTTCTAGCTCGGCAATTCGTTCGTTCAATGCAAAAGGACTTCCATCACCATTGTCTTCTCTCAATTCGTCAACCTCAGAATCAGATTCTGAAGAAGATGATGATGATCCATCGCTCCCCTTCTTGGAAATGTCTGAACTTCCACCAGAACCAAGGAAGACATCAAAGCCAGCTGCTCTTGGTTTACGCTTCTGTTTTGGTGTTGTCTCTTCCGAGTCAGGCTTAGGAGTTGGGGGAGCAGACTGTGTCTCAGAATCAGATTCAGATATGCTAAGAGAGCCTTGTGACTGGAGTGACGATGGGATATTCTTGCGTAATTCCCCAGTCACATTGTCATAACGCTCGGCAAGAGCACGATACATGCGGTAGAAGTTCTCAACATGAGTTACAAGCAAAGGCCGCCGTTCGAAATACATCTCGGCCTTCTTTGCAAAAGAATCACCTTCATCCTCGATGAGCTTCAGCATATCTTTAACTTGCTTATCCATCTCTGTTTGTTGAGAAAAATGTTATAGTAAGAATCAGTTGTGCTATGCATAGTTGTTTTGCAGGATGAAATATTAGTGAACCACATAAATAAGGTCCTAAATATTGCTACTTCTGGCAAATAATAAAGAATCACTAGTACATCCTGCATTCCCGAAACATGAGGCTTTACCTTCTAGGTTCTCGGCTAACCATTTGGAGTTCTTGGGACTAATATGGCTGTCCCACCACCATGAATGGGACTTCCTTGTTGGCATCCTTTGCATGCGCTTCATCTTGACCAAAAATAAGATGACTCCTCAAATGAAGCCCTAATCATGATGGAGGAAAAAATGAGAAGGCGATAGATACATGTGAAGTTTGATGATGTCGAGCAATCTGCAACTAAGAAATAAATATTTTCTAGGCAGTTCTGCAGAAGGAAAATGTTAGGACTAGAACCAGTGTAGTTATGCACATAAAACAGCTTAAGGGCCCCTTTGATTTTAGGAAAAATGCAGGAATTTTGGAGGATTTCAATCCTATGAAAAAAAATCCTATGAAGGCCTTTGAAACAAAGGATTGAATCCTATCCAATCCTTTAAAATTCCTATGGAATGGGTAATCCTATGCACATTTTGGAGGAAAGTTAGCAAGAGGTCTAACCTCTTGGAACATTTCCTCTGAGTCTATCTCTCTCATCTGATTCCTGCGTTTTTCCTGTGGTCCAATCAAACAGCCATTCCTGTGTTTTTCTTGTGTTTTGTAATCCTCTGTTTTACAATTGTATTCCTGTCAGAATCATGTGTTTTTTCTATTCCTCTGTTTTTTCATTCCTACAATTCAAAGGGGCCCTAAAAGTGTAACACAGTACTAACAACCAATGTAATTCTTCCATTGCATAAGTGCCTATGTAAGGGAAGCATGGCTTCCACTTCTCAAGGGGACAAGGAAAGGGACTAGGCATGTCAACCTCCATAATGCATGGAACCAGGGACCAGAACATCAATTGGCTACCAAAAAGAGGTGCAAACAGCAAACTGCTATATAATTCATGAATGTCTTATCAGCTAATCAGCACTGACAGAGCAAAATATTGATAAGCATCAGCTATCTAAGGGAGAAGCTGATGAGAAGGTCTGGAAGTAAAATATAAACCTATCAAACAGAAAAGGGATCCCTGCATTCTTGAATAGTACCTTATCTTCTCTCACACAAAGCTATAACTACACAATGTTTACCACAAAAAAGTTTATCTGGAAACTGGAAATATCATTAACCCGAACATAGGCAAGCATTTATCCCAAAATAGATAGATACAGAGTAGGAAAGCCCAGAAATAAACTTTAAAAGAAAAAAGCTTCTAACGACAAACTTAATAAATATGGGCAAAGGGAAAAAATGTGCACTGTGAAACATGACAACTAACAACAACGAAGTTGATCAGATACTACAGGAATCAATATTAGTTGGAAAACATGGAACAAAAATGGCTAGGACTTGGTTATCACACAGCACAACGCTAAACATGTGTCAACTACCACTCCATTGTTAAGTCCAAAAAACAAATAAACTTAAGCCCAACCCAGGGCAGCAATTATGTTCTGCCCCCACATAGACAGAAGAGGTAGCAGATTCAAGCTGAAACATTGCAATTCGGATATGTTCTTGTCAAGGTCTATCCACTCAATAAATAAGTGGTTGATTAGAAAGTAAAAATGATTGTGACCCACAAAAAACATGGCTTTGGTTACACAGTTACACCTACATGGACACATGCGGCCAGGCACAGAGCCAGGAGAGTAATGGCCATTCGACTAGTCGACCAGCACATTTCAATGTCAACTGCATTTTTCAAATCATGCCAACAAATAAACCTATATTTGATATCTCAGATAATTGTATTGTATATCTTTAGAGGAAATCTTGCCATCCATGTGAATATGGATAGAATTAATGAACACAGCTAGGCATGCATATGAAGCAATCTTACAAATAATTTGTCATACTCTCTGGCAGCTAGCAAGTGGACCCAGACAAACAGAGAAAATATCAGAAGTTGTTCCAAATAATTTGGGGGCCAATTTCCATTCATATTAACTACTTCTCGGAACCAATGATGGTAAGAGTTTATAACAGTAAAATAATCTAAAACTATAGAAGGTCCCTAATCCAGACAGTTGTTGCACATGCACCAACTAAGATGGTCACTGATATGCATGTTCTTGGACCAACCTGAAATAATAATTTCTTCATTCGATCAGCTGATCTCTTCTAGGAAAACTCTTTGAGAAATTGAGACCATGGACACAGGACACCTACACACACCAAGTTCAAAGGGGGCCTTTAGGGGGAAATGGCCACAGACTAAGTACAACTACGCTTGAATCAATTAGCTTCAGGAGCTTTCTAATGGTGGCAATTCAGAAACTTAAAGTAATTCTTGTATGTGAAAAAAAAAATGTAAGCAAAAGCATATACTATCAAATAGTATTTTATCATGGTCAATTAAAAAGAATGTTAAAAAAAGTCAATTTAAGCTGGAAAAAGGGTCCTTTTCTTTCAGCGTCATGAGCTCAGAAATCATAACCACACCAAAAGTTTGAAATCATTATCAAGATTTTTTTTCTTCTTCTCCTGGGTACCCTCACACCACGGAAATGAGTGAATTAAGCAACAACAGTACATGAAACATGTGGGAAGAAAACAACAAGAAGAACACCACACTTAAATGCCGTTTTGACCTGCTACAAAGACAAGGCACAGATCAGAAGCATAACCTTGCGATAGAAACAAAAAGGTATTCCTTCAAAATTCTCTTCTCTTTTTTCCCCTTTTTTGAACTATCGTGTTTAACACAAAACCACTTCTTCTTCTCCCCAAGAAAAAAAAGAAAAGTAACAACAAAATCACACTCCTCGCCCATTTTGAGCATCGACGAAGAGTGCGCACAAACGATTGAACACCCAAAGTAGTCAACGCAAAATCCTTTCTGTTCTTGAAGCGTATAACGTCTCAGGCCAAGAACACCATCCAGAAAAAGAAAACGAAAAAAAAAAACTCCAGTTCCTAAATCGCAACACAGCGCCAGGAAACAAACAAGCAAGCGAGCAAGGGCTGGAGAAGGAGAAGAGATTACCGGAGAGAGCGAGATCGAGGCAAAGCCTCCTTCCTTCCTTCCTTCCTTCCTTCCTTCTCCCAACCTGGAGAAGGAGAGGAGATCAAAACGGCCTTAATGAAACCAGTTTAGTGTCAGGGAGGTGAGAGAGAGAGAGAGTGGAGTGCGCTGTTATTAAAGAGGAGGAGATGGTTGTGAGTGAAATGACAAGATTGCCCTCGGTGGGGTAGATGGCGTGACTGGTGAAACGAGGCGCCGGCGACGATGAGCTGGACGCGTTTACGCGACGGGAGCAGGTGGATTAGATCAAAACGGTTATTAGATAATAGAATTTAGTTTATTAACTTTATTAATAAAACTATTATATATTTGTTCGTAGCGACTTAAAAGTAAAAAAATTAGGTTAAAAACATTTTAAAATTAAGTTTGAAAATTTAGATTTTTGACTTATTAGACTAAACGATGAGATAGGATTTATTAGGAGTGAGATTATTAGTGGTAAGAAAATTAATCCGCGGAATGTTGTTAGGAATAATCAATTCGAGGGGTGGTGCCCACCTGGCAGAGGGGTGAGGGACCCACACGGCGAGGACAGCTAAAGGGGCCCAGCGGCAGAGGCTTAGAGGAAGAAGATTTGAGTGTTTTGAATTTTCAGGTCTTGTTCGGTTTGCTGAAAATAAAATGAAATATTTTTTTCAGTACCATTCAATTTGCAAGGATGATGAAGTAAAAAAGAAATTCTTCTCTTCCCTACCAATTGTAGAGGGTGAGACAGTAGGAAATTTTGTATTCATTAATTAAATCTGTTGTAAAAATCCTATATGATTTGAATTGTATAGGTATTTCTATGCCTTCACCTTTTCTTTTTTATGATTGTAATTCCTAAAAACCGAACAACCCCTCAGTTGGGTTCACCCGATATTCCCATCATCCCATGCATTTGTATGCTCAAACCTGCAGTACTGTGTATTTCATAGTATGCTAATTTTTTTTTATGCTCCGATATTATTTTTCATTGGCTCCACATGATGTGTAGTACACCTCCGTCCCAAAATAAGTATAGCCATAGATATACGTGCTCAGCGTTTTGACCATCCGTCTTATTTAAAAAATTTATAAAAAAATATTTAAAAAAATTAGTCACACATAGAGTGCCATTCATGTTTTATCATTTAATAACAATAAAATAAAAGTACTGATCATAATATTTTTTCAAATAAGACGAACGGTCAAACATTGGATATGAATAGTACTAAAACTGTATTTATTTTGGGACGGATGAAGTATTAGTTAGTGTATAATACTAGTGTTTGACTGAGCAAAATTGAAGCCATCTGCATGCAGCACGCGGAGCAAACAGCTCACATCAACCACCACCCTGATGCTTCACAACTCATCACGTTTTTATTTCAACTGTTTAAGTGCGTGATAGGAGGGTGGCCTACCAAAAAATTGACAGATTATTATTGAATTCCAACAAGATAACAAGATACGGCTCGAGCGTACACATGGGCGTTTTTAGTGTCCTAAATCGCTTATTAATACACTATTTTTCTTTTACAAAGTATTCCTTATTTTTTGCATTAGGCAGTTCAGGACGGCAGGTCTGGCTCCGTGTGATGACCCCTCCTGGGCTGCCCTCTCTCTCCCTCGTGGCAGCTGGCTCCAGGATTGGTGATCATCCTCCAGGGTTTGTTTACCTAAGCACCTCCGTAGCGGCTTCGACTCCTTGGTACTCCTAGTTTCCTGGCAGCTATAGAAGGAACGAAACTTTAGGGTTTTCGACTCTGCGCTCGCTTCAGTCGCAATGGTTCTGGAGTCCATCCGCTTGGAGGGCCAGTTGTGGTCTTTAGCCGGCGTTGCTTTTTTGGGGATTTATTGGGAGTGTAGCGTGGTTCTGCCCCCTCCTGCTGTTTGGAGTTGCGTTTTTAACGTCGTAGTAGTTCCTATCTTCAAGTTTTTTTTATTTTGCCTTTTCTCCCCTCCCCCTTAGGCATAAGCCAGTCTGGCTGATTGCTTTGTATAACAAAAACTTTTTTCCTTCTAATATATTGACGTGCAATCCTTTTGCGTGTTCGGAAAAAGAAAACATTAGGCAGTTCTTGGGCAGATCAGGCTCCACCATTTCTTATTTGTCACGGTGCAACCAATAACACGGTCCTGCCATTAAAAAATAACAGTCTTGAAGGGTAATGACAAAGAAATGATTTTCCTATTGAGAATAACTATATACCACCTCATATATATATATTTTTATATAAGACACTGTTGACTTTTCGTGTAACGTTTGATAATTTGTCTTATTAATAAATTTTAATATAAATATATAAATATATAAGTTAAGGTAGAGTTTTTTAGACAAAAAGTCACAACAAAATAATAACATTTATATAATTCTTTTACAAGAGAGATACTCAAACAAACATTATGTTAAAAATCAATGACATTATATATTAAGAAACATAGTGCTCCCGTTCTAAATTATAGGGTATTTTTTAAAGAAAAATTAAACTTGGTAAATTTTGACTAATATATATACTAACTATATCTATACTAAGTAAGTATTATGTATGTTCTATCACTAGATTCATATTTTAAAATAGTTTCATGTGATGTTAATTTTATATAAATTGTAAACGCAATATAAAATAAATTAACAATTCAAATATGTCATTAAAAACCGTGTGAAAAATATACTCTTTCGGACCAGATAGATGGACTATATGTCCAGACACGTTATAGAAACGTCTCATTCAGTTCAATTTTAGATTTATATTTTGAGACGGAGAAAGTATGTTCTATAATTTGAGATGAAGGAGGGAGTATTAATTATCAGTATTAGAAAGCGCACGCGAAGCTTGTGGCGTTCAAACGAAGGAAGGAGACATGCGCGCGCCATGCAGTAGATGACAAAAAGAAGAGCGTGTCCATTTGCTTCGCGAGCTTATAGCTGGAGAAGCAATCAATCAATTAACACCACCAGCAGCAAGCCGAGGGCAGTTTGGGAAATTCACCTTGGGCTGGACACTGGGAACAAATGAGACTCCTGTTGGGCCGGGCACGCGGGCCCAGGTCGTCCTCTGTTGGACTAGTCGTGGTGTACTGGTGTACTGGTGTGTTTCACGAAGCCTCGTTATCTCTCACTGGTCCGCGGGGCCCACGTCCAGGAATCCATCGCCAGCGAGTGGGGCCCCACGAGACAGCCGCGTTTGCGAGAGAGCGCGCGCGCGCGCGGGAGAGGAGGGATTCCTTTTTTTGTTCGAAAGTCGAAACCCGTGGCGGGAGACGCCGCGACGTCGCGCCACGCCACGCCGCGTGCGCGTCGAGAGAGCGCGGGCGCGGCGCGACGCCACGCCAGAGAGCGTCGCCCATGCCGCGCGCCGCTGGATCGCCACGGTTGACAAGGCAGGCAAACTATAATTACTACTGTAGTACTCTGTATTAATAACGGTAGTGTGGTCTTTGTGCTTTAATTTTTATTAAAGATAAGACACACAGCACTATCTCCGTCCCAACTCCCAAAATACTCGTCGCTTTGAGTTTTTTTATAACGATTGAACATTCGTCTTATTCAAAAATTTATAGAATTGTAGGTGCTCACAACACGCGTGCATACATCCTTATAAACACACACGTACACCTTACCCTATGAGCCTATGAGCATCTTCAGAAGACTGAATCGGTATATCTTAAGATTGTCAAAGTTACCACGAACACCTCGTTGTTGAGGTGTACATCGTCTACCACTGAAAAGTAATTAGCCGTAAACATAAGTACATTTGTCAAATATAAAAATTAAATCCCGATGAGTTATTTTTATCATAAGAAAACTAATCAGTTGAGATGTATTTTCATTGAACGTCGGGGACACTTAAAGTCGTAAATCCCCTACGGCGTGTTGAAAGCTATTAGCATCCATATAGTCGAGGGCGGATCCAGCACGGGGCCGGCTGGGCAAAATCTCGAGCCCACCACTACTGGCGCAAGTACTATGGGAGTCCCCACAGAGCCCCCGCTAAATTTTTTTTTGCTATATGTAGATGGGAAGAGGTTTAGCTTTATCTAGTTTATTCAGATCTCCTCTATCTCTTTCTAGATCCGCCACCAATATATAAGTTGTTCTCCGTCTGTTTCGCTATTAATCTTTCTCAATTCCCAACGCCAATCAGAATCCATTCGTTTATTTTCATTCTTAACACCACATATATCAATCAAATGATCGATCCGGCTTTATAACAGAGCCCAAACGACATACTCCAAACCAAAAAACAAACTCAATCCTGTCTAATGGTGCGTGTGAAATCCTCGAGTAATTCAGGATTAGCCATCATATCTTAATCATCCATGACACTTGCACTGTGCAAGCTGGTCCTGGCTGGTGACAAGTAGGGCACGTACAACTACATGTCAGGAGCACAGAGCCACACGTACTGTATAGTCCGATGCTGTGATGCATTCATTGGAGTGGTTAATTAGCGGCTGGCCGTGCCGGCAAGGTTGGCTACAAGAATGACGACGCTCTGCATCTCAACATGTACTGTTTTATGTGTCTCTGTATATCATTGATGGCATTAGAATTCTGACGTCTTGAAGAATTTCATTGGTTGGCTAAAAGCTGACAAAACATTAGAAGAAAAACTGTAAGTCAACAAAAAATGATTCTATTGAAGGACTTTTATATTTCTACTACTAATGGTTTAAAAGCTAAGGTTGAAAAAAACACCTAGAGTAATTCAAAGTTAAGTTTGAAAAATCAAAGTTTGGCTGCGGCCGGTCCTTGTGATTTCCTGAAATTCAGTGTCATGGACCCATGAGGTTCGTCACAAATGGTTACTGGCCGACCAAGCCCACATCATATCCAAAGAGCAGCTGTGCGGTGATACATTCGGCCCACTCGCTAAAAAGGCCCATCAGATACTAGAATCATGAACTCCATAAATCATGGATTCATGGCAGATTGGTAGCCATTCCTGGCATTTGTCAATATTACAGTAAAAATATTTCCCTATTGTTCTGTATCAGTTCACACTCAACATACATCGGATCACTAATCACCAGGGTAAAATCAGGCAATAATAGTGCCAAAATGGCATGTCAAAAGTGTGATTTTAACAGGAGAAAAAAAGATACTTTATACCCGGGGACTGTACAGTCTCATGACGGATATACAGAACCAAGTCTGAAGAAACACCTCAGCAGAACATACAGCCTCTGATGATAATTGATATTTGCTGGCAACGTCTGAACTCTGAACTGAACTTTGGGGTTCCTGACAATAATGTCTGATTGTCACTGGCTTAATTTGCCTCAGGCGCTGTCAGCAAGCGCGGCCACTTTCTTCTCCAGCTCCGGCTTGTTGGCGCCGACGAGCTTGTCCACCTGCTCCCCGTTCTTTAGGAAGAAGAACGTCGGTGTCGCTCGGATGTCCCATGATGAGCTGAAGTCCTAAAGAAAATCGGTTGAAGAACAGAACAGATGAGACTGAGAAGAGCATTAGAGACTATCACCTGTTCTTATGGATATAACAGAGGGGGGAGAGGAGGAAAAAAAAACATTGGTTTTACCATTAACTCGTCGACATCTATAGTCAAGAACATGAACTGGGGGTATGTCTGTGACATCTCAGCATATACAGGTGCAATGACACGGCATGGTCCACACCATGCAGCACTGAAATTTGCAATCACCTACAAATGGTCCACCAATTCTTTATTTATAGTACATTGTATGGGAACATAAAGATCACACTTTCTTACTTCATTAAGAAGAAAACATATGCAGGCGCAATTTACTGCAGTAGATAACATAGTGTGTCCATTTGAGCAGAAATTTTGAATACTGGCAAATAAGAGTTATAAGAACTCTAAACAGTGCAACTTAAAAGGGAGGAGGAAGGTTGAGCTTTTAAGTCTAAAGATATAAGCAACATCCAACATGGATACATTTTTGGCATTAATCAATTTGGTTCTCTCTTAACAGGCAAGAGTCAACACTAATTAAACATGCCAACTCATATCATGGAGAGCAATGCTTTGTTGGTAGGTTCATCAAGAAACAGCAAAAACTTGTAATACTGTACTTCCAATGCAAACTATTTTACAGTGCGTGCAAGAAAACAGAGCATGCATCAGTGGTTATCATTATCCTCCAAACACTTTAATCTGGGCTACTCCCTGTTCATATCATATACCAAAGAACTTGTTTCATCTTTTATTCCAAATAAATAAAACACGACATTCCAGAATATTTTGATGCACATTTGCACTGTTTTCCTATTTCACAAGAATGGCGCATGAATTTCATGATGTTGTAGATACAATTTACATGTAAACCGGTAAACCAGACCCATGCATATGCATATTGTAAATACTATCAGAAACTTTACGCAATTTCCACAATTGACAGGTACCTATAGTAAAGATATATGCATTCTACAAGTTACTTACAATTTTCCCATCCTTGTTTGCCTCTGCAATTTTGTGGTCCCAATTCTCTTTGTTACTAATCACATGCACATTGCCACCTTTGAAGTCAATCTTGTCTTCTTCATCACTGCGTTCCTGTCCGGGGAGATAAACATGAGAAGCAACAAACATTACTTGTGGGTTTGAAAGCAGTCACCACAAAATCACATAATGCTCAAGCAAAATAACGGTTGACCGTGTTCACAAGAAGGCTGACCTTTCCCACACAGGACCCCATAGTAGTTGACTAAACCAAGAAACTACCCTTGGGAAAACTGCAAACAGTATTAGAGTGTGTTTCAATCAGGAAAGTGTTTCTGAGCTATGAATAGAAAACAAACAAAATTCATGCAGCAATATTAGGTGATAGCCAATAACAGAGGTTGTCAAGGAAAGAAGAGTGAATGACTCTTCAGGTCACATATCACAAGTACCAAGTCAAAGAATGAATAGTACCTAGTCTCTCACCTAAGTTCAGTTCAGAACATAACTTTTTTTTTAGAGGTTGTTCAGATAGTACCATCTTATCATCAACCCATGATACAACTTCCAAACATCTGCTAGATTTTACACAGCACAGATCATAGTCCTAACCAACTACTTGATGTATGAACAACATAAAGAGCTTTAGTCTCAATCCTAGCTGGTATCAGTGGTAGGACACCATTTAGGACCAAGAATCAATCACCTACAGGGTACAGAATCATAGTCATCACCCCATTTCACCTGTTCTTTTCTTTCATATCCACATCCATCTTCAATACAACGACTTCTTCCAAACTGGAAGTATGGAGCCCAGAAGGCAAAGAATTGACAGAGTTGCGAGGCCAAAAAAAAAAAAAAAGGAAAAACGCCAAGCATCCATGGCCATGATTCCACAAATCCAGGGCATGGCGAGAACACCGGCTAGCTCCAAGAACCTCATCGAGCTAGCAGTGCAGAGGCGGATTCAATTAATCTGAGAAAAGGGGAGAGATTTTACCTGGGATTGGGCGGCGGATTTGGCGCCAAAGAAAGCCTGAAGCCGCGCGAACTGGCAAGAGTTTTGGGGGAAGTTGCTCCTGTATAAGCCGTGAGCTTCCGGTTAGCATCATACTGTTACTACTACTACCACCACTAGTAAATATAATATTATTGTTAGTACAAAAAAATCAATATTTTGACGTTACACACCTGCAAGTACTCACATGGATGCATTAGAGCCGGCTAAATGCTGAAGTGGAGGAAAGAAGAGTGGAGAGAGAGGAGGAGCAGGCTGTAAACTTACAGCCGGTTTAGACACAAGAGTCAAGAAACTCTGTGAGAGAGACAAGTGGACCCTATAGTAACTATAAAGAGCTAACTATTATATTGATAGACTGAGAGAATGCTAAAAAAAACCTTATAGCCAACAGGTCGGCTGTATTATTAGCCTTGCTATTAGGCGACACTAATCACCATCTTATTCGCTAATCAATGGTGACGTGTACTTTACGAAACGTGCTAAAGCAAAGAGAAGAGGAAAAAAAAGATGGATAAAGGTGACGTGGACTGTTGTTTGTCCATTTTCGTTGGATGGTGCATGGTTGGTTGATTGGTTCTTCCCAGTTCACTGGTTTGGCCGGCTGTGCTGTACTTGAACCAATTTCTGGCAGTGCTTGAGAATTAAAGGAATTTTATGCGACTTATCATGGAAAAATGACTATGTACAATCATTTTCTTACTTAGTGTGTTTGCATGAGCATGATTCGAGTTGAAATCACACCAGAATTCAACTTTCGGTGTGGAATTATAAACCTCCATCTCCTCAAAAGGTTCTAACAGCGTACCGTGTATCAGTTCATGTTTCATGGGATTAACCTGAAATATTTTGTTGGTATTCAACTACCACTCTTATCAGAGGCACAACTACTTTAAGCAGTTAAGCATACCAGCAACATCGCACAGCTACGAAAGGGCATGTAGCCTAGTGGTTACAGTGACCTGAGTACCCAAAGGTCCTGAGTTCAAATCTCCTATGGAGCGAATTTCAAATTGGGTTGTTTGCGGGGCTAAGTTCCCTATCTCAATAGCCGTATATATCTGGTTGGATATGTAGGCCGTATACAGCTGCCTAGCTGCATTAGGGCATCACCAATGTTTACTAGCTACTTTGTGAATAAGGGTTACTACTCTCACAATGTATATAACCTGTTAGTAGTAGTATTTTATTCCTTACTACCCACTTTAAATGCACATTGTGGATGCCCTTACCAGATGATAACCTATCAGGTTCAGACCAAGAGGCGGCAAAAGAAATTATGACAGGATCATAATAGTGCCGCAACAACCAGCAAAAAACATTGGTTCAAGGCATTGAGAAGCTAGCACCACAGATCGGCAACAGAACTGCAAAAGGGCCCGATGAAGCAACCTGTGAGTTACAGCGAGCTCCAGAGTAAATCCGTTGTGGAGCAGCAAAAAGAATTATTACTTTCTTCACACGCTGTGCATGGTGAAGTCAAATTGCCTCTCTGAAACTCAGATGCAATCATTTGTCGCTGTTGAAACGTTGGTTGCTACTTAGTGTGGAGTGTTGGGGAAGAACAAAATGCACAACACGAAAAAATCGATGCGGTTAATTGTGTCAAGTGGTTTTCTCCAGGTTCTCAGCTTCTTGCCGCTTCCTTTCTTCGTACTCCTCACGTAATCTTTCCTCCTCACGCCTCAATGCTTCAGCTTCCTCTTCCTGTTGTCTTCGCTCAGCCTCCTCACGCTCCCTCGCTTCATCCTCCGCATCCTCTCTTTCATCAAGATAATCAAACTCCTTCTCTGCAGCCATAGCTTTTACTATAGGGTCCCGCAGCTCAGATATCAAACCCCCACCCACCTTGTACTCCTGCTCGTCACCGACAAGGAATAACCGCTGATCAGGTCCTGACGCCATTGGTATGTCAACAGCGAGTAGCTTCATGTCGTACTGCAAAGAAATTAGAATAAGGTCAGGACTCTTGTTGTAAAAATGTATTGCTTCTAGCTGTCTCAAGTGGGTAGAGATTTCGGTGTTAGTTTTCTTTAGATAGCACATGCAGTCATGCAGTGTTTTCTGAATGGCAAGGGGAAGGAAAGAACATAGCAGTAATACAGAAACAGTAGAAAAGGTCAGATATATCATCAACACGATAAAAAAGGGTTGGATATGACATCAAGGACCATAAGGGCAGTCCCAACCCATAGTGTCTATAAGCAGTGTCTAAGGTGCCATGTCAATAAGACATCACAATAGAAACTACACTCTACAACCCATGGTTTCTTAAAGTGGGCCATTAATAAATACATCATCTCTCTTCTTTACCAATCATATTTATTCTTCATCTATTATGAAGACACTATTCTCTCCCAATGCAAAATTTGATAGTGTCTAGTGCATAGGTTCTCGTGTTGAAGTTGTGTCTTGCATGAGACCCAGTTTCTTCCTCTCTTCACTCTCTCTCTTAATTAATATAGTGCTACATAAGCTAAAAGTCCTACATGGTAATATAGTTAATGCCATAGACACCATCCAAGGTGGAGGGTTGGGACTGCCCTAAATGTGCTACAGCCCATTGTACAAAATAGGTGTCAACAATTCTTGACCAACAAAAAAGAACGGTTCCATTGCATTCAAAGAGAAACCAATATTTCCTCTAATTAAGTAATTGTATCAAATAATAAGTGATAAAGCAGAGAAAGGGTGAGATGCTTCAACATTTGTCCAAACTTCTATTCATTCACTAAAGGTGTACATTCATATACTTGATTATACCATGCATAAGGAGGTTACTCAATCAATTGTTGCTGAAGTAATCTTTGGATCTTTGCTACAAAATAGAGATAAATAGTTCAATACCTGTCCCTTTTTCTTCTTGACCTCAACACTTACAAGGCCTTTTCTTTCTGATCCTTTAATGGGGAAGATCAGAAAGCACCTTTTGCCACCAAGCCTAAATTTGAAGTCCTTGAGTTTAGGCCCCCCTCCAGACATGACATATGCTCTGACATCAGTACCGGCTAAGGGTGCACCCATGACTTCAAGGATTGCAGCAGATGTGTTGAGCTTTGTCATTGCTATTCTATAAACCTTATCAGGATTTATGGTGAATCTTGAGCGTGTGTACATGCCCTATAACAAAAATAGACAATACAAATCAGTTGCTCCTCCCAAAACTTAGGCATCTGTCAAGCAAAGTTGCACTAAAAATATTAGATTGACGGTAGCACCGTGTTATGAGCATTTAAAATGATAAGACAACTTAAAGGCAAACAAAAAAAGTTAGTCATTGTTTCCTCTACAGAAAGTTGATCATGGAAAGTGGCATAAAGCTCTAATGTTCACCATAAACTAGACTTCTGATAATTTCCAAGTTAGCAAGATCTCTACAGTTCACTTCATACTTCTCTGCAATCCATATTGTTGCTACACCTCGGTAGATAAAATAATATACCAGTCTACCACAAGTCAATATTGTTCATGTTACACGGATCGGAAAAGAACATTAAGACAAGGGTAATATTGAAAGCACACCTACCTAGTACTTTGGTGCATGATCAACTAGAAATCATTTGATTTTTTTTATTAGAGTATCATCTTTCAAGGTTTTAGGTTGTACTTGTGTTTCCTGTATGATTAAAGCATTTCCGCGTAACAATTCTTCAATCAAAACTATGATCATAAATAGTGAATCTGGTTCTCAGGTGAACCAAAGTTAAGTTTATAATAAAACTAATAGACTAATGGTAAGTTGGTAACCCGAGGTTTAAGCTCAAGGCGGGTGGTAGTTCAGACAAAGTGGCATATTTCAGGATAATAAAGTGTCGACATATTTAGCATGGTAAGTGCTACATTGAGGTATGCTGGCGGTTCATATGATCAGCAAAAAATGTATTGCTTGATATAAACATCAAGATGAAGTTCCAGAATTCGAGAAGCGGTGCATACAATTAAGCATTAGACAGTCATAAGGTACAAAAACATTCATACCACAATGATGTAGAATATATTCACCAATCACCGCATGCGCATTCTATCATAGCTTGTTATAGTTCATAGCAGCTAAAGCGAGAAAGGGAGGAGCGCACTCACGGCGAACGCCACCATGGCGGTGGCGAGGGCGAGGAAGCCGTACTTGGCCATGCCCTCGGAGAGCCCGACGAAGGTGCTGGCGATGCCGAACATGACCCTCCACAGCGCGATGCAGACGACGACCGCCCCGGCGCCGACGAGCAGCATGTAGTTGCGCCTCCAGAACGCCTCCACCTGCAGCCCCACGGCCTCCCGGTACCTCGCCGCCGCGTTCTTGGCCGCGTCCAGCGGCCGCCCCAGCCCCAGCCCCTTCACCCCCTGCCCCAGCGGCGCCAGCTTCGACGACCCCCCGCCGCCGACGCCCGCCGCGAACGACCTTGCCCCGCCCACCACGAGCCGCCGCGCATGCAGCTGTAGTAGCCTCGCGTCGGGGCGCGTGGTGGTGAAGAAGCGGGAGGAGGAGGAGGAGGAGGAGGGAGGAGAGGGGAAGTGGTGGCGGGGGATGGGGGGAGCGTGGCGGGAGGGGAGGGGGTGGAGGAGGAGGCGGCGGTGGAGGGCGTGGAGGGCCCTCCGGGAGGAGGAGAGGGCGGCCGCCATGGGAGGGGATCGAGATCGGGTTCGCGGCGGCGGAGGAGACGAAGGGGAAGAGGACGGACGACGGTGGTTTTGGTTAGACTCTCACTGGAGAGCGGCTTGGACTAGGGGCAAATTCGTTTTCCTTTTCTTTTCTTTTTTTTAAAGTAAATTCCACAATACTATGTATCAAATTATCACGGACGAGATATTTAAAGCGATGTATCACAAAACTATAGAATTAACACTAAATTTATCATAAAACTACATATTTAATGTGGAGTATCGTAAAACTACAAATATAATAATAAAGTTATCACAAAACTACATATTTTAGAGTTTAAATCCTTGGCACTAGTGTTTTGTTTGAGTTATAAACATGTAAGTTTGCGATTAAATTGTCACTAAACCTGTAGTTTTTTGATAATTTTATTACTAAATCAATAGGTTTACGATACTCCACATTAAATATGTAGTTCTGTGAGAAATTTAGTGTTAAATCTATAGTTTTGTGATAATTTGGTCAAACTATTTGTAGTTTTGTGAAATTTACTCTTTTTTCATACTAGTACTTCAGCTTTTTCTACTCTTTCCATTTCAAAATATTTTTCTACTATTGAAATATAAGGATTCCCATATTAATTCTCATTATTCCCATGATGACAAAAACCAATCATATGTCTCAAAATGAAAGTTCTAAGTTCAACAAATGACAACTAAAGTGACTAAAAGGAAATCTTTTAGCCGAACCTTAGTTTTGCTAAACAGCCTAAAAAATATTATATTTCAAAATAGATGGAGTAGCTTTGTTTTCTTTTATAATAAAAATAACCTCATGTTGTATAGTTGAAGTTACATGAAACCATATTTCCTGTCCTATTAAAACACGAACCCTAGCATCATATAAAGGATTTAAGGAGAGTGATAAAAGACCAAAATGCCCTGATTAATAAGAAAGTTGCATTGGTGAATGAGTAGGTGGTAGTATTAAATGAATAAAGTTTTTTGATTCACGACCGATGGTAAATAAGAATATACCCCCTCCGGGCTGATAATACTTGTCGTTTTGGACAAGGATGAAGTCAAACTTTAGAATATTTGATTATGAATCATTTTTAAAATATTTATCTTTCAAATATGGTGACTACATGTATAGATTAGTCTTAAAAAGTATTTTAATAAGATCATATATTTGCTAACAATTTTATATATATTATAATGAAAAATAATGGTCAAAGTTGTTTTTTGGAGACCGTGCCCTTGTCCAAAACGACAAGTATTATCAACCCGGAGAGAGTAGGTGTTGGTTTATTTTGGGACAGAATTCTAGAAGTTGATTTATTTTGGGCTGAGAAAGGGTATTACGACTAGTGAGACATAACCTCATATATATGGTTTTAAAGTTTCATAAAACCTTATCCCTGTACATACTGAGCACACATTTACTTAAACTTTTAAAACATATTGTATGTGAAAGAATTAATTATTGAGCTTGTGATTAAGGTTGATAGTTTAACTATTCACTACTTTGAAAAATATTGTTTTAGATATTTTAAATTTAGTCAAGATTCAAATAATTGTGGTGTTTTATGAAACATTTAAACTATAAAACTTGTGTTTATTTGTCACAAAATTACAATACATGTGGTTACATGTGGTTTTCTTCAACTTTGATCATATAATGTGGGGTTTCTGAATTTACTCTTTTTCTAGAGATAGGGGGGAGGGATGAGCTTTGGTCACGATTTTAATTTTCTTTTAGAGAATGCCGGATGAGCTTTGATCACGATTTTAATTTTCTTTTAGAGAATGCCTACATACATTTTTTTTAAAAAAAAACACAAGTACAAACGCATGAGCTCACTGTGTTGAGACTGACAAATGCGAGCAACCATGTCAAATCTAAGATTTGAACCTGAGTGGGGTGGTTCCACCACAAGGAACCAATCCAGTTGAGCTACGCTCACTTCGCATACCTACATAGATTCTTGTTTGTGTATAAAAATCAAGGAGCAGAATACATGTCTCCGTATTCGCGAAAATTAAGGGGCAAAGATTCCGAGTTTTGAGGAAAAATTTGGAACAATTTGAATGAAATCATTCAAAAAAAATATTTCCACATGAAACAAGGGAAGTTCAAATTCCAGGCAATATATTATTATTTTATCGTAGAGCACAATTTGAATCTTCTCCCAGAAAATTCCGATAATGTGGCCATGCGGGTGATAGGAAAATGAAGGCCTCCAAGACGGCAAGAACAAAATACAGGGCAAGCCTATGATCTTGTCGGCCTCCATGGGCTTGTCGACAAGACTACCCTAAGCCCAAATCGCCGAAGGCAAGTAACTGAACCATTCCTTTCAACAGTACAGGTTACAGACACCGGGTTAAATGTGTAATTAGGATGCACACGGCTATCTTGGTTGTGCATTCTTCCTGCTCGTTTCAGTTGTACAGTCTGAAACCTGAATTACTAGTCATTATGCCATTGTGCAGAAGAAGAAGATGGCCTTGTGCCATTGCTGAATGCAGATCAGGGGCAAATGGGCAATGGCATATTGGCATTCACATCAGCTTCTTCAGTGTAGCTAGATTTATTCAGAATGCAGACAAGATCCTTGCAGCTTGGGTACATGACGATTTCTTCTATGAAAAAACGCAGCTTCTTCAGACTTCAGACAACATCTTTCAGTGTAGCCAGAACTTTTCTCTTTTGAGTGTAGCTAGATCCTTCAGAATTCAGCTTCTTAAGTCTACCTTTTTTTTTTCAGAGTTGGGCACATGCTGATTTCTTTTCTGAACAAACACAGCTTCTTGCCTTCTTCAGAGTTCAGAGCAGCTCTACCTGCTTTCCATGTTGCCAAGGCAATGCAAACACAAGGTACAAGCGACGCATCAATGGCGTCCTCATCGATGAAGCTGTCACGTTATAGTTTGGTCCCCTTCGACCTGAATTTGGTTGGAGAAAATTGGGGATGGAATTAATACGGGAATATCATATCAATATATCATTGATTTAAGTCGCAACTGCAATGTGTTAGCAAGGTGGGAAAAATGTCGGACAAGTTTGGTTGAGCGACGGTCACTGTCACCACGGGTTTGGTTCGGTTGGTCCTTCAATTCGATTTAAATTTACTCAAAGATATAAATTTGCCACGTCTTTAGGAACAAACTCCGTGTGTTGCATCTACCGACAGATGGCAAGTTGCTTAATTTATTTATTTCTCTTTCTCTTACTGTCTCTAATCTCTAGTGCAAAGACTTTGGTTATATGTTGCATTGCTGCTTATAACAAGATATGAGGAGATAACTAGAAATAAATTCTTCAGGGCTTTGATCTTTGTAGGTCAGCTTTTTCTACCCTGTTGTCGATCAGTCGATGTAATAATCTCTGTAACCACATTTCCAGGATCTTAATGAAATTTGGTTGGCCTTAATGAATGTGGATGATAGCTCTGTCAATGTTCCATGAGAGCTGATCACCTGAAACAAGTGCAGTTGAGCTCCCATTTCTCAGTCACCACAGGTGGGAGATGCTTTTGATGAACTTTGTGTTGTCATCTCGGCAGAAGCAGAAGCAGAAGCAGCCAACCAGGTGATCATCCATGGCGGGTTTAACGTCTGCATCAAGAGATTCCCGTGGGCTCACGACATGGATTAGGCTTAAGCCAAGTACTAGAATTTTATTTGTAGTATGTGCTAAAATAATACTTCCATGCTCATGTCAAATCATGCTGTTTACAAGTGTTTTTTAGCATGACGCATTCGTTTTGGTTTATATAAGCTGCTGAATGCGTCACTAATTAGAGCCATAACGGTGCTCCTACATGTTTTTTTTTATATTTGCTCCAAATATCAACTTTTTTGATAAAACACATATTAATTCGTAACAAAGTAATGCCTTTTTATTCCCAGTTTTACTCAGGTACGTAATTAACTTATTTATCATAAAAACAACACCTACTTTTTCACTGGTGTAGAATGTATTATTTTCTAATAAATGGCTCCTAAATGATGTAATTTCGTAAAAACTTTCTACACATGAATTTATTAGAAAATAATTTAAAACATATTTTTAACTTTATAATAATTATTTTTTGTTTGCATGTATGCTAAAATAGTCATGGCAAAATCATTCAGTTATTTAGCCATTTGGCTATGTAGGTAAAGAAAAAACCAAAGTCGAAAGACGAAGTTAACTCCCAAAAATTTTAGACAAACTATCCAAACCTACCCATAGTAAATTACACATAACTGTTAACTGTTTTAAGAGTAAGTTTACTGGCTTCACTTCTGTCTATATTCTTTCACATTTACATTGGTAATATAGAGTATTTTGGGTAGTAAATTGTTGTATGAGCAGAAACACTATCTTATAAAAAAGAGTAAACTTGTCCTTGAAACCGACAAATTTCACACGCTTTCAAATTAAAAGAGAGAAAACCCGTACCGATCCAACTATTAAATGATGCACAAATAAATAAACGAGCGCGCACACACAGTGACACAAACCTAACCAACCCCAACCAACCGCGCGCACGCAACGCAAGCAACGAGTCGACGACGATATCCAAACCCCCCGACCACGCCCGAAAAAGAAATAATAATAAACAAAAACATTAGACCCCCAAAAAAAAATCTGAGAAAGAAGCGAAAATATCCTCTCGACCCCCCTCACCGGAAAAGGGTATTGCGTCGCCTCCCGCCGCGACGGCGACGACGACGACGACGACGAGCGCGGGCTCCCTCCACCGCCGCCTCCGCCACCGCCTCGCCGCCTGCCTCCGCGCGCCTCCCCCGCCTCCTCCTCCTCCTCCTCCTCCTCCCACATCGGACCCCGCCGCGGTGAGGCTGCGTCGCCGCCGGCTCTTCTGGAAGGGGGCGCATCGTGCTCCGATGGACGCGCAGGTTCAGCAGCAGCAGCAGGCGGCGCCGCAGCAGCAGCCGCCGCCCGCGGCCGCGGCGGCGGCGGGGAGGAGGTACGGCGTGCACTTCTCGGCGTCGAGCTTCATCCAGGCGCCGCTCTCCGCGCTGCTCGAGTACTCCGGGATCCTCCGCGCGGACCCCGGCGGCGGGCCGCATCAGGTTGGGGGTGGGGGTGGGGGTGGGGGTGGTGAGGTGTCGATCCGGATTGTCGGGTCCGGGGAGGCCGCCGGGGCGGCGTCCGAGAGGGGGGAGGAAGGGGTCGTGGAGGACGAGGCGGGGGCCGCCCCGCAGGCGAACCCATCCACATCGGCTGCGGCGGCGGCGACGGCCGGCGGCGGGGAGGCGGGGAGGGAGTCCTCGTCGTCGTACCAGAGGTACGACATACAGCAGGTGGCGAGGTGGGTGGAGCAGATACTCCCCTTCTCCCTTCTGCTGCTCGTCGTCTTCATCAGGCAGCACTTGCAAGGTCATTCCCCCCCCCCCCCCCTTTAATTTACCTCATCCACAAGCACAAATTGATATGCCATCATGTGTTTTGCTGCATGTATGATTTGCATTCGTCTATCTGTGAAATATACGTCACCATGTGTTTGCTGAATGTAGGGTTGCATTAATCTATTTGTGAAATGTTGGGCTAATTTTGCTTTGGATTGTGTCGTGCAGGTTTCTTCGTGACGATTTGGATTGCCGCCGTGATGTTCAAGTCTAATGATATCCTGCGCAAGCAAACTGCTTTGAAGGTAAACTTACCATCATGTTTGTTGAACATTTGGATCAATTTACCTGTAGATTTCTGCTGGAATATTAAGTGACAAATAGATTAATTGTGACACTTGGATGTCTAAAGCACTCCCTTAGATTTAGTTCGTTTTAATGAAAATATCCGGGGTGCAGATCATCTCTAAATAATGTGATGCAGTGATGGTAATATGACGTTTTTTGGCCGCTCATAGTTTTATTGGCATTTTCATGGTAATATGGCTTACAGCTTTTTGGCCACTAAGTTTTATTTGGCATTTTCATGGATTTTCTATATCCGAACACGTTCTCATTTCACGTTTGTGTATTACCAATCATCAATCTGTCACTAATGTCATGCTGTGCTTGTACTTATATTTGTGCTGCTGTCCAAGGATATGACGTTGACTTGTTTACTGGTTTGTAACCTCTGTTATACTGTCAAGAAATCACAATGGTTATTTACATATACAAATCAGATATTCCTTGTTTTTGAGTGTTTACTGCACCATCTAATCGATTTTTGAGATTTGTTGACAATGCTATTTATATAGAGAATTGCAAGTATCTTTATATTCCTGGCTTTCCCATCATGATCAGAAGTTACATTATTATGTGGATTTAATTGCTTTCAATTTGTTTATATAAACAATGTGGTACTTACATATGATACATTGATATTTGTCTTTTTGGTTCAGGGGGAGAGAAAAATGTCAGTCCTTGTTGGGATCACAATATTATTCGTTGTTCATGTATTTGGAGTTTACTGGTGTTACAAGAATGGTGACCTCGTACGACCTCTGGTGGCTCTTGCTCCAAAAGAAATTCCACCGTTTTGGCATGCAATATTCATCATTTTGGTGAATGGTATGTTTTCTCCTCATATGATGCTTGAACACATTTATGTTTTAGATCGCATGTTTTCTCCTCATATGATGCTTGAACACATTTATGTTTTAGAGCTAGAAAGGTTTGTAAACCCTGAAGGCCTTTAAGTTTTTGGCACGTGAGCCCTTTCATTTTGTGAACTGGGCTCAAATGTCCACTCTCATACAAATAAATTATATTTTTTTTATGTTGTAAGTGGCTATCATGTCCTTATACCTGAAGCATGGTTATTTGTATTTACAGGATGCCTTAAGTCAAATCAGTCATGTTGTATTTAGAATTTAGAAATGATACTTAACTTCATAAGGTTTTTGATCATGTGGGTTCCTTCCAATTTTATGCAGATACAATGGTGCGCCAAACTGCTATGATCATCAAGTGCATGTTACTTATGTACTACAAGAACAGCAAAGGGCGTAGCTATCGTAGGCAGGTATGCTGTTTATGCATTTGAATACTATATTTTCTGTGATCTATCATTGTGTGCCGTTTCCTGATAGCTTCAGGTGCAGTGTTATTTGTTTCTGACAACCAGTAATCAATCATTCCTTTTTGCTCAGGGCCAAATGTTAACAGTTGTGGAATATTTTCTACTTCTGTACCGAGCATTATTGCCTGCTCCTGTATGGTACCGATTTTTCCTGAACAAGGAGTATGGAAGCCTATTTTCGTCTCTAACCACTGGATTATACCTTACTTTCAAGTTGACATCAGTTGTGGAAAAGGTACTGTAACTTCCCTTATTTAGTTTCGTAAGGGATACTTAGTGCCTCCTAAAACTCCAGCTGTTTCCTTGTCAGGTTCAATCATTTTTGACAGCATTGAGAGCGTTATCTCATAAAGACTTCCATTACGGTTCATACGCAACTAGTGAACAGGTAATCTATTATATGCTTGAAGCACTAAGTAGTTGTTGGCTATCACTGTCACTGAATGTCTAGAGTAATGATGACCTGTGAAATAAGATTGCATGGACATTGCATAGTGGACTTTTGGCACACTCTATTTTCTATTTTTCTTGACTTGACTCTTGTGTGTCTGTTCAGGTTAGTGCTACTGGAGATATGTGTGCTATATGCCAGGAAAAGATGCATACTCCCATTCTTTTGCGCTGTAAGCATATCTTTTGCGAGGATTGTGTCTCTGAATGGTAAGTACATGTATCTTGCACCCTCTTCTTCTAGCCACTGAAAATTTCTTAATTTCCTCGTGCATCTTTTACCGATCTCATGCTTAATGCTTTCAACCTCATACCAACCTTGAACAACAATGGCAGGTTCGAGAGGGAGCGGACATGCCCGCTATGCAGAGCGTTGGTGAAACCAGCAGACCTCCGGTCGTTCGGTGATGGCTCAACGAGCCTCTTTTTCCAGCTATTCTAGGCAGCCGATGCTGATGCCTCAACTCTGTGCAGACAAGAAGGCAGGCAAGCAAGCAGGCAGGTGTTTTAGGTGCGTGCGTCTGTGTTGCTCGCGTTTGCGAGCAGAGCAGCCCTATGTGGTGCTGAATCAATCTCCACGTCTTCCCCATCAACTGAAAGCGAAGAAGAGTACATGAGTGTGTGAGTGCGTGCGTGTGTGTACTGAGTGTGCATATATTATCCCCATGTATAGGCTCTTGCGAGGTATGTATGCTTGAGCAAATCTCTTTATATAAGAGAACTCACCTTGACCCTACACGAATTTTACATAAATAGAGATGAGTATATACACCGTATTACTGCCAATTCACCATGAAATTTTGACAGTTTGTGAAGTACGAAAGAGTGGTGAATCCTTGGATCATTTTTGAGCTGAGGTTTTCTTGATGTGTTCATCTGGGAATCTAGTGATCTGCCAGAGGGGCATGCTGGGAACGGTGACCATGTATCTTCTGGCTGGTGATGTGTGAAGAACATAAACATGAGATGCGTGCCGATATATATTGGGCCTTGTTAGATTGAAAATCTTGAATTAGGGGACTAATGTTCTGGACAATCTTTACGGCGATGTGTACTCTAATCCCTGGACATTTGTCATCTAAACTGAATGAATATAGACTCAAACAGGTCTGCGATTCGGAGTATATACCCTGGCCGGTTCCGTGCTTGCCCGGCTTCTCCACTGAACTTGTCAATTCCATTGCAGCACGAAAAGAAGCTTTGAAAATTTCATTGCAGCACGAAAGAAGATGCATTATTTTTTGTTTTTTTAAAAAAAGAGAGGAGAAGTGTTCTTAATAAGAACACAAAGTCTGCACGAAAATAAAATACTACTTCCTCCGTTTCAGGTTATAAGATATTTTGACTTTGGTTAAAATCAAACTGTTTTAAGTTTGACTAAGTTTATAAACAAATATTTTAATATTTAAATTACCAAATTAGTTTAATTAAATAAATAATTAAATATATTTTTATAATAAATTAATATTGGGTAAAAATATTACTTATTTTTTTATAAATTTAGTCAAATTTAAAGTAATTAAACTTTGATCAAAGTTAAAACATATTATAACCTGAAACGGAGGGAGTAACAATCTCCGTAATGACGAGGAAACGATAAAAACGGTAACAAAAAACATAAACAACATATAACTATTAGCACTACAATATATACTGTCATAACAAACCAAAAAAAGAAGAAAACATTTGTGCCTTCCTTGCCGACTGCCCGACTCCCCCGTCCGAAGCCCGACTCCGACCCATCCCGTCGTCCTCGTCGTCGTCCTCCTCCTTTGCTTGCTTTGCCTGCCTCGCTTCGCTCGCATCACGTGGCTCCGCCTCCTCGTCTCCCTCCCCCCGCACGCATCACCATCCTCCTCCTCCTCCTCCCTCCCGCGACCACCCCGTGAGGTAACCTCTCCTCCTCCCCCTCCTCCCTCCTCCCACCCCTGGGGATTCGGATCCCACCTCGCGCGCTCGGCCCGATCCCGCCCTGATTCTTCTGGAACCTTCCGCGCGCTCGATTCGTGCTCCGCCGACGCCCGATCTCGCCTAGGTTGGTTGCTTCTCCTTCCTTGCCGCTCACCGGAGCGCGGGTAAGCGGGTGGGTGGGGTTTGGATGCGCGCGTGAGGGATCCCATCGGGGGTGCTCGTACCCGGGGGGGAGCGAGCCATTGATCGGGGTTGCGCGTTTAGGTTTTCCCCCGCTGCGATTCGATCCGGGTGGCGCCGACGCGAATCCGCGCGTGTTTGAGCTGGGATTGGTGATGTTTGGTCGTGTTGTTTGATGCTTGGGGACTACGTTACGTTTTGCTGTATGGCGAGGTAGAGCCGATTGGCGTGTGCCATTGTGCGAGTTTCATCGTGTTCATGTTCTTATCAATTTTTTTTATCTCACGCTTGTATATTAGAATTTATATGCCCCAACGATATAGTTTCAACTGCTAATGTGGGTGCCTTTTCCTGCACAAATATTGTGATTACAGAAGCAATGCGCTCGGTTCTTTTTTTTTTTTTTTTTGGGGGGGGGGCGATTATTGTCAATTGTGTATGGAAATTTGACGCTCTTTTGGGTGATTAGCTGATCATATTAATTACAAGGAGGATTTGTTTTAGCCGATGTTGATTGTCTTCTAGGTGCTTTAGGATCCCCAATGCTTAACTGTTGTTTTGCTCTTGCTGACACAGCAAATCTCTCTGTGGTGTAGGTGTATACGCTACATTTACAATTGATTGATCTGGCTTGTCCACCCCTCACATGAGCTCACAAGTCTCCACATCACGGGGTTTGCCCTCCCCAAGCAAGCTTGGGACATTTGAGTCCCCTCACACATGGCAAATGTCAGGTCCTACAGGCCAGGCTGAAGCTGGTAGCAGCGATGACCAGGATATCAGGCTGTTGTCTGTTTCTTGGAATCAGGACTTTGGTTGCTTCGCTGCTGGAACCAGCAATGGCTTCAGGATCTTTAATTGTGACCCTTTTAAGGAGACTTTCAGGAGGGATCTGAAGAGTGGTGGATTTGGGATTGTTGAAATGCTGTTCCGTTGCAACATCCTTGCTCTTGTAGGTGGTGGCTCCAACGCACATTATCCACCGAACAAGGTAATGATCTGGGATGATCACCGGAGCCATTGTATTGGAGAGTTTGCCTTCCGCTCTGATGTCCGGGCTGTAAAATTGGGGAAGGACTACATTGTCATTGTTCTTGAGCGCAAGATATACGTTTATAACTTCACAGATTTGAAGTTGCTCCATCAGATTGAGACCCAGTCCAATCCAAAAGGATTGTGCTGCCTCTCTCATCATTCCAACACTTCAGTGTTGGCCTGCCCTGGGGTGCATCAAGGGCATGTCCGGGTTGAGCATTTTGGGTTGAAGGTGACAAGGATGATTTCAGCTCATGATTCTCACATTTCTTGCATGGCATTGACAATGGATGGCCTCCTGCTGGCAACAGCAAGCATGAAGGGTACTTTGATAAGAATATTCAACACAATGGATGGTACTCGCCTGCAAGAGGTGAACAACATGTTCTTTCTTTTTTTCTTTCGTAGACAAACAGAAGGGTGTCTTCTCTATTCCATTGCTTCCTGAGTTGTTGCCTTAGAAGTGTTTCTGGTATATGTAATCGTGGACAATTGGCATGAATCTTTAATGATCAATCTGAATAACTTGTAGGTGCGCAGAGGGCTTGACAAAGCAGACATATACAGCATTGCGCTATCACCCAATGTGCAGTGGTTGGCAGTGTCCAGTGACAAAGGAACTGTTCATATTTTCAGTTTAAGAGTGAGAGTTGCAGGGGAAGATGCTAGTAATGAACAGCGCAGTCTTGAAGGTCCACGGATGGATCACCAGAACTCTTCTAGTTCTATAGATCCTCTTATTCAAACGAACACTGGATCCAATGCTAGCTCATCATTGTCATTCATGAAAGGTTAGTATATCTCTCTGTTTTCACCGTTCATAGTAACTGCTCAGGACATGGAACTTCTGGAATAGATTGAATCGTAATTTTTCAACTCCTGTACGGATTAGCCTTGTCAGTTCAAGAAGCTGTTCTGCATATCACGTTGACTGTTTTTCCATATCTTTTTTTTTAAAGTTTTGCGCTTCTGATGATTGATGAAATGATGTGATGAATCTTCAAGTTAGCTTTTGCTGGAAAGGCATCTGAAAATGTAAACTTTTTTAACTTAATAACTTAATTGACGATTTCTTAAAAAAAATAAAAATGGTGTGAAATGTTTAAGGAATGCATGACCAGATAAAATCAGGCAAGTTATTACCGTGAAGCAGTGTGGTAAAAGTCAGCTGATACGCCTGTATAATTGGCCATTTATTCATGTGTGAAAAGGAAAGCGTCATGTACTTGTAATTCAGTGCAGGATTTTGCTCAGTGAACGCCAAAGTGGCCAACTGGACCAATTAATTGGTCAATTAATGGTTAATCGTCTTATTAATCCGCTCAATCAACGCATTAAGACAAGTAATCTTCTCTAGTGTGTATGGGCCTGTAGCTTGCAGCTGGCCCAATTAATTCTAAGTTAGGGCAAGTTAGCAGACACGTTGCTTCCTTGGCTAGCTTCCACTTGTTTTGCAGCATAATTATTATGGTGCTGCTTTCCACTTTGTTTCTAGTATTCCAATGTACGATCATAGCATGATGTGCAGCAAAAAATAGTTTATGCATTTCATAGTCAACAAGAAGGTTGAAAACATTGTGTATGTATGACCCATATCTTGTTACTGAGTATCATCATTAGTTACAGATTATTGATGATATTTCCCTATTTGATTTGTTACAGTACAAATGGCTAGTACAAGAAAATGTATTTAAATATCTCCAATAACAAACAACTAGCAAATACTACCTCCGTCCCAAAATAAGTGCAGCCATAGATATCCGTGTCCAACGTTTTAACCGTCTGTCTTATTTGAAAATTTTATGAAAAAAAATTAAAAATATTAGTCACACATAAAGTACTATTCATGTATTATCATCTAATAACAATAAAAATACTAATCATAATTGTTTTTCAAATAAGATGAACGGTCAAACGTTGAGCATGAATAGTGTTAAAACTGCACTTATTTTGGGACGGAGGGAGTATATATTAATTTATATGAACGTTAAATATCCGTAGAATTCTGAATAATCAACCATATTATGACTATTTGCTTGATGCCTTGACGGTACATTGTCTGTTCGATACCCATTTTCGGACTTTTGCAACACTGCTGCAAAGAATTACTGTACAAAGCTACGTAGTCAGCAGCTCAGCATCGACAGCAAGAACACGTGTTATTTATCAACTCTCTATTGTTCTCTTTAAAACTTGTACTGCATTAGTTTCTCAATATGTTGATTGTTCAGGCTATTGTTTTCTCTATCTGTATATATGTTGAAAAATTTGTGTTCATTTCTTGAAGAATTAAGTTACTAACCGTGCTAAATTTCTCTAGGGATTCTGCCGAAGTATTTCAGTTCAGAGTGGTCATTTGCTCAGTTCCATTTACCAGAAGTCACACGTTACATAGTAGCGTTTGGTGCTCAAAACACTGTCATGATGGTTGGCCTGGATGGCAGGTACTTGCCTCTACACTGAATTTTATATCAGCAACGTAACACATGAATGGAATATACATCCCCAGTGCATGCTATAGCAGGCTAAGCAGCTGTACAGTCAACCTTTGCTGTTCTCAGTCATTGCACAAGTATACTGTACATGACGTATTAACTTCATAATACCACATACTTAGAAATTCATAAGCAAACAAATATACTCGTAGAAAGAGGACAATA